TTATATATATAAGTTATATAAATTAGTATATAATTAGTTTAAACCTTATATTAATTTATTAATATAAAATAAATATTAAAATAAAATATATAAAATTTTTTTAAATAAATATTTAAATAAAAAAACTATTAAATAAAATAAATATTTAAATATTTATTATAATTATTAAAATTTATTTTTGTTATTTTTTCTTTTTTTTTTAAAATTTTTTTAATAATAATAATAATAATAATAGTAATAATAATTTTATAAAACTTAATAATATTTATTAAGATTTTATTTATATTATATTAATAAATTAAATATATAATAAAATATATAATAATAAAAATATTTATTTTTATTAATATTATAATTAAGTAATAAATATATTAATAGCGTTATTTAAATATTTAAAATATTTCTTTTTTATAAAAAAAAATAAAATTAAAATATTATTTAGTATAAAAAATTTTTTACTTTTTATTTATAATATTTCTAATTTTTTTTTATTTATAATATTATTTTACTTATTTAATAATAACGTTAAATAGCTAATTTTAATTAAAGAAATTTTATTAAATATATTTTTTTATAATAGTAATAAAATTATTTTTAATATTTAATAATATTTAAAAAAAAACCTAAATTAATTTATTTTAATTTAACTATAATAAAATTTAAATAAATTAAATATAAATATATTTTTATTTTTATTTATTTATTAAATAAAAAAATAAAATTATTACCTAAATTAAATAAAATTAAATAAATATTTAAAATAATCTATTTAAATTAAATAAATTATATTTTAAATTAAATTAAATTATTTATTAATTAATTTATTTAATTTATTATTATTATATAATTTTTAAATATAGGATTTATTTATTTTTTTTTCTTTATTTTAACTGTTAAAAAAAATTGAAATTTTTAAAAAAGGTATTTAAATTAAAAAAAAAAATAAAAAAAAAATATTAATATATTATTATAGTTTTGGTTATAATTTTATTTTTTTTTTTTTTTTTTATTTTTTATTATAAATAATATATATATTTACTATATTAATATAATAATTAATATTTATTTTTATTTAAAAATATATAGTATTTTTTATATTAATATATTATAAATTGGCGTAAGATTTTATTAATTTTATAATATTAATTTTTTTTATATAATATATTTTTAAATTTTATTTATAAATTAAATTATTATTATTATTAATAATAATAATATTATTTTAAAAAAATTAATTAAAAAGATCTTTAATTTTAAATTATATAAAAATTTTAATAATTTTATTTTAATTAATTAAAATATTTTTATTTATTAACGTTTTATTTTTTATTTTTTTATATTAAAAAATAAATTTATTTTTATTTTTATAATATAAATATTTATTTTATTTAAAATAAAAAAATAATTAATTATTAATTTTTTTATAAAAATAATAAAATATTTTAATATTATATAAAATAGATTAGTAAGAAAAAATTTCTTTTTAATTTATATATAATATTATTTTAATATTAATATATATTTTATTAAATAAATTTTAAACGAAAATAATAATTTTTTTTTATCCTTTTTTATTCCTAATTTTTTAAAAATATTTTATAATTATAATATTATTGTATAATTAAAATAAATTATTAATATTAATAATTAGTGGAAGAAATATATTAATTAAAATTTTAACCGTAAAAAAAATTTAAATAATAAATATTTTTTTATTTTTTATAAAATTTTTATTAATAAAAATTTTACTAATTTAAATATAAAAATATAGAAAATAAATAATATTTATATAATATAAAATAATTTTTTTTTAACTAAATTATAAAATAGTAAAAAGTATTAAAAAATCTTTATTATATATTAAAATATTTAAATAATTTTTAAAATTATTAAAAATAAATAATTTTTTTTTAATATTTATATAAAAATTAAAAATAGTTATAAAAATAATATTAAAATAAAAAAACCTTTTTTTTTTATTAAATATAAATTATAAAATAAAGATTAAAATTATATATAAATTAAAATAAAAAAATCTTTTATTTTTATTAAATTTAAACTAAATAAAGATTTTTTTATATAAATTTAAAATATAAAGTGTAAGATATTTATTTTTTTGCTAAATAATTTCTATTATTACCTTAAACTTTTTTAATTTTTTTTTTAATTTTTTTTTTAATATTTAAATAATTAAAAATTATTTTTTTTTATTAAGAAAATTTTTAATTTACTATTTTATCTAACTTTTTTATTATAATTAACAATTTTAAAATGCGTTAAATTTTAATATTATTATATATTATAATTACTTTTTATGCTATTAAAATTGCTTACTTTTTAATTAATTTATTATATAAATTTTATAGTTAAAAATATTAAAAAAAGCCCGAAAATATTACCTATTTCCAATTTTACTAATATTACTAATATTTTTAATAATAATTTTAATAATTTTGGTAATATTTTTAAAAAATTAATTTATATTTAATTCTTTTTTTATTTAAATAAAATTATATGTTATTTTCGGTATAAAAAATAATAATTTAAAATAACTATAATAATATACGCTATTTTAATAAAAGAAAATAATAATTTAAATAGTTTAAATTAATAAATAATTTATATAAAAAATAAATAGTAATTATATTATTTGTTTATTATTATATTATTATAATTAAATTTTATTATAGTTTATTATTGTAATTATTATTATATTATTTATATTTACTATTTATATTATAACTTATTATTATTTTTATTATTATTTTTATTATTATTTCTATTATTTAACTTTTTTTATAAATATTATTAATTTTTAAAATTTAAATTATTTTTATAATTTTTATTAAATTTATTTATATTTATATACGATATAATTTCTAAATAATTTAACTTTTCTTTACGCCTATTTACTTTTTATATAATTTATTTCAATTTATTTTTAATTAAAAAATTTTAAACTTTTTTTAACTTTTTTTTTAATTTAATTAAACTATTTTTCGAAAAAAATAGTGTTATATTTAAACCGAAAAAATTTCTATTATTAAATTATATTTAAATTATTATTTAAAATTTATTATAAATTTTAATAAATAGTTATTTATAATTATTTTTTTTTATATAATTTAAACTAATTTTTATAAAATAAGTTTTGTATTATTTTAAAATATTTTTAAAAAAATATTAATTGATATTATTATTTTTAATAGTTTTTTTAATATTGGTTAAAAAATTTATATTAATATTAAATCTTTATTATAAAATAAAATCGAAATTGGAAATAAAATAATTTTTTTAAAGCCGTTTTTATATAATGTTTTTATAATTTTATTATAGGCAAATTTTATACCGGTTTTATTTAATAATAAAAATATTAATTTTGTTTTTTATAATTAATATATATATAGCTATAAAAACTATTTAAGAAATAAAATTTTTAAAAATTTAAAATTTATTATATTTTATTTGTTTAAATAAAACTTATAATATTATTAATATTTATATTTTAATTTATATATAAATATAAATTTATTTATTAATATATTAAATAAAATATTTTAAATTATCTTTATTAAAATTTTATACAAATATTATTTATATTTTAACCGTAATAAAAATAATTACCAAATTTTACCGCAATTTTATTATTATTTAAGTATTTTTTTTATAAAAAAATCTAATAAATATTTAATAATAAAAATAATTTTTTATTTTTATTTATATAAATTATATAAAACGTATATCTTAAACTTTTTATAATGTGTAAATATTATTTTAAAATATTAATAATAATATTTTTAAATTAAAAAATTTAATATTAAATAATAAATCTTAAATAATTGTTAATTATATTATAAATATAAAATTTTTACTTTTTAAATTTATTATAACTATTAATATATTAAACCTAGTTAAGTTTAAATATAATAAACTTTTCTTTTTATTTTTAAATATACTATATATAATAATAAACTATATTAAAATAAAATTTTTTATATATTTTAAATAATATATTTTTATATAATATTAAAATAAAAAAAAAAAAATATTATTATTTGTATAAATTAAAAAAAGTAATTTCTATTTTTATTTTTTATAATATTATATATATATTATTATCTAAATTTATTTAACCAACTTAATTTAAAAAACTTTTCTTTTAAAATAACTTTAATAATATCGATTTTTTTTTATTTTTTATTTATTATTTTTATATAACATTTTAAACCGAAATTGCGTTAAATTTATTAAAATTATTTTTAAATAATATTATATTTTTTAATATTTAATTAGTTATATATATTTTAATCGAATATATTAAATTAATAAAATAATAAAATAATATTTTTTTTTAGGTTTTTTGATATATTTCTATTTATTTTTCTTTATATGTAATATTATTTTTATAATTTCTAACTTTTTATTATATAATTAAATATTTTATGTAATAATTTTTAATAATATTTTTATTTAAATTTATATAAAATTTATTTAATAATAAATTTTTTATAAAATTAAATAGTAATTTACCATTTATATAGTTTAAAATTAATAAATTTCTTTTTTATTTTTATAATAATATTATATAAAATAAAAAAAAAAGATATAAATAAAAACAATCTAATATATATAATATAGTTTAATATTTTAAATATATCCCTTAATTATATTTATTTATAAATATTTACTTATATAATATATAAATATTAATATATAATTTTAAAATATATAATTTTTAATATCTATTATATGCTTAACTATATTAGGCATATTGCAGCTAATTTTCTTGATTTTGGCATAGTTGGACTAATAGTCCACCGTATGCGGGGTGACTTTCGTGACGATAATTAGCGTAACGGTGATTATATATTGGAGACGTAAAACATCCAGGCAACTTGCCGTTGCCACTAAGTAAATAAGTAAAGATATCTTCCTATCGCTAGAGAACTTAGTATTATTTAGGTAGACAACCTTCTAGACCCTTAATATCACATTCAACTATGGCCGAATCTAAGTTAATTATTGACGTAAGCTTTCACCTGAAATTGGTCAACATTGATTACCCCTGAAGTATTCGTAGGTAGCTGATAAAGACATAGCTTAACCTCAAGAACCCAGAGCTCTTTCGAGACAAAGCATATGTCAATGGACAATGGATCGAAGCAAAATCTGGGAAGAGATTCGATGTCATCGGTCAGTAATGGCTTGTTCATTTGATATTCGACTTCTTGCTTATACTATAAGCGAGCAGACCCAGGATCTGACCAGAAATTCGCCTCATGTCCGGACATGGCCGCCGAGGATGCCGATGATGCGGTGCAAGCAGCCGAGGCGGCATTCCAAGTCTACCGCAAATTTACACCTCGAGCTCGCGCTGACTTGCTGGCTAAATTCGACGCCTTGATCAGGGAGCATAAAGATGACCTCGCCACTATTTTGGTATACGAGACGGGTAAACCACTAGTCGAAGCTTACGGCGAGATCGAGTACGCGGCTTCGTTTACGCGTTGGTTCACCGGCGAGGCGGAGCGAATTCAGGGGACTACATTTCCCGCCGCCATTCCCGGTAGACGTATCTTCACCATCAAGCAACCGCTTGGCGTTACTGCCGCGCTGGTTCCTTGGAATTTCCCAATTGCGTAGGTTGATTGCTGTAACTTAAGTGAGAACCGAGTCTCGGTCCTAATGCTACTCTAGAATGGTCTTGAGGAAAGCGAGCGCTGCTTTAGCAGCAGGATGCACGATGGTCGCGAAGCCGTCACCCGAGACGCCTCTATCGGCATTAACGCTAGCATACTTGGCTGAGAAGGCTGGATACCCCAAAGGCGTATTTAACGTTATGCCTACTACATTAGCCAATACTCCAGCTCTCAGCGAGGCTCTTTGCAAGCATCCACTCGTGAAGAAAGTATCCTTCACTGGCTCTGTACGCCACCCAATTTCCCCCCAAACATATTTAATAATTTAACTGACATGTTAGTAGACCAGGGTGGGAAAGATCCTATCTGCCCATTGCGCAGATAGCCTCAAGAAACTCACTCTCGAGCTAGGCGGTAACTGCCCGTTCCTTGTATTCGACGATGCGAATCTAGAACAAGCTTGCGACGGTAAGACTTCATAATTCCACTATAGATTGGCAGACAAACTAATCAGAAACCTTTCAGCATTAATACCACTTAAATTCCGACATGCCGGACAAGCTTGTATAACCGCGAACCGGGTGTACGTCCAAAAGGGCATATACGACAAATTTGCCAATCTCCTCGCGGAGAAAACACGACAAATCCGAGTCGGCCACGGCATCGACAAGACCACCACGATGGGCCCTCTAACAGTCCCCACGGGCGTCGACAAGGTAGCCGGACAGGTTGAAGACGCGAAGAAGAACGGCGGCACTATACTTACGGGTGGAAACCGCATAATTTCGAACGGCGGGTACTTCTTCGAACCTACCATCATCACGAATGCATCGCAGTCCATGCAGGTTGCTTCGGAGGAGACATTTGGTCCGCTTCTGGCGCTGTTCCCGTTCGACACGGAGGAGGAAGCTGTGAAGGCAGCTAATGACACGAGCGTGAGTCCTAATTATAGGTAGTGTAGTTTTATAAGTTCTAACATTGACATTTAGATGGGTTTGGCTTCATATTGCTTCACCAAGAACATCGATCGGATATGGCGCCTGTTCGAGAATCTCGAGGCGGGCATGATTGGGTTGAACAGCGGTAAGCTTCCACCCTAGTACTTGCAAACTAAGCGTGTTAGCAAGCTTCGCACAGAACTGCAGGCTGATAACATATAAACCGATTAGGAAATTCGTCAGCAGCGGAGGCGCCGTTCGGCGGGATCAAAGACTCGGGGTTCGGCAAGGAGTCTGGAAAGGACGTTGCTATAAACGAGTATCTCATCACGAAGACAGGAACATTGACGCTCGAAGGACAGTACTAAAAGTATAGAGTTGTTCAATCGACTTCGTGCTTAAATAAGAGGTAGTTGCTGGTACGCAAAACCGGATAATAGTGAGGGATCAAAAAATCACGTATGTAACATGGATCCACGATGCTTTTTTGGTTCAAGTTTAATATTTCCCGCTGAATTTTCCAATACGGTATACACGAAAGCCTACCTAGTATAGCGCTAGTACGGACATCTTCCGATTATTCGTTTTTTCCGACGCAAAATGCTAATCCTATACTGATGCCGAATCTCTATGAGTGCTTCTATGTATTGCTACTCACCTGGGTGCGGCGTTCGAACCCTTCATAAGGTCTAATCCAGCAAGTTCATATCCACATCCATGCTTATGAACCACAAAAACCCCTCCCAATATGCCAAATGGACCAGAAAATGCGATAGACCCCCTCCTTCCATGCGCCACAAAACACCATTTATGATATGTCTTTATGCAGTTGGCACCTCGAGAGAGTTTAATGTACTTCTTTTGTAATCTTCGCCAGTCGGTTTCTTCAGAGACGACCATGATCGATCCAAGTTTTTCCCTTCTGGCACCATCCATATACCCGTACATCCGTGACGTGCGGTGCTTCCGCTCTTCTTAGTTTGTTGCCATCGATGGGAATCTCTTCCAAAACCGGATTCGAGATCATTAAATTCAGAGTACCCCATATAATTATTCCATGAATGTCTTATAACTCTCCGTATGCTTCGGGAGAATTTGCCCAGTTTCAAGCCAAATCCTAAAGCAATTGCTTTAATCCATCCAATAACACTTTGCTCGGCTTCGAGCTTTAGAAATGGGTCTTCCTGTTCGTCTTCCTGTTCGTCTTCCTGTTCGTCTTCCTCGGGGTTATAAGTTGCTGCCCGCGTCATATCATCCAAGAGCCGGTATGCATCGCTCTATGACTCTGCCGGACTCTCGCGCTCTAATTCGTAGAAGAGCAGATATACTTCTCGCTGCATCCCTAATACCTCGCCCGTCTTAGCTTCCTTGATCTTTTCGTCGCTAATACGCCACCATCGGTCGGTTTGCTTTCGACGCTTCGGCTTCGCCCCATTTACTTTAGATGTAATCGCTTTCCCGTTTGCAGTAGATGGCGCGACCGGAATCTGGCTAGCTGGACTGCTCGGTCTACTGTTTCGAGCTGAGTGTGATATCCTCGACATAGTCGATCGCGCGGATGCCGCAACTGACTTGAGGCTGATGGTATCCGACTCGCGATCTTTTAGGGAAGAAAATTTTGGGCTACGACGAGAGGAATGTCGACCATTAGACGTTGCGGAAGATTGGGGCGTGGAATCCGTCGATGGCCGAGGTAGGACATCAACTGAGTGATTAGACGAGCTGCTTCCGGACGAAGAGAAACCAAGATCCGGAGTAGAGGCTATTGGGCTAGGATCCCCTGATCTCGCTATAGCACTAACGCGTGGAGTTGAGGCTGGGCTTGGTGTAGCTGATTTGGCGAAGATGTCGGAAGCCTGGAACGCATTTGGAGTTGAGAACGGAAGAGAGATGTTTTGTCGGCGAAAAGATTCGTAATGTCCGCTATGATGACTTCCTTTATGCGTAACTGTGGCAAGTAATTTGTATTTTTTACGATTCAATAGAGTTCCCATTAGTAGCTGCTCTGGGAATGTAACTTTGGCTGAATTCTTCTGTGAGATACTGTTATATATGGATCTGGAAAGATGGACAGCCATAATCTTAGGGAAGCCCGTCAGTCGCGTGTGCTTCGCGATTTTACAAGCGGGAGCGTCTCGCATAGGAGGTAATTCAACGTCTGGCGGAGGATTCTCAGGGTCGCTATCGATGGCATGCTGCAGCTTGGCAATCGCCTGTTGCGTACTGGCCTTAAAACTCTCAGAGTTGGATCGCGATAACTGTGTCTCCAGGACATCTTTTGCATGTACAAGACGACATTTGTCGCACTTAAAGTCGTCTATGTACTCAGTCTTAAAGAACCCATCCAGACAAGCATTGAGCGATGTCGAACTTGACTGCGGCACGTTTAGTGTCAGAGTGCAGAACGTATTTTCTGTTGGCTTTGGTTTGAAGCTACACTTCTGACACTCAATTTGACTTTCGTATTTGCCTTCCATCGGAAACCCATCTTCTTCGTTCCTTGACGGTAGTCCTTGCGCCTCGACTTCGGGTTCACTCTCCTCTGGCCCAGCAGTGTCAATATTTCCGTTTCCATTTATGGCTAGCTTTGCCAAACGCTGCTCAACAGCGTCACCATCAATTGGCTCTGCTTTATTTGCTGACGCTTCAGCACCGCATTTATTTCTCGCAGCTTGTCGAGCTCTCCTTCCAGCATGGTATTCATCGCATAATCGCTCGGCTACCACCTGTAAAAATTCCTGCGCGTCCTGCTGTTGCCTACTAATGCGCTGCTTGAAAGCAGTCTCAAGGACCCTGATAAAGGGGCCAGCAGATATGGTCTTCTTGTAAATAGGCCGTTCGTTAAGAGCATCAAGGATATCCTTCAGGCCCTTTGTAACGAGCCCGGCCTGTAGACCCTGGACCTTCCATTCGGGTTTGCTCTTGTATGCAGGATCCTGCACTATTTCTTGATATACCCATGGTTCATCTATGTTTCTTCGGTGAGTTTCTCGGATGAGGTAGATTCGGAGATCTGTGAGGCCGGCGAGGGCTTGGAGGACGGAGTTGATAAAACAGTCGTTCGCCGGGTTCGAAAGGCCTACGACGCCTTTTTTACGTGTCGAGTTAGAATCACCATCTAAAAAATAGTTGGGGGCAAAGACGTAGAAGAGAGTGATCGCAGCGAGAGAAGCACCGGCCGCATATGTGGCAACGGTAAGAGGCTTCTCAGGCATGACGGCGATCCGCTGGTTCGGTTCGTTTCACTTCTGTCTTATCACGCCGCTCCCTCGTGTTACAATTGTAGCTACGAATGCTAAGGGATGGTAGTAGAGATGATTGGGGAATTCGTCGAGAGGGTATGGGTATTCGGAACGCGACTCGAGGTCATCACTAGATACGGAAAAGGGAGACCGGGATAAAGGTTAAGAGAAGACGATGCTGGGCAAAAAAGACCATAAGAAAGAATTGGAGATTTGGCGGAGTAGAAGAAGATTGCTACAGGGATGATGGTCGGTATCAAAAGTAGAGATGCTTGGAGGCCAATGCAGCAATAAGATGAAGCACGGCAAGATTTTAGTAGCAGGGATAATGGCTGCTCGCGGTTCGGGAATAAGGCGACGAAAGGTCTGTGTATGTACCTAAAGTGGTGTATGTAGGTATTTGTGTAGGCTGTGATGTAAGTAGTTGATGTATACCTAGGTAGTTACATAAATATCAAAAAGGGCAGCAAAAACGTTCAATTTCAATTGCGTCACATGTTACAGTTAACAAAACAGAAATACGGGGGTAGAAATCTAGAAGAAGAAAAGATAATGTGAATATAGAAGAATTAGATAAATGGGAATTAGAAGAACTAGGTACCTCATAGGTATGTACCTAGATACATAGGTATGGTTTAGGTACGCATCAGGGTTATAAAGTATAAAAAGGTACTTAAATTAGGTACCTAAAGTATAAATGCAGCCTAATTTTATGCGGGAGAAGATTCGGTAGCGGTATCTTGAGGTACCCGTGAACCCGAGGCCATCCGGTAGGTAAGGTTCTCCGCAACCCGGGTAAGGATAACGGATACGGCGGTATCAATATTAGTGGATGGAATAAGAGCTTTTCGTGTATTTAACGTGTTAATCACAGGACATAAAGGGGAGTTGGGTTCAGACGAAACACGAAGGGGAAAAAAAAAAAAAAAAAAAAAAAAAAAAAGAAGAGTGTTGGCAGTGTTGTATTCTCTGTAGTTGCATCGCATCAAGACCAGAAACTCGAATTCTCTATCACTACACACCATTAGCATCCACCATCTCATTTTCGCCCCTTAACTACCATCCAATATCTTCTTCCCCGCTGTCCCACGTGTTTTAACAGGTTCTAGCCAATATTTATTCTTTTATGGAAGTTATTATATTAAATCTAGGTAGTTAATTGGTAAGATCAACCGCCTGAATTAATGGTGCATATTAAAGCTAGGTACCTAAATAAATAGGCACCAGTTCTAGAAGAAGAACGTGGGGGGTCTCTTATACTTCCAAATCGCTTCAAAAAAGTCCAGCACATACCTACTTCCTATCTACCTAAAGTACCTAACCTAACCTATAATAAGAAAACACTACAGGTCGGGTTCCAATTGTATGTAAAACATACGTAGCACTTGACGCACTCGATTTATCGACTATGAATTCAACCGTAAGCCTTTCCTAAACAATTCAAACGTAACGTAACCCCACCCCAACTTTACCAAGATCGAGATTCCATGCCGTCAGGGTCTTTGCGCGGGATTTTCTTGTCAGAGGCGGGGATCCCCATGTAAATCTAGGGCGCTTTGCCAAGTTGACCTGTCACTAGCCCCCCTCCCCACACGTCGACAGAGACCCTGACTTATCCCAGAGACGCGGATACCCAATACGAATCGTTGCTATAAGACATCATCTAGTAGCTGTAAAATATTGGCCTAAGGATTAGGATAAATGGAGCCTTAAGAGTTTCTTGTCAACATTGTCTAACTGGGCATTTATAACAGACATATGCATTTCCCGGAAGTTGCTCTAAGCAATTACCTTTGTCGTGCATTGACCTGAGTTGGTGCTGCTTTTACCTGAGCGTAGTGTGAGCCGGCATCCGCCTCAGGCCAAGATCAGGAGCCTCGTTTTTGGCCATCCAGAGGGCTGCCACAGTAGCCCGAGTTTACAGAGGTTGTACAGTTAAATATTTTGAATATTTTGAACATCTTCAATACCCTCAATACCCTTACCCTCGATACCCTCACCTACCCAAAAGGAGGACTCGGCACCCAGAAGAAGGGCTCGAAACCCTAAACAATACTCGACACTCTTACCCTCACCCACAGCACGGCTCGGCACCTAGGAGAAGGGCTCAATACCGTCACCTACGACTCGGCAGCCAAAAAGAAGACTCGATACTTGGGGGAAAGATCTGGAATAAAAAGATACGTATTTTGAGAAAAAGATGAAAGTAGGGATTTAGAAAGATTCTATTTATTTTAGAGATATACATAACGAATGAAAATGTTTAAAAGTTATGCATAGACGCACTTCCTATCTCGTAAATAGGACCCTAAGACAATATCCCTCGTAAACTCGGGCATTAGCTAGGCTAGAAGACCACCTCCAACAACCCGTTGTCGGCCAGCTTGGAAATTGATACAAAGAACGTCCTTCTTTTTCATACCGCACATTTCTCATCATGAGGGGAAGAGTTTCCAAGTCACGGGCCTGCCGCTCTCATCTCAACCTACCCAAGGCATCGCAAGAGAAGCAGCTAGACGCTGTTGCGAGCAGGACTCAAGGTATGCATGTCGAACGACCGTGTTCCAGGAAGTTGGAACATATACTAATCCGTGGTGCAGATTCCACCGGGTCGCGGAGGTCGTTCTCCAGCCGGTGAGGTGTCACGCAAGACACGACGCCCTTGCAATCCAGCAAACGGTCACTAGGCCCAGCATCTACGAACGATACATCGCCTCCGAAGAGAGCGCGGTTGACACGGACGGACATACATAGAGGTAAATATCCTGCCATACGGACAAGAGGTGTGAAAAACATGTTAACGTGGTACAGGACCCTCGAGGCATAGTGCAAGACTTCAAGGACAGCAACCCACCAGCAGTGGAGATCCTATTTGCCTATCGAGAGCTTCTTTCAGACGGCAAATCGAAGCAGATGCTTGGATATCACTATCAAAGCGACAGGGATCGATGAGAAGGAATCCACAACCCCAAGCGGAGGACGAGTAATTAGAACAAACCGTCGAGGTAGGACTACACTTGTTGATGTATGCCAACTACTGACAGCTTGTGTAGATTGCAGCACCCAAAGCCTCCAAGATGACCATCCACCTCACTTCTCGAGGCCAGGAGCGAGGAACAGGGGCGAGTCTCTCCAGCCACACTACCGCGGAAACGACAGATTGACGACAATGACAACGAATATCAGCTAAAGCCGGCACGGTTGACGCGGGAGAAGTTGGCCAAACTGGATAAAATGGGGAAGAAGGGAGCCAGGAAGGCGTCTGCTCCCCCCCCCCCCCTGAATCCACGATTGAGTCGTCATCAACAAAGACCACTTCGACAATAGCATCTGGCTTTGCCATCCAGGCCTACAATAATGGTATCCTTGACCCTCTCAGCTCCAATCCTCCCACAAATATTGAGGATATCCGCACACGATACGCCCAGTCTCGCGGTACGGCTTCACCAATTAAGTCGATGTACGAGGACTATGTCGACACAGTTGGAAGAGCTCGTAATGAAGCGACTATGGTCTTCGAGGTTGGTTGGCAACTCCTGAAGAATTATCCAAGGGAGGGTTACAACCGAGTATTCAACCAGGCATTCACAGGTTTTCCGAAAGATGCTGGTTTCAACAGCGGCTTGTCTGCGCCGCAGCCCGACTTTATTGAAGGGCTTGAGATGCCAGAATACCGCCCATTTCCGGTCGACGAGCATGTCAAGGGGGCCGTTCTCTATAAAGGCGACCCTTGTTCCCTGACATTGCCACATATTGCCGGGGAATGGAAGGGACGTGAAAAGGATATGGAAGAAGCGAGGTTGCAGAGCGCCTACGATGAAGCTACCCTTGTCTACGCCCGGAACGAGGCGTTGAAGCTTGTCGGGGAACCTAATCTTCCTAGTTGTGCCGAGGCCACAACATTCACCACAGACGGCACTACTCTCAACTTGTTTGCGCACTATGCTACCCCATCAGAAGATGGCACACTTGAGTACCACCAGTATCCCATTAAGTCGACAAGCCTCATAGACTCTCACCAGGGGCTCAAAGACGGCCGAATAGGGCTTAGGAATGAACAGGACTATGCGAGGAAACAGTCGTATGCCGTGAGGGATCAGCTAAAGGAGCACTGGAAGCAGCGGAGCAGTGCCCTCCACCCAATTGTCGAAGAAGCTTCCGCGCCTATTGCTGATAGCACTTTCGGGGATACGAACGCAGACGATACTAAGTACGTTGTGGTTGAGCAACCCTATCAGCCCACCCCAGCGGCGTCAAGCTCCGTCAAGTCGTCAAAATCGGCCCCACCTGGGGATGACAATATATCCTGTAGCAGTAGCCACAAGCGGAAGGCCTCGTCAGCGCAAAGACCTTGTCGCGGATCATCCAAACCAAAGAGCAAGGCTCAAGAGTATTGGAAATGGGATGCGAAAAGGAGGCAACACTTTCATAGGCATTCCGATGGTAAAGTCACCTGGCTTGAGGATTCTGAAGATGAAAATTAAGGGCTCCTGTTTGAGGTTTCTCTTGCTTCATGTTGCAGCGTTTTTCTAGTTAATTTATTTCAAATATAGCTAAAATTAGCTGAACAAAATGGCAAGTAGACCGGGCAGGTGAATATTGGTCGTGATGGCGTTGAATGGGCTTGCCGCTATCCCGCAGTTTACGAGCCTCGTTACTTTGTATCAACTGATTGTCAGAGATACCCCTTGATGGTTGTCATACGTAGAGTGAATGGTAGAAGCAGCAGCGAAGCTGCTGTATAGTAGTCGTGTAGTAGTATGAATCTATTAACGCTTAACCTTTCTACTCTCTTTCGAGGGGCGCGCAGCGCCCCTTATATACCTAAGCAACCGATCTTGCCCTTTTGTACCATTTATCTTCTATAATCTCCCCATATGCTTCTTCAACATTCAACTGTTAATATTAATCCAAGATCCCGCGTAATATGGTGTGTAGAGAGTGCTCTAAGCTTTAGATATAATTTTTTGGCAAAGAGACTATACGATAGTACTATAGGATAGGTATATAGGTGATTGTAAGCACTCTAATGGCATTTGACATTACTCATCGATAGATAGCCTTCTCAAAGGAGTCTAGTATACGACATTATCAATAATAATGGGAACCCGAGCGTCCCGAGAGCTTTTGTTAGTGTCTACTAGAATCGGGATTCGAAGCATGGGGACGTAGAATGCCATACCCCGGCCGTCGTATCGACCACCTATGTATTGGGTAGTATATGTATGAGCCCTGGTTTACTTTACCTCCTATACCAACTCCGGAAGTTCTACCTGCCTATTAAGTTATTGCATCCCATGTGGAGAGGTAAGCTTAAACCCACGTCTTGGATGCCCCAGCCGAGGTGTCCTGTCTAGGTGGAGTTGGCTAAGCCCTGCCTCGGTCTTGGCTGAGGATTCCTACGAATAGTGCCTCTCAATATAAGCTCTTGTTCGCCAGACTACTAAGAGCATGTTTAGAAAACTATACCACTAAATCATTGATCGGTAATGCTTTAGACACAAAAAGGTCAACGATAGAATAAAGTAACAGGTTAATCTTCGAGCTACCGACAATGAGTGACATTTTATCAGCGCTTACTAGCCCTGGGTTAACCCGAGCCCTTTACGCCGGAAATGCAGTAAGTCTTAGATTCTCAACTAATAATTAATTCTATTCGATAACTAACATTTCTTTGTTTCAAGCTATGGTTTAGTAGGTAAGATTTATATCCTCATCATGTTTACTCCGAAATTCACCCTCGATGCCGAATAAGATCAAAAACTAATCATGACAAGTGCTGTCATTCACTTCGGCTTTCGCCAAGCCCACGTAATGCGAAGGATTTCGCACCGCAAAACTTTCAAAGATCCAGCAATCCGATCTTCACCATCTGGTGACAAGTGGCATCACGACATCATGGCATATCTAGGCGGGATGAACTCCCCGCTTGTTCTTCTCTCAATTATTCGACTGTATTCACTACTACGCCCTTCGCGATACCTTTCTTCAAAGACTAGCGCGGGTGATATTCCGCTTGATATTACAGCATTGACTGTCCTTGGTCTCGCAAACTTCTCTCAGGCGATTTTGAATTTCACGTTGAGCCGAAAGAATGATAGATGGATCATGGGCAAGGGACTTGATCGCATCACGGTTTTAGACGCAGTTTTTACAGTGTTGGACTGGAGTTTTGCATTGGCTAGGGTAGTTACTAACTGAATCAGTCTGGACTAGGTACGCACATTTATGAGTACGACAAGTAGTACAATGAAGATAATGATAACTCTGTATACTTGGAGAAACATTAAAAGATCATATATATATATGTTCACTCACGACTACTAGAGTAGAAATATGAAAACTCAGTGTTAGGACTACAATATACTGTAGACATGATTATCTCAAGCAACCTCGAAGGATTTCCGAAAATCATACGAAGTATGCATAATTAATACCATAGCCTAAAACTATTACCCAACTCCAAATTCATTAAACCATTTTCCTATTACATATTATCTCCCGCTAGCACCCCTCCCCTTCCCCCTTTTCTTTTTTTTTAAAAAAAAATTCTTGGGCGGACTTCAGATGCCTCGTTGAAAAGAGAATAAACTCCAGAACATCTCTCAATAGACCCATCCCCGGACAGCTATATAAGATGGTCAATTATAAAAAATTTTCTATGAAATGTTTGTTGATAGCAGACACTTTTATGGTCGTGCTAGGAGAAGGGGTCGATGGAGGAGTCGTGGGGCTAAAGTTGGATGAACTTTGATCGGGACGACTTAGGTCAGCGGTGGTCGGGATCATCGTAGCCTCGCCATATCCCGTCCCATCAGGGGTGGTGACGGTGCTCACACTGGTCACTTGTGACGAAGTTTCAGTAGTGAACGTCTCGCTACTAGTCGACGTAGATGAATCGCTATTCTGACCAGTAGAAGAACCAAAGAGCCCCGTCGGGCTTATCGTCGGCGAGATGCTCCATCCTATTATTGTGCTGCTCCCTACGGTATCGGGCGTAGATGAACTGGCTGGTGACCTTGAGGTAGTTTGGGGTACACTGGAAGATGATGATGGAGCCTCTGGGGGATCAGCAATTCCCGGTCGTGGCCAGATGATGGCCACGGAAGACATGGTTTGATCCCCCTTAGTTGACGTTGATGTCGTTTCGGAACTTGTTGAGGGGAGCAGGGAAGGCTGAACCGATAGGTTAGGGGTGACAGTTATACATGAACCCCCAGTCCCGCTAATCGAGGTCTCTATAATGGCCGAAGTTGCTGCTGTAGCGCCTGTATCCAGCGTTCCTCCAGTAGTATTAGAGATGAGTGCAGTGGAAGGTTCGATTGGGGGCAAGGTCTGAATGGAGGTATTTGCCCATAAGACTGAAGGAACGGTAACCGTACTTGTGGTTGTAATTATCATCGAACGAATAGTGACGGTAGTCAGCTCTGGTGGTTGTCCTGTATCGAGACCGGATGCACGTACCACCAGAGCAAACAGAAAGTTACGCATCGCGTATGTATTCATTGTCGCGGCGACAGCCTTTGTAGCTCCACGGGTCTACAAGGTACCTAGCTGATTAGACGGGTCTTCATAGATCTTGGGGGAAGATAAGCAAGCCGAAAAGATAATAATATACAGATATATGTCTGCAAGGAAGTTCAAAAGAACCCGTGCTTGATTATATACTCATTAGAGGCGATGTAGGTAGTCAGAAATTAACTTAGCAAAATCACATTCTTCCCGTACTTTCTGCCGTGTACACCCACTTGTACCTGAGTCAGAATCTATCATGGCATCATTGTTTGTCTGTTCTCCAAGTGAAGTCGTGTCCTTAGTACCCAAATAAATAATCGTAACCTAGTCACTTAGTAGTCACCATTACTTTACAGCAGGGCTACTTCGCCATCAGCCATACTCAGATCGAAAAGAGCAATCAATATTGTATCTACATCTAATAGCCGATGTATTATACACCAGAGCCTAGTCCTTTAAGGGGTTATGCTACACTCATGGTAAGGTGTATATAGGTATCTATATTATTCACTAAACTAATTCTAAATAATTCACCAATGGCTTTAGCAAGTTCAATGTAGCCTTAAATCACCCTAAAAGACATTTCAATAATATATTTGATAAAAAAGGAGATTATTCGGTGTGAATAGGATGTTATTCTTGGATACTGTATATAGTAAGTGAACTTAAGACATCATTGGCCTAAAGATTAAACGGATCTCACAGCTGCCCCTTGAAAAGCATCCTCTACAAGCAACCTCAGGGGTTATATGTGATGTGGCGCTACAGCATTGTGGCGTTCGTTGTGGCTGAATAAGGACACATTAGGCTTCATACCTAAGATTTGGAAGCTTGACTAAAGAATCCTTCAAGTACACTCTTTCAGCAATGCGATCGATTATGGGTAAGGTCTTCGTTATTATTGATTGCTAATTACATATTTATATTTCTCTATTATTTCCGATCCAAGCGTTAGTGTAAAAGTAATTACACTAACTGTACATAGGAACAAAACCTCCTTTTGGAGAAATAATCCTGCCTTTTTCAGACTTTAGATCGATCAAATCTTGGGGACGTGTCGTCATACTTGGCCTACCCCGGTTGGTCCACTCATTAGGAGCCAATCATTTGCGCTGAATATTCCTGTTCCTGGCTTAAAATGGCAATGAGCAACTACACGCCTACCGACTTCTATCAGACAAGCTGCCAAGTTTTCCTACTTGAATCCGCCGCATCGAGCCCATCTTACGGCTGATGCAATCATGCCATATAATCTTCATCTTCATGATGTAGTGAGCTAAGCGCCCATGTCACCCCGTTACATCCACAAGTCTTAAACGTTACCCGGACCTATTATACTATATGCCGATGTTGATGTATCCGCAAATACCATGATACTTCCATCGTCATTGGTCCCTGGATTAATCCTGTGCATTTTAGCTGCCCCCCCGGAAGCCTCAAAAGGGTTGCTCTGTGATCTCATATCCATATATGAAGATACCATTCCCCCTCCCGTGGTCATCACCATGCATGAAGTGGCGATATTCTTTTATGCGGTGAATTTGAGAAGAGAACCATTTACGTGACAGTAAAATGCTATTTCACCATGACATTTACCAAAATCCTCAATAGCAATCCTGACCTCGGAAGTCGACAACACGAGACTCGGCGCCCAAGATTTAATTCATTAGTCACATCAGATCGTCTAAGAGAAGGCTCAAGACTACCAACATTTTCGATGGGGAACAGTATCAGGAAAGGACGACGATCAATATTTAAGGAAGTAGGACTGACCGCGGAGGAGCGAGAAAGTCAACAAAATATAGCCTCCGAAACACACGAAGAAAGTGACACCGATGAAAGAATTGGGCCATCCTCAGAATTAGCGTCACCGGTGGAAACGAGATCTTCTATTGGGCAAGGTTCGCTGAGGGGGAAGTCTAAGTGGTTGTCTAAACTGGCACCGTCGAGGCGCCCAAGGATGAAAACTACTTCTAGTGCGCCACCTCCCATGATCTCAGGGCTTCATAGGCTCTCCATGATCGCTCTACTTATCGCAATTGTTCTTCCTACCATTAGTTATAATAACGGCCGTAAAAAGGTTGAGGTCAGCGGCGCAGACGCAGGCGTAATTAGACCAAATCCGAGCGTGATTCTCAAAACCAGAGAGGATAGTCCTACAGACGTTTGTACAAGGTGGTCCGGACAAAGTAAGTGTCTATCGGATAATTTTGGGTTCTTCATATAATAGACACTAACCTCGTTAAGGCGCTTTGATTAATGGGACGGTATATATCTACGGCGGTCGGTCAAAGAATAATGGAGATCAGGAAACGAACACATGGAGTAGGCAAAGCATTGATGTGTTGGCAAACTTTCTGCTAACTGGGTCCTAGACAACGACTTTATAGCCCTTGATCTCACTGAATCATGGGATATCAGCTCACCAGCCCTGTCAGGTCTCCCTATACCATCAGGTCCGCCAGCGGTATCTCTTGGTTATCTCTGGAACGATTTAGACCGTCTATATCTCTATGGCGGCGAATTTTCCGATAACCCTGTGGTGCAACCATCGCCAATCTCCACATGGATGTATGATGTAGCTTCATCAACATGGACAGAACTCCAAGATCCTATGACATCAGCTGGCAACTTTTCAGATCCCGAAGGCACTCCCGTACAACGGGCGGCGGAAGGCGCAGGAATCTCCGTCCCCGAATTAGGCGTCAGTTGGTATTTCGGCGGCCACCTAGATTGGGCTACTACACCAGGATGGACGAACCAGGTTGACCGTGTCTATCTGAAGAGCCTACTTGAGTTCACACACCCAGGGTATGCAAACTCTGGGGTCGACTCGCTCCATTCTTCTGGCGCCCCCCCAGGCGGTGCTTACAGAAACATCACATGGGGCGGCATTCAGAATCAGAATGGCTTCACCGAGCGAGCTGACGGTGTTCTCGTTTACGTTCCGGGCTGGGCTCCGAGAGGTATTTTACTGGGCCTTGGCGGAGGGGTGGTCGGAGAACACGAAACCACCGACGCATTCTCTTCTATGAGTACTATTGATGTTTATGACATAAAAACTAGTACCTGGTATCACCAAGAGACGTCTGGTGAAGCACCTCAAGTACGAGTAAATCCATGCGCAGTTATTTTCTCGGCCCCCGATGCAAGCTCGTTTAATATCTATATGTACGGCGGACAGAACCTGCTCCCGTATGGAAATCAAACGCAATACACGGACATATGGATTTTAACCGTGCCCTCATTTACTTGGATTAAAGTCGATACTTCGACTAGCAAGGAGCCACCAGCCCGAGCCGGTCATCAATGTGCTGCCCGAGATGGTCAGATGATCGTGATTGGTGGCTATGTCGGCACTGAGATTGCTTGTGACAACCCTGGTATCTACAACTTTGACGCTTCAAATTTAGGATGGAAAGATTCTTTCGATACAGCAGACCACCCGGCAGACGATCACCCAGAGAACAGCATATTGGCTGGTAGTTACGGTTATAAAGTGCCCGATATAGTTCAGTCGGTAGTAGGTGGTTCATCTGATGGTGGCGCAACGGCAACGCAACCAGCGTCTGGCCCAGCTACAGACGGACCTTTCAAAACTGGTACACCGCCTGTGTTTACCATCACGGCACCGGGCAGCGTCGCAACCGTGACAAATAGCGACTCAGGGTCTAGCGACACATCTTCATCACCCACCGGTGCGAATGGTGGCTTGGTCGCCGCAGGCGTAATAGCAGGCCTAGCAGGTCTGGCAGCACTATACCTCGGGTTCTGCACATGGCTATACCGTCGCCAGGTGGCCGCGTATAAGCAGCATATGGCTATTGTAAACCGAGATTCTGGTTCCATAGATGGAGATAAGGGCTTCGGAGCGACCGTCGCCGGGATGCGCGAGAAGCTACGCAGGAGCCGCCGCGGATCCTCCGATGGCCCTGGCGAACAGTTCGGATGGGTGGGCCGCCAGAGTGATCAGAAGCAGAGGGCCGGCGACGATCCGAGTTCTGGTGCATCCGGATCGGGCTCGGGCTATGGTTGGTCGCGTCCTAGCGATGATAGCCCCTGGGCGTATGATAACTACATCAGCGGGGCGGCGGGCGCAGGAGGCATCGGGCGATCTAAGAGTGGCGCGAGTCGCAGCACAGCTGGGTCGGCAGACGCGCTATTAGATGGACGGGTACGTAGTATTCAATGTTTCTCTTCCTCCCTTTCATTTGTTTACGTCTTCGGAGTTTCCTAATCGCGTTGATCTAGGGAGCTTCGGGCTCCTTGCATCAAGAATTAATTGCTAACTTTATTATTATAGCAACCGAATTTCATTAGTGTTGTATTGGCCCCCAGACGTGCCTTACGCGTTGTTAATGGGATAGAAGATCAATAGTGATGCCTGCCTTCTCTCATGCTTCTTTTTTTTTTGTAGTTGACTCTAAAACATAACATCTTGGCAAAAAGCTCTGGTGAAAGATCTTAATAAGATGGACGAACGATATACGAGGAATGATCTGCATACGAGTCCTGTCCAGTTGGATTTTTGGGTTTTTTGTTTCGTTGAATGGCCGTACGATACCCAGATTTGTGACGAGGCTTAGAAACATGGTAACGACATGTAACGTATTCGTGCGAATTGATTGGAATACGACCGGCGAGTATAGGAGGAAACACAAGAGGGGGCATCAAAATATACAATAGTAATTTTATTGTTAAGAAGTGCCTATGCTCCTGATAGCCCTTAAACGCTGCATTGCGAACTTCGAATCCCATCCCATTGGATAAAGCTCAGTATGCTGCCCAATTCCCTCGAAACGCCGACCCAACGTAGATTTCCTTTCCCCTAATATAATTTTGAACACTATGGTCATTCCCATCCTCGCGTTATGGTTCTGCGTTCCTTACATCATGCGATAAATGGGTAATTCGGATGCGATCAAGTCCTTTCCAGGTGCACTAAAAATGCTAAAGTTCAAGTCGTCTCCTATTCTTAGCAAGAAACGCTCAACCCAGGAGACCTCGTCTGTATCTCCGACTTCTTTCAACCGATCGGCTGTATCCAGGGCTAAGCAAACAAGCCGCCTGCGGGTATATGGATGAAGATTTGCGGAATCAAAGCTGTTATGTAAAAACTGAACAGCGGCAGAATGGTTGGGCACGAGCGGGTGATGGAGCTCCAGATGCGCCATATCCATCGGCATCTTCCATGGGCGCCCTATGTCGACGAACGATTCGAACAGAGATGCTGAGGGTTTTGGCCGTTCCGAGGCGCACACCGTAGAAATCCAAGACAATCCAGCCCACGCCTTCCGGAAACTTTTGAGCGCTACTTCGTTCTGTCTAGGCAGTATATCGTTCGCACGTATTATAGCCTCGTACGAGGGGTCAAGGGTAGTCTTCACCCCAGAGTACGTATAACTCGTCTGGTTCACAATAGCGAACAATAGGGCCGACAGGGTTGATATGTGAAGCTTTTTAGTATCATAGGTCTTGTCGCATATAGATAAGCGCGCTACCCAGGTCCAAGCTACTTCCTCAAGGCCTTCAGCATACATAAACGGTATAAGGGCCGCAAATAAGGCCGAGTTAGAGCTGAACTGTAGGTCATTTTCTAGACCAGAGGCCCGAAGCCATTGAACCACCCTTAGCCCAGCCCCGGAGGCGGCCATACCCCGCCGAATATCGTCGGCCGATCCGTTTCCAATCTGTGATCGTACCTTGGCTAGAAAGCCGACAGCACGTTGCGGGGTCATAAGGCCCCGCGACACGGCAGAATCGAAGACATGGAGAGGGTCCTGAGATGCTGAAGGCAGCTTCTTCTTGCCCTGATGGGAAAAGAGGGGGTTGGAAAGAATGGCGCGTAAATGTTGGTCTGTCGGATGTTGTTGACCTGGGGTATCTAGCGAAGAAGACGAAGAGGGGAGAGATGTCGAAAGGATAGGCTTTTTAATTTGAGGTGCAGAAGTCTGTGATGTTATATCATCGTGATGCTCCCACGGATGTTCTCTATCGAGGTTCTTTCGGAAAGACGTCGTGATGGAATCAAGAAGCTGTTGGGATTCGCGGTGGGTCAATGGTAACGGTTGGTGTATCTTGGGGAGGAATTTCTTGAGCGAGTTGAGCGAAGTAGTTCGGACCACCATCTTGAGCTTTTGATGATGGTGACGATGGATAGGATAACAGGTTTAATGTTATGGGAATATCCAGACTTCAATCATAATTCTCAAGTTTTTGAATATATACCTGATAGGGTCGGGTTAAGATACGATGTTTCAAAAACGTCAATTCTTACGTCGTCGAGTCGACATCGTCACTTAAGAGGTTGCGATAGATATAGATGGATTGATGGTTCGATAAGCAGATAATGATTGGACGATTAGTTCTAGCTCTCTCCTCTCTCCCCCCCCCCCCGGTGCTTACAATGCTTACATAATTCAGCTCAGGTCGGGTACAGTCTACTACTACATATGTACCAAGGTACCTACATGTTCCAACCCGGGTTTTGGATCTACATATTGAATCCTTTGCCAGATTTCGCGACAGATCTCAGTTATGGGTCTTTTGAACTGCATGTATCTACTTAGGTACCTTACTTGGGTTGGGTACATATTGGACAATACAAAAGGATTTGAAAATACCTACCTCTATGTATTAAAGATTGGCTAACTAGCCCAGTTTCTTTTCAAGATTTTAATTCGATGTCTCACATCCTTATAATTCATTACATTATCAGGTATGTGTTGTCAGTCGAATAAGAGATATAATGAAGCACTAGATATCGAATTCCCACAAACTTATCATAATAATACGGTAACATGGGGCGATAGTCTCGCCATGCCAGATAACGCAACCGGCGATGTAGTCGGAAGAAGTCAAATGATGAACCAAATATGCGACTGAGTCAGGTAATGGTCACACAGCACTGAACCGCGCGGCACAAACAACGCCATGGCTTAAAATATGTACCTATAATACCTACTCCGGATAAAGTCATCGGGCAGTTCATCGTTAAATTAAATAAGAAGTTAAAGGCCATGACGGCATTAAGCGTGTCCCCTCAACCTCCAGCCTTACGATAAGTAAAGTAAAATATATGTACCTTCCATGGAGGTAGGTATAATTTATCTGCAGGACAGACACTTCCTAGATCCGGTATTGTATCTGTTAGATAGGTAGCTAGGATTTCTTAAATCAAGGGTTGGTATGAACACGGACAGATTTTAAAGGGTTGGCACGTGAGTTCGACCATTGAAATTCCAGGATCTCGTCATGAGAAGAAAAAAAGAAAGCCCCTTCTATTATTATACCTTTGTTCGTTTAATAGGAAAAATAAGTACCTAAATACGTATCTGAAAAATATTATGCCTACCTTCTGTTCCTGTTTTAGGTAAATACTTATCTATACGTTAACTTTATGAAGGTATCTACATATAATAAAATATAATAAAATGCGTGTAGTATAGCAGATCTAAAGTGCGTAAAACTAGCCAAGTGCACATTCATTCCCTGTCAATCGAATAATAGCCGATTTCGTAGAGGTATGCATATGTATACTATGTGCGTATGAAAGCATGCAGATTGATCTTACTGTGTACATACCTACATGCAATAGATACCGGGCAGGCATTTAGTTACCTCAGCGACTGTCTCCTAGGTTAGGTAGCCTTGAAAGTCACAAGGTTCAGCTTCCCCATACTGTAGGTACTGACTCGCACGTGCTATCACTTGAAGGTTCCACCTGTATGGTTATCCAATCATTAAAAAGAAAAAAAAGAGTTCAGTGTTTGTGGGGCATAATCCCTAGGTACCCAAGTCAGGTAGGTCCACTAGGTCAGGCGGAATATAGGTACATCTAGGGAAGGCTACCTGCACCAATCCGGCCTGAGGTCATGTTTTTCAAAGTATCACAGTACATTTAAATGTATCTAACATACCTAACATGCCTAAAAGCAAACCAAAGTGGTACAAGTGGTAACCTACATGAGATAGGCCAGGACTATTAGATAATCCAACAGCCGAAAAAGCCTTCAGATCCAGTCCACTTCCCTTTTTCGTTGCAAGCTCTGGATTGCCTTCTCACACCACGCACGTACTACAACACACACAAAGCAAATATCTACCTTAAACATCCCTCTCTCGCATTGAAGCTTCTCCTACTTCAACCCCGATTGCCATTGTCTAAAGACAATTGGCCAATTCGCCTGCCGTCGCGTTATTGACACGTCGCACATTTTTTGTCAGCCTCACCTTCACCTGCGTCGAATCGCATACAGTGCCACGCGCCCCCAACTTCTTACCTCTTCCAACATCCACCCACCCAAATCAATTCTGTCATTCAACCTACAACTTATTTCTCCACCATTTCACATTTCAGCAACGCCCACCACACTGGTGTTATCGCCGATTTGACTGCTATCGTTGAAACCCCCTTCTAAGAAGGGAATTATTTACACCACATATCATATTGTCTAACCTAAGTCTTAAAGAGATGGCTGAGGTTCAGGCTCGATCACAGGCACCATCCTCTCGTGGCCGAGGTGGTGGCCGCGGTGGCAGAGGAGGCTTCGCCAGCCGTACTTCTACGAACAGACGGACTAATGGTGATAAGTTGACGAATGCAGATGCGACCGCTTTCGATGACGACGGTGATGTTAGCCAACTCAGGAAGCAGTATGGTTCAAAGCTCGACACTATTAAAGAGCTCTTCCCGAACTGGTCGGATGCCGATATTCTCTATGCACTAAAAGAAACAGACGGTGATGTTGAAGTCGCCGCTACACGAATTGCTGAAGGTGCGCTCCTACCCTCATTATTCTTCGCCACCCTCGCTCTTTTACCGCTTCGCCTTGCTAATATAATCATCACTTATAGGTACCATCTCCCAGTGGGACGAAGTATCAAAGCAGAAGAAGACCACTACCCGTCCCAAGCCGAAGGATGCTTCCACTTCAGCTGGCCTCGCCGAATCGACCGGTAACAGCAGACCAGTTCGTGGCGGTCGCTCAGATGGTGTACGAGGTGGTCGTGGCCGTGGTAATGAGCGAGGTCGAGGAAGCGGTAGAGGCCGGGCAACTTCTCATGCTACTACGAATGGTCAACGGTTGAAGGAAAACCAACAACTATCCGTTCCGACTGAAGAATCCTCTGGGTGGGGAACTGCCAATACCACTACTGAAGAAGCTGCTACCAATGATCAAGGCACCCCAGCCTGGGGAATAACTGATTCTACTACCGAAGCTACTGTTACTCCCACGCCTGCCACGCCTGCCACCGCTACTACTACTGATTCGGCTCCTGCTAAACCCAGTGTTATCCCGCAAGGTACACAGAAGACCTGGGCTAGCATGTTACGCCAGTCGACCGCCCCGAAACCAGCACCGAAGCCGAAGGAAGCCCCTGCGCCCAAGCCCGCCGAAGTGTTGGAACCTCTTCCCCCCGCCGAACCTACCGCCGCTGCCGCCGCCCCCGCCGCCCCCGAGCCTGAATCGCCGCCTGCGCCTGAGGAAACCCCGAAAGAGGCCGCCGAACAGCCTGCCCCCGCAGAGACACCTAAGGTTGTCGAGCCTGAAGTTACACTACCCCCTCCTGAAGACGATTTGACCCGAGTCAACCTCGAGCAGCTACCCGACGAATCTCAACCCCCAAATACCGCTACAGCTGCTAGCACAGCCGCAGATTCCTGGGATCCCAGACAACCGCAGCATAGTGCTACGGCGACTCCGCTCTCGGCTTCCCAGGCGCAGCACCAAGCTACACGCCCCGCTGCTAGTGGGTTTGCGACAACCGCGATTAAGGCAACCGAACGTCCTGCCCCTCGCATGCCTAGTTATCAAAAGCGTCTTCTTGAGCAGGAAGAAGCGGTCCGAATGCCTGGGAATCGCGAGGTCGATCGTGCCGCCGTACAATTCGGTGCTTTCAGCCTAAACGGAATTGAAGATGATATCGATGGTGACCGTGAAGATCCTGAAACTAGAACTCAACCGCCACCTGAATCTCCGATCGCCGTTCCCCGTGCCTCATTGCCTCCGGTGTCTCAACCTGCAGCAGTACCCGACGCATTTGCGGCTACTCAGAAGCCTGCTACATCTTTACCCTCAGCACCCAGCGTAACTGGTAGAGCACCCTTTCACCGTTCTCAGAAGAAGAAGCTCACTAACCGTCGTCTAGCGACACCCGTGGCCCCACCGACCGGCCCCGCTGCTATTACAACTCAGCGTATGTCGCAGTATCCCCAAGTCAGTCACCCTACTAATATTCTTACAGCGCCGCAAGCGCCCTCGAGCAACCAGCAATTTGGACGCTATAGTCAAGCCAGTGCGCAAGAACCGGCCGGCTTCCCGCAGAAATCATTCGATACCTTCGGTCAGCAGACTGCTACCAGCTCGGCTGGTCTCGATAACTTTCCAACTCCTACAACTCAGGCCTCAGGACCGCAAACTGGCGGCGCATTTAGCTCCACACCGGGTGATTACCCGCCTTATTCAAATGACCCGCAGCTTCGTAGTTCATACAATAGTTATTACCAGCAGCAGCAGCAGCAATATGGGCAACAGCATACTGGCCAAAGCCATCACGAGACTTCGAACGCTTCAAACCGTGGATTTAGTAGCTACAACGCTGGTCAGAATGATAATCTAAGTCAGTACCCGCAGAGCGGCGCTCAACAGACTAGATATGGAGCTGCTGCTTCTGCCGAGTCTCACAACAGCGGCCACAATACACCAAATCCTATCGGTCAAGGCGGCCAACAGGCTTCGAGCCAAGCTACCCAGCCTCAGTCCAACCTTCATCAGCAGCCGCATGCTAATCAATATCCCTATTCACACCCGTACTACTCGAGTCCGTACTACGCCCAGTACATGAGCCAGTATGGCGGTGCTTATGGACAGGGAGCATACGGCAGCCCATACGGTAAAGGGGGGCTTTATGGACAACCCCATCAGTACGGAATGTCCCCACAGGGTCCTTATGAACATGCCTCTTCTCCCGCAACAAGCGGCTTTGGTCAGTCCTCTCTCGGTGGCCGTGATAGCGCAATAGCTTCCGGCATCGATAACTATGGCCGCGCAGGCTCCACTCAGACGGGCGCGCCAGGCGGTCTTGGTGGCAGCGGATTCGGCGGGATGCACGACACGTTCGGACGTGGTTCTGCTTACCCCTCTCAGGCCGGGCAGTCTTTCAACGCTCCGAATGCACCTGCTTCAAGTACGGGGCCTGTAAACGACGACTTGAAACCGTATGGCGACTCGAAGGCTGCTGGTGGACCTAGCCCTTCCCTCAGCGCCGCCGCAAGACCGGGTTCTGCTACAAACACTGCCGCAGCATCCGGCCTTCCACCTCCCCAGTCAGCCCAGCAAGGTATGGGCGGATATGGAGGGTACCCTAGTCATCTGAGCCACGGTCTACACGGCAACCAGTCTGCAGGGAGCGCCTATGGCCTCGGGGGCACTGCTGGCCAAGGGCACGGCAATGGTCCCTACGGGGGTTACGGAGGCAACCAAGGTTTCGGGAATTACTACGGCGGCCGGCAACAGCAAGGCTGGGGTGGTAACTACCACTAATCATCACGCAAGCGGCCGAATCGCAGACATCCCCGGACCTAATTAAGAGGCTTCGGGTTAGGTCCGACAGTACTACTAGATCTAAAGTACTACTAGCATTGGTAACAACGGTAACCATGCCACCTTTTCTTTTTCCGCAAAGTTGATCATGAGACTTTCTCTACTCTAATGAGCTCTTGGGGGTATCGCTTACTCCCTCGTTTTGATTGGCGGGGGCATGGAACGGACCAGAAAAGTTCTTGCTGAGAGGTACGGGGGTCTGAGATTTGCATGTACGATTGTTTTTCCTTACACAGGGTTACATCTCCGGCATCGAGGCTACGGTGCCTACACTAGGATTAGGATGATACCGATTACCAAAACTTTTCATACTCGGTTGAGCAACCCACATATTGTACACTTTGTTGATACTCGTGATGGACAGTTTAATGTTGATGAGGATCGTGACATGTGTATCAAGAAGTATTATCACGTAAAGGATTGACTATTCCGCACGCGTGTAATTATAAGCTACCTTCTAGTTAGGTTCATTGATATCCTAACAAGACTCTTCAATGATAAAAGTAATTAGTACAGTTCCTCTTGGATGCTTTTCCCATTCACATAGTCTATAATACGTATGCATACGATCCGCAACCCTTCGTTCCCTACGACACTAACAATATATGGTACATCACGCAATACCATTATAAGCCAATAAATTCGGGCTGCCGTTCCCGGCATCAATAACGACATCCGCGATAGCTAACTCCTTGATGCGGGCAACCGTCTTGGCAGGCGAATCCAGACCATCTTCGAGTGCCTTGAGGTACAACGCAAGGCCTGCGACATGCGGCGACGCCATAGAAGTACCAGATTCGAGGGTCTCAAGGCCTTCCACGTTCCACAGCGAGGGCACATCGACTCCGGGAGCGAATATGTCGACGTCACGTCCAAAATTGCTCCATGAAGGTCGGGTCCGATCCCAACCTACGGCGCCTACCGTCAAGGCGGACTCGGCTGAGGCGGGAGAACGTGTCGAGGCATCGGCATTATCATTGCCTGCGCTAACTACGGAGAGTATGCCTAGTAGAGAGGCAGCATTGACGGCGTTGTTGAGGGCTGACGAGGTCGTAAACGCTAAGAGGTTGTTAGATGGAAGGTAGAGTGGAGGATGAGATTGTAAGTTACATACCTAGACTCATGTTGATGACGGACTTGCCAGCTCGTCCCGGCGTTGAGGTAATATTGTTCACGGCCCAATTTATCCCGTCGATAACGTGGGAGATGGTCGAGTAACCCTACGATTTCACTCAGTATGAGAATATAATAGCTAATATAGCGAAGCACAGATTTAACTTACCGGCCCTCTAACAACCTTGACGTCTACAATAGTCGCATTCTTTGCCACGCCAAAAGTTTTTGATGCAACGGTTCCTGCGACATGGGTTCCGTGGCCGAAGTGGTCGTCGAAGGACTCTGTGCCTGTCCATGTGTTATAACCCTTGATGGCGCGGCCCCCGAACTCGCTGTTATTGGTTAGGACTCCAGAGTCTAGCACGTAGGCATACGTTCCAGTCCCTGCGCAGTCACTATAAGAATACGTGTGACCCCGCGAGTTGTCGTTAGCAAGTTGCGATCGCGAAGATAAGCTTGCAATACCCCACGGCGCATTAGTCTGCTGTACTACGGACGTCAGACGCGCGACTCTATCGGGTTCAACGGCCAGGACCTATGAGCGTTAGCACTTGCGCATTACAATAGAGTTGGGAACCGAGCGCTACATTTTCATTGACCATGATCTGCGCGATAGTCTTCTCGTCGAATTCGCCCGCATATCCGTTGAAGCCCTTGAACCCATATGTCTTCTCGGGACCATTAGTACTGCAAGGAGAGAGGCTCCGTTTGCGCACATTGAGCACCCAATCCAAGTGGGCCCCAATATCTATATCAGGCTTGAGGCTCACGATGTATCTGCCGGGCACTTGGTCGCCATCCTGCAGACTCAAAATGTCAACTTTCTTAGCAAGCGCTGGAACAGCGAGTCCGAAAATGGCCAAAGCCAGTCTTGCTAAGCGCGGCATCTTGTCTTGTCAGATAGATTACTTAGAACCCAGTGATGAAAAGCATATTAGTAAATTAGGCCATGCGCCGGAGCTTTATTCTTTTTCCTTTTTTCTCGGCAGGTCACCCCTATCCACCAAAATCAGGGGAAGAAAGCAATGTCCTCGTATTCAAACCTTCTGCTTCCCCGGGCATCATCCGATTCGGGTAAGGTGTGTGGAAATTACCGTCCCATTACCAAACTATGGCTGGGCCTGAGTGGGTCGAACCCGGGTATCGTTTACTTGGCATATTAGATAACTTTGACATTTGCCTATTCTACAGAGCATTAGCTTCAGCGCCAAGAGGGTTTTCTTCCGAAGACATACGCAGGTTAAGAAAAAGATGAAAAGAGTAAGGCGAGAAAAGCAAATAACTAACTAAAGAAAGAAAGAGGAAAACTTATTACATAATGCCTATTGCTTGTCTCCAAAGTGTAAGTGATCATAACTTCAAGCTCAGAACTCGTAGCTAGACCTACATAACTTTATTCTATATTTAGCTTATCATCCATCCCTCTATCATTCTCATCTCGTGAGGTCACAAATAATCTATTAAAGGAAGATAACCCATATTAGTCGTTAACAGAAACCTAAAGCTCATAACTAATGTTGTTACGAGACATTACCTCAGAAACTGTCCGTACAACGCTAAATATAACGTAACCATAAACATTGTGGATAGATATTACTTTTGTAAATAACTTAGAATATATTATTACATATGCTGGCAGAGATTCAATACGTGCTCCTTAATGCAAAGACGTGTCTTATTCAAGCAAATGGGCCAATAACTACCTCTTTATATATATTGACTCTGTAAAGTCCATTTCTAGCTGTGCTAATTCATTAAGTCATATATCATGAAAAATAGTAAGTGTAGTAGACGAGACTAAGTAAAAATGTGGTGGTAAGAACAATAGAATTTAAGATCAACACAAGAAATATATATGAGGAATAATTGAGTTGTATTTGGTTGTGTTGGAGACTTTTTACTCCGGCTGGTATTCATCCTCTACAAGTGAAATATATTGAGCAGATATAACGACGTTATTTACAGTAGTAATATAAATATTAATGAGCATTATTTCTCTTTGTAGTTTGAGGTGATGGTATTTCCAATTCCGATCCTGAAATTCTGCTTGGGTAGAATCAAAAATTATGATTACCTCGTAACCACCAAAGTGGACAGTTAACAAAGGAACTCTATCCAAAAAAAAAAAAGAAAAAGAAAAAAGAAAGGAGTTAAACTAAATAGTATCCTTAGGCATATGAATAGGTGAAATAATTGCTTCTTAGTCAGCTGGATATCCTAGCTGGAAAATATGGCGGCTGTCACTGTAGCAAACTACGTAGATATCACGGACCATGCCGTCTTAAAAGAATGCCTACAGAAAAAAAAAAAAAAGAATAAATGCAGTGACTTGAACCGTGGACCTTGAGGTAACTGCCAAAAAAGCTGGGGAGGCGTGACTTCTTAACTCTCCTTACGAAAAGCCCCTTTGGGTTTTTCTAACCATCAAGTCATGGGGTGGCACCAGCTTCTCAGGCCGCAGCCTCCACTGGGACGTTCCATTCTGGGTGACGGTTTGCTGTTTTATTATGACTTATAAGGAATACTTTCTCAGGTACTTTTTTTTCTAGGTTGCCCTGCAACCTTCTGTTCTTATTTATTTATTTATTACCATCACAACCCTCATGCACAACCCGGCAACCCAGTGTTTGCACCAATGTAACAGGTATATATGTACACCATCTAACATGTATTTATTTCTGTACTCTAGGTATCTATGATGCAATGCAATACGGTATCTAAAGCATCTATCTAATAGCCCATACTCCTTATACCACCGAATATTTTGGCCGCCCAGTAGTCAACCATCCAGCAATATTTTCTTTCGTCGCTCTATTGTAATTTGCGATAGTGTCACCCGCACACCAAGCAACATGCGGCGTAGTAACGATATTAAGACCAGCTACATCAGGTCCCACCAAAGGGCTGCTATCAGGATTCGCAGGTTCCTGCTCATAGACATCTGTACTATAACCCGCGATTTTTCTCGACTTCAGGGCTGCCACGAGTGCCTTCTCATCCACGATACCCCCTCGAGAAACGTTAACTATAACCGCATAGGGCTTCATAGCATCCAGTTCGGCGTTAGAGATCAGATTCATCGTCTCCGGAGACCGCGGCAGACATAACACAATAACCGAGCTCTCGCGGATCAGCGTATCAAATGGAGTACGGCCTTCCGCCGCCGTCGAATCACCTTTGCGTCCGGATATTAGGACCTTCATACCTAAGCCTTTAGCAGTAGACTCGATCAACTTTCCTACGGCACCATAACCGATGATCCCAAGGGTTTCGTCCCGGCAGGTCCTTGGCGCCCTGCCATCTGGACCGTTGAGGGTATTATGCAACATCTCCTTTCTCCATTCGCCTGACTGGACCATCGTGTGTAAAAGCGCTACTGATCTCCGCGTGGCAAAGTACAGCGCAACGGCATGGTCGACGACAGAAACAGTGTTGCAATGCGGCGTGTTGCCCACGACGATCCCTCGGGCCCTGCATGCTGCTAGATCCACGCAGTCGGTCCCAGATGCTACTACGGCTACCATTTTCAGGCGAGGGGTCATCTCGGGCCGCAGCATGTCGGCCTTGATCTGAGCAATAGTTAGGATAATTACGTCGGCATCTTTTACCCTCTCGGCTATCTCCTCAGGGCGGGTCCTTCCGTACTCCCTGAGCTCGTATGTATGTGGCGCAGGGAGGTCCAGCGGCGGAACTGGAACAATTGAAGCTTCCAGAGCGACAACGATGTGATGGGTATTTGTATTCTGCGCCATGTTACTCTGCAGGTTTTGCCGATTGCTACTTGGTAGGGTTGTATTTATGACTGCTGGATTGTCTTTTCGGAGATTAGAAAACTTGGTAGGGTTGGAAAATATAAATCGTCTCTGAGAAGTCGTGGGTCCGGACCGTAAAATACTTTCCGGAACCGGAGACCGGCGGCTTGTAGTCGGGAGGGCGTATCTGACTGATATTCTCGCTGCGTAACATCTTCCCACTGTCGTCATCATCCCGGTGGATTTGCGTCTTGCTGATTCGCTTATACTTGACTAGAACGGCAAATGGTATGTATATAAAAGGGCGCGAATTGGTGAGCTCAGATGATGAAGCGCAATGATGAGAAGCATCTATCTTTATATACACCTTACGAATGACTAGCGTCCCCGCAGTTGTTATTTTTGTTAGTTGTATTCGTTTACCTACGCGGTATCGTCAAGGACTTCAGATTGGGTGGGCCCCTTTACCTTTGGACAATTAATATTTAATCATCAGCTTAGAGTTGTAAAGGCACTATTCTTCTAATAGTTACCTAGGTAGGTACCTATATAGTTTATACTTATGATTAGGTACCTAGTTCTCTATTCGCACTACTAATACGGGTAAATAAATAATATATTTAGAGCACGAGGAGGCTAGCAAGAGCCGAAATGGTCTAAGAGAGAAATTATGGGCCGAAATAATTGCATTCGTAGCATGATTTGAAACTATCTTGATTTATCGATCCCTTTCACCCCCAAATCATAATCCGAGCAATAGACATAAATATGCCATACTGCGATACTATCAGGCCTTTGGATTCGACTCGAGTTCATCTTTATTGATATTTTAATGCTTCCTAAAGTTTTTCGTGATGCTCATAGTTTGCCTTCGTTAAGTACATCCTAACCTATCCTAAGGTAGCAGTGGATATATTCCCCGCTATCTTAAGTCCTTCATGGCTTAATGCGAGTCTCTAGCAAGTTAAATTCGCCCAGTGCCTTAAACTCGGGAAGAGCTTCCAATCGCTGCGCCCACGCCACGACGTTTGGAATCTCCTTGCGTATCTCGGCGTCGATAACGACCTTGGTGCCGAAGAATACACAGCCTGCTACCATGATATCGGCAAGAGTGACACTATCACCGACAAGGTACTTCTGGCCGCCTTGCAGAGCGGCATCGACACGCTTTAGAGCGCGCTCGGCAGCCGCTATACATTTGTTGTAGCGATCATCGTCCAGAGTGTACCCCTTGTAAAACACAATAGCTGTAGGCGGGAGGATGTTGGGGATAAGCTCGGTCTCGCCTAAGAAAACCCACTCGTCGATAATAGCTTGGGTCTTAGGATCGGCGCCGAGTAGTTGGTCCTTCTTGGGTCCCGAACGCGCAAGATAGTAGGCGATGGCACCGCCCTGGCCGACGCAGAAGCCGTCGGCACACTCTAGAGCAGGGACCATTCCTAAGGGAAACTTGGCCAGAAACTCAGGGGATTTGTTGTCCACATTCATCTTGAAGTCCTCAGCTAAGGGCACTTCGAGGCCATTGTAAGCAGCTACGACTTGAGCCTGTGAAATAAGTTAGATATAATGAGTATAAATTAACTACTATATAAAAATAAAATAAAAATACTTACCCGTTCGACACGGAAGTTTCCTGGGTAGGAGTAAATCTTGCCAAAAGGTGCCATGATTGTCGAGTAAATATGAAGTATGGTATTTTGGGAGTTATGGTAGGTGAAAAGACTATTTGCGATGTTGTAATCGATGGTCTTAATGTTGTGATTGAAGTAGGAACTGATGGAAGACAACCCCTCTTATTACATTTTAGGCTCGAAAAGGTACCCGTTATTTATACACTTCGATGTACACTATAGAAGCTTCAGGAATAGGTCCAATATTAGTTTTAAGGTGGGCTTTTGTATTAGTCAGTATATCAGCACTTACACGGTGTTGAAACGTGTCACTCGTTCTGGACAGGTCCGAAGCACAGCGGAAAGAGGGCGGTGACGGTAGTCTTTTCCCATTCCATCACTTCTGCAACATTGTCCGTTACTAATGTATTGCCTTGAATATTTCAAGCCCCACTATACTTATATTATATGTCAACCAATCTATTTAGAAATAGAAGTCTACCTATGATTTGGTTAGGTTAGGTTAGAATAGTTGGCCCATGGTCGTGTATCTAGACGCGTAGTAATAACAATGTAGATCTATCGAGATACCACCTTAAGCTTCATACAATATAAAAAGGGGGTTGCAATTGGTCGCTAATAAGGAAATAACTCTCATCATTACTAATTGGATGCTTATATATCTATACGATTAGGAATCAACATCTCAAATGCGGAAGTGTAGCCTTGCGATGTGAGCTTTTTATTGGTCTGGATGTTTTCTTGTGTAACAGAGATCTTACATTGTTTAGAAATAAACTCGCTCGTTGCTTAGAAAATTTTGAAGTACGGAGGTGAGATTGTCCCGTCGGTAATCTTTACCGAATCTCTAGAACTTCGAAATATGACGTAATTAACTAGGCAGGTAGGTAGGTACCTAAGGTTTTCGATAAAGTCTATGTCCACTGTCCTCCCGTTTTGTTTCATTATGTCAAAGTCAATATCCACTCTTACATAAAGTTCTAATGTTTTCTTAATCCTATGGTCCTATGGATCGTCTAGGTAAACCGTATCCGATTTGGAAGATCGTAGGGTGCAATCGCGGTCAGAACCTTGAGATTTTAACAGTCCTAATTCCAAGAATCTAGTCGAAATATCCGGTAAAGATGAAATTCTGAATAGGCCCTTGCCACGGGAGCAGTCGTCGCTCCATATTGCTGTTGACGACCCAACTGTCCTCTACCACGGGTTCGGGTATGAATTTACGGCTCACTGGGCCGCCCCGCACGTACAACACTGCAGCTTGGCGCGCCTCTTTACCGATGTCGACCAAGTCTCTATCATCCGGAATGAAGCATTCGTATTCGAATAAGACATCAAAGCTGTGTAATCTTCGGCCGACGATCAATTCCCAACTACCTGTCTCATAGCCGTATGTTGCCTTGTCGCATAGGAGAACATCGTAGAAGAGACCCATTGTCATACCGGACGGTGGTAGATCAACTTGGTAATAGTCGACTGCGTCGCCTTCAGGAGCGGAATAACTCTTGACTACGTCTAAGTGGGTTATGGGAGCTCGGCCGAATGTAAGGCTAATTTCGCGCCAGCTCGCTCCTGAGCGGCGATACGCGTCACGCTCACTTTCCGTTTGTGCCCATGAGAGCCTACGAAAGGGGAGTGTGTAATCGCCGTTGAGCGTCAGAAACGCCATTTTCTTTTTCTCCTCGTCCGTAAAGCACTCTGACGTATCGAATAGGCCTTTAAATTTTGTTCTCCAAAGAGGATGTATTCGTGTTCCCTCATCGTCGCTCACGTCGTCAGTACTCGAAATATTCTTCACGTCGTATAAGATATCCTTCGCGAGCGTATAAAGCCGGCGGTTCATGAGTTGTAAGATGATGAGTGACTGAAGATCGACATCAGAGAGGGCATTAAGAATTGATATGAGAATCTCATTAGGTAGGTTCAATAAGATGGCCATTCTCCAGAAAGTCAGAGTAGTTAATATCTAATGAGACATCGACTTTTTTATGCAGTTCACTGGGTAAGCGAGAAACTAAGTAGGATAACTAGTGAAAAGAAGATACGAGGATATCAAAATCTTGTAGGCAGTGAGCGAATCTGCTTACAATGAAGAAACAAAATGACCTCTCTTGTCTCATAAGAATGGCGAATCCTACAAATTTACGGATCCGTACCTGAGCGGTGTCTGAGCAGACCCGCTAATTCAATTTCATCATGAGACCTATCATTCGATTATAAGAAGTACTTAGTCAGCTCATCTTTTAATATAATAGGTTAGGTATTCCAAATACAAACAATCTTACAGGTAAATAATATAACTAGTTATCTATTAAACGATCAATCTATTACCACAAATCCAAATCAATTCTCAACGTATTAATCTAGGTTGTTATATTTTCGCAGCATATTCTTAATCTTTCACGATATATTGAATTTGTACGGATATTGATGTTACCGTTACCTCCATGTGACCTGAAGCTTGATGGCGGGGCAGGAAAAGGCGCGATGTTACAGAGCGAATCGTAAATTTAAATGGATGCCTACCTGGTACTAGGTATATTCCTCAGCTGAGACATCTAGGTTAGTGTACTTTCTTTCCGGCGATAACATTTCAATCTCAAACTCTAGATATTCCCACGCTTAGTTTTATGTCGTTCCTTGATAATATTCCACCTTCTAACATTCATTCTTGTATCTAGCCCCTACTAAACTTACAATGCCGGCTATTACAGACCTCCCTACAGAGTTACTTCAGCTTATTGCTGGAAGATGCACGGCCCTAGACATTCTAGCGCTCAGCCGGACATGTCGAATTCTTAACGAAGCATGTAACACTGCTGCCGTCTTCCGAATGTCATTCCAGCTTTATGTATTATTACTTTAACGTACATTACCCAATGCTCCTAAGGTCTGGAACTGATTTCATCATACTAGCTTCCCGAACTTACCTCCACCACCTTTGGGAATAAGGCCGCATTGGTGCGCTTCATGGACGGCTATGTTGATGGTCCCAACAAGCCTTGTCAGCGCAATGAAGGTCCAAAGATGACATGGCTCTGTCTCGCCATGGCTGTAGCTCGGCTTCCAGGTGTCGAGGCAGATTTAGAAAGATTAGCAGAGCCAATAGCATCAACTGTTAAGGTTCGCGGGAATCTTACGCTGACTATGAGAAGACCGCCGCAATTAAGCGAAGACACGAAAGCATCTCTCCAAGGCCTGATCGCTTTACTTTCTACATTACCTATCTGGGGATGTGAGTATTGCATTCGTGTTATAGCCCTGCTGTCTCTTTAGGATATATTCACTGATGGCTTGCATAGACACAACGGCCTGCAATTCTGGCGTCTCTGCTATACTTGACAATTTATGCCCTAGTCTCTTTTCTCTATCTCGAGACTTAAATACTATCAGAATTGATCAGTGTATTGGCGGCGAGAATCCCCTACAGTTCGCTTTCTGCTTGGTTTTAAGTAAACTCGAAACGTGGTGCCAATCCAGAACGCACCGTTTAGCTATCGAGCTTCCAGTAACGAACAGTTACCTCACTATTATCAAGAAAATATACGACGGCAACACACTGGATCAAGGATACGACAAATTCCAAAACTCGTGGATAGGTAGGCAGACACATACGCTTCTTCTGATAGAACTCGTTGCGCGAAATATTTACTATACATCAAAAGGTAAGGAGCTCCGTATCTTATGTTTGCTAGAAATCGGATTGTTAATTTAAGGTTGCCGGATGTTAATAGAGCTCCCAAATCCAAGGAATATCAAATTCTTTGGTTCTTGGTATTTCGAAAGCGGCCAAGAAGAGGACGTTGAGCATGGTACATGGATGGGAGCTACGTCTCTACGCGCACGATTCCCACTTCCTACGCCTAGTCTTATCTCTGTTGGAGGAAAAAAGGGTCGTTACTTCTACCCCTTCGCCGGTGATGGATGGTGGTCATGGTATACCACGCGAGTGCGCGACCTAGCAAGGGAAGTCGAGGGAGAATGGTGTGGAACCTTCGTATACAGCCTACTACCGGGAGCTCGAGTCGGCCCTCCCACTATATTTTCCTTTTGCAAGACTAACATCGAGGGCGATACATACTCACTAGAGGCATCTAATGGAATAGATGATATCGGACCATTTTCTTTGCACGGCGAAGTGAATGCTTCGCCCGTGGCGTGCACCGTTCGTTTACGGGTTCAATACTCAACAATTACGATTGAATGGCAAGGTTTAGTTACGCCGTTGGGTATTTGTGGTGGTTGCTATATACCTGAACCTGAGACATCGGCATCGCGTGCAATTGGATATTTCTGGCTCTGGAAAAAAGAATGGTTAGGCGAAGCGAGTAATATATGTGATTGAGGGGCAACGCATTTGTTGTTAGAAATACCCGTTATTTCTTACTTGCCATACAAATGCATAGGTACCTTAGTTATATGATGTTAATCTATTATAGCCTGTACTTATTAGGTGTTTTTGAGATGAAAAATATACCTTTTTGCTTCAACTTATACTTTAGGTATTTGCTTTAGTTAAATAAAGAAGGCATTCAGAATTTACACCATCTGCTAACAGGACAAGGGTACCGAATTGTATAAGGAGCCGATGGGGTACCGTAATTATTACTAAGCTCCCCAGGTACCGAGCCCCGCATATATATTCTTTTCCACTTTCTACCCCTGTCCTTCTGCCCCTGGACAGGGGGTTGTGCATGTATCTTCGCGACCGGGCAGTCGGGTAACTTACAGTACCTAAACTTCAATTGTACAATCGCAACGCTATTTCAATAGAACTTTGATCTCCTCGCCGTCAACTATCGGCTTCCACTTCATCATCTATACTTATTGGTTAGGTACATATTAGTATCTAAAAATAGCCTATAACCTACACTATAATGTACTTTTAAGATATACCAACCAAGTCAATATTCGACCATTTCTTACTCAATATACCATCACCAAAGATGGAGTACGAACCTTTAGCCCCCAAACCCCAACCAGTGTTCGGTCAAGGTTTTAAATACAATGGTAGGCTTACTGTGAAAGGCATACCTCGTGTGGAGCCTGTAGAGATAAGGCGACTCCTCTTCGAGCCGGAGGGTGCCGATGAAGACCAACTTCGCGAATGGCGTACAGAGACGTTCCGAGTAGTGACGAAACCTTGGCTCGAAGCTCAGAGCCGACACTATGGCGTGGTGCTAGGGCCCGTAGACAGTTATTCAAAAGATGAGTTACGAGAACTCTTCCGCAGGGAATCTCTCAAACCTGATGTGGGTTGATATATATATATATTGCTAAATATTAATATGATGGCTCTACTAACCAAAAGATCTCAGTTCGGCGATATCAAGAGACAGTATCAGTCATTTATGCCAGGTCAGTTTGAGAAGATGAAGGCGGACTGGGAAACACAATCCTCAGCCTACAAAGAGTCATGTTTCTCTGGCCGTCGACAAGCAGACTTTGATAATTTAGCTACCTTGGAGGAAAAGCTTAACTTTGACATCGACATGTTCCTGGAAACTTATTACAGCGATCCAGATATTCTTCCAGATCCCATGCCCTTCCGTGGGATCAACTTCGACGTCGTTATGACAGCTATAGAGCAAATTAAGGGACTGCACTGTCAAAAAGTAGGTAACGATTTTCAGAAGATGCTCTGGGTTGGATGGGACAAGAAAGACGTCAAGCAGGCGTGCAAGGAGTATGCAACGTTGGCCAAAGAAAATGCTGCCGTGCGGCGTCAATTGAAAAAGCAGCATACCATTCTTGCGCACGAGAAAAAGCTTGAAAAGAAGGCGGCGTCGCGGTTACAACCTCACCGAGAGTACGTGGCTAATGCTGTGCGTAACCGCGGGCTCGAAGGTTCTTACATAGTTGAGGCTACCCTCATAGGAGTCCAACGCGAAGCTGGCAGCAGTTGGGTAGAGATCAGGAAGACTATGTTGAACGATGTATTCGAGGCGACTTTTAACTTCATGCCTGCAGCGGAAGGCGTAATAATCCTGGCACAAAATCCCGACGACATTGACAGGTACATTCGTTTAGTCGAACCATTGCGCAAAGTGCCAGCACCGGCGGTCGAAAGCGATAATGTGAGTTTGAGTGGATCTCAACTAGGTTCAAAGAGGAAGAGAGGGCAGAATGAAAGTGTAGAACAGGATAGAATCGATGGAAGCTCCCAAATCTCTAAGCGCATGCGGTCAGATATACCAGCGGTCCCCGAGGGATGTACCAGATATTATATACATTGGCGCGGCACCGTAGGTACTACTTCGTCGGATATAGATGTAACCAAGATATTGCGTGAAAATGGAGAGGGCGAAAGCTGGATCGACTTCACGGAGGGCGAGAAAGCACAGTTTATCGCCCATTTAGAGACCCCACTCATGGCCGAGGTTATTCATGGTTACAAGATCCAGGACCGAAATATATATGAAGCTACGAAATGGGAAACTCGGCCCAAAGGATCAAGACACTGTTCATGGGGGTGGATAGAGTAGATAGAGCTTTGGGGCGATCGAAGGTCTTCGGTTCGTTCGATATGGATCTGAGCGAACTTAAGGTGTAAGATAGTCGTGTTATGATATTGGATATATATACCCTTATAGTGATTGGAGCTTAACGATGTTGATAAGTTCATACGATGGCATACTTAGTACTTGACCTTGGGGAGCAAAGTACGGATTGAATTGAATTTCAACAAGATACGACTATGTTTGAAAACTACAAACAGGCCATAGACTACGATGGATGCTTATTCTCTAGGCTAATAAAAGACACATCTAGAACGATTGCTATTTCATTTGTGCGGTTCTTATATTTAGACAAACTATAGTTCCGCGTATAAACTCGTTCCGGCTTAATATTTCAGTCCTTTCCATCTTGGGTATACTTATCAAATACATTCCACCTACATATCTCAATAGCACATGCTGTCATTAAATCCGACACGCATCTTTGCCCACAGCCCCTAAAAAGTCGTTCATAACCATGCCCAACCCGGGCCGAAGCAATTTCCAATCGCCGTTTATATTTACAAACATCCACAGAAATCCTTATATTTTAGTAATGCCAGTGATTTCGAATTAAGAATCAAAGATATGATGCCGAAAAATTAATGTTGCGGCGCGTATGCGGGCGCTGGCATTTGCATGCCTGGTTGCGGCTGGTAGCCTTGAGCAATAGGCAGGGCATTTTTTTGCCGAATCTTGACTTCGTTATCTTGTTGGATGAGAGCGCAGCACGAGCACCAGAACGATACACAGCAGTCGCCGCATCCGCTTCCCTTGATATCGTAGCGTTCACGGATCTCGGTTCGTTTGAGCATGCCGTAGCTGAAATAAAGATCAACACTGGAATCAACTTAAAACAGTTAGAGGGGGGAACATACATCCATCCGCAACCGGTGAAGCATGTAATAAGACCGTGAATCATGCAATCGCTGTTCATCATGTCGGCTGTCTGCATCGAGGGATCCCGAATTCGCTCGGAGGTTTGACCGAGCACTACGAAGGAAAAGAGATCGTGTTAGCTGTCTAATCTACTTATGTTCTATGGTCGATTAAGATCGGGGAACATACGGAGACATGGTAGACACCAGGCTAATAAGCAGCTCGAGCATGGCGAGCAATCGCATAAACTCGCTTGCCATTCACCACCTTGCTGGCCGTAGGCTTCTCGGGGAATCGCTTGCGGTTGTTGGGGTGCATGAGGATGCACATAAGGTCCTACTGGCGGATGGGCTTGCGGTTGTGCTTGAGGGTGTACTTGTGGATGAGCTTGCATTTGGTATTGAGGATCGCTGCCTTGAGGATACTGAGGTCCAGTATGGACATATTTCTCTTGACTGTCCATTATCGTGATATTTGCAAATGGACCAACTCGTCGAAGGTGTTATAATAGGGACAATATTGAACCGATTGGCTTTTTTGTTTGCGCTTGTCTTACACTGATTACAGGTTGGATAATATCAGAGATTGACCGGCCAGGAGAAAGATGGAGAAATTTTTAGAAAAGAATAAAAGACCAAACCTTTGTAAATCTTCAGCGAAGCTACTTTAGATTAATAAATAGGTAGGCAACGCGCTACCTATGTAAACTATCGAATAAACCCTTGCAGCCTATACAGACACTATACCCAGGTAATCTGGTAATGAAGGATTCATCTCCTGACGAAACACCCATCACATCACACTAGATCCACAATCGAGTCTCTGTTAGCTGCGGCTGAAGGAGCTGTGCATATTACCTGACTACCTACTCCGCCAGCGACGCCATAAGCGTAAAATGGTTCGCCGAGCTTTTTGGATAAGAATGAAAATCACCTCTTAGTAGGAATCGAGAGCACGGACATGACGATAATATCTGGCTTAATCGTTGGGGTCTATCGAATCAGCGTTGTAGGCTAAGAAAAATGAGTTGCTTGACCGCTTGCTGCGCCCGTTCGTCCGCTACAAAAACAGAAAAAAAGTCCCTATTCAGCCCCCAAAACCAGGGTTAAATTAGCGGCGTAAGGCAGAACTTAGACATGGGTTTAATCCCTAGGTACCCAGGCCCCCCTCCCTGCCCCAGGCGAATGTGAGTGAACCCTACGGGGCAATACCCCATTCTCGTAGAGCAGTTCGACCGTAGATCTGCTGATCTTGGCATGAACTTCACAATGTTGGTGTATCATTAATTCGAGGTACTTTTGTAATGCCGTGCGCAAGGATACTTATCGCCAAAAGAAAAAAGAGAAAACAATAGAATTAGCAGCGGTATTACCTATCGTAAGAGTCTAAAGAATATATTATAGTTAGCAGCATTGGATTACCTTTGTATAATAATATTTGAGAGAATATTATTCAAGTACCTACCTAGACACCTTGTTATGATTATCGTTTCACAGGGCTAGGTCTGCAATATCATAGGTATCTATCTGCAATACTACCCTCCCTCCTGACGTAGCCGAGCTAAATATAGCAAATCGTTAAGAACACATTAATAGTTTAGTCCATATGAAACAAAACGAGACGCCTCTGCACCTCTACAGAATACATACCAGCATAGTGGTTCTAATTCTAACGACGTGTCATCCTTGAAAAGCCCATCGGCAATAGTTGAGAGGGGAAAAAAGGATCTTTTGGTGGATAGGAGAACCTCTAGGTAGCAGAATTAAACCACCATTAATTGGAGCGAAGGTCACGCTAGTATCCTCTTTAAATCGCAATTTATAGCATTATAAGCAAGCAGTTATATTATTAATATTGGAGAAAGGTATGAGGTAGGTCTCCCCTAGTTTATTCAATCATAAGAATAACAGCAGGACTAGAACTAAGCTATGATAACCCCTCAAATATGTCATTTCCATGCTCCTAATAACTGCAAAGCGCAACTCGAGACGAGAACCGTGATTATAGCCTGGTCTGTATATAGACCAGCTTCAAACAACCTTTCAACCAACTTACAGCGTACTCCGTGATTAAATACAATTCCGCCTGCATGAGTATTCTCCTTGTCCCTATTCACGCATCCTAATTAACGCCCTTGGGTATTATTGAGAATTTTTCAAACCAACCAGAAAGAACAAACTAAGAAAAGAGAACCAAGAGGACCTTAGTCAACCTCCATTGAAATATTATCATCGTACTTCATGTAGGGTTCTTCAACTCGTGTGTAAAACGCGAATCTACCTCTGCCGATAGAATGTTCAACCTGGCCTCTTTTGCGATTGAACGCCATGGGTAGAACATCATAGGCGGTCAAGCCGCTAGGCATCTGAGGCTCCTCCGGAATGATGCTTTCTACTTGAGGGCTGACATAGCCAAGGGTTTCGAGTTGGTAGAAAGCTTGGGTACTAAGAAATGTTGTTAGTATTTAAAGACTGATGCTTGTAGTGCTGTAGATGGTTGAACTTACACGAAGTCAGAGCATCCACAGACTTTGCCATTGGTATCATAGTCAAATGAGAAGTACTGCATCTTTTTGCTGGTAATGGCCTCGAGGATCTGACCAACTTTCACAGAGGTAAGTAGTTTAAACATAAAACTACGAACCGACGATTTAGTCCATCCAGGGTATGTGCGAAACTTTACGCCCAACACTCCCAACACTCCCAGCTCGGCGGACCATTCTTCCGTATCTAGATTCATGGCGATTCGTACGCCCTTGAATTTGTCATGCGGAGTCACGAAGTCGACCTTCAACACGGTGTGTGTGGTAACTGCTATATTGTCCGAATCTGGGCCTTCTGTTTCTGGATCCATAAACTGTAGCAGGACTTCAATATAGAGCTTTGAGCACTCGATGTCAAGGAGTTCTTGTGGGATGCACTTAAGGTTATTGCTCGTAAGATTGTATCCAAAATCAGTGAGAGGTGGAGACCATTCATGAAGCTCCTTGCTGAGCTCCTCCTTGTTAATCTCCTCCTCTTGAATATCCTCTTGAATATCTTCTTGAATATCCTCCTTGTGAAGCTCCTCCGCGTGAAGCTCCTCGTAGGCTGTCACGCCGAGCTGCGGATCTGGATCCTGATCCATGGCTTGAATCGCTGATGCGCCTGTTCTCGGATTTCTTACGACAGAGATATGATAAGGGGGGGGACGTGATAGAGAGCACGAGCTGGGGTTAGCTTATGAGTACGGACGTCACTGTTCATTCACTGTGGTGTTGTTTGGTTGACCTTTAGTTTAGGCTTCGATCAAGGAAGGTAAACATAAGGTCTTGCCAGAAGTGAAATCAACGCCGAGTATTATGACTCAACTTCTGTCGCCGCCTGCGATGTTGTCCCTGGCGATTTGGATTTATGATATCCTCACCTTTTCGTGATCCACATGACAGTTTGATATTATCCCAACTCTACTAATTATTTAAAATAACATGCACCTGTACATTTGACATTTCTACAATGCGAGTAAGGACAGAGGAAACTACTTTGTCGTGTAAAGATCTAGGAGCTGCCTTCTAACATAGGACTAATGCCCAGTTCACATTCACGTAACTCCTTTATTCTACGTGTTTTGATGACCCAGTGACATGTTTCCTAATACATGTACTATAAACAGTAAATAAACCATCTAAATAATAAACTTCAAAGAAAAAGGTACGACTATAACTGAAAGTCAGTCAATCTCTCGAAACTATGCTTCTCTGTATGCTAAGTGGTAGCTTGACTGGCTAAAGGCTAGGTAATATAATGTCAAATATGTGACTGTAATTATAAGCATGAATGGTGTAGCGGTAACATTCAACCCTTCCATTTCTGATGTCAGGTTGAGCTCGGGGTTCGACTCCCCGTTCATGCATTTACTTTTGCAATTTTTTGCAACTCCACTACGCCAAGTGGAGTATTTTGAGTGAATTTTTTTTATAGTTGTGGATCTTATCATCTCCTTCGACACTAACAAATTCAAGCAGCTATTATGTTTAGCACTGGGGGGCATCTTATCTCATCGAGCGTTGGTTTAACCAGAGATAGAATCGTTAGAATCTCATATACAGATTATATATCACCGATATGTTATACTATACGTAGTAGACATATCAATTAGGCCCAAGTGTACTACGATATGGAATAGACTAATCAGCGACGGTCTAGTATTGACGACTTGGACTTGGTATGTATACGTGTGGTATTCACTTGATTTAAATGTATAACTAACTGAGTTTATAATGACATTGATTCAACAATATGCGTCTTTTAATACTAATATCAGAGGGGGTATATATACCACTTCATCGTGAAAACACCATTGCAAGAAAGCATTAGTACACAGGAACTGACAGCAATCTTGATATGTGACATAGTTAGGTACTTTTTATTCTCATTATAGCTGAACCTCATAGCTACATAATTACATACCCATCGTTTCCAATTCCGACCAATGTCATATCCAATTCATTCCCCAGTCCCAGTTCCAGTTCCAGTATTTGCAGCATATTCTCTCTCATTATTCATATCCATCATTCCCCTACACATTTATTCGTCTCATACGCGAAAGTATCCCGTGATATCATTCTCCTCGCCGCACTTCCTGCACCGGTGCAACACCTTGTCTGCGGGGTTGAGACCCGCCGGGACACCTGCCGAGGTACCAGCGATGTCCTTCTTCGGAGCGGGAATCGCACTCGCAGCGGTTGGATGAGCTACGGTTGCAGGTGTCTTGGTCTTGCTGGTTGTGTTGTCTAGGCTCTTGCGGCTGAGGTCGTCGCGCTCACCGATGTTGATGCCTGAAGGTGTGCCGGATGGGAGGACGTTGTACTGTCCGCCGTGGCTGGAGTCGCTCGACACACGGTTGCTCGAGCTAGTCGTGGAAGACTGGTGGTCGCGAGATGTGGTGGATGGAACAGTAGTAGTATTGTTAGTATCGCGCTGAGAATAGTGCTTTGCAGCAGCTCCAGCACCGACTATACCAGCAGCACCAGCAGCAGCTTTGGTACGGCTGTGGTTGTTGTCGTCCACAGTGCCTCGTGTGGCACTAGTAGGAGACGACGTAGCGACGTTGTGCTTGTTATACTGCTGGCTGTCGTTGACATTTATACCAGAGGGAGTGCCGGTTGGCAGGCTCTTGTAAGTGCTGCCTTGAGTAGAGTTCGTGGGTGCAGGACCGTTGGCGCCGGAGACCTCATATGGTGTTGATGAAGTGTTGCTGTTGTGCTTGCCAGTATAGTGAGCCGCAGCGCCCGTGCCGGCAACACCAGCACCAGCTGCTGCTACCTTAGCACTAGTGTGGTTATCCTTCGTCAAGACATCGCGTGTAGCATTCGGCGACGACAAAGCTACTACGTTCTTCTTGTCACTGTAATGATGATCTCCGAAGTTAACGCCGGAAGGAGTACCGTCTTGCAGGACGTTATACTCGCCGTGTCGGCTAGGGTCGTTGGGGGAGCGGCTGGCGCTGGAACCTGTCTGCGACAGACCCTGTGTCTTTTCATAGGGGACGGCGGTCTCTCCGGTGCCGGAAAACACTGCGAGTTGAGGCTTTCCGATAGTGTAACCAGTGTCCGATGGTTGCGTGGTTGCCTTTGACGCCGTCGTTGAATCGTGGTATGCTTGCTGGTTGGGGTGCACCTTATTCTTGTCGCTATCACCGTGGGCATGCTCGTGAGCAGCATAACCAGCACCGGCTCCCACGCCAGCGGCTGCGAGGCCGTAGCCAAATTTTGAATCGTCTCGTTGGTTAGGCTTCTCTGTAGTCTGAGAGGTAAAGGGGCGATCTCTCGTGGTCACATCTTCAGAGGGGGGGTAAGCATCGTTGGTAATCTTTGTAGAACCCTGGCTGCCAGGCTTCGTGTATCCGGCGGCGATAAAAGGATCCTTCGAATCAATCTTCTCATTAGGATGCTGATAAATATCGTGTGCCTTGTTATCTGTTATATCATGCTCAGATTCTCTAGTTTTCTTGTCATGCTTGTCGGCGTGGTTCTTCGCACCATATGCACCAGTAGCGGCGGCGAGGGCTACGCCAGCGTCCCTTTCTCTCAGTGGTCTGTCATCTTTACTGGGAACTGGTTCCTTAGGCTTCTCAGACTTAGTTTCCTTCTCACCCTTGTGATCCCGATGGAATAAGCTACCAATTTTACTCTCCTTTTTGGTATCTGCTTCATTGTGTTTACGGGAGGTAGACTCTTTCAGATCGTTTTCATGTTGATGATCTCGTCGCCTTTCGGCAAGTTCATATGTAGTAAGTCCTGCCGCTGCGCCTGTAGTTGATTCGCCTAACCCCTCTTTAAACCGAGAACCGTTGCGGTGGCTACTCTCGTCGTGGGGGGCATCGTTAGAAGTTTCAAGTGGGAATGCACGCTGCTGCTCGTGACTTAGAGGGTCCTGTGGATGAAGGGAGCCTTCGGTGGCTGTCTCAGAGCTACCGTGTCCAGTAACTGTGTTATAGACACCGGTACCGTGGGGAACATCGCCCCAGTATGGATCATCATGCTCAACGTTGCTGGTTTGACGTAAACCATTCCGAATGGTGTTACGATCCTCAGGTATTTGCTCTAGCTCTGTATTGCCTGGTTCAGTAGCGGTAGCTATCCCTGGTGCGGGTCCAACAGCACCAACGCCCCTTGCGCTGGTTTGATTTTGGGACGACGTATCCTCCGCGGTCGGCTTAGGATAGTAGTTGCTGCCGCTATGAACATTGCTATGACCATAGGCGCCAGTCATAACGCCAGGTTTATTCTCATTTCCTTGGTAGTTGGGTGACCTTGTTGTGGTATTAGTAACGGTGCTTGGTGCTACATCATTGTTCTGTAGAGTAGCATTATTTGGTTGAAAAGCTCCTTCGTTCACTCTACCACGAGTATGGGAGTTTGATAACAGGCTCGGATCTGTTAAACCAACACCCGAGTCCGTGTGTTGATGTCCCCACGCTGCCTTCTCTTCTTCACTCCAACCCCTTGGGTCTTCTCGCTTGTGTAACTTATTGTGTTGATGATGTGAGCCCGAGGAAGTTAAGCTGGAATCCTGTGTGGCGACCATGTCGTCTGTTGGGAAAGATCCTGGTGGGTGGGGTTCAGATTCTTGTGGAACGGTGTAAGAAGTCATTGCGAGAGTTGGATGAGTCGTGTTAGGAGTCGGTCTGTTGGGTATTGAATATAGTTAGAGGGTATCTTATGGCAAGTAGAAGTGTTTGGAATGTCTTGCAATATCAAATGTATTAATTTATTATAATTTCAATAACCCGAGAGGGTTCACGAGTCTTAAATACGTCTTACGAGCCTCATAGAGAGACCGGCCCATAGTTATACAGCTTGAATAGGTTACGCCACAGCTCCAATATCTTGCAGATCTTTCGCAAGTATGCTTCAGCTTTGCCCATCTTACATGATACCAGCAATACACATAGTCATGACATCAGACGTTAGCAGCGACCATGTTGAACATTTTAATGGCTTTGTCTCAGTCCGTTTTCGTTGTCCAATCAGAAATTGGGCTGTCGTGAACTAAGAGGTTGGTGCCGAACCGTCATAGACTAGAAGATCAATTTCGTCATCGGGGTTCTCGTCAGTTGACCCCAACTCACCAAGGCTTCTAGTTTTTATGGATAGATCTTGATCAGCTCCTATTTAAATAAGCTTGATTGCGTAGGTGGTGTTAGTTCGTATGACATCTGGTATGAGTTGTCACTTGTAAATATTTGAAGTTGACGTTGCGGCTCAAAGCGGAAACATAAATCTTGGCAATGGGAAGATCATCATGGGCTAGAACAAGTCAAGGACCTAAGAACCCAAGAGATACAAGGAATCCGGGAATCCGGCAGCTTCTAAGAATATATTAGGTTAGGTTACATACTATGTAGAGGGACTCAAACTTGTGCCTGTGTAAACGAGACCTCATAACCGCCGGGAGATTTCTTTTCCATTATTATGACCGTAGCCTACGTAATTTTAATACTATGTGCAGTAACTTGGTACGAGCGTCAAGTAACCCTTGTCTTTTGTCCTTGTTCTGACGAGACCACAACGCCCAAGCCAGTGAACACCCCCGTAAACAGTCCACCAGTTGCAAATGCAAAATAAAATTACACCTTGGATACCCTACACACAATTGACACTCAAATGAGCGTAGCTGTTGCTGTTCCAAAATTATATACTGCAATGTTCACCAAGGTGACGTCTTCACTAGGACCTAGAGGCCTATCGTGATTGTTGGTGTGTCTCACCTAACCCTTTCGTCTGCGCTCATGGTCTCATCTTCTACTTCATATCCATCTTCTTCAGCAGCTTCCCTGGCCAACCGTGCAGCATTCCACTCTGCATATTTGGGTTTATAATCAGGAGGTGCCACCCATTTAGGAATTAAGCCATGCTTACGTAGTCGTCTCCTATGTCTCTTGCGCTCCCAGACATTCATAAATCTTTCGTCAAATTGTGTAAAATCTGTTTTTGTAATCCAGTCCGAGACATCAGCAACCATATCTCCAATTTCTTCGCCAACCTTCCATGTAAACGCTCTTCCTTTGCCGCCTGTGGCCCATTCATCTAGCATGAAAGGCATCGCGTATGGAAAGTATGGCTCGTTTGGTGACCAATCACATGGTAACTCTGGTGTACAGTCGTAATGAGGCGTGTATAGGACACAGAAAGCCGACTCGAAAACGTACCATATGAGCATGACAAGTGTCAATAAGCCCAACTTCGTGAGTCTGAATTTAGGAGATTTTTGGTACAGGGCAGGGATGGAGAGTATAACGGGGGCGGGGTTAGGAACGGATATAGTCGTTTCGGATTTGGGATTGGGGATAGTTGGAATAGTATGATCCGGACCTTTCTTGTGCTCGGTATGCATAACCCTATCTTCTAGGCGTTCGATCCCTTTCTTCGCGGATCGAATGCCTAGAAGACCGGTCTTTAGCGACTTGCTCATCCTATCGTAAACCTGAAGCTCACGATCCCGTTCCGAGAGTTCTGGAAATTCAAGATCATTGTCAATCTTGTTCATGGTGTCGTTCACCATTTTCTCGAGTTCATCATCATCAATTTCCTGGTCGGCAAGAATCGTGTCGGAATCTTCAAGTGTGGAATCGTCTATTTGATTCGTACGCAGTATGGCGCGAATGTCGTCTTTGACCGACGGTGGTTTAGCAGTATTAATCAGAGGACGACGAGGCCGACGGCGTCTGGAAGCAGATCTAGCGCGACGAGAAGCCGCAGGAACCGAAAAAGATCGCGGCATTGATGCCTTTTTCAAATCTTGAGTATCATCATCCTCAGATTTAATGTGACCGACGTTCGAGGGGTCGCTAGAGCTCCTACCACGAACTTCGGAATCTATCTTCAAAGGTCGATTGGGGTCACCTAACGCCTTTATATCCTCTAGGCGTTCCTCTCGCTTAACTCTAACGGTGGCCGGTGTTTCAATATACGCTCCGGTGACGCGCGGGGTCGGTTGTGTCAATGGGTCAATCTTACTTGGGCGTGGCGTCTCTTCATCGATTGGCTCTGGCGGAATGGGCGACGGCGCTCGGACGGAGCCCTTCTCGGAGTAATTGTCGAGCGGTGCGAACAGTTTCATTTCGGCTTCGATACGGTCCGTAGGATCTACTTCAGAACCGGAACGACTGGTTTTTTTTTCTCGAACAGAGTCAATAGACGAATCCCTTGGCAAGCCTGTGAATCCAACTGTTGGCCTTTCTCTGAAGCTCTTAACTTCCAGATTCCTAGGTTTCCTTTCCTCTCGTGTTGGACGTGGGCGACTGCTTTCCCTACTCTCAGATGATACCTTTGGTAGAGTATTATCAGGAATGACAGGTTGTTGGATCTTCTCGGCAGGCGGGCTGGTACTTGTTGCCCGCGCGAGACGCCAAAGTAAGTCCTGTGAATCATTTCGTGGGAGTCTGACACTCTTTCTATCCTCTTCCACCTTAGTTTCATCTTCTTTCCCCGTCTCTTCCGGAGGCTCGTTGAATTTCTGGTTATTTGGGCTCCGGGAAGTAGTGACAGGGATGTTTAAAACGTGATCTTCTTTCGCCCCTGATCCTAGCTTTCCATCTGGCGTCTTTGTGATCTCTTCGGCCTGGAGTGAAGTCCTGCGTAAATCTTCTCTGTAGGGGTTCCTTCCGGTCTCCGGTGATTCCAAACGCGCCTCGGAATTCCTTATTCGGATTTCTTCAAGCCTACTCGAAGCCATCACCCGTTTAGATAACGCTTCTCTTTCTCGTGCCCTTATTTCGTCGAGTCGACTGTTTGTTCGCATAGATGAAGATATATCTTCTTCCGGCAAAACAACATTTGCAACCTCAATTTCTTTCTGCCGAATTTGATCGATCCGATTATTGCTGCGACGCGTATTGGGTGTACTCCTAACCGGAGAACTTGTCACACTTGGTGGCCGTCGGGTAGGTCGTTCGTTAGACTGACCGGCCCGAATGCGAGGACTATCAGAAACTTGGAGATCTCCCGCCGTAAAATCGGCGTTTAGATGCCAATTAAAGCTTTTTTCGGGTGATCGAGTGGCAAGTTCGTCGATAGGAGAAGCTCGGTCATCGCTAGCGGATTCATACTCGATTGACGGGATAGGAACAGGCGCGTTGGCAGGATCTTCTTTTCCTAACCTAGGTTCCCACTGGCTTTCTCTGCGACGCACTGGAGAACCTCTGAGATTACCATCGCTTATTCTCTTAGCTAGGCCGTTGCCAGCTTCTGGTACATTGGGCCTTACTCGAGTTTTGCCAAACAACCCGTTAAGTGGCCCGTTACCTGTGCTAAGTTGGTGGTTTCGGTCAAATCGTTGGAGATGACGCCCTAGGTCGGTGTTCGGACTACTTGTCGCTGTTTTTCGCGGAAGGGCGCCGTATGATTGACGCCCTAGTTGAGATTTTCGTGGAGCAGGACTAGGGGAGCCGTCAATACGTCCGTTCATCTCGGCACTGGCTATGTTAAAGGCGTGTTTAATGCTAAAGGTATCGTCGTCGTCGAGCTGGTCATCCACCTCCTGCTTCTTAGCCAGCGCAAAGGCTGATCTGAAGCTCATGGGTTGGCGCATATCGAGGGTTTGCCCCTGAGAGTTCGCTTGCTTATCTCTGGGGCTAGGCGAAGTTGTTAAAGGTGTTGTACTCATGGGGAGAGGTATTCGTGTCTCGCGCGGTGATTCGGAGTTTTTACGTGGGGATGGACTGAATCTGCGAGTATTCGGAATATACTTGGGGGCTGAATATAGCGGATGACGAGAACCGCTACTAGTGCTGGTCTCGCCGTCGGATGTAATATTGTTCTCTTTTGACTCGGATTTGATAGTATTTTTCGATACTCGTCGGTGGCCAAAGGACTGTGTCGCGTTCTTGCTAACGCGACCGTCGCCGTGACTGAAACCGTTTGTATGTCCGTTGGGCTTTGCGGCTAAGACGCCCGGAGAATTCAGTCGACCGCGATCCATTATCTCTAGTAACGACAGTAACGAGGGTCAAAGTCAAGCAGAAAAGAGCATAATCGTTTAGGTGATATATACATGCATGACATGTAATAGTTCACGCTAGATAAAAAAAAAATCAAAATAAGGAAGAAACAATAGACTCGAAAAAAAAGGGTATTAGAATAAGTATTTATTAACCATGGTTCTTAGTGTTACATCAATCTGAGCACATGGGAGGATAGAGAGTGTAGTGAAAAAAGGCAAGAACTGGAAGAGAATTAGAAGATAATTGGAAGCTGTTATGCTATCATCACCTAGAGAGCTCTGCTGCACTCAAAATTGGCGTCGCGACTCGCGCGGCCAGGACCCACGTTGATTCCGACTACCCAAAATGGAAAGCGGTGAACCATGTGCAGCAGTCTAGCTGAACTTTCCACCAATCTGGACCCTCTCGCTCAGCTTCTCAGTATTTGATTGGATTGATTGATTAGTATACGTACTGGTACGTACCTTAGGACTCATGTACCTTTCTATGAACTTTGTGAATATAATTTAGCAGACTGAGCAACTCATCACGAATCGTAAGCCTTGTGAACGTCATCATCCTATCATCACCTACTAATTTTATATGTAGTGTATAACAAGTCATTTTCAACTCCAAATGAGATACGGGACGGAAGGATATAGTTTGTTTTAATGTCATCAAAAACCACAATATTATCATATGTCCACGCATTTTTAAGAGCGTGGCAGATTACTTCTTTATCGCATTTATCGCATTGCTGCTCGTGACAAGTGTCAACTCTAGCATCGTGTCAATCTCTATTCTCCATTGAATATATCACACGTCACATCAGTGTCAGTACCAACCACGATGCGGCTCTTCTATCCTACTATATTCGAGACGCCGATCGTTGATATTCCCACATAGAAGAGGTGCATTTCTTAGTAGAAGAACAGAGCCACTCCAGTAAGCACACAACTTCACGAAATGCCGGTGCGGGGAACCCCTATCTATCTCCTAGATAAAATTATCCTAGGAGGTAGGTACCTATCCTATCCTATGAATGCAACCGGTACTAAAAAGTTTTGAATAATTTTATTATTACACACTGTCGTAGATATTATATGTGAGTAATGGCAAACTCCAAAGTAGCTATCATAACTGGCGGTGCATCAGGTTTAGGATTTGATATCGCCAGATCCCTATCTCAAAAAGGTTGGCGAGTACACGCCTTCGACTTAAACGTGATTGGCGAAGATGTCTTGGGGCTTGGTCTAAGTAGCTGCGCTTTCCATCAAGTTGACGTCGCCTCCTGGGATTCGCTATCATCTGCGTTCCATGCCGTTTTCAAGGCTGAAGGTCGACTCGATTTTGTCTTCGCGAATGCTGGCGTCATGGAAAAGGGGAAGTTCTTCGAGAGGCACAATCCATCTTCGCCGCCACCGGAACCAGAGGAACTATCTATCAATGTCAATCTCAAAGGAATAACTAGGACAAGTTACCTTGCTCAGCATTACTTCAGGGCAAATGTGAACAACGGCAAGGATTGCGTTCTCATTATGACATCTAGTGTTGCTGGTATAGTGAGTTTTTGATAGGATACCTCTTATGGTAATATCCGCATCTCATATACATCCAGTATCCTCAATCCATCACCCCTCTCTACTCGGCCGCCAAAGCGGGCATAATAAATTTTATGCGCTCGGTCGCCCCTATCTTCTATGAAGAGGATGGTATAAGAACATACGCCATCTGTCCTGGGTCGGTGCGAACTAATATACTACCTAAGGAGCTATGGGATGCGTATCCTCAGGAATACCTAACCCAGATGCAAAAAGTGACCACTACCATCGAATCGCTTATTCAAGGTACGAAATTTTCGGATTCTTGGGGGCAAAATTTCGAAGAATCGAGTATCGGTCTCGTCGTTGAGATTTTCGTCGATGATGTGTATTTCAGGGGTCCGCCAAGTCCCTGCAACGATGGTATGAAATCCATATTTGAACACATGCGCCCTAGAAAGGGGGAATATATAGGCGAGAAGAGGGTTTAAATTTTATTTTAGTTGGTTATAACTCTCGTCATTTCCATACGTCCAAATGGTTTTTTCAGGCTTGCCTCCCCCCCTCTCCTATCTACCCCCATCAGGCCACAATGTTAAAAAGGCAATACCGTATACTTTTAGTTATTCTTCATTCATTAGTAACGAGTAAATAATGGATTAAAAAACCATCACTACGCCCTATTGACAAGTCTTCCGCGCCTTAGATATTTCATTCACTCTTAACTGACATCATAATAACAACATTCCGTGACTATTCCAGTCCTCAAGAAATACTAATGCAGCTATTATTCTATACCTGCTCAAATTCAATAACTATCTGTTTTGATATTACTCGATATAAACCATAATAATAGTGCCTGCCTCGCTTCGAGTAAATCTATTAACACTGGCTAAGAAGACCTTGCTCCGGCCATCCCTTAGTATAAATACCTTTTGCGAACTACTCAACAGGTAAAATATATGATTAGGGCTAGAACCGGCGCTAAAGTCTATATTTATAGGAAATTGTAAAGAGCTATTATTCGAATAATGCCCGTGTGCTCAGTTGAAGACATTACCTACCTCTGTATACATGGCCTCGTACCACTAAGATTACCCCGACACCGACTATGCCGCCCCCTGACATAGATGACATGTCCCATCAGTAGACTAACAAGAGCGTTCAGCAAGGGGGGTGAGACTGTTGGCAATCCCGTAATATGAGAATATGACGTAACATTTATGGGTGACGGGCTAACGGAGAGCACCCCAAAATTATATAGGCGCTCTAGGTATACAAGATGCCAGTTGTTTAGTAAATGAGGGAGTATATAGTGAATATAAAATATGCGAAGTTGCTGACTTCCAACGGATATAGGGGCAGGGGTGTAGCAAGTATCATACCTGTGTCTACCGAGTAGATATATGGTAGTGACTACATAATGATGTCCCGTACTAGTATTTTTAAAGAAGTCTATCTGAAGGGGGTATAATTCTATTTTGGAGGGAGTCCACTACCATGTCTAAACGGCGCTAGACTTAGAAGGTACGTGAATTTGGAAATAAAGTCATAACTTAACTTGTCCACACCCTTAGAAAGGCACTAGATATTATAATAAGTATATCTCACTCCTTGAATACTATATATATTGGACTCTGGTACATAAAAATGCTCCGAGATTCAATTAACTACCTGTTAACTACCTAACCTACCTAATGAAACTCGGAAGTTTCGAGACTATGTTAAGTATATTATACACATTTATATAGATTTAACACGAGTTTAAGTGCTATTACGGCGTTCCTTATAATTATTGGAAATTTCGAGTTTACACGTTGGCTATTTTGCCGCCATATAGAGTTAAGATGGAGTTGCTGGCTAGTTCTGTTGGTGCTGAGGAGTTAACTTATATCAAAGAGGATATATTAATGTAGCCAGTATTAAACTTCAAAAGTTCTATTCAGACATGGTATCCTCATTAAAAACATGTATCTTTCCGTTACACCCGTATTTGGATATGTATTAGGAAGGTTGCGGGGCTTAACATGGAACCATGGAATTTAGGTATATTTGAATCCGGACTCTAGAACCAACAGTCGGTACCGGGGCTTGCCCGGGGATTCCGGGGTGGATACATACTAAATACTGTGGGTACCTATGCACCCCAATAACGGTTGTTGAAATGTGCCTAAGGTAGTAGTTAGCGGCTGGGACTGTTTATTCTCTTTCCGATATACCGGGGTGTTTGATTGCATTAGCAGACTACTTAAGCAAGTCGAGATATGTAGGTATACAATCTTCTAAATACTGCTGCCTAAAGGTTTATATTTTAGGAAATTCTGCTTGTTTCCTCTTTGTTTAAGAGGACTTTGTTTTCTTGAAACATGGTTGTAAGCTATTCGGCAAACTTTTAAACCACGATCTATTTGGGGCGTAAATCTATGCTCGTAGAAGTACTGAATGTGAATTGTTAATTTAATCACAACAAGTCAAAGCTCTCATGCTCCTTTCTTAGCTGGTAATTGTACCTAAAACTTATTTAAGGTAACTATTTCTATTAAATACTAGGGACATGATTGTTTTTCCAATAGTTACATTGTTTTGAATAGTTTATCACTAAACTACCTATAAACCAGGCTAAACAAATTGTATTAAAATAACTACCTGTTATACTAAACATAAACGAGATGCTGATGAAGATATTGCCTGATATCCCTGATAGCCTGAGTGGAAGTATATAACTACCCGATCACCGATCAATCCTGCTGACTGCCTAATTTCGCTAAAGGTGTTGGTACTAGTAGGGCTGAAGGCCCATTGTAACCCGCCGTTTTAGGTCTATAATTGTCATGATAGGTTACTTCTTCAAGGGGTATTTGTGGATTCAGGTACCCGAACCAACCTTAATTATTTCCCGCTTTTCCCGCTCAATTGGAATTCAGAGGCCGCCTATGAGATTCAAATCCGTGACCAGCCTTTTTGATTTTGTATTCTCATTCCTCTTGCCTCTCATAAATGGAAAGCTAGGTACCTAGGCGCCTGCAACGATGTTTACCTAGGCATAGTCAACTATCGCGGTTTAATATATCTATTGTGCGACTTGTAGATCGTGAGAATTTAATCCTTGGAAATCGACATATCTCCTTACATTTTATACCACTCCGTATAGATTGACTTGGACAAGCAAACACCTGGTGGATTTTGTAATATTTAATCATGACGCACATTAGTGCAGAGTCCGGCGCAAGGGAGTCTTTTACGACTGAACCCAAAACCTCGGGTACCAGCACGGACAAACCAGAGAATCGGCTAGTTGAGATCGATCAACCTGAAGCCATTGAGGTCAGTACCGACACCGACGCCGACGCCGAAGCAGCAGATGATGGTACTACGCAAAAGAAGCCCTTGGGGTTCTATCTCTCTTTCTTGGCTATCAATATCCTCGTCTTTCTATTTTCTCTAGATGCTACTACTCTCGCAGTGGCTATTCCCGTAAGTAATTAGTTTACCCCTTTTTTCTTCTTCTCCCCTCTACTCGATTTCTCGACTGGCTTTATGAGAATCAAGTCGGGGATGACCATACTGACATCACTTAGAGTATCGCGCAAGAACTCCATGGCAGTACATTGGAATCTTTTTGGGCCGGAATCGCTTACTATCTCGGCCTCGTTGTCAGTCAGCCCCTATTTGCGAGTATTTCCGACGTCTTTGGTCGGAAACCCCCGCTTTACGTAGCCTTCCTGCTCTTTACCGCCGGTTCTCTCTCCTTCTCCCTCGCCCCAAATATGGCTGCTGTCATCGCTGGCAGGGTCGTCCAAGGCCTAGGTGGTGGCGGTCTTGATGTCCTTGGCGAGATCATAGTTTCCGATATGACCACTCTGAAAGAGCGGCCTCTATACGTCGGAATCATGGCCTTGCCCATTGCTATTGGTAGTATCCTTGGGCCAACTATCGGCGCGCTTTTCAGCGACTACGTTACTTGGCGGTGGATTGGTTGGATCAACTTACCGCTTTTGGGCATCGCTTTTCCCCTATTAGCCTTCTTTCTTCGTCTTCGGTCACTCGGCTCGTCGCTCGATGCCAAACTGAAGCGCTTAGATTGGAATGGTATGTTATTGCTGACGATAGGATGTACCGTGTTTGTGCTCCCCTTAAGCTGGGCTGATGCTCTGTACCCATGGGATTCTTATCAAACACTCGTTCCCTTGCTCCTAGGCGCCGCAGTCATAGCATTATTTGTGTTTTACGAAACGAAACCCGAGGCCCCCGTTATCCCACTTCGAATTTTCCGCTCTCGAACCGCGGCGGTTACCTTATGTGGCGCTTTTATTCATGGTATGACATTATACACACTTCTGCAATATATTCCATTGTCCTACCAAGCCGTTATGCTTGATACACGAATCGGAGCCGCGGTGTCGTTACTTCCTACTAGTGTTACCAGCGTCATAGGTGCTATTGCTTCAGTAATCGGAATCGGGAAGGCCGGGATGGGTTACCAAAGGAGGATTTGGCTATGCTGGGGCTTGGTGACTCTGGGAACCGGTTTGCTAATTCTATTAGACCCGTACTCATCGGTTGGTATGCGATACGGGATCCCTATCATTTGGGGTGCGGGAGTTGGTGCTCTACTCCGTCTTCTACATCTTCCCATGCAGGCAAGCGTATCTAGCGTTGATGACACTGGACATGCGATCGCCCTGTTGTTGACCTTCCGGTGTTTGGGTGGTCTAGTCGGACTCGCTATTGGTTCGACAATATTCAGCAGCACTTTTGGGTCCGCGATTGCTACGATTGGGGAATTGCCCGACTCCCTAAGTCTTCTCAGGGATCCGCACAATGCCGTCGCCTTTATTCCAATAATGCGAACCGTAAATCTTCCATTGGAGGTCATAGCACCCGTCTTACAAGCGTATTTGTCAGCCATGCGTGGCGTATTCTACGCAATGCTCGGTTTCTCTGGCCTTGGTTTCGTATCATCTTTGTTAACAGAAGAGTTGACTCTCCAAAAGACGGAACGCGGACGGCAGCACTTTGAAACATGATTTACCGCTACGATTTAAAGTGACCAAGTAGGGCTATGAAAGGTCAATCGACTTAGTTTGGCGACAGCGGGACTCTCAAATGATGAGATATTATAGTCCAGGAATATATTGATTAAGATATGGGAGGATACATGATAATGCTAATAGGGGTAGCAACGCCTTTAGATGTTGTTTAATATTAATGATAATAGTAAAGACACGACACGATATACATATTAGATTAGATATATAATCACGAAGACCAGATTCGCGACCGCTAGATTCGGTGGGCTCTCGTTTTACTAGAACACAACAGCTTTTCAGCCCCCATAAAACGCTTCCATGAAACACCATTTGAATAATAGGAATCACACATTGAATGTAAAGTACACCTCAAAACTATCACCTTCGTATCTTGAAGTTTCGAGAGGATACCAGCGAGGCAATTAGAGAAATGCGACATCTAAGGGGAAATATCTCATATACAAGGCACTCGCAAATATAAAAAGCGGGCAAGGCAGAGGTACCTAAGACATCTAGAACGGTGTCACCAATAAAGTTGTCATGGAGGCTATGTATTAATTATTCATATCTACTTTTCGACGACTACTTACGATAGAACTGAACAGTAACCCGGTATAAGTAATACCAATTCATAAACGGCCTATGTTCAGTGTGATTAATCCACTCTCTTGAGTAGCTGCCCGATGATAGCCTTCGAAACATCAGCCGACTCTAGAACGTCTTGGAAATACAAGTTCGGCCACATCTCCTCGATATTACACGCCGTATAGGTCGCGAGTAGGCTCCTCAGCTTGTCCTGCTTGCCCCCTTTATTCACCGTGTTCCTATATGAGTAGTCGATGAGCTGGGATATGTCGGTCACTCTCGTCCCCTTGTGTAGATTGAACACTTTCAGTGTCCGATGTAATTTGCGAATGCTGAGCTCCATAAGCGTATCGATACCGTAGCAATCTGCAAAGGCGTACAGACGCGCGTGTGAGAGGAAAACCTCGGAGTAGTTTGCTGAGGGGACCGTATTTGGAGTTTCCTTCACTCTCTTATCCGGCTCATCATTAATTTCCTCCTGAAATTCACGCCAGATGATATCCTTCTTTGACGGTGGTGGCTGCGGTTGTTCTTCGAAGAACCCCTTTTTCTTGTTTTTGTATCTTCTCGACACTCCATAGGCATCCCAAGAATCTACTGACGATCCACCAAACATAGAATGATTAACTACTAGCTCCTGAGCCGAAGCTTCCTCGATAATCTCTTCTCCGTCGACTACTGGTCCCGACGCGGATGTTGCAACTTCACTGCCTACCTTTCTTGTGAGTATATTTATGTCAGGTAAGTTCTAATAGCATACCCTTTTTCTGCTCTAGTGGTGTCGGCACATCTTCGAACGGTTCCGCAGCCTTATAATCCCCTGTGTATGCAAACTCGTAGAACCGGATAAACGTTCCCTCGTCGACGTCGGGCCATTCCGTAAATCCTTCATTTCCTTCCTTCCATTCGCCGTTGACCAAAGTCCCGAGGGGTTTAGACATCCGCGCGACCAGCTCAGCATGCATAAAGAACTCTTTCTTGTCCGGCCCGACGAGGAATCTGAACGGCTTCGAAGCGGCAATACTAGAGAATAATGTAAGTTGGTTTCTATAATAGGATTGACTCCTTTAATTTGCGCTAGTCTTACATTGCATATGGGACGCTTGCCATTGTCAATACTTGGATAATGAAATTACATCTAAAAATAAATAATCATCTGAGAATTTGATGGTTACTTAAAGGATGGGTTAGTATTATATTGAAGACAGGTGGGAGACTTCGTTTGTAGTTTGTACGCGAGGCTCGGGCTGCTGCGGGGTTCTGTAGCAAGCCGTGTCGACAACCAGCCTGCAGAAAGTCGTGCAATGCTACCAAGGCGATAGGTCATTAACTACCCAACCTAGACATCGCAATGTGATATTCAAAACAACGCTGACAACGCTGACTTTGAGTCCTAAGACAAGCCAGCTCTCTAGGTCTGTCATACATATCTTAGGTGCCTAGGTAACCAATGGAACATGGAACACAGCATAAGGTAACGTTCAAAAGCATGCGTGCCACCTAATGCATGTCGTGAGTAGCAGACAAGCATTGGCCAGATCGGAAGACCGCATAAGAGGTACCTAGGTAGGTAGAAAACTTACCCAGATGCCAGTCAGCCTACTCATGACTTAGCCACAAATTCTGCCTCGTATTTATATCCTCAACGAGTTCTACTATGATCCGAAAAGACATTTACGTTAGTATTTATAGAATATTAGTATAATATTTAAGACGGCCCTTAGGGCACGCCGGCTACTCTTCCTGCTTGCATATTATAAGCCAAGTTAGCCGCTATAAATGAGGCCCGAGTCCCATCTATCTAAAAAGATCATGTCGTTATCATGCATCCCTTTCTATTATAACCTATAACTCAATATCAGAAAAGTCGTCGTGGGTCGCCGTCACCGTGGCCAACTTTCTTCAGCCAGAAACGCCGCACCCGAGTCGCCGAAAGCCTCTATATCCGAATCCGCTTTTTTTGCGCCGAGTTGTATGTACATTCGTTCTCATCGGAAATTAATTACCCCTAATACCTGCGTGAAGTTCTTGCTTCTCGGAAGTAATTATATTGCATAGGATCCTGTTCGGGCGGCCCGAGGTCTTCTTCCTGCGGCAGACCACCATAACCTCGCGGGCCGCCGCCCAACATTCCTGCACCACCTGGTGCCCTGACAGGAGCAGCTATTGGCATCGCTGCTGCATTTCCTACCAGGTTAGATCCACTATCGTTTGCATGCGCATACAATGGGCTACGCGATCGACTAATACTGGGTTCGGGAGCGTAAGGGTTACCTAAGGGTTGGTTGTATCCGCTTGGATATGTCATACCTGCGTCAGAACCAGGTGAAAGCGCTCTGCTCATCAATCCTGGGCTATCCAGCCTGGGAATGCTTGGAATCGTCGGGCTTCCTGATCTAGACGTTGGCTCACTCCCATTCCATAAACTACCAGGCGTCCCAGGGCGCATAACATCATTGGAACGGCCAAAGATATCGCCGCCACCATGTTCGGCCGCAAATTCAGATCGTGTCTTGTAATACTCGAAGTCAAGCCTTGATTCTGGCACTATTTCAAATCCCGGTATGCCCGCCATTTTCCCAGGTTTACCAGCATTCATTGGATTCATGATGTAGGCATCTGAATAGCCAGATGTAGACATCGTATCTCCAGAGTAAGCTTCACGGCCATCCGTTAGGCGCCCTTTGTATATGGAAGCTAAAATATTCTGAGCCTTTGCGTGTACCATTGGCGTGATGAGAGGTTTGTAAAGAGCGGGATGACCAAAGCGATGAGCGAGTCCAGCCGAGCGTAATGGGTCCTTCTGCATAGTCCCTTCAGGATGTTTCTGGATGTTGCGAGTCGAATAGAAATGGATCTTGGCATCGAATGTTCGAGAACAATATACTTTGAAGATTACCATAATAAATGGTAAAGGAATGGCTGCAAAGGCCATTGTGTGGAGTCCGTCACCATGCACCCAAGCCGTTAGGAAGACCACCAGATTCGAAAGTATAGTGCCAAAGACGAAGCGATTGAACAGGACTCGCCAGAACATCCCGCCAGACTCCGTCTTTGTCACAAAGATGTAAAGCAGCAGGTACTTCTTCAACCATACATCGATAGAAAAGTATAATGCCGCAGCCGGAAGAACAAGGGGCTGGAGGCAGCTAAAACCTAAAGCCACAGTGGAGTAGAACAAAAAGTAGTTATAGTAGCTAGCATAATCGAAGGACGGAGGTGCCGTTAGTTCGATCATCTCCCTCGGCGTGGGACTCGAAAATTTGCGCATGAAGAAGCTATAGATGAAGGTCCACAGTTGGGCTAAATCGATGGCAGCACCCAAGTTTCTCTGCAATAGCCAAGTAACCCAGAATGATGAGATATCACACAACGAGATAAAGAGGGTAATGCCGAAGTTTGATAGCGTATCCCAAGCCTTCTGCGGGTCGCTGGCAACAGACGAAACCAAATTCCAGATAGTGCTGAAAAGACAGAAGACGATTAGGTTGTTGAAGACGAAGAAAGCGTACAATTTAGCAACGACGTGGCGCTCGCGTCCGGTCTTCGTGCGATCACCAGCTCTAATTGCAAGTCGACGGAAGATAATAGGAAGCACTAGGTAGACCAGAGATAAGATGGCCGGAGACGCAACACCTTGAACAATGGACCAGAACCCAGTATTGCCGGACAGCTGGGCCTGAAAGGCAGGCCAAACCAAACCTAAGTTACTTAAATTGACTAAGAAAATAGCAATCATAGCACTAGGCGCAATCCAGATGATCGTTAGTATAGCAATCCAGAAGTTGATAATCATCCTTCTCCAGCTCCGCGTCGCCGGGGTAAGGGGCATGTTATCCCATATAATGTCATTTGGTCTCGGAGCCAAGACGATGGTAGCACCCTGAGGCTTCTTCTTACGCAGGGCGTATGCGATACTGTGGGCTTCGGAAATATCATCGTAACTTGCAAAGCCGTAAGATAAACTGCTGCGTTTATCAATATTGGCCCGGGCCTCCTTCACTTCTACTTCGAGTTCTCTTATTCGCTGAGTAAGGTATTCAATAGCATCAACCTTCTGTCCCTTCGGATAAGTACTATATGATGGGTCCTTCTTGGACGGATAGCACACGGGCCGAGCAGCTGGTAAGTTTTGAGGGTCTTTGAGATATATGGCCAACACCTTCTCGAGCTTTCGAACGGTATGGTCGTGTTGTTGGATTAAATTAGGCAAATCCCTAACGTTGCGAGCAGCGGCTGTCCTAGCAAATGAAGCGTGCGGGATGACATCGTCGATAATCCTTGCAATACCTTCATCACTGGCATATTTTCGGGGAATATCGTTCAACTACTCTTGGTAAGTTTTGATATAAACGATATGGGAGAAACAAGGACTTACCATTAGGGTCCGAGCGGATAAACTCTGCTGGTACTCTTTGGTTTCAAAATATACTCGTCTAAGCTTCAGAACTTCCCTATAGTTCCACCACAGAAACCCGATGATGACGAAGTTAAATATATAACCTGTTACCACAACTGCCCAAACAGGTTGATCGTTGACATTGGAAGGTGTCAATCTCATGAACCATCTCTGGTTGCCTGTCTTGTCGCTGTTAAGAGTGTAGAAGACGGGGAGGAGAATTCCACAACCGACGACGCCAAGCACAAGAAAGATGTTGCGGCACATGGTTGTGAATCTTATAAATATGGCAGCGTCCATGCCGGCGTGGGATATCATATCTTTCTCACTCGTCCTCCATAACGGCGGGATCCACGCAAGATACCCCTTACCAATCGGAGGTGGTGCATGCTCTTCGTCGGCATGTTTAAGCTTCGGTGCATAGACAACGGAATTATATGGTCGAACAAACGAGAAAGCGATGGCGATAAAGAGTGTGAATCCTACTGATGTACCCAAGGCAGACCAGATAGCACCATCTGTAAGCTATGACGAAGTTAAGTTAGCTATCTATTCTGCAATAGAGATACGTAGGTAAGTAGGTAGGTTGATCTAATTACCGTCTGTTTAAAGGGGTTCCGCAGCAAGTCTAGCAGCTCCTCAACCGGACTTGGTCCGTCCCTGGGTAGCAGGAACCGCGCATGAGCCCAGACATCCATACTACTACGGAAGTCTGTTTGGGTAGCCTTCTGTGGCCAGTGGTGGAAGTGGGCTCCAAAAAAATTGATTTGAGGCCTGAAGAGGCAACTTCAGTGGCCAATTGTCTAAAAAACGTATTCAAATTCGTAGATTCGTATAGGGCTCATCCGCAGCGTCTATAGAGCATTTGATAGTCCAATATCTTATAGTGATATATATATATGTTATCGTCGGGTTCGGTAGCGAAAGTATTCTAGGGTCTTGTAGTCTTTCCTAACAAGAGAACACAAGCTCTTATTCTCTTATTCTCTAACAAAGGCGTTCGTTATGGTCGAGATGCTACTTAGGTCGAAATGCACAAAGCAACTGCAAACGAGCGACGTGACCGTAGGAATAAATCGAGAGTCGAACAAGTAACACGAGCGAAGGGAGAAAGAAATATCCTATATTACGTAGGTAGGCTCGAGGTATCGTAGTTTGAGGTACGTAGTTGGTGTTGTTGGTAGGGAAGAGAGAAGATGGAGGAGAGCCAAGATCGCGCCTATCAAGATCTGATAGCAGCGTGGGGATAACGACAAGAGATATGTAGGTACCTAAGGTATCTAGGTAAGCATGTACCTAATCTACATGTATGTACTTGGGTTTGGATAAGACCCTATATGCGTGTATGTAGAAAAGAAGGTATCGTCATATACAATGAAGAAAACGAATACCTTATTTGAGAAATTTTTGGAAATTTCAGGAACATTGAATGCACTGATAACTTGAGTCAGGATCCCTTCTGAACTTTTTAGATCCAGGGGATACTTACCTTGTACCTTACTGATTGAATGACGAAAAGCCGCATTGCCGGCTGGAACACGTCGAGCTACGCACCACATAGTACATGCACTAACCCGCTCTAGCTCACTTAACGAGTCGCTACATACGAGCTACATACGAAATAAGCGTTTATCAAATACTCTAGATTGGAAGATGGGAAGATGGGAAGATTGGAAGGTTACAGCTAAGTTTCTGTTTCTACAATTAATAGCCTATTCCATGTACAAGTGCCTGAAGATGTATGCATAGGTACCTACATACCTACCTACCTACCTACCTACATAGCATATGTACAGATGATCCCTTTGCAACCATACACCGTATAATACAAGATTTCCGAATATCCGCGTACCAATGCCTTATAACTGCATAATGCTCAAACATCAAAATCGACACTTATCCTACCATCTCACTATGTACCCTTGAAGAAGCTTCAAATGAGACTCGAAGCCAAACATTTGTGTCCAATCGCATAACAAAAATAACGAAACCGCTCAATCCCCACTCACAACTTCTATTTTTGACTGGTCCATCCCTAGGGGCAACACTATCGCATAGCCAATGAGACCGTAAGATCCGGGGGGTATCTCAGTGGGGCCATTCTAGAATACGAGCTCGACCGCCAGAGGTATGCAAGACATTGTTGGCCTCAACGTTGTCTTTAAATGGCCTTACGCGCAGGTCATTCCGTCTCATATATCACGCGCTTACAGACGCGTGAATATAAAAATACCTAATATAGCAAGGGGTTGCGAATGCTCGAAATGACCAACCATTATACATTCGACGTATATGTACCTAAGCCTTCGATCTGAATTTATCGAGTGCCTACCATAGTGCCCATCTATTTACATGTATGTACTATGTATGTAGAAGATACAAGGTCCAGTATCTGTAACGTAGTAAGGGTCGCCGCCGATCCCCCGAACCAGGGTCTCGGGAATTGGGGCTTATAATCCACTATCTAAGAACCTCATCCTTGGCAATGTGTAAATCTAACTTTCAAGGCTCCTAAACTACTAAACGACAACCAATAGAGTATTCAAGAAATTACTCATTACACGTACACACATGTACGTATGTACTGCATTTAGTTGGTAAGATGTCGCGGCCGGTGGCCTCGGTCTCCTAAACGGCCTTTCTTGAATCAGGCTAAGAAGCCGATACGCTCGGCCGGCTTAGTGCTACCACGCTTCGGATATCCAGCCGTACCGCAAGACATTACCATGGCAAAATCTTTCGCTCGGCTCACAATAACGATGCATTTCGAAGATTTATGTGCGGATATCCTAATATCTCTTCCGTGTATCCGTTAGGGTCCATGTGGGTGACCCCACGTGACGAAAGGCATCAGTACCAACAACTAATTATTCGTGGGAAAAGGTGGCTCCTAATCGATGATATAAACGCGTACCAAATTATGAATTGGTCGTTCCTACACTAAAGATTCTTCCTAACATAGAAATATGCCGCAATTGCCGAGCGAAATGTAAGACCTTTAAAGAGAGGACTTCTGTTTACATTATAAGAAGTCCCACGCGCATATTCTTCATACTCGCTCATGAATTCTTTCGCTCTAAATTTGACCTTCAGTTTCCTTCACGATTGATTTTACGGCGTTTAGACTAGAAATGAGACCTGCCGTTCATAATAGTTATTCATGTATAAATACCCAAGTCAGCATACATCAAGAGTCTTTGAGGACCTTAATAATAGGTAAGGATATTGCCCAAGCGCGACGAGGTACAACTTAATAGTTTTAGTGCTTAATATATGTTCGATATATTATTAAAATTGTCTTACAGAAAATTAAGCTCTAGTGTCGAGTTGCACTCACAAGTAGGGCTGACCAATGCCATCCAACATAGTCTTTAGTACCTAATGGAGAAGACTGAGACTAAGGTACTGCCTCCACAATACCCCGTAAGAAACTTAGGTGAAGTTTCTATCAAAAGCCACTAGGTTACAGAAGGCTACTTATAAGAATGTTGCATAATGCATCCCACAATCCATAAGCTTGCAAGGCGGCCTTCGCCTCTTTGATACTCGTTCGAGGTGTAAATGTACCTAAGTTACTCGGATATACCTCTTATAGACTGCGGGTTCCAATCATTATTCGGAGCTTCAAGTCGTGTGTCACCCGATAAAATATAAGACTTGATATATAAATAATAACTTTCAATAACGAGAGTACGCTTGAGCACAGTCTTTGTCAGACATTGTACCCTTAATTAAGGTCATACATAGGGTGAATATCAGAATAGATAAGTTAAACCATTATCGCCTATCTTCTACCTTCTTACGAGGGCGCTACGCGCCTCCTATATAGGAGATCTACTCCTACATCTACCCCTAATTCACTTGTAGCCTAACAGTCATATCGAATGTTCTAACTATGTAAGCTCTCTTATAACTAGACGTAGGGTAATAGATTAGAAACAAAACATCCTAGAGGAGAGGCGTAATTTATAAGAAGCATAATGATTTTCATCCTACTTCAAGAGGCATAGATGGAAAGGTCGTGCATTGATACACCGTGTAGGTTTTGAGAAGCGTCCTATATTATAACAATGTGACATGGCGATATAACCACCTGAAGTTAAAGCACCAATAACCACATACCCAGATAATTAATAACCAGTATTATCCCTAAGCAATAGACCCAATAGTTTGTTCTAGACTTCTGCCAGCCGGGCAGATACGATTGAATGTGGTATGGAATATCAATTGAATCAGATACCTGCTCGTAGTTATAGACTTGGAGTAGATTAGAAGGGAAGTTTTCACGAGGTGGACCAAGAAGCTAGGCAATAACTTCGTTCCGCGAGGAACTCTAAACCATCTACGGGAACATATGGTTATAAGGTAGGTATGCTATTCTTTTGTTCTATGTAAATGTCTCATCTAAAATCTTAACAGAAGTTAATCTTGCTTCATCCCCTCTCCATCTAACCATTCCGGAGTCATATATTTCAGTTTCTTATATTCTATGCAATATTTATTTTAAGATTCTATATTGATCATTTTTATAGGATACCTACTTTGGGTAATCCTAGGACACTATCTTCGACTAGCTAACGCTACGTTGCTTGCGTCGCACAACACACATTCCCATCGCACAGGCCTCTGGTTTTCCTTCCATGTATGCAACGACAAAAAAGGGAATTGACCCTTATTCTTGATCATTCAAATATCAATATGTACAAAATAGGATGAATGTAAAACATTACGCCTCACAAGCCTGTGGATAGCAACTCCCACTGACGCCTCCGATATTCCCAGTCCACGGCCTTACAAGATAATCGAATCGATGCATAGGAAGGGGTAAGAATGAACAACATCCATCCGTCATTTTAGTTTAGATTTGATCCGCAGCTCCCTGGCTTCTGGTCTTTCTTGCCGTCCTGCCAACGGGGAGTGGTGCTTTTTTATCTTTCTTCGATTCTTTCTTTGGTCGACCAACTTTCTTGGACGTGCCATTAGTATTAGCTCCATTGGTCTTTTGCTTCTTCTCGGCCGGTGCATCTTCCGGGGACTCCTCCTGCGTAACATCGTCATTAGATGCTTCAGATTCACTTGGCTTGCGTTTCTCTCCAGTATTTGCTTCTGGTTTATCAGGCTCGGCAGTAACCGGTACTGGATCAGCTTTCGGAGTATCGTTTGCTGGTTCTTGGACGGGCAATGCCCCAGTCATCTCAGCAGGCTGAGGTTGAGCCGCAGCTGGCGCATCTTGATCGTGAACCTCTTCGATAGTAACGGGTTTAGGAGGCTCTTTAGCTTCACCATTGGTAAGTGATGGTGGATCAGTTGCTATCTTCGTAGTAGTAGTAGTAGACTCTGTAGGCACTGTTTCGGCTGACTTCTCCGGTTGCGAAGCCAATTTGTCAGCAGCGTCTATCTTCTCGGTCAATTCCTTTGAATCAGTGGTAGCAACATCGTTTTGCGCCGGGGTTTCGGAGTTAGGCGCAGTTGCCGCCCCGGGAGCTACGACATTGGCCACAGTCGATGGCTCCATGGATTCTTCTCCTGGATTAATGGGACTCTTCGCAACTGGCGGGATACTAGGTTGCGACCCAGATGTTGTTACTTCGCTACTCGTGCCTAGTTCTATACAGTTAGTGTACTGTGTTGAATATATTGCGATCCAGTCGCATAACCGTATAAGTGCGTATGAGCTTTCAAAATAGCTCAATTGGGCTCGGATCAGGGTCGCAAAATCTTCTACGGTATATAGGCCGTAGAGTTATTGGAAACAATACCTTTTTCGATGCCGTTGGTAATGCTGTCGGCCATGTTGATGACGTCAGAAGAGCTAGCTGAAGAATATGCACAGTGTGCGATAGTTGGTATAAGGGGATCGGTGCAAAAGGAATACGCGAGCTAGAAAGTATAGCAATGTAAAAGTTTTGATGGAAATTTGATGTTGAGTGTTATAAGGCTTTTACAGAAGCGTTGTTAGAAGCTGACATGAAAAGAAGAGAAAAAGGAATAGAAACGGAGGAAAATTGAGGTTTGAGGTCGACCAAGCTTCTTGATCCATCTCACAGTTCAGTAGTACGAACGAATCAGAAACGTCGACGGACCGGGAAAACTATTGAGGATGAGGAAGCTTCCATTCCATATCCATTTGCTCTCAGATCCTTACGCAACCGAGACACAAACATGCATATGTAGAATAAATCGGGCAAGGGGTGGACAGGGGAGGAGCATGGAAGCATGGAGAGCTAGGGAACACTTGCATCCGACTACCAATAAGAAACCACCAATGGGACCAAATAGGACCAATAGGACCAATGAGGGGAAGCTGCAGAATACATAATTGTGAGAGTTGGAGCCGGGGGAGATCTAGTTGACCATTAGGATTTACGGATTTATAGAATTTACCCAAGAGAATTATCAGACCATTATCTACATACACTCAACTGTACGGCATATACTGTAATGATATATTGTAACGTACTTGTGTAAGTTATGAGTATCGAACATGAAGTTCATTACCTATATTATACATTGTACATGATAAATGGTATAGACAAGACGGACCGATGCTAAAAGGTTCAAATGTTATGAGAAGACGGAGACTATTGTGAATGTGAATTGTCATTTGTCAGCTTGTGGGATGACGTTTGCATCGGAAATATCTGTTTTCATATCATTTACCTAACAACAGCATGGATCGCATACATACCGTACCACCCGGTTAAGGACATAGTATTTAATATTATATTCGCACAGTCTAATAAGTAAGACGAATACCTAGACAGACTTAACAGATAATGTATTCAATCATTTTCGGTTTCGATGTCGTAAGGTAAGTTCCTTTACAAACCTAATATAGGTACATTTACCGTAAGCTGAGGCTCACGTAGAAAACGGCGTGATAGGTGGATTTTAAGAGATGGAAATTGATGATCTACATTGGTAAAAGGTTGAAATCTTATTTGTTATGCACACGACATGATGATTGAACAATTCCAAAATTCCGAACCAAATTTATGCCGACTAGCCGATATTCTGCCGCCAAGCACTAAGGGGAATAGGCATTGCGTCACGTGGCTAAAACTGCTGAAATTTAGTTAGCACGTGCAAACCCTCTTCCCCAAAATCAACAGGTTAGCTCCACTTTAAACTCTCCTTCTATCCTCCCAAGACTCAACTACGAGTCGCGCATCACCAACACCCAGCCTTGCGAGCCTCTTAGAACAAAGACGTTCTAGAAGCCAAGTCTTAGCGCTAAGAAGCCAAGCCTTGGGTAAACTTGGGGCCAAGCCGTATGTTACCAATTACGAAGGTTGATTCTTCGCGTGCTGTGCCGAACCCCGCGACTATCTCTTGCTTAGGAGCCTCATCCATCTTTTATGTAGTGATGTGGTGTTATCTCTGACGTTTTAATTTCTTGGGACCGACTACATGCCAATATTTTCTGCATGTATTAGCCAATTAGAAACCTTCATACGCACAATACCCACGCTAAACAGCACCTCGGTGACTTATCAACTCCTCGAGCATACTAGAATGCATCATGATGGTGATAAGTGCTCTTGGTTTACTTGGCGCCGATGATGGAATCACAAAGATTTTGTATCTCCAGCGGCGTAGTTCCCCGCGCCTGGGCGAACTGTTTGCTCCCATTCGAGGTTATAAAAGAGATCCATATCCCGGATCTGTGCGGCTGGGCTTCCAAAAAGACTTGTGTGATCAGATGATTCCTTTTTTTCTAGGATCTTTTTTTCTATAAGCTATCTAGAAATATTTTAAGCTAAGACCAAAAATCTTGAAATTCATAGACGTATATACCTACAATTGTATTCATCTATGAGGAGCCGAGTTCTAAGTCGAGTCCTAAGCCGACAATATTCGTGTAAGCCCCAAACCCGATTCGATGGCTGGGCAATTTGAGCGCCATCCATTCCTCTTAACTGCCCAAGATGTTGCCAAGGAACTCGAGACAGACCTTGAAAGAGGCTTGTCCTCTGCCAAAGTCACGCAGCTACAGGAGAAGTATCCCCCTAATGAGTTAGATGTCGGCGGAGCTATTCCCGGGTATAAAATCTTCCTTAAGCAACTATTCAATGCTATGATATTGGTAAGTCACTTATACCATACCCGAGAATATGACTATAGAGCTAACCCTATATGATAGATTTTATTCCTTGCTATGGGACTAAGCTTTGGCATGAGCGATTGGGTTGAGGGTGGCGTCCTCCTTGCCGTTATTGTACTTAATGTTTCGATTGGGTTCTACCAGGAGTATGGTGCAGAAAAGAAGTTAGATGCTCTTAGAGCACTTTCCGCTCCTAGTGCTATGGTACTTCGTGATGGTAGGACTCGAGTAATTCCTAAGTAAGCCCGCATTATCATCCGTGTAATTACATTAGCTCCACAACAATGCTAACGTACCTATTCACAGTGCTGAAGTGGTACCTGGCGATATTGTCATTCTGAAAATGGGTGACACAGTCCCTGCCGACATCCGTCTTTTTGAAGCCATGAATCTGGCCGCCGACGAACAATCTCTTACTGGAGAGTCAGTTCCCGTTGAGAAGATAGTCGAACACCTGGAAGATGACGACCTCGGCATTGGCGACCGGATAAACATTGCCTACGGAACAACAACTATTCGAAAGGGACGTGGTAGGGGTGTTGTTATCTCTACTGGTATGCAGACCGAGGTTGGCAAGATTGCTGCTTCGACTGCAAAGAAACATCGCAAAGCCGGTCGCTCTATGAACTATAAGAAGTACGGAAAGCGACAGCCGATTATTGGTCTTTTTAGGCGCATATACGATTTCATTGGCAAGTTCCTCGGACTGACTGAAGGCACGCCGCTTCAGATCAAGCTAGCAAAATTGGCCTATGTACTTTTCGGCTGTGCTCTATTACTTGCCGTCATCGTATTCGCCGTCAATAAGTTTTCTGTTGACCGGGAAGTTGTCATTTATGCTATAAGTACTGGTATTGCCATCATACCTGAATCTCTTGTTGCGTAAGTTCTCGTCATATATATATATCCTTGCGCCACTACCACTAACATATTTTCCAGAGTCTTGACTATTACTATGGTTGTTGCTGTTACTGTTATGCGTAAGACCAATGTAGTAGTCCGAAACTTGTCCGCTCTAGAAGCTCTTGGTGGTGTTACCAATATCTGCTCTGACAAAACAGGCACCTTGACTCAAGGGGCAATGATAGTGCGGAAAGTATGGATTCCCTCCAAAGCAATTTATACCGTTGAAGACTCCAAGCATCCAAGTAACCCATCTGAGGGGAGAGTCACGTTCTCAGAGGTTGATGACCAAGACCAAGAGCCTGAAAAAAGAGACTTTGACCAGGAACGTAGCGCGGCAGTTCTTAAGTTTGACGTCCCAGACGAGAAGCTCAATCCTCCTAGACAGAAGAAGGAAGACGAGAAAGAGGCCACTATGAACCCTAAACTAGAGGCCTTCCTTCTTTCTGCAGCGCTTTGTAACCTTGCTACAGTTAGGCACGAACCAGAGCCTAGCGATGGTCGTCCCGAATGGCAAGTTACTGGCGAACCGACCGAGATTGCCTTACAAGTATTTTCATATCGTTTTCAGAAAGGGAAGAAGATCATGGAGGCAGAAGGCTGGAAGCAAGTTGCCGAATTTCCCTTTGACAGTGGTATAAAGCGTATGTCTGTTGTCTACAATGGTCCAAACCTTGATCATAGTATGGTATTCACCAAGGGCGCCGTCGAGCGAGTCATTGACCTTTGCTCTACCGTCGGTACCGAAGACTCCCAAGAGCCAATGACTGAGGAGTACAAGGAGCGAATTCTAAAACAGATGGACGTCTTTGCTAGCCAAGGGCAGCGTGTTCTAGCCATCGCTTCTCGACCGTGGGAAGGGAAATATCAGGAAAAGACTACAGCTGAAAATAACGAAGGGGACGACCCTCTGCGGAAGCAAGTGGAGAGTGGCCTTACACTCTTGGGACTCGCGGGGATTTATGACCCGCCACGGAAAGAGACGACACCGGCGATCGCCGAATGTTCTACTGCTGGTATCAAGGTAAGTCTTTATATACTTTTAAACGCACATCGAAACATAATACCTAGGTACTAACCTACTATATCATAGGTACACATGCTGACGGGCGACCATCCTGCTACGGCCGAAGCGATTGCCAAGGAAGTAGGTATTATTCCCAGAAATCTAGGTGTTCTTAGCCATGAAATCGCCAGTGCGATTGTGCAGAAGGCAAGTGACTTTGATAAGCTTTCTGATGACGAGATCGATGCTTTACCGGAATTACCACTTGTTCTTGCACGTTGTGCTCCGGACACGAAGACCCGTATGATAGAAGCTCTCCGCCGCCGATCTGCTTATATGGCTATGACTGGCGACGGTGTCAATGATGCTCCGTCGCTATCCCGAGCTGATGTCGGTATCGCAATGGGCTCGGGGTCTGATGTAGCCAAGTCTGCAGCTAAAATCGTGCTGACTGACGATAAATTCAATTCCATCGTTGCTGCCATCCGCGAGGGTCGTCGAATGTTCGACAACATCCAGAAATTCATCCTGCATCTACTTACCTCGAACGTGGGAGAAGTTATTCTTTTGATATGCGGCCTTGGATTTCAGGACGAAACAGGCCTTTCGGTGTTCCCCATCTCGCCTCTCGAAATTCTTTGGATCAATATGGTAACTTCATCGTTCCCCGCCTTCGGCCTCGGTCGTGAGCCTGCCTCTCGTGAAGTGATGCGTAAACCTCCGCACGATAGGAAGCGAGGCGTATTCACGAACCAGATCCTGGTCGATATGCTTGTTTACGGACTGCTAATGGGCACCTTATCACTTATGTCATTTGTCATCGTCATCTACGGGGTGAACGGTGGGCAGCTAGGCGTAAATTGCAATAGGGAGTATGGCCCTGACGGACTTTGCGAGCCTGTGTTCCGGGCGCGAGCCACGGTGTTCGCGGAGCTGACGTGGCTGATCCTTATTAGCGCCTGGGAGTTTAAGGACATTCGCCGGTCTATGTTCCGTCTCAACCCAGATGACAGCTCCAAGTTCCCGCTATTCAAGGACGTCTACGAGAATAAGTTCTTGTTCTGGGCCGTGGTACTAGGCGCTATTAGCGTGTTTCCTGTTGTATACATTCCTACAATAAATACCAACGTCTTCAAGCACATTGGTATCAGTTGGGAATGGAGTCTTGTTGTCGTCGCGACCATTATATTCGTTGCTGGTGTGGAACTCTGGAAGTTGGCTAAGCGTCACTTCAGATTACTCGAAGATGCTGCTGTCGTAAGAGGTGCGTTCTCTCAAGGTAGCGAGGAAGGTAGCCGCAAGTTCCACCACACGTTCAGCTTCAGCAGTTTAAAGAGCTGGCGAAGTATTGGGCAAACCCATACTACTGATACCCGGGCTAGTACGAAGGAGAGGAAGGACACGAGTCCCGTATAAAGTCATACATCTTGGATACGACATAGTTTGTTGGCTGGATGAAAGCAATAATTATGCTCTCTCCGGGGTTGAAAAGTCGACATGATAAAATGGGGACGGTATTTACTAAATATTGTTTAGAAAGTCGAGGAAATGTTGCTCGGCTAGGATACACGAAGGATACCAGATAGTGTAATTATTGTAGATACCATGTTTACGAAGGTTATGTATTGCTTCCGATTATTTCAATTTTACCTACCTACACAGGATGGCCCAGAAATATAAATATGATATACTCACAATGAATTAGTATATAATAACTCTTTGAATATTAATTTTGACGTTGTTTTAATATTATAACTTCATCTTTATTTGTTTTTCGATCTATTCTATGTCCAAAATGAAAAGGGGTAATGAAGGCCGAAAAGGGGCTAAATTATGCTGAGTCATCCGACCCGTAGCATTGCCCCACGCCCCAGATCTTTTTATCATTTAGCGTGTTCAATTGTTAATTGTCCCTTGTTCCTTGTCAATTGTTCCTTTAACCCAATTATCGAAGTTACGCGCCGAATTCCAACTTCACATCACCCAACTTCAGTCCACTCCTTTGCCCTGTATCTGTAACTTTACTTCACTTTCTACCTATACTAATTCCAATTCCTCTTATTTTGAACCCTTATATCCTAAATAATCAAGGTCGAAATCACAATGGCTCCGACAAAAGCGACCGCAACCAAGGACAAGTACTCGGTTATCCTGCCGACGTACAACGAGCGCCGCAACCTACCCATCATTACCTGGCTTCTCAACCGCACCTTTACCGAGAAGTACGTTATCTCCCCTCCTTATTTACTCCTTGGGTATGATTAGGAGCTAACTGCGGTATAGCGACCTCGACTGGGAACTCATCATCGTCGATGACGGCTCACCCGACGGAACGCAGATTGTAGCGGAACAACTGGTCAAGGCCTACTCGCCGCACGTAGTGCTGAAGACGCGATCGGGTAAGCTCGGGCTAGGAACCGCATACGTACACGGACTACAGTTTGTGACGGGCAACTTCGTCATCATCATGGACGCCGACTTCAGTCACCACCCCAAGTTCATCCCGCAGATGATTGCGCGCCAACGGGCCGGCAACTTCGACATTGTTACAGGGACCCGGTACGCAGGCAACGGTGGCGTGTACGGCTGGGACCTCAAGCGCAAGTTTGTTAGCCGCGGCGCCAACCTATTCGCCGATACCGTCCTGCGCCCCGGCGTCAGTGACCTAACCGGCAGTTTCCGCCTCTACAAGAAGTCCGTCCTGCAGAAGGTCATTGAGAGTACCGAAAGCAAGGGCTACACCTTCCAGATGGAGATGATGGTGCGCGCCAAGGCCATGGGCTTCAGTGTTGCTGAAGTTCCCATTAGCTTTGTCGACCGTCTCTACGGCGAGTCGAAGCTTGGTGGTGATGAAATCGTCGAGTATGCGAAGGGCGTGCTCAGCTTATGGTTGAAGGTTTGATGTGGAAAATATACCCCGGCTAGGTGTGCAAGGGGTAAAGCAATTGAGTCGGCTTGGCCTCTGGTTAGATAGTTTTATCTATGTATGTACCATCGATGCTTATACATACTAAGTTAAAGCAGGCGAAATATTGTGATATCTATTTATGAGCGATCAATTGTTTAGAATGTGAAGCTCGGCGGGGAATTTCTTACAAGCCGTTTTTTAAGCGGCTTCCTCCCTATTATTTACTCAATTGTCATCTACCATAATACATGATAGCTAAGGTCTCATATCCCTAAACAGACACATCGATACGATAAACCCTTCTCCTAGTATCGCAATAAGAAACAAACCTTTTATTACTCTTACGAAACTACGAGCTAATGAAAATCAAAACAGCCGAACGTCCATCAGTACAATCCTGACAGCCAAAATGGTGAAATAGTAAGAGGAAAAGTATCGCTTTCCTCGGACGGCCCCCGACCGTATACCTTACCTCGACACGAGAACTACGTTCCGAGAAAGTATGTTAGGGGATAAATTACTCACCAAGTTAACATTTTTCAATCTTTCTTGCATTCTCAGTAGTCCTCAGATTCGAACGTCTCTGAGACTGTAGAAGCTCAATAAACTGCCGTCCTCCCCCGAAGTTACCTAAGATTCAGGATTATGAGTAGCTCCGTGTCCAGGAGGCATGAAAAGGTTATCCCACTATAGCAATAAGTTAGCGATCGGTATTTTAATTAATGAAGGTTGGGGGGATTTAGCGAATCGAAACAGGTTATAGAGGGTAAGAAGAGGGTTGTTACATACATTCACTCTATCCTTATCAGGGTATTCAAAATATCCCGAGTCCCCCTGCCGATCCCGAAACCAATCTAGGTATCCGAGAGGAAGGCCGGTTATTTCCTCTAGGGTTACTGAACCGCGTAGTAATCTATTTATTCCGTCGCGAAATTGTACATTCGATGCGTCTCGAGAAAACATGATGATGCGTTCGCATATCTTCATCCAGCGCCTGTGAAAACGGTGAGTTAGTTTAGTTTTATAGGGATTGGAGCAGGAATACGACTTACTCTATGTGGTCGGCGTCTAACGTCCCCTGCATGAGCCTTATCTCTAGCGTCTCTGTGTCCTTCTCCTTCATAACCGATACAGTGTCACCATAAATCCGGAATTTTACATAAAGAAAAGCATCGCCAGACATGCCACCACTTAACTCTGTGATACTTTGGTACTTCCAAACCTCATGGACTATATCCCGGATGTCGTCACTGAGGTCATATATATCCCTTACAAACGGCGAAAATGGCACATATTGACTCATCTCATCCATATTCCTTTCGTAAGCCTCCGGGTCTGTGCTTTCGATGGTTGACAAGCAGTCAGTGGTAAAATTTTCCAATGCTACGATGATTGGGCAACGCTCCCGGTTAGGCAAACAGTAATTGTTGGAATTGTCAGACCGATCGCGTCGGTGAAGTGTTTCCAGCATTTCCTCGAGAATAAGCCAGAATGTGGCGAACTATATTCTAAAGTTAGCATGGTTTATCATATAGAATGAAACGTTATGAGATTGCATCGACTACTATTCGGTGATATACTAGCCCATTGATAGTAAGGCAATATGCTGAATGTATAAAGCAAATATTCCAACTTACCTTCTTAAGATGTAATAATGTCCATGCCTGTTCCTGTCCGAAGTGGATATGGAGGCCAGTCCGTATGACCGACATCGGTTTATGAATACAGAAAGCATCTCGGAGAGCAGCGCACTATATAAGAGTTAGTCATTTTGAGTTAAAAATAAATGTGGAAGATAGGATTTGCATTAGACTCGGGGATGATACTTACAGCCTTCCGGATAGCAGTCATAGTGCTCCAATGGTTATAATCCAGGATGGGTGTCCGTAGTTCTCCCTGATACCAAGAATAGAGCTTTAGGGGGTTTTGGGACAAGATTTGGTATCCGTCTTTATCTAAGAGTGGGCTCCCATCTTCGTTAAAGGATAGGTACGAGTCGGGAATAGAGTCTGAGTCCTTTAGAACCCGATAAAGACGCATACATTCATCGTGTGGAAAGTCATCTGGCATTATGGTTAGATCTACACCACACGTCCAAGCTCTATAGAGAGGGTTAGATCCGTGGATATCAATAGCGTTTGGGTCGACCTCCTCTGACACTCGTTTCTCATACTCCCCCAAGACTTCTAACGTTCGATTTTTGGCACATTCTCTGAATCTTTTCCGTGCCAGGTTGAATTGAGCAGTTTTTGGCCACTGCCGCGGTCCTTTATAATTAACATAGAGTTGTCTTTCTTGAATAAGATCAATATCCTCATCCAAAGTATGATGAAATTCCAGTGAATTTTCCTTATGGAAATCCTCAAACTGGTCTAGCCAATGATTAGCGCCAACGGAGATGTTCACTTTATTGTCTTGAGAGTAATCCCATCTGTACTCGCCCGCAAACGGCATGATCTTAGTACTATTTCGAATTAAATCTTGCTCCTTACTATATGTCCAGCTGAATTCTGTGCTGGGTTTGAAATTCATCACGAGCTCGGTGTCGTTCCAAGATTTCACTGCTATCACTCCTCTCTCCCTAAGCTTATCAATTATCTCATTACGAACGGTAATTCTAAACTCGGCGGAGGACTCGGAGAAGGGTGCCAATTTGCGTGCATGCCATCGTGTCTCTTCCGGATGTGGATCTACGGCCTCCTGCGCTGTTTTCACAGCGAGTAGAAACTCAAATTCGACACCTACGGTGGTTCGATCTTTCTGCTTTCTACGAGCAGCGATAAATTTGTCTATTCTGTCCTGTCTTGTTCTGCCTAGGCCTTTTCGTCTGGGTCGCTCGAACAAACTGGAAGTCGACTTAGTGTTATATGAGAACCTTCTTCCCTTGTAGGGAAAGGGACTTTCGCTTCCCATTATTTCAAGATTCTTTTTTAGTAGATACTCTGTTATTTTCGGATGAGTTGATTGGTTTAGTAGGCGTCCGTAATGATATATCGTTAAGGTTGGGTTATTAGGTTAATGAGTATACCTAGAGATGCGGAAATCAAGTCGAGTTCGAATGACCGGATATTTAACTTCTTGGTCAACTTTCACAAACAAAAGAATTGTTTAACAACCATATTTAATAGCCCTATTGTACAATGACTTCCTCAATGTTGGTCATTTGATGTATAAAAAATTACGATCTAGATATAGTCAATTAACTGTTCTCAAGGTCTTTGTGGGTTTGTACAAATATGAAGAACCTTGGAGCGATTCATTGGGAGAGTGTTGTGACTGATTAAGTTGAGTCCTGATTGAATCAGGTACCTAGGAGGTAGTATTAGGAAGCGTAGAAGTGTAACCCAGAAGCCGTATAGGCCAGCCACATAAATACCTCAGTAGATGTATGTATGTGGGTTAGGTACTTATAAGCTTAGGTATACCTATAGGTTAGGTACTCTAAGGGTCGTCACCCCGCTAATCCTCTTATCGCTTTATCGGAGGTGCTTTACCAAGTGCAGAGACTCTTAAGACATCATTTTAGCCTTTTACAGGTATTTCAACCTTTCAACAATTGACCCTAATAAAATTAACCCGAAACTAATCTCAAACTTATCAACTTCTCAGGACATTTTGTCCTGGACGTGTGTCTTTCGTTCCACCATTCGCTTTGGCTGTTACTTGACATGACCTAAAATGCGCGGACGCGGGGGCGCCCGAGGAAGCAGAACACCTTCTGCACCATGGAGTCGTCTTAAACCAGTGGATTTGGACCCGCTAGAGTCGATGGGTTTGCCGTCTAAAGGTGATAGTAGGTTGGTGATTAATCTATTTCATAATCTATTTCATAGTCATGATCTTGGTCTATTCAAGAATAAAAGATGGACACAACTCTAACAAAACACGGGTAGATTGCTCGATTTCAAGACTCAAGAACGTTACTACACCAAGATTGTCGAACGCTACATGACCTTTTGCTCTGATGCCGGCGAACGTGATGAACTCCTCCGCCGCTTCGCATCGTTAGAGCTCTCGACTATCTCTAAGCACGAGAATTCCATCGCGAAAGTTATCCCTAGTTCCTCCTCTTTGGTTTCGAATCGACTTTCAATGGCACCAGCTACCATACCGAGTAATACGAAAGGTTTATCCGATGTCTTGTCAGCGTTGAGGAAGTTACGAGAGGGCATTGTAGCCTCTAAGCGTGTCGACGACTTTGCTATTCAAGTGTACCTCTTTTGTATTCGACTTTCTGTTTTAGTCAGGCATCCTGAATCATATCATCCAGCCATCCTTCACCTACTGCGCCGAATCCAGCCGCTGCATAGCATGACGTCGGTCGAGATGAGCGAAGTGGTTGGTTATCTTGTCCTTGACACGGCGTGTAGGAGAAACGACTTAGCCGAGGCATTTGCCGTGCGACACAAGTATCGGCTGAGGGACGCAAAGGTTGATATGGTTCTCGATGCGCTAGCACACGACAACTATATAGAATTTAATCGCCTGAAGAGAAGGGTTGATGGACATAAGGCGAAGCTACTGGAATACGCTGATGAAGGTATGCGGAAACACCTACTCAAGTGCTTCGGGAGGGCGTATTTGAGCGTGGACCTGGACTTTTTGGAGTCATGCGCAGACTCTAAATGGGGAAGCCTCACGGCAGAGGACGGTGTCGGGTGGGAACTAGATGGTGGGAAGGTTGTCATTAGAAAGGTCAAGGCTCGGTAAGTCTGGCAGAATATATTTATTGATACCCTTAGGGTGATATGATCATCTTCAAACATTCTCGTGATAGGTACTACAAATTTCATACGAATCATCCCGTCTTCGTTTCAGTTGTATTCTCGTTCTGTAAATTATGGGACTGGAGCCTAGTGCCAAGATTGCCAAGATCTTTGGGTTTATGTTGTGAAGCGATCCTGTGTAAGGGTTGTTGGTAGGCTGGTAGGGCTGACTGGGTCGAAAGCGGCTGTGCGCTGTGCGAAATACAGGTATGTATGCGGTAAAAACTAGGATAGGTCCTATAGTTATTGTGCCAAGCTGTTATACCGCTTCAGGGAGGATATTAATATAGTATGTTAGAACCCCATCTCATGTCTCTCTAGGGCTAGCCTTAGGTAGACAGCCATGGTTATAAGCGCATAGGGGTAATTTCCGACTTTCAGCTAATATATATATATACCTAGGTCTCTAAGGCGCAGTACCATCAATAGAAAAGGATGGCCGCCTTTATTTTACATTGGTTATTATCACCGTAGTCCTGATCTAGCAATAGTTGGCATTCATTCGTTTAGAACAGTCATTTAGCTGTACCGTTAGTATCAGCCCTAGATATTTGTGCAATTTAGCAAATCTTGTAGCATCAAAAAAATGGCAAGGGTCGTGTTTAATCCATTAGCCTGGTTTCTGGCCGCCCATGGCGCGCTTGCGGGTTTGACAGTTGACGTCGAAAATACAGGTTAGTACCCCCGGCGAGAGGATGTTTTTCTTGAATAATTAGGAGGTACCTATTCACAGCTCACACGAGTCACCAGATTCTATCAAGGCGGCGGCAGCTCTCGTAGCGGAGGATCTCATGGGATTATATGATGGCGAAAAACCAGGTAATATTCCTGGCGTTTTGCCTGAGGTTGCCGATGGAAATATTGGTTGGTGGACAGGGGGTGTTCTCTGGGACACTCTACTGGACTATAAAGCTCGCTCGGGAGAGTCCAAGTACGACGAAACTATCTCGCGTGGTATTCAATGGCAGGTTGGGTCGAATGACAACTTCCTTCCTGCAAATTGGTCCGTGACAATCGCCAACTCGGATCAAGGCATATGGGCTCTGTCCGCTGTCACAGCTAACGAAACCGGCTTGCAATTAGAGAAAGACTCTCCCCAGTGGCTTACGCTGGCTAAGAACGTCTTCGACAACTTAAGTAGCGAGGATAGACGAGTCGAAGAAGGTGGCTGCGCTGGGGCCTTGAGGTGGCAGTTATATGCGATAAATGAGGGCTACAATTATATTGACTGTTGGTAATCCTGTCATATTAGCAGTTTTCTGCCGTATCCCCTATGATCTAGTATAGATTCCGCTCGCTAACTTTGATCCTAGCTTCTTCGAACATTGTATACTTGAATCTAGCTGCCCAATTGGCATATTTGACTGGCGAACAATCCTATGCGGATGCAGCCGCTTCTACATACGACATACTCACGCGTATCGGATTTATCACCAAAAATTTCAATGTCTACGATGGGGCACACGTGGATGACTGCAAGGATATTAACAAGGTGCAATTCTCATGGAATGCTGCGTATCTCTTGGAGGGCTCCGCGTTCATGTATAATCTTGTAAGTACCTACTTAGGTACCTTACCTATTCATTCATCTTTTTCCTAGGTATATGTTATCCTCAGACGCTAATCAAATATAGACCGGAAACGATACCTGGAAAACACGCGTGGATGGTCTTGTCGATCGAACTATCGAACTCTTCTTTCCGGATGGCGTCGCGACCGAGATCGCGTGCGAAGAGAAATCTTGTAACTCTGACATGCACTTCTTCAAGGGAATACTACACAGGGCGCTCGCGTCGACTATGCAAGTTGCGCCGCACACCGCTGGCAAGATTCAGCCTAGTCTCAAGTCAAGTGCTAAGGCGGCCGTGGCCGAGTGCACGGGGGGTAATAACGGTCGACTATGTGGATTCGTCTGGAGTACTGGCAAATTTGATGGCAATACAGGGGCAGCTCAGCAGATGAATGTATTAAGTGCCTTGGTAAGCATCCTGCCTGCGGGAGAGCAGGCCTCAGGGGGCAACAGCAGCGTTGGTAGCGGTAGCGGTAACGGTAGTGGAAGCGGAAGTGGAAATGAAGATTCACAGGAGAATACTTCCAGCGATGACACTCACGGTAATGCGGGAACGAAGGCTAGTGTAGGCCTCGCTCTCTTAGGATCAGTATTACTGGGAAGCCTCCTGTTGTAATATTGTAGTATACCTTTTTATTATGATTAATTAGATATTAGATAGCAGTATGTAGGTAGATAGGTACCTGTTAGATAGAACCTATGAAATATTCTATTCAGGCGCCCTTGGTTATCTAGCCCAGGCTTTGCTAATTCTGTTGATGATATTTTCAAGGACGAATGTGTCTGGGTTGGGTCGTCGAAAATTAACAAGCTAGCAGTATATTTCCCGCGACTATTCATTGTCCTTCTTTGAATACCTTGGAGAATATTATGAACACCCCGCAGCCTTTACAGGCTTGTCCTTCATCGTAGACGCAGCCGATAGAGTCCGACCTCGTTTTGCAGCCGCATGTTAAGTTTACCGTAGTCTCACGACACATGTTAAGCGTTGTATACGCCAATAGCAATATAAGAGAGATAGATTATCTTTTCTTGAGATGATACCTGGAACCTTCTAATACAAACGAAGCTGACTTAGTAATTTCAGTATACCTTTTTATGTGTATCTAGAGCTATAAATAATTTCATTACTTTGAAGATTATTTCGGAAACGGAGTTGGAAAGAGCATGATACAAAGACATTTTAGTTATGCACTCAGGGGCTCTCACGCATGGCCTTGCATAATAAAAAGCATGCCCAAATAATAGTATTCAAAGCAAATTATTAGAAATACTAGTTATATTTATATTAGCTGTGTTTTACTTGTTTAGGATATGATTGTCTTTATTTCTTTTATGAGATGTTTTAGATATTGACCTAGGTATCCGACTGCTGATGCTATTATTAGGAGGTAACTATAACCCAAGCAAGCGAGAGATCTGCAATTTAAGTCTGCTTCTCATTGTCTTTAGATATTTCAAGTCCATGTCCTTTATATCCTAATCCCTACAGTCTATAGAGTTTGTAACTGCATGTTAATGAAACCGAGAGTGAAATTGACTTTACGCTTCGTCAACTTTGTGACTAAGTGGCTTGGTATTCCGGACAGTACAAAGCGAAAATGTTCTTTGTGGAAAGGTTTTGGATCATACATACACGCCGGAACAGACCCTTCTTCTTTCTCAAGACGTTAACTGATATATTTATAACTATCATCAGTAGACACCTTTTACAAATTCAGTCCAAGTAATAAAGGAAGACCGAGTACGAGTCAACATCAACTTACTCTAAAGAGTCCAAGTAAAATCACCATTGCCACTTAAATAAACTAAAGTCAATATGTGCAAGAGTCACGACCTTTTCTATATGTGCGGATGCCGGTTCGTTGAAGAGAGCACCGGCGAATGGAAGTACGAAATCGAGCTATGCGACAGAGCTAAGAAACGACAGAAACCCTGCGCGAAACTCGAAGTAGCGCTGCCGATCTTTGCCAAAGACACATACTGCGATGATCCGCACTGCCCAGCTTATGATTGAGCTGGCAGGCCAATAAGATAGAGATGTCGCAGAATTCGGCACGTCCGTCAGTCTTTTTAGTGGTATGCATCTTGATACGATATCACTTCGAATCCGTATGGCCGATTCTCAAGCGCTGGTTGAAGAACTGTCATTGGTTACCCTCTGCGTTGGATGCCTCCTCTCTTGCCATCAAACAATGGAAGTCTGTCATGAATTCATATCCAAGAAACCATGGATTCGTATAGATGGTTATTGGTAGATAATGAAGTTGCGTCGTTACCTAGATTAAATTGACAAATCCCGTACTACACATATAGATGAATATATTCCTAAGAACATGAGAGTACCATGGAGACATGCAAGTCCCTAATGTCTTACACCGCCAATCAAAGTACCTAGACTGAGCTCACCTCGGTTGCACGAGGCACATCGGCTTGCATCAGCAGACAAGGGGATTTTCGTGGGATCAAACGCCAGCCTATAGATGATGTCTTTTTACCTTTTTTTTCATACCCAAATACATGGTTATATTGCCTAAAGAAGTCTTGATGCTGCGTACACAACCTGCGGGTTCGAGTTGATAGGTCAGTTCACGCTAGCCAATGTTAGAATTGGCCAACCGGTGGCGCCAGCTATCACCACGGAAACGTGTAGCCCCTGTCATGAAAACATGCGTGGACGTGGGTTTAGCCAAGCTTTGCCGAGCCTAACTATCAGCCCTATATGCCAGCTATGATAATCTTGCTATGTACTCCCTCCTTCGTGCTAGTGTATGGCTGTTGGAGCGCATATCTTAGTTGCGTTAAGGTATAATGTAATATTGTAGGTAGCTATGCATAGGTTCTGATGAGCCGTGTGAAGAATTTCCTTTTATGAGGCTCCTGGTCTTTACTGAAGGATAAGGACGACAACGCAGCATAATACCTACAAGGGATATGTTGAAAAAAAATGGATACTCAACTCAGATGGGGCGAGACGCAGGCGGAACACTGCCCCATAGGCTGGGCACCAGCGCAGAGCTGGGTCGTTGGCCTGAACATATAACTTGCGGAGAGCCGCCGTTCTTGGCTTTGACTTGGTTTGTGCATCCACAGCATTCCTATCTTCTGCGATCGTGGGAGAGGATCGTCGACTACCTAGCTAAGTAGGATCTAAAAAAAAAGAAAAAAAGACTTCCTGCGAGTTCGAGATGTCCCATCACGATCTCGACTATGCCGGCCGACGGCTGCAGTTAGTGGGCTCCCGAGTGGTGGAGGCCGAGGACTCCGGCCACCGAGTTATTCCTATGCAGCATCATCACCATCACCATTCTCATTCTCGCTCTTACGATGACACGGAAGAGTCAAGTCCTGAAAAGGGGAGGCATCATACACCGAAGTTCCTTAAGGTGAGCTTTCTTGGCCCATACGTCTTTTCTGCTTGAACAGGACTAACATACATTAGACTCACTCGGCTACAAATTTCGAGGTTCGCCTAGGCCCGTGCTCTTACTTGGTACCTACCTAAGTTTTCTATTATTGACGTTTGACCTAGCTATTCTACGACTTGTGGTTTGTAGCCAATCTAAATGTCTTTACTAGCGTGAGTTTTCCTACATCTCAGACCACATTGCCGTATTGATCATTGGCATAGAAACATGACATCTCAGATATATCGAAGTTCTCGTCTTTTATCGGATACATCGTGTAAGTTAGCTTGGTAGTTCATGCGTTGGAACGTCGTCTCACACAATATTTAGTCTCCTATGGACAACATGGCTATTAACTACCCTCTACGACGTACGGTTTACGGCCGATAGTGTGTGGGAACGCTGTTGCAAGGCCATTCATTTAGGGGTCATGATAGGATTTGCCGAGATTGGTGCCGCCTTCGACCCAAACGACCAGATAGTATCGGTATTTAGGGCGATGTCGCTATTCCTTGCCGTTTCTCGTTTCGTACTTGCTTTACAGTACGGGATGGTCACATTCCAGATTCGCAAGTATGCCCACGGCAAACGTGCTATGTTCATCACCGCCGTTCTCCATTTCATCGCCGCCGCGATATACTTCGGTGTCTCGTTTAGGTATAACTTAGGCAAGACGAGTCGGGTCTTTCTCGTCTGGTATATTGGTGGTGGTGTCGAGATGGCTCTACACCTACGTATCTCCCAGCTGTCCCATGTTCTAACATTCCTTGGTACACATCTGGGTGAGCGCTTAAATCTCCTCACCCTAGTTATTCTTGGAGAAGGTATGCTTATCGGCCCCTAACCGAAGAACGACGCTAACGCATATGACAGGTTGTATAATTCTAGCCAAAAGTATCACTCTCTTGGTGAAAGATACTTACCTCAAAGAATCCAGTTACTCGATGTGGAGTACGTATTATTGCCCTACTTAGGTTCTTTTTCCATCGCTAACATGCCAAGGTTCGACTCTCATCGGTCTCGTTACCGCCGGTACTGCATTGATATACATCATTTTCCAGCTCTACTTCGACTGGATGCATGACGAGCATTCAATGTCCAGACGGCATCAGGTATTATGGACAGCGGTACATTTACCCTTCCATATCGCCCTTACTCTTCTCGTTGAAGGCGCAAACCAGTTTATTGTCTGGGCCCGTATCCTCGAAACCTCCAACGCAGCTCTCTCAAAGGTGGTCAATCTTCAGATCCAGTTCGTAGACATGACGTCCGAAGAGGTTTCCGAAAAGCTTGCGAGCGTGATTCAACCGTTCCTTGAGAAATATCAACCCGCCGACGTCCTTGAAACGATGGATTCCGTGAATGAGACTCTGGAGCATATTGCTGATATGCCTGACTCATTCTGGAAAGAAGATTCCCACCCAGATAATTCGACGCTGGTTCATTACCAAAACGATCTGATAGACTTGATGAACACGATGCTCAATGCTGTCTACAATGCTTTTGAAATCGATCCGCCTGAAGGGGAAGGGGATGGCCCCAAGCCCGAATATTGGCAGTCTGAAGCAGCAGTAGCAGTCGCCAAAAGGTTTAGATTAGTTGTAAGTTGTTTTCTATCTTACCTATCTTACCTATCTTACCCCCTTTTCCATATTAAGGCAGCTGACGTGATGAATTTCAGTATATTTATGCTTTTGCATGTGCTGGCATTGTCTTGCTTATTTTGACTATTATGCACATCATCTCTAAACGAAGAGGATGGACACCCTTCAATATTCTCAGGACTGCCGTCTGCATTTCAATTTCCATCGTCCTAGCACTTCTTACTCTAGTAGTAGCCAACCAAGATGCTGTATTCAGAGGCGACAGGCGCACGGCATTCTACGGAAGCTCTTGGATGTTACCAACGATTACAATCAGTTATTTCGTTGTGCTTGTCCTAACGCATCTGCCACATCCATCCGGATTCTGGATGGGAAGCTTTAGAAAAGGGACATATAAGGCAGTTGACGTGCCAAGGGGTCCTAAAGGGGTTCAGACTCCACCGCCTCTGCGGAACAACCATCACCTTATGGACTATGAAGATGGACGAGTCGAATCCTCGTCGGGCGAATACGATGTAATAACTCCACCTCTTCCACGATACGAAGAACACAGAGCAAGGGAGGCACGAAGACAAAGACGTAGTCAAGACAGGCGAAGCCATGATGCAAACTCTCGTGGGCAGCGACGCGGATATGAATAGGGCAGTTCATGAAGCTGCGGATAATGATTGGTTATGCATAAGTTAAGCGTTGACGATTGTATATGGCGTATGTGGCTAATAAGTAAATTGTCTCGATTCGAAGAATCTTAGCAAGTGGATAGGAGTTTTGGTTCCCTACGGTGTTCTTTGGATAACAAGTCTTTGACATGGCGTTATGGATTTAAAAGGCTGCGCCAAGTTGGATTGCAGTAGGATTATTTTACCATATACTATGGCCAATCTCTACGCTGTATATATCGAAACACGATAGGTGCTACGACAACGTAAATAGGAGGCGAATATTAGCCTTTCAATACACACTAAGACAACTCATATTCATTTAAGTTATTGCTGTGAGGATGCGACCAAGAAGTGAAAAGATAGTTTTGTGTAAGTACAAAAATCTATGAACTTAGCTAGAACCTTTTCATCCCGGATGTCTCACTGAGCCAGAGATCCAGGGGTCGCCTCTTCCTAGACTATGCCGGGTAAAAATAGACCTTCTCAACGCTAGCAACCCTAAGATATATCAGCTAATGAAGTGAAAGACCGTTGAAGCTGAAAATATTGCTCAAAGTACCGACAACCGATTACGAATTTCTCTTCCCGACGTATACCGCAATGAGAAGACCCCCAGAATAAGGGGCTGTTGTCATCTTAAATCCGTTGGCAGGGTCTTCTAGGTAGCTAATCAAGTCCTTGTATCCATCCGCCGCTATGATAGTGTTGTCAGCAACGACCATCGCGCCAACCTTTAATCGTGGGTGCACAAGGACCAAGGTTGGTAGCGCTAGGGGAGTCCAGACTTCTTCATATTAGCTCATCTCATCATAAAACAGGTAATTCCACGTTAAAGTGATGAGGGAACGCACTGTCTAGCAGTAGGAAGTCAATTTGCTCAGGCAAATCCGTCTTGAGAGTTTCACGAAGATCGCCCTGTCTTAGTTCAATCCACCTATCGATCTCGCCTCCAGCGGCATCCCAATGCTCTCGGGCTTTATCTGCCTTAACAGGCTCGTTCTCCGTTGCGATGACCTTTCCATCAGAGCCCTGTAGTCCGGCATTCTGGCCTACAGCCAACGCGAGATATATGGTGCTCAAGCCAAAAGATGTCCCGGCTTCAACAACGAAGCGCGCCTGGGTAGATCGCAGAAGAAGGTAGACTAATGCGCACTTGTCGGGATCAAGAGCTACAAACTTGTCTAAAGCTCCTGTTGTCGGCCCATTCCCACCTAAAAATGGGGTTTCGGAAAGGGCCTGTGTATGTAAGTCGCGAAGAACCTGGAGGACTTGAGGGCTGGCCTCTATAGAGGCTAGCGCTGTATCGATCTCGGGGAAGTCGGGCATGGTGGATAATGAATTGGTTCTGCTTAAGCATGTAATACCTCGAGGAGACTCTTGGGATGTTTGCCCCTTTTATATTCATACTTGGTTCATTTATTAATGTTGCAGGTGGGGATCTTCAAGATCGAGCACTAGAGTTTCGGTAATAAACCTCGGCAGACTATGGGGATTGAGTGAGTCATATTAGCTTTCCTGTCTCGGCCTTCAACAGTATTATATAGTTTCATTGCATATGATTCTCTGGTATTCATTGCCAATCAACTACTCCAACTCCGAGGAGATACAAGATCGTGAGAAGCAACATGTAAGCTACGTCGTGTAATATTACGGATTCCTTCCGATGGCGGCCCAATATTTCGATCTAATACATAATGAGCATATATTGGTTACAAGTCATGGCTATTTTACAGGGATGAAATAGTGGTTTTGGTTCTAACGAAACATACCATTGGCTCAGCGGTTTCATAACTTGGTATACTTGCAATTACTAGCTGCTTAAAGGTACCTTATTTACCAGGTAAGTAAATATGAATGGACCCCTTTTATCATATTAAGTCTTGCTAGTTATCTTGTCAGCGTACCTTGGGTTCCATGTAAGGCACAGTACTTGAACTCGTATTAAAATGAAGTTAATACTGGATATATTTTCCAGACATAATAGCTTATAAGAATAACTTAATTCGACAGCTCCTTATTCTTTTTATATGAGTTTCAACGCGAACGACTTTGCTTTAAAATAAATATTTTATATAATTTACATCGTATTGAACACATTAACTATCTAACTAGTATAATCATTATGACACGCTACAACTTCAACATCCTACGCCCTTACTAATACCAAGTAGCCCTAGAACGCCGATTAAAATATCGTGATAGGTTAGGATACTTATACCTAGATTGCCGGATATTATAACCAAAATTGCGGGTAGAAATAGATTCTTCACATCTTGGTTTTCTAGGACATATTTGGTAAGGGCTCCACTCATGGATGAGATAGTCCTCAAATGCTGGGTTAAGGTATTCAGCTTCTTCATCTACCACAGGTACATACTTAGCATCATTTTCCAGTATGGTCTCTATATGATCAGGTGGCTTATAGTCGGCGTCATCGTTTCCTAAATCGTCGATTTCCCACCCTTCACTTCGCATAGTTAATTTCTTAAAGAGTTCGTAGTCTGCATCTGCCCGGCGGAAATATTCATCAATCGAAGATTCTTCGGTCCACTCGAAAAGCTCAAGGACCCTATCGTCACCGTCAGTGAGATGTCCATTGCAACGTCTCTGGAACCCAGTCGTAAATGTTGTCGGGAACCCTCTCTCATCCACAAGTACATTTGCATGACCGTGGAGGAGACATACATCCTCGCTCGTACCCAGCCTTAGAGTCATGTGTGGATCAGCCTCCACAACAAGATAATCAGTTGGATTTCCAGCATCGTCCCACTTCGTTGGCACCCTTTCGCCATTATCATAAACGTACTTACTAGTGTGAACTGGACAAATTATCCACACAACTGTACATCCGGACCTCACAGCTACTGTCTTTGCTATATCGGTATTAGCATCGATCGCACGGTATAGGTCTGCTTCGTCCTCAAACTCGGGGACTGTCAGTTCTTGTCGTTGTTTTTTTGTCAAGCGAGCAGCCCAAATCACCATGGGATTATCGAGTGTTCCTTCGCCATCTCTGGGGTAGTTTTTAAGGTCATCTGGCTTTATCCGTAATTTCGGTCTGCCTCCTCGTGGAAGATCCATACCAGGTTCCCACTTTCGTCCTTTGGCTTTGTCGAACAACATTTTGAGTTTTTTATCTCGTTATAATATACTTATTATGGATTATAAAACTTGTTATCTAACACAGTACTTTATATAAGATCATATTCATCATATATATACCAATGTAAATAAAGACGGCAGTGGAGAATAAGGGCTGCCATTAATAGTATGGGTTAGTTGTTATTTGGGACCATCTGTAACAATTGAGTAAGGAGTTCATTGTCTACTTGTCTTGTGGTCTCATTGTGAAAAAGTTGTACTCAATGATAGAGTTTCAATATGTCTACAAAAAGCACGTCCAAGTAGTTCCTTCGGCTTACAAAAGCCGGGTTTCAAATTTCTCTTGACTTAAGTACAATTAATTCAATAGCTGTATCATTTCTACCTTAGGTGTCTACTAGGTATGGCATTGATGATACGGACTTAGTTGATAATGATTAAATACGGCCCAACACTGTACATGAATCCAGTTGAACATATTATTTTTTTTTTGGCGATTTAAGAGGTAACTAAGCTCTCGAAGGGGAGTTTTTTTTTTTGGAACAAATTTAGCTTTGAACAAATTATGCATAAAACAAAGACTCATGTTTAACATGTTTAATGGAACTAGGAATCTTTTCCAAGACCGGGCACTATGCGGACAAAGAACTAATTTATCCTAAGCCGACGGTCGGGCTCCAATAAACGTATCTAGAAAACTATCTCGCACCCAAACTTACAGAACCATCATCTACGCCGTTGTCCTTGTAATAAGAAATCGGTTCTTATATACCAACTACGCACAGTAATATTATTAAATAATTTAATCTATTCGTGTTTGCTTCTAGGAAGAATACTCCTACCCGACACTACCCCAAGACATCGTGAACAAAGGAAGGTTCAATTTATGTATACCCGTAACCTCAAGCAGCTGATTTGATCATTTTTAATTGTTATTTTGGTATTATTAGGTCGCATCGTATTATTTATTACTTATCTTCAGGCACTATGAAGCCCTTTCAGCGTTTATACCAACCTGCCGTGGAAGACACTGGGGAAATAGAAGACAGAGAGAGGTACCGGCCTGGTGGATATCACCCAATTCATTTCAATGATAACCTGGGACCTAACGAACGATTTAATGTCATCCATAAACTGGGGTGGGGCGTGAGCTCTACTGTGTGGCTATGTTTCGATAAAGAGTCCGGGTACTACAGATCAGTCAAGGTTATGACTGCAGATGAATCAGCAGAAGACTGTTCAGAACTTCTCATAATGAAAACCTTGGGTGACATTAGCCACCGGGAACTCGAAGATAATCATATCATTATACCGCATGAATACTTCTGGATTGAGGGGCCCAATGGTCGCCATCTTTGTCTAATTTCGGACCTCCTTGGCCCAAGCTTATTTAGGAATTCACCTCTCGGCACCGGACTTCACACCCCTGAGATTTTAACAAGTTTAACGTACCAGGTCAGTAAGGGGCTACAGTATCTTCATAAGAAAGGAATTTGCCACGCAGGTAAGTACCCAATCTCTAAGAACTAGCGTATAAGAAATAAAATTAAAAATTAATGTGATAAGACCTAAGGCCAAGCAACATACTTATGCAGTTACATCAGTATAGTTTGATGGAATTACCAGAAACTCGGCTCTATAGGTACCTTGGGCCCCGAGGATGCGAGACTCTTTATCCACGGAATGGGACGACTCCTTCGCATCATGGACCTAGGTACTTAGCACTACCTGCTTCGTTGGACAAATTAGAAACGAAATGTCGAACCGGCCAGGTAGCTCTTGTCGACTTCTCCCATAGTTTTCATAGCTCGAGTCTCAAAAGACCCTCTCGATGGCATAGGCAGTATGCAGGACCAGAACTCTTGTTTACAAAAACCCCAAGCGGATTTCCCCAAGATATTTGGGGTTTGGCTTGTACTATTTACGAGGTTAAACTTCAAACACAGCTCTTTAGTGAATATGAGGACTACAGTTCCCTGATACGCCAGATGGAATCGTGGTTTGGGCCTTTGCCTGTGGAATATCGAAAGACTGCAAGCACCGATTTAGAGAGAGATAGAAAGCGGAACCTGATATCATCTAATGGAAAGCAGCCCTCGAGCAACACAACATCAATATACGAGGATAAACTATCTGATCCAGATCAGCCGCTTTCATTATCCCCAGATGAATACAAGAAAGCAAGATATTTATTTACGCAGGGAACTACCTGGTCAAATCCATTACAAGCAGTATTAGGCGAAGAGCAAATATGCTATATCTATGAAAGAAACGATGCAGAGTATATCTCATCAAACAGCACGGACACTGATTTTAGTAGTTCAGACGCCGTGGGTCAGAATTGGTCTTCGGGAGACGAATGCTCTCATGTGGACATCAATGTTCAATTAGAAGTTGATTTCGAAGGTATCGAGAACCAAGAAATAGTTTCAGAACATTCAGATGAAGGGAGCGAAGAGTCAAATTCGCCGTCATTACCGATACCTGATATCCCTGTGGATCTAATAGAGCAACCTCAAGACGAGCAAAACCTCCCTGAAAAGTTACCGCTGGCTGAAACGAAAGAAGCGTCCCAAGATCTACAGTCTCACGAAAATGATAATAATCAAACTAAGACTCCATCGAGTCCTAAGGAGTCCTTAGGGAAGAAAAATACTAGCGAATACAGGGAGGAAAGAGAAGCGAAGCGCCAGCGCACCAACGAAAACTCGACAGAAAAGGGGGGCGAATTAGTGAAGCGGGTAGTTCGCATGCCTAGAGAAGAAGTATTACTCCTGTCTGACCTTTTATTGCGCATGTTTAAACACGATCCGAAGGAGCGTATTGATATCGACACTGTCGTCAATCATGAGTATTGGGGCGATAGAAGAAACCACCGGCCTATCAACAATGAAGACCTTGGTGAAGAAATCCCCGATCCTATATCCTCAAGGACTCGCAGCCGGGTCTCAAAGCCTCAACAACAAGCGGAGCCCAGTTCTCCTTAGACTATTAAGTTGTTTAGCTACCACTAGGCCAGCTTGCTAAATCATTTCTATATTTCATTAACAAATGGTTTGGGGAAAGCCATAGTATTGAAGAGAGTGAGTATCGCTGCTCTTGGGTATGGAATCTTTGTTGGGATTGACTGTCGGCTTAAGTGGAGCGGAAGTAGAAAAGCAATAATTAGAATAGTTATGAGATAAAATTTTCAAAGAATTAAGACGTGAATACCGCCATGAAAGGGAAAATAATTATAATAGAATTATGATGACAAGAGTGTATTTCTCAAGTATTGTTTCCCAACAGGGGACCCCAGCCCAGGAAACGTACGCTATTCGGCGTAGAAATACCGTAACACCGTAGGTAGTCGTATTTCCGAACGTTCGGGACCAACTAACTTTTTAATGTTTACCAGCCCGGTGGCACAGACAAATATCGTATCTATTTGTGTAGCATATTCGTACTACACTGTCATACGAGACTATTGGTCTATCACAAATCATTTTTTAAGACATTCACTAAGTGAGCCATCGTGTTACACTACGAACAACTCTTAAGTACGCCCTGGTAGCCACCCCAGCCACGTTTTCCGAGAGTTCTACGTCGAGGATTCGGGTAAAGGTTAAAATATAGGTTGTATTATTTTGAAGACTCTCTAGTTGTCGCTGTATATGGTTTCTGAGAAAACAGCTTACTAAAAGTCCTAGATCGCAACGTGATATCAAGCTAAACTTCACCTAACAAGTCCTGGCTATCGGCATACCAAGTCAGCCTATGGAGGCGCGTTTGCGAAGGATACGAGAAGAGGACGTTATTGAATATCAAGTCCAAAAAAATATTTACGGTGACGGCTAACAACAGGTCACACGTGGTGAATTTATTAATAGACTATGCCAAGAATAATGGACTTGGCGTTTGCAGCCACGTCGACGGGCCAACTGCAAGCCCAGCTGAGGGGATATATCCGCACAGCCACGTAGAATCCGGGGCCTACGTTCAAGTCCCACTGGGCATCGTTATCGTGACCACTAAGAAGAATCCGTTGGTAAGAGGTAATCTTAGCCCCATCTCTCTAGTATCTCTACTAATCTTATTGTCTCCTCTCGACCCCATCATCAGGTTATGATGTGCAAGCTCGCACCAACCTGCGCTCAGCCGTGCTTTGCGGTCAGCAGCCAAGACCCGACTATGGCTCCTTCGGCAACCCAGCCTTGTAGAAGTTTATTTGCTGCGGGGACCAACATGACGAGGCTTGTCGATCTCGTAGATATAAATCTCTGATCGGTTGTCACTTTAATTAAGATGACTTACCATCACCATCTCCCACACATTCTACATCTTTAATAATCTATTCACCATCGACCTTACTCATAATCTCGTCACCCCCTCTCGGAAGCTCATTACTGCTTATAAAACCTACCTTTCAAGCTCTAATTTAGCTCCTTTTAATTCATAATAATATCAAAGATGTCGTCATTTGCCAAGACTGCCGCTTCTTTGGCCTGCCTCGCAGCGGTCACGATGGCGACTCCCCTCATGAAGCGAGGTGAATGGGACTGCCCCACGGGCAAGGTCTTCTACTCATGCTCGAATGGATACCGCGGGTGCTTCGAAAAGGACCCATGCGCTCTTCCCCCAGTTGCCACTACTTCTCTCGCCTCTCCTAGCACTACCACCACGTCCATTGCCAGCTCCAGCACTTCTTTCGGCGCTGCTGCTTGCCCGAACGGCACCAAGGGTAGCGTCTGGCAACCGTCTATGTACAACCTATTCCCGGAAGACCCTGACCATTCTGAACCATCCGTTTCTTTCATAAACGTCTCCACCCGGGAGAACAAGCCACCCGTGGAACAGGCGATGGTCTTCCGGGGCATCCCGTCCGAGGCCAAGACATGCAATATCAACTGGGACCAAGCCGACGAGTCGGAGCGCAACTTCACCGTCGAAGACAGCGGCTACGTCTCCGTCCTACAGTTGAACGGCTTCCCTTACGGCGAGCCCGTCTCTTCATCCAGCGTAGCCGCCTTCGAGCCGGCGGGTGCCAAGCCTGTGCACGGCGACTTCACATACTGGGACAAGCAGTCCAAGACCGCCTGGCCTCACTTCATCGGCCCCGTCAACTGCAGCTCGGAAATCTACATCCGAATCGCCCTCGACACCCTCTCGGGCTTCGGCCACGTCTTTATGGACCAGGACAAGAAGAACGGGTTCCACATCGACTACACGTGCTAAATGAAAAGAAAGGAAATAGGGGGTATTTTTATTACATCGGTACGGATTCGGAAAACTCACTCATTTATGATCATGCATTAGCGTTGGCGTTTTATGATGGCATTTACATATGAATCACGCTCCTTTACGAGGATTTAGAGGGATTGCATTTATTTTTAATTCTATAATTAGTTAATATTACACGTAAATAATTTTATATTTATATCATCTTTTTTCGTATGACTGCTTTACATGTATGATCCCTAGTGTCTTGATACGCTTGACGGTAGAGATGGTAATCTCGAGAAAATTGAACTCGAGTCAGCCTTTGTTGATATTATTGGGCCATGGTTTTTCACGGTTGCTAAATTGAAACATTCTATGAACGAGATAAGTACCGTTGCCACAAACTCTATGTATGTCAGTACATCATTAAGTCCTCTGTAATATTTGAATAGGGATTGAAAATGCTTTGTTAATGGATATATCTTCGTTGCTTTACGTTGTCTATGTTCGTGACCATATTCCATGCGTGTATCATAATAGTACAATCTAATTATGTGCTTATGCCTCATGAGTCCAACGGCTTTTCACCCTCTTGTTTGCTCCGCCGTAAATCATCTAGCCAACGTTTCTTTTCGACTCTCAGACTCCTACGCGTCCATATTATCGTGATGAACGTCCAAATAATGGTAAAACCTAGTGGTGCTCCCCAACCTATGAACTTCATGTTAGTAAGGGGTTACGAGGAATTAGAGGACATCGTAATTTACCTATGCCGTACGCTATTTCCTGGGGGATAGTCCACACGACCACCAAAGAACCGACTCCGACAATCATGGAGCCAACACCCCAGAACCAGTTCAGGCCCCTAATCAACGTCCTGAAATGTTTACTGACTTTATATCTATTCAGTATCCTCTGTCTATACGTCTTCCCTGCGCCGCCATCAACGGCTACGACATCTTCTATGAATGTCAATAGCACAGGTGGTATCGGCGCTCCCTTCGGGGTCGAGCTGACCTTGCACGTGGTGGGCATATTCATGACTTCCATCCAACCTGTAGCGAGGGCGAGAGAGCCCACCTCGATGAAGAATAAGGGTAGAGGCATAGCCAACGGGCGGACTAACGGCTCATGTGGAATGGATGCGCCGATTAGAATTCCCGTCATGACTGTATAGCCTATAGATAGTGTCGTATGTGTGAAGTCAAAGCGCCAGCGCTTGCCGTCTAGTGGCCGGTACGTATCATCTTTTAGAATCAATCGCCATGAACGATGAGCGAACTCGAGACCCGAGACGATGCCAAAGAATGAAGTAATAATTGCGAAAACTGATTCAACGTGTAAGCTCGTGATTATGTCCCGCTCATAGAAGAACTATATTGAGATAAGGGAAATAAATACTTACGAATGCCATGTCTCAGGGTCGTATAATACCATAGCGGATAGAACAGAATAATCGGCAATATGCTTCCTTCGAGAACCAAAAGTCCTCCAACTAAGAAAAGCTTCTTCTTGTGCTCTAAGATCTGATAGTTTAGTCGTGGTAGGCCGGGTAGCTCCTCGCTTGGATCCTTGCTTGCGGTCGCAGATGAAGCGGATGAATCCGGAGGTTCGTCCGGACCGGACAATGCTGGAGGCGGGTCTAAATCAGCGTTCCCGTTTTCCAAGTCATTGCTAGCCATATCGCGACTCATCAGTTACTGAAATCTGGAGAAACGATGATAAAAGGTTGTCGTTAGGTTATTAGGTTATTATGTTATTATGTCTGTAGTCGAGCCGACACAATCATTTGATCATTTACTAATGAATAAAATCCCAATTCTATGGGAAGTTGTTGATCCCATTTTTGGAGAATTTTGAATTGCACCATGATTTTGATGGGGTCGGGGTGTAGACATTGTATTATCGATCGATCTCAAAAAATCGGTACATAGGAAGACTGACGAAAGCCCAGAGGACAGCGATGACGTTGTTGATTCTGAGCCTCTGGGCAGGGATAATCCTTTAGGACCATTTAACTGACCAGTCCTAAAGATAAACTCCGAACGGTTTAGTTCTAATCCTTGCAACTTGGTATAATATGCACAATTCGGATACTGTAGGTCAGCAAATGCCGCAGGATTATACGATTAGAAATATACACATGCTATTATGGAGAAGATCTATAGGCGTAGATATGCAACAAAAGCACCTATTAGCTTACGGGTGTGCCCCTGTGCTACATAAGTAGCGCTAGTCTTAAAACTCTAGCGTTGCCCCACACCCAAAGCTACGGGATGACGTATCTAGACCCTTAGGATTTGGCCCGTTACGACGAAATTCAAGGTATCTTGTCTTGGATCTGACATCGCACATCTTCATGATTTCATGCATCGATTTGATAGCCATTCAAATGCTCGCTTTAATTTATAATATTTTTAGGGTTATACTAGATACAATAGAGATGGATTGTTATATTACGAGAATTAGTAGCCTGCAGGCAGTTTTCGCGTACAATGATGAATACAATAATGAATGACGATTCATTACAGTAGGGTATTTAGTTTAGTAGAGTTAGGCATCGTTTCTCAATAATATTGATAGTATACTTGACCATCAGCTTCTTAGTGGCTCGTTAAACCCAAATGGTGTGTAAAGTCTCGACAGTTCGCTTCTTTTACTTTGTGCTACTCCCATCCTTGGGTTTAGGTTGTAGTAAAGGGGGTAGTTTTAAGGGAAGACCAAGGATCGAATGCGCCTGATCTTCTTCAAATATGTTCTTAAGCTTGCGACAGCATTCACCATATAGCTTCTCCGATTTCTCTGGAGGCTTCATTGGGTTTGGTCCTTTATCCCATCCATGTGCTACGCCAGGTATCATAGTGTAAAAGACGTTTTTCGAGATAGGCGGCTTCTGTAGTCGCTGAGCAAGCTCTTCACCTTCGTGTAAAAGCATGTCCCATTCGCACGTATAAAATATTACGTTATGAGGCAGGCCTTCGATCAGCATCTCGTCCGACGCTTTCGAGGGTGATAGACATGGATCAGCAAGGTCTAATTCGGGAGGAAATAGATATGACGCGTCGAATAGATTTGTCAAGGTCGGCGGGAGAGTGGCTTCGGGACGGAGTGCAGATGCCCGGCGTTCGGCACGAGTCAGTGTGTAGTCGGTAATTGGATACCAGGTTGCGACAGCGAGAATACGATACTCGGGAAGTTCCACAGTTTTTCGATGTTCGAACAAACGGATCGGTGCCGTGAGGGCGATGTTACCGCCTGCTGAAAACCCCGATGTTGCTATCCTATTGCTATCAAGCCGAAGTCTCGTTGCATTATTGATGATATATAATAATGCGTCTGCTCCGTCATCAACGGCGGTAGGGAATGGGAATTCTGGTGCCAATCGGTAATCTACTGAGACGAAAACCGCGTGACATTTCTCGAGTACGAAGCGAGCGAATCTTGCATCGTCTGATGCGCTACCCAACGTGAACCCTCCTCCATGAAAATTTACAACGACTGGCCATTTTTCGCTCTTTGGATCCTTGTTGTAACCTTCGGGTACATAAAATTGGAGATTAAATTGGCCTTTCGTGGTTGATATGGTAGAAGTAATAGACTTGATGAAGTCTGGATTTGGTGGTCGCGGAGAAGCGAGGAAGTGTAAACTCATTCCAATGCATTGTAAAGACCTCCACCAGCCGGCGGTAACCCGGAGAGAGAAACGTGAGGGCGGAGCTCCTGTCTTATCCTTTGCTTTGCGCGGTTTCTTATTGGGAGGCAATGGGACTTCAGGTAATTTTTCTCCTGGGTCACTGCTCGAGGGAACGGGTATCCCTTCAACCGTTTGCATTTTGGAGGGTATAGAATAGGTCGCGTAAGAGCTAACTTTAGTAATATGCTTCTTATAATCTTCTAGATTTATTTAATTATTTGTTTGTCATACAAAAAAGAATTTGGTAGAAGTAAGGTAAGGAAGGTAGTTAGTTAGATGGATAATTCGCCGTGTTATTGCCGACAAGTGATTGCATTAGATTTGATGTGACATGGAATTTGAGTGCTATGGATAAGAAGTCTTCAGCTGCAAGTTATCTGAAACGATATGTCGGGATTTGCATAAACAAGACAGGATAGGCGGGCACATTGCGTAAACAGGATAAGCAATTCATGATACAGTAACAGTATTTTAGAGTGTACCGTCTTGTCAATATGACGTTGGCTACTTGGGACCTTGACCATTACTTAAACCCTTGTCCCTTGCTCCTTGCCGGACCTTAGGTACCTGATCTGTCAGTCTATACATATCTGTGGCGCTTATGTGGCAAGTCTGTAAATTGGGTAGTGGACGCCACAAGATAGAGGGCTCGGTAATTCTACCTCGGTACAAATATTAACCAGACGTTTCAATAATAATTTGACAATATCGGAGTCAAATGAATGTGATCGAATTGTCGAATCCGAATGTTTGGTGTCATGATGTCATGATTCTCGTAGACCCATAAAAATACCGCGAACTTAGATCACTAATGGCACCTTCGCTGGCACCAACCCCTGCACTAATGCGCCTACAAATAGCAAAATCGCCAAATAGAGATGGATGTAGAGGGCAGCGCACACTTTGATTGGCTATCGTTACCCTTACAGGACCGGTCTATTTGCTCCGGGTGGGGACTCCGAGGTAGTTGATTTCGTCACAGATACAAAGTCGGGCAAAGACAGCTAGGAATTTCATAACGTCTATAGCGAAAAAAAAAAAAAAAAAAAAAAAAAGTTGCCATAACATGCCCACACCTTAATTCACATGGCCGTCGATGTAAAATTCTATCCAGTAAACCCTAGAAGAATCTACAAAGTAAACCTAAGTTAGAGGCCAGACGCAATAGATCATCTACTATCAACCAGGTTTCTGCCAAGATTTTTGTTATAAACCTGCCAGCGAGTCCATTGCTTCTTAAGTAACACACCCAACAGATTTTCCGTTGGATCTAACAATTTACTGTGTACCACTGACCTCATCATATATTCTTTTTTTTTCTTCAAGCGCTGTCTTATAATCAGCGCTACATCTCCACAAACTAGACAACTTTTGATTCCATACCCCCGTCTATAAACTTCCCCACAGAGATACCCAACCGTAATATCAATATGCCTTCGATTAGGATGAAGAATCCTCTTCTCTTACTGAATAGGGTTATTGGGCATTCGTCGGCCAAGAATCATATCACCAAAATTCATCTTGGTGACACAGAGGCATTAGATGAAGAGGCAGATAAGAAGCACTTAAGAGCCCTGTATGAGAAACGAGCCAAGAAAGAGTTACAAGAAGAAAATCGGCGATCGCTACAACAAAAGCGTAAGGAGGAAGAGCTGGCAGCATTGTCTAGTGAACCACCAGAGTTACAATCAAGCTATGGCACACTCACCGAAGAGAGCATGCCACCCTCTTTTCTACTCGAGCATTTGTCGACCGACAATATTGGGCAGACTATCAGCTTCAGTGCCCGGCTTCACCATGTGCGATCCGTAAGTGCGAAATTGGCTTTCATATTGCTACGCCAACAGGACGATACCGTACAAGGTGTTCTACAAGTTCGAGAGGGAGTTGTGTCCGAGAAGTTCGTACGGTGGGCCGAGCATCTTAATACCGAGTCTATAGTACACATTCGAGGTACTATACGCGAACCACCTGAGCAGATCAAAACCTGCAGTTTACACAATCTCGAGATCCTCATTGACACCATGCATGTCGTTGTGCCAGTGGAGGATCCTATACCCATTGATGTCTACAACATGGAGCAGGTGGAGGAAAATGAAAACACCCATGAGAAGCAGTTAGCGGTCTCAAATCGTGTGCGCGTTGCGAACCGACTAGTTTTCCTCCGAACACCAGTTATGCAGAGCGTCTTTCGCATCCGATCAGGTATCTGTAGTATATTCCGATCTTCTCTGGAGGAACAAGGATTCATTGAGATTCAAACCCCCAAACTCCAACCAGCCGCGACCGAGTCTGGTGCGGAAGTTTTCAGGGTCAACTATTTTGGAAGAACCGCATTCTTGGCGCAGAGTCCGCAATTGGCGAAGCAGGCGGCAATTTCCGCTGATTTTGGCCGTGTCTTCGAGATTGGACCTGTTTTCCGAGCTGAAGACAGCAATACCCACCGACATCTGACAGAATATACCGGTTTAGATCTGGAAATGACGATTCAAAAGGACTATCACGAAGCGATGGATGTAATTGATGAGATGTTGAAGGCCATCTTCAAAGGTGTTTACTCACGATACCGCAAGGAGCTTGAGAATATCAAGACGAGATTTCCCCATGAAGATCTAGTCTGGTTGGAACAGACACCTCGTCTTTCATTTAAAGAGGGAGTTCAATTATTAAATTCATCTGGGTGGACGGATGATGATGGAAAGCCGGCTTCTGAGAACGAAGACCTCGTGACTCGTGCAGAGATCCGACTTGGCCAGCTAGTCAAAGAGAAATATGGGACTGACTACTTCATTCTCGACAAATTCCCAGCATCAGCACGACCATTCTATACGCATTTAGATCCGAATGACGAGACGGTAACTAACTCTTTTGATATATTCCTTCGTGGTCAAGAAATTACAACGGGAGGTCAAAGAATCAACAATCCAAGAATCTTGGCCGAGAGAATGAAGAAAGCTGGAGTAGACCCAGAAGGGATGGAAGAGTACATGCAGGCCTTCGAATGGGGTGCGCCACCGCACGCGGGGTGTGGTATCGGTCTCGAGCGTGTGTTATTCTTGATGTTGAATTTGGGAGACGTCCGGAATGCCACCTTATTCCCAAGAGATCCGAAATCCCTTCCTGCAAAGAGGCATGATCAAAACGGCAAGGTCCCTTTCCCCGAGGCCGATACCATCCGCTATGCGTTCGAAGGAGAACACGACCACGTCCATCTACCTGATTTAGATAAGCTCATCGTAAACTATGGTGATGCTACAAACACTTCCTGGCTTGACGAAAGGTACAAGGTCTGGCGGGATGTGGATACCGGAGCAGCCGTTGGATACGCAGAGGAGAACGGATACGCAATGATAATGGGCAACCCACTTTGCGATTCACGTCAGTATCCTATCGTCATCAGCTCTTTTCTCAAATATTTGAAGAAAAGCGAGGATCTACGACCCATCTGGATCCTGGTCTCCGCACAGGTCGAAGATATCCTTGGCGCGAAGCTCGGGTGGAGGACACTGACATGCGTGGCTGAAGAGCGCGTGGATATGGAAAATGTAGGCAACGTGACCAAGAAGGAGCGCCAGGCCCAGAAAGCCGAGATCAAGATACATGAAACAGTACTCGGTCAGCCGGTCCCTGACGACGTGAGGGAAAAATGCGACAAGCGTATTGTCGACTGGAAGGAGAGCCGCAAAGGTCGAAAGCAGGTCCACATTACCGAAGTCCAACCCTGGATATCGATGGCACACCGGCGCTATGTATGGGCCGAAGATAAGACTGGAGAAATCGTTGGCCTTGTCATCCTGCACCGCCTCTCCCCCGAGCACGGATACCAAATCAAGTTTGCGCTTGACTTCCCCGGCTCGCCATCCGGCAGTATCGAGGCGCTCATCTCTCACGCCATCCAAAGTTTAACAGCTACAGGGGTCAGCAGCGTGACTTTCGGTGCTGGTGCTATGGATGAGCTTCTCATCGGGAGCAACCTAAACGGCATTAAAGCCAAGCTGCTAAGCCGCACATATAAGACAGTCGCGCAACAACTAAAGCTAGTAGCAAAGAGCGAATTCAGAGAAAAATTCGGCGTGAAGCACGATCCGGTTTACATCTGTTATCCATTCATGGGCCTAGGAGTTTCTGGCGCTAGGACATTGATTAAGTTCTTCGAGGACGAGATGTAAAGGGGTATTAGTTTACAATCGCAAGACATAATTACTTTTGCTGGTTTCCTTTGTTATTATGGCACGGCATGGCTTGGCGCGGAGACATGTTCAATTCGATACCAGGGTAGATGATCTGGACGCACCTCATGAGCATTTTCTTAACGATGATAGATACCCATTGTGGACAATAAATATTGGGCGGCTTAATAATAGAAAAGAAGGATAATAAAAAAGACCCCTAATTCATTAACCTGAATGTTAATTGTTGTCATGACTTTAGTTTCAACGAGAGCTACGACGCCTCAACGAGTCTAGCTATCGTGATGAAAAGGTCGTATGGAGAATGGTAGATTTATATTATGACCTAAGTGGAGATTCTTCGAAACAGAAGTCGGCTTATTAGAGACATGTTAAGCTGCTACATGCTGTTTTCTCACATTTAACTCCGGTGGCATCGTCCTTCAATCTCGTATAAGTGGTGTACAAGTTTAGCCTGCACCGGAGCCAGGGGTCCGCTCAATGCATGCGACTCACCCCGGCCGTTCTACCCAATCTTGACAGCGGCACCGTCCTAATATGCCATGGCGGCGGATTAATCCCCACGTCTCCTTAATAGGGGCCGGGAAATTTATAACTGCTCGGTGTATCGGGTTAAGTACATTAACTACCCAATATCCCCCCCCCCCCCTATGCTGTAAGTATTCTCAAGGTGATCTTCTCAAGCAGTGAGATACTCGTTCGCAGCTATGGGCGTCTTCAAATTCCTAACTATAGCCTGCCTAGCTACCCTCATTCCGAACGCCTCGGCACTTCTCGCGTTTCCTGGGGCTGAGGGGTTTGGTCGAAACGCGGTTGGTGGTAGGACGGGGTCGGTTTACCATGTCACGAACTTGAAGTGAGTGTAGCTGCGCATATCTATAAATTCAATATTCTCATACAAGATCATTAGCGACTCTGGGGAAGGATCCTTCCGTGACGCTGTGTCGAAGTCAAATCGCATTGTCGTCTTCGACGTTGGCGGAACCATTAAAATCACTAAGCGGGTTGTAGTTTCGAAGAATATTTATATTGCTGGTCAGACAGCTCCAGGCAATGTAGGTCCTTGGAATATATATCTGCTAAGGATGTGTAGAGTATGTTTCATCCCGTGTGCTAATAGTTCTATAAGGGGATCACAATCTATGGCAATGGCCTATCGTTCTCCAATGCTAACGACGCCATCGTGCGTTATATCCGATTTCGTATGGGTAAAAGCGGTGATTCTGGCAAAGGTGCTCTTCCATCCTATAAAGATAGTTCAGAATCAGATCATGTACTAAAACTTACCAACAGACGGGATTACTATTGCTGATGGCAGTAACATGATCTTCGACCATGTGTCGGCCACCTGGGGTCGAGACGAGACTTTTTCTATCAACGGAGCCGTTCACAACGTAACGGTACAGAACACGATCATCGGCCAGGGCCTGCAGACCCACTCATGCGGTGGACTGATGCAGTCGGACTTTGGTATTAGTCTCTTCAGGAACCTGTACATCGACAACAAGACGAGAAACCCCAAGGTCAAGGGTATGAACGACTTTCAGAACAATGTAAGTTTTACCAAATGTGCCATTGGGTACTAGATAGACACACAAGTGGATACTAAACAACTCATCAGGTCATTTACAACTGGGGAGGGGGTGGTGCTTACATCGCTGGCGACAGTGACGGTCAGAGCTATGCCAACATCATCAACAACTATTTTATCTCTGGGCCCAGCACGAGCGTAACCGCATTCACGCGAGGAAATGCTAATTTCCACGGTTGTAAGTGTGCTAACTAATACCATGCTTCCAAGTAAATGCTCACCTTGTTACCTAGATGTATCGGAGAATTACTACGACAGCAATAAAGACGGGACGCTCAATGGGTCTCCCCTCTGCGTCCAGACCAGCTGTTACAGCGACATGGATATCCAGAAGACGCAGTTCGACTATCCAGGCCCAAAACGTCTAATGGCGGCGCCCGATGCGCTGACCTACGTCCTCAGCAACGTCGGTGCTAATTTCCCTGGACGCGATGAAATCGACAAAGGTCTCGTAACGGAAGTGCAGAGCTTTGGAAAGAAGGGCGAGCTGATTAGCGCAGAGAACGCGGGCTCTTTAGATAACTCGAAAGGAAACGCGCCTACGGACACGGATGGAGACGGGATTCCGGACGCGTACGAGAATGCACATGGGTTGAATTCTCGGGATGCAAGCGACGCGATGAAGATTAGTAGTTCTGGATATACGAATATTGAAGTATATCTTAACTCTCTCGTCCCCTCTTCATAAAGAGCAAAAAAAATGAGTAGCATATCGATTAGAAGTAGCAATTTGCATATGATGGTAATCATGCCAAAACCCATTGAAATCTATAGCCATGAGTCCAAGGCCATTATTGCATAGGTATATTTCTTCAAGAGAAGTTAAGTTATGAATGGAGAATTTATCACTACAATTTATACCTTTCGTGTAATTCAACTACCATGATGTCTCTAGAAAACAATTAATTGATTCAAACGAGGGCTTCATTACATCCTATTGATTACCTAAGGTACGTACTAGCTAGGTACGTGGTACATGGTACATTAAAAAAAAAAACCGAAATTCTGCACGAGCCATTTCTACCATTTCACTATCCCTAATTGGGATATTTCTGCGCACATTTTAACATGGAATATAGGTCATTGTAAAATCCATCGACATCACAGCAACTATCCCTCGGAAGGAAGCCCACTTCCTTCCGTCAGTACTTGCAAAAACACGCCCCCCCTTGGTGGTGTAGTTGGTTATCGCGTTCGGCTGTAATTGATAAGATTGTTTACCGAAATGTCGCCGGTTCGATTCCGGCCCGAGGGATCATAACTTTTTTGCCTTTTCTTAAACCGTTCGTTGCTTTTTTCACTTCCCCTCATCACGTCTAGTGTCGCACGCAAATATTCTAAGTCATTCATTTTATTATCTCCTTCAACTAGGTTATTCATTTTGGTATTAACAAGCTTAGTATTATCATTCAGCAATTTCTTTACAATAATCTTTTTCTTTGTGTCTTTTACTCGATTCCCCTCCAACCCTCTTTTCTTGTAATTGACGTGTTGTGCCTGTAACCTCTAAAGTCCGGTGTATATGATTAGCACTTCTCTATTAGTCACTTTTCCAAGAGGGAACCCCCTTTTTAGGAACTCAAATCATTCCGTCGGGGTAGTCAGGTGCGAATTTATTGAGTCATAAATGCAACCCTTTTCTAGAAGTACATAAAGAACCATTACAGATTGGGAATAGCCATCATATATTCAGTAGCTGAACGTTTCTTAAATTATAACCTTTTCTTTCTTCTTGATCTACAGTATCGGCGAGTCCTACCCCTTAATAGGAATGTTTAATTAAACATATTGTACTAGAAGCAAATGACGTTCTCTTAAAGACGTATATAATAGGTAATTATTTCAGGTAGAACTAAGAAAAGGTAGCAAGGCGATGTTCAGTTACTGAAAGCGCCGTGCTGGGAAATTGGGTAGGGAACCGACGCAAACAGCCAGATATCTATGAATTAGAACTCCATCTATTATATTCCTCAGAGGACATGGCACTATTAACAACTACTATGATTTTTATGAGCCTTTGTTACTTTACGGATCAGTATCGATTTCCAGTGATACAGAGGCTTGAGGCTGAAAATGGTATTAAATGACTGTCCTAAAAGTGTATCCCACTCACCCAGCTCAGCCAAGATCGTCTTCAACATTACTACGAAGCCATTGGCATTAATTCCAATATTTAATACCTATCCAATTCCAATACAAGTGCACACTTTTGTTTTATCGCAGACGTCCTAGCCCCCCTATCTTTACCTCAGGGACCCATCCTGGCCCCTATGGGCCGAGCCCCACGAGTAACCCGAATCTCATTATCATTATTAAGATTAACAAAACCACCTGGAGCTTATACCCCTTAGCAGACCCAGCTTATATACCCATGCCATAGGTCGCATTAAGGCTGGTACTCGTTATAACCTCATTATTATTCACCTCACGTCCTTCCCTGTGTACTCGAGCTCATCAGACCGTAGTCAGTCGTCAGGTCTTCGGTCTTTTGGCCGTTCTTTCGATCGGACTTTGCCGTAGGTGGGTTCCCAATATCTTTGAGAGTCTCTTTAATTCGTTGCCGCATCGACCGCTTCTGCTTGGTATCGCTGTGACTCTTTTCCTTGTCGTACGAATATGTGGTAGACTCTGAGTAAGTCGAGGCAGATGAAGGTTTGACGTCTAGCTGTGCTTGTGTTTGTGCTTTCGATGATTGTGAATGGGCTGACTGTCTCTTTTGCTCTTGATGATATGGCCAGATGAGCTCCGGGTTCGTCATCGCCAGAGACATGGAGACGGCTGCCGCTGACGTTCGATAGCAATCTTGGCACATTGTTATAAGGGTGTAGGGCTTTTTCGTTACGAGTTTATAATGCAAGCAAAGGGGTAGTTTGTATTGAAGTCTTATATGATCTATTGGACAACTGCAAAATTGTATCCTGATAGTATGATGATGATAGTGATGTTGATGAAGGACAAATTCATTAACCAACCTTAGAAAAAAGGCATCAGTCTTATAAGAGGTTCTAATATGCCAATATGACTAATACCTAGGCAACTATTATAGACGGAATGGGGGCTGGTGACGCAACTTAGACTTGATCATGCAGGCAGACTACTATGAGGCTACACAAATGATTCACTTTCACCTGGTTGGCCAGAAGTAGTTCATCTTAGTGATGCCTGGCAACAAGCAACAGGTGATAATACGCTTATACGCCCACTAGACGTAAGCTACCATCGAACAAGCCACAAATGCAGGGTGAGAAGATGACTCTTACGGCACAATGCTACCGAGGTACATTTCGTGGTTGACTTCTGCTTAGCTACATATAGTAGAACTCCGACCTTATTATAGGGTAATAGTTATATTAATTGATATCATAGGCGTATCAAGCAAACAAAGCAACGAATCTTTCCTTGTATTGACGCGTCCAATTATTAGGCTGCCAGATAATTCTTGTTAGCTAAGTCCCAAGTCCCAATTCCCAAGTCCCAATTGAACGGTCATCAGATCCTGGGTACCCGATCTGAATCCTGGCTTAATACGCCTTGCGAGATCGGATTGTATTTTTGTCTGCTGAAGTACGAAATTAGATATACGCGTCCCAGACCAATGAAGACGCATCTTAATGCGAGAGCATACTATAATAGGTAAGGTAAGTAGATGAGGGGGGCTTATCCCCAAATGTCTCCAAATATTTGCTTAGAATTGCCTTTCCACCGGGTGACTCACGCTAATGAAGTACACACGCTATACCCCGGCCCGCTGCCGGCACCAACCGAAAATTAAATGGGCCCCCGGAGCACCGTCTCTTAACTATCTGTATCACTAGTCCAATGCGTGAAAGCGTATCGTCTGGAATTTCCTTTTTTCATCTTAGCTACCTCAGCTTGTAATATTTTTCATACCTGCTTCTATTTGCGGTGAATATTCACGACTTGACTCACGGCCTTTAGTTGCTACATGTAACACCCGGCATCAGGTAAGGCGCGTTTTTGTTTGTAATCATATGATGACACATTAAAGACAGGTCAACCAGATGACAAATTGAATAGTATGTCATGAATAGGTACTGCAATAATATAAAACATATGAAGTGTGCATTAGTCTTTAGATCGGAGGTGTTGTTCAATTAGGTGCTTAATACTCTAATCAAAATGCCCCCTTCGAATTAATAATCTATCCAAAATCGTTTGTTACGCATTTTTAATTCAATCTCAAAGCAGGTTATTCTCATAGCCATCAATTTAATAGGGATTGCCCTTATGCCATTTCTAGTTATATAAAGTATGAAGTACTCTATTATAGTAAAGATCCTGCTAGTCAAATCAACCAACTACTAGGCCATATCCACTAATACACATACATACATTGCACCATATCCACCTCACTTAGGTATTTCCCGGATCGCCATAAACCTCTATCTAAACACCAATAAAATATCGTGGTCAGACATATATAATACATTTCACTGTTTGCAATTCTTAGAGGGAAGAGATGAATTCATCGCATCGACATCTGCTCCGGGCTTGCTATGCATAGCAGAAATCGAGGAGAGGGGGTCTAACATGTAAGGCCTAACATGCCTGCTTCCTCAAAGTCGCTTGGCAAACATAATACACCAATAACCTTGTATACCAGCCTGTCCATATCAAAGAAAACAGCAAGCCTTCGCTCTCATACGCCAACCCTTATATACTGGCGTACCGAGGCCAAATCTAATCCCAACCCCAATACTCGTCTTTATCCTGACCCCAACACTCTATTCTTGGTCTTCCTCATCCCGGTCTCGATCGTCGCTGTCGTCAATATTCGCAGTGATCAAAGACCTGACGGCCTGTTGTACGACCTCGGTTTTGTTGTCAGGGGACTCGTGCAGTTCATTAAACCGACCAATCAGCACTGACTGTAGACTACATATGGCATCTTGGTCGCCGTACTCAAACCTATTGAGTTCGGCCATTCCGATCCTAGCGATATCAACGGTCATGATTTCCCATTCGCTGTTTCCCATGAAGTGAGCCCATGCGTACCATGACCCATGTCGCAGAACGCATTCCTTAAAGACAATAGTCCTCTCGTAAAAGGCGGGATCTGAGAGGATCCAATCTTCGCGGGACTTGACGAAGCACGATCCCATCATATTCATCAGATAGTACATCATGATGCAATCCTGTTTGGATAGGTTGCGGATGTATTCCATTTGCGTAGGGCGTGCGGAATAGTTCGTATACGGATCTTTCAGACGAAAGCCCTCTGGTACATCACGCCCAATCCACCATGATATGAATCGGGGTTTATACCATTGTGCCTCAGGAAGTTGGCAAGGTGTATTGGCTGCGATATCTGCAATATAATCGCATTGTGCAAATGCACGGTATAGGAGTGCACATAGGCGTTCTTGCTGAGGAATCGTGAGTTCTCCTAAGCCGGGTGGTGACTTAAGATTGAAGTGGGGAGAGGCCGTGAGTATGTCCTTAACTCGGGATTTCCGATTCTCTAACTCTAGAAGCATTTCAAAGCTTCTATGCTTAATTGGGCGTCGAAGATATAGCTCTGAAGAGAGCACATCACCAGTAGGCGGGACAGGGAAGTTTGCTAGGCGTAACTGTGATAATGAACGCTCATACGTCTTGAGGAGCATATTGGCCTCCTATATTGTAAATTAGCCAGCTGTTTGTCTAGATGTAAACAATCTAGGTTTTCAAGTCTTGAGGAGACCTACCTTGCTTGTCTCACAAAGCTTGAATAGAGTCTTGACGTCTAAATGCTGCGCGATCTCAAGGAACACATCCCGTGAGATCCTAGCCATTGTTGGAATAGCTGATGAGCTGCACCAGGAAAAGAGAAGGACTCTGTGTACAAGGTAACAGAGGCGACGTTTGTAAGACCAATTGTTCGAAGAATGAATGGAAATAGTAATATGTGTGCTAAGGTTGCAAGAAAAGTACTATTTTCCAAGTCATAACTTGAAGTTAATAATTGTCAGTGATTGTCGACGACCCTGAGAGTACGCGCGGGATAATTGTCTGTTATATGTATGGTATCGTTGATATTTGATATGATTAAGTCTGTTCCTTTATGTGCGGCGCTGGACACCTGAACACCTTGATGGGCAAGCTATTTTTGCAATTAACTCTTCTGACGTACCTGACCGAAGAACTAGCCATCAAGGTTTGCATTGATTCGGTTGCTACTGCCATTGTCCTATGTATCCACCTCTAAGACCGTAAATCTCGTGAAAGAGTCACTTAGTCACTCATGAACGGGTTGAGATGGGATGGCTACAGCTGTACTAGCGTACGTGCGGTTGTATGCTTAGTCATGTGGGGGTGTTTGTCCTTCCTTTTATCTCTAAACTTCGTGGTCATAGCTGCCTCTTTAACTCCGCATAGGTGCACGGACAGTCTAGATGAGAGGTAGGTACGGATGATTGCCAATTATCGGATGGAAAGAGCCAGGTAAGTACTACCTACCGAAGTTCAATTGACTATATGCAGGTACCCAAGTCACCAATTTTGCTTGCAACATATACTATGGATATGTATTGGTCAAGTGCTTCGTTCGATACCTCCTAAGATTAGGTAATTATTCAGCCACTTAACCACCTGGCAGAAATACGAAGCTCTGCACTTGGTATAGGTATTGTCGTGAGAAGATAGCTGATAGTAAATTTAAATCTGAGAGTTCGGTAATTCCGTAATAGGTATGTAAATCTACCATGCTATTTTGTAGTAAGATATTGATATGATCGCTATGTATGCTTACTAGCATAATAGCCTATCCATGGTTATTGATCGATAATTACCATCACAGCAGAGGACATATCAGCGGCGGTGTTCCGTCCAATCAGATTCGATATTTTGGTAAGTCAATAGTTATACGGCACTAGAATATTCAACTGCGTGTAGCCATTACGGGGCCAGCCTTACTGTCCGTCCTGTAGCATCATGAAGTTGTACAAGTCCTCTCGACCCCGGAAACCAATGAAGCATGCCGAAAATGACAGGGGTAGAAAGGTAACAGATCAGAAACTATACTATATGTATCGATAGCTGCTAGCGATTCTACATATCTTTATATTGAATGGAATAATATAAGAGGCCAGGATCGTATTGACAAGAGATGGATAAAGCTTTGTACAGGGGAAACTTTACCCCAGATCTGCGTTTGTTGCGTGGTGATGGACCGGTAAGATTTTGCTGTGCCAGACCTAACTTATCTAGGTACCTATGTACCTACCTAGGTACTAAACTTACATAAGGACATGGACCTAGGAGGCAGACTAACCCCTTTCCTCTTGCAGAAGAGGCTAAGCTCGTAGCAGAAATTTTGCCTGGTTTTAAAAAACAGGTTAGTCTATTTCTAGTAATTATCCTAGTAATTGATTCTATTTCTTTTCTTTTAATATATTTTTCAAATCACAAAAATGCCGATCTAACCAGGATCGCGGGGTCTAGACAAGGTATAAACCCGTACATTAGGTACGTACATCAAGTACAGGGGTTAGTACAGGGGAAGCATTCAAGAGTCCAGGCCGCCCGAGGCAAGTTTAAGTGTTTAAAGTTTGAACCAAAACCAAAAACTACACTTCGTCATTCTTTGCAGCTTGCAGCTCGCAGTTTGCAGCATCGCCATCTATGTTTCAACTATCAGAGTCCATTCATTGATTTTCAATCCACCGTTTCATTCACACATCATTGGTACCAGTGGCATACGCGGCCACATCTTGTTGCTTTAGCTCTCAATTATCAGTTCTCCGGTTCTCCAGTTTCTCCTTACAATTGGACTAATTTAATAGCGTGTTGCGCTGAGGGTCGCATTTAGCCGCCTCCATTCGAGAAAAACTCTTGTCGACGTCCAGTCTTTGCCAGATTTCCATTTCAGCCTTGCCAATCCTCAGAATATCCTCCGGTTTCCAAGTTTGCAACTCGTTTCAAAAGTTCCCGCTATACGTCACAATCTCAATCGTTTTGTTCCCGCTCTACCAAATTTTGTTCAAGTCATCTGTTAATCGACGTTTTGGTGCGGGTACTAGCAGCGCGACACCATTCAAACAATATAGAGAGGCATGTTTGCGCCGGTCGTCCGATAAACCCTTATACGTATCGTAACAAACATCAGGGTTCAATTCCTTTCGTTCAAGCATACAATCGTGCACATAATTCCCAAGCCGAGGAAAAATAATCAATCGAATTTCTCCAAGTAGCCTCGCACCCGTCAATTCACGATGCCTTCAGCTAGAAGAGTACGTCTCCTCATGATGGTAGTGCTAGCCGCTGTTATCACCACCTTATTCTTCACATCCCAGATGCGGTCGGCAATTCCCCACGACAACCGGACAGTACATGATTTCTTTGGCAAGACTATGAATGGCCTAGGACCCCAAAAGGGTCCTGGACAAGTTGTGATGAGCGGCAAAGGAACGACCGTTGATTCTACAGTAAAAGACAAGGATGGGGATGGATCTGTCGACGAAGATGACGAGCAGTTGGCAAAGGAGATGGCTGATCGGTTACGTGCTGCCGAGCAGAAGGCCAAGGATTTAGCTAATGCTAAGGCACCACTAAAACCAGATACTCCGAGTAAGGTCATTGGTATAGGGAGTTCGGCTGGGGGGCAGAAGAAAGGCGCTTCCCAGGGGAGCTCAAAGGAGACAGGCGAGGAGAGCGAAGAGTCAGAGGAAGATCGCGAAGTCGAAGCGACTCTTAATAATTTACTCAAAAAGTCATCTGGTAAGATCACCATGTCGTTTGCCACACTTATCTTATTACTTACTTCTACTTAGTTGTTATTTTCTCAAAATCGTTCTGCCCGTATTCTAAAAGGGCAAAGGGTGTCCTTCTCGAGAAATATTCTATTGACCCCGCGCCTTACGTTGTCGAACTAGACGAGCATCCCCTAGGCAAGCAGCTACAGGCCAAATTAGGTATCAAGACGGGACGTAAGACAGTGCCCAATATCATGATCAATGGCAAGAGTGTTGGGGGTAGTGACGAAATTGCCGAGCTAGACTCGAGAAAAACCCTCATTGACAAGTTTAAGTCTATGGGAGGGAAGCAGTTATCTATGAAGGAGCGATTCGTCGGGAACACCAAAGAGAAGCAGGAGTAATAAAGGCACACGCGGACACCTAAACAACGATTTCTTCTCGGGATATCTTGGGGGTCAAGTGAATACGGAACGCGGCAAAGGTACGGACAAACCGTTGTTATCTGCATGTATGGCGTTGGGGTCTCTTTTACTAAGTACTATTGTGTTGGGCATTTGGGTCTGGCACGGACGGTACAAGACCAAGGCGTGGTCTTCAGCTTTTGTGTTCTAGACTTACAGCTCTAGGACATTTCAGTGTATGATAATGTGCTGAAACACGTACATCTTGTGCCTGTATGAACCTATATAGGCACGTATCCGGATAAGGCCTTCGAGCCAGCTTTCGAGGTTCATTTATGGAGCAGTCTTCATACGAACCAGTAAGCCAAGGTTTTTACCCAAATATTCAGCTTGTGACGAATGGTGTTGGAAATTAATGGCAATTGATCACGCAAAGATTAAGATCCTTTAACAGTATGCCAATATCGAATCCGACAGTAACGGATAAAAGTCCTTCCAGTTCTTCTAACACCTCCAGTAGCATGTCAGCAGCACCAACTCAAGCAAATACGGAGAAAGCAATAACAAATAAGGGGCTAGTTATACATGTCGTTCTGTTGATATCTGTTCCTAGAACTATATTGTAGAGAAGTTTCAGGTCCGATATATACCGGACGAATAACCCCTTCTCATTTCTCTTACATCCTATCTAAATGTCCTAAATAAGCCTTGAACCGAGTTGGTTTAATTGGTGATTCCAGAGACTAGCCTGCCAACATTCAAAGCCGCCGTACATTTCCGACGCATATCCTCCCTTCCTTCTTGTTAAAGCGAGGCGACGATCTTTGTTGGCTTGCAATTATTCCCGACCCCAGGTCCCCCTTCAAGTTCCTTACAAGTCGTGAGTTGAAAGCGATAGGACTTGGAGGCGACCTTGCCAGAAATATCAATACAAGGCGGGGCGCTACGGGATATTTCAGTGCAGTCTTGCTGGCATCCGCAATTGTTGTCTGGCGAATGCACTAGATAAGTGCCGATAAAGTCGGATCCGTGAAACTTGAGCGATTGACGTCCCCCTTCTCCCGTTAAGCAGCCAGGATCGTTCACATCAATAGAAACGCCACAATTCTTGGTACACCCTGTATCGTCACAGAACTGTGCCCAAATTTTGCCAGCAGTAAGGTGCACATTGATGGTGCCGGTCAGGAAGATTGCGGCTTTGGTAATGGAGGTATAGCGAACCATTTTACCAACAGTAGTGAGTTAGGTATGATATAGAATATATTACATAGGTAGAAAGCTTGTGATATTTCTAGAGTAACCCTAAGAATTGTCCTGAACTTTGTTTGGGGTTACCATTTATATATATCCGCGAACTTACGCGTCTAAATACGTACTGTTGTTACAATCAAGAAGACTCGTAACACATAAGACTACCATTCAAACATCTTTAAAGCTTGTATCTTGTTGTTTGAGTCTAGATCCTTCGGTTGTACCATCCACATAGTATACTAACGTAGTTGAGATCCTCTGCGAAGCATTCTTACATATACACATGGGAACGAACAACGACGTCACAATATTAATAACGTACCAGAAGCTCGATAATATCATATAAAATCATATATATAGACTCTATAGTCAAGTAAAATACCGGAGATTGTAGATTAAAGATTAAACGAACCTCTTACATACAAAGGATGAACTAAAACGCGTCCGAAGCTCATCGTAGAAATGATGCCCCTATTTGCCTATGCTGAAGCTTCATTAAATGAATCGCAGGCAAATTATATCCGAGTAATTTCTCCTGAAGCAAGCATCACCTCGATATCTGTATCCTCTTAACCTACCTAAGGTAGGTATATCTACCAACCCATCATTGATGTTTTGATGTTCCTGCAGTTGTGGGGACTACCTGAAAACGCTTTCAGGAGTAACTGGAGCAACTAGAGAAAAGGGACAAACCGATCGAAAGCTTCTTACTTGACGGGACGTTCACATTTAAGATCTAGCACATCACTACCTAGATACGAGACTTTGTACCGCGATTCTATATATAATTTTGTATCCATTAGAAGTAAATCTCCATCAACCAGATGAAAGGTTTGGCCATGAACTTGGTTACAACGGTTTCTATGTACCTAATGTAGATTTAATTTTGTATGTTAGATTTCTCCTATGCTAGAACGGGTAACTTACAGCGTATTAGATATATTTATACATAGGAAAGCACCCTAATAGGTTAATAAATATTGGTCATTTATTAGGATAGCCTAGGAGATATATTTTGATGTTTTCTTCATATAGCACGGCCACCTCATCGTCAAGCAACCCGTTGGACTGATACTATTAATCTGTAGGTTATTGTTACATATTTCTCGTAATAAGAGAAGCCGCGTACCCTTTATGATTAGTTAATGCTAAACACGATCCGTCATCTACCTAACCTATATCCAAGCCAGCCGCTACATAGATAGTTCACCAAAGATATTCATGATTTCGTTCTCGTAGTAACCAACGTATTGCTAATGCAGGGTGTTTTTAAGCTACCTAAGATACCTAAGATACATGTATGCTGATTAGGTATCTACTTGCATACCTGCTTGCTGTCGACTGTACCCTCAAGGGTAAGTACTTTCTAAGGCAAGTTTTTAAGTGCAGGAGTGAAAAATAAATTTAGGTACCGTACATGCATAGAAAGGATGTAGGTGCTGATACATATGAGTACTTTAAGTAGGGTAGCTTACAGATCGATTAGGGAGGTTGGTAGGAACTACTAGGCTACGAGATGTACTTGATGCAGGATCAGAATAATTAGGCTGCTGTCGTTAGATCAGAGTCCATTAGATCAGAACATCTTGAATATATTAAAGGCAGTAGCTTCCGCAGTAAGTTTTATTTTCAGATCAATGGTGGCGGGTAACAAGTAGCAGTTGCTTGGGCACCTGCCAACTGAAGTACAACTCAAGTAGAGTATCACCAGTTTCTGCCTAGAAGGTACTTCTATGCAGAAGCTTCACATTTAGGGAACAACTCTTAGAGATCATTTGACATTAATGAAGCAACTGCCATAGTTACTACCACAGCAACTAGGATCAGCACTTGCATTTTATTTCTGCCAATGCTGATTCTGTTTCTCCTTTACCGCCCTGCCCATTTCTATTTAATTCTGAGGAGTTTCCTCCCATCTTCCCATTTTCCTTTCTCCTACCTACCATTCTATTTTATCCTCAACATTCTTCAACTTCCACCTTCACTCTACCTTCACTCTACCTTCACTCTACCTTCACTCTACCTTCACTCTACCTTCACTCTACCTTCACTCTACCTTCACTCTACCTTCTACCATACACCATACACCATACACCATGCAACACAACAACAACTTCAGCTAAGGTATGTACTCTTCCTTAACCCTAAGCCTGCTCTACACCTTAGCACCTACAACTTTCACCTAATATATACGCGTGTTGTATCACTCATCATTATGTGAATTTCCTATTTTACACCTGCCTTCCAACATCACATTTTACCTTGCATAGTGCCAACCTACCCTTGGCCAACCTCACTCACCCCTTCAACTTTTCATTAAACTCCAAATTTTCATATTCCTTCCTGCATCTCAGATGGTTCAGATACTAATATTCTATATTTATCCTAGAACTATTCAACGTGACGCTTCCTCTTCCTAGACCCGTCCTGCTAATGTTGATAGGCTTTTTTTTTTTTTTTTTTGCCGTACGCAGGGGGTCCTATCTTTTTCTATAAAAACTGTTGAGCGGGAGCTGATGCACTGGCGAACTCTCACAGCCTGACATTCTGGGGGTGGCCTGCGGGTATTTCACACGGTGAATAAACACTAACCCACTGTCAGATGCCTGGCTATTCAGATGTCAAGTCGTGCGTCGCGATATTCCCAGGTTGTCGCAGCGGAACAACTCCTTCGCACGCCGGCTTTGATCGCCTAAGGGTTCGAACTGGCTGTACTTTTCCACAACAACAACTGGGCGGGTCGGAGAGTTAGTAGTGCATTGACTTTCTACCCGTCCTTTATTTTCCCACTTCCCTTCGTAACGCACGGAGGACCTTGGGGGCTACGCCCTTCCAGGAGTCTTTTTCCACGCCTAGGGGAGATACGTTGTGGGCTCCCCGAAGCCTCCTGCCGGCAGCCGATTCGTTCGCGCCGTGCTCTGCGACACGGTGCTTTTGGGATTTTACTGAAAGTGCCGTTAGAAAAAACATACCCAGGCTCTGTGATCTTCGCGTCGGATTCAGAGTGCTGGAGTGGTAGGACCCCCGGATGCGTACCTTTTTATCAGGTACGTCCCCCCTCCCCCTTTACAGTTTTGGAATGTGTACTGCTAATCCCTTGCTGGTACATTGTGCCAGTGAGGTTATCTAGGAAGAAGGAAGCTGAGCCTTGTTCAATATCCAATTTTTTTTCATTGGTATTGGCAACGCTCTTGGTCCGTGCTTGGCGATCATGAATACTGAGCATACTCATGGACTTAATTTTTGATTCACCATCTCCTATCAGAGACATCTTTTTTTCATTATGGTCATTACCTTGCGTAGTGTCATGAAGAAGAAACATTGTACTAGAGCCGAGCTATCTGAAGAATAAGACTGGGCTGTAATGTGATGAATAGTTTATTATTAACTTTTCGATTTCCGTAATACCGTTAGGCGCCGCATTTCCCTGATGTCTTTTTCTCCTCCACTTCCGCTCACAACTCCGTAATCATTTCACGGGGGAAGAAGTCCTCTCCGCTCAAAACCTAGTGTAAAAATTTGGAAAGAAAAGGTAAATATATCTATCAAGATCTAATACCGAGCGAAATAGTTTGGATTTTAACTTATACAAGACCACGACAACAGGCTTTCTCTACCGCAACTCTCTTTCGCCAGTGAAAGCGACCGACTTGTACGTCTCCTCTTGCTGCTCCGGAATGCTCATGCCTCGCCACGCACCGCCGTTCTTCGAAAGGGTCATCTTCCGGGTTGGACGATTGTTACCCTCGGCGGTAGCCACGCCCACATTTACGAGCTCGACATCGCTATCGTTACGTCCATGTCGTTCGGTATCGAATTCAGCAGGGCCCTCGCTAAGCACTGACCACTCCTGCTTGATGCTGATCTTGGCCCGGGAGTCTCCCAGCCGATTGCCAGAAGAAGATGGACCGAAGCTGTTGAATGTCGAGCCGGCTGCCGCGCGAGTGGTGCCGAACAACTTTGGAAGCGCAAGACTGAAGAGTGATCGCACTGCCGGCATGCATGCGCACGCAATACCCACAGGGACTTCGATTGTCGACCAGTATCCCGTCTCAACATAATCCTCTAATGAGTCGGGTTAGGATTGCCGGCTAGGCAGTACGAACAAATTTCTTGCAGGGAAAGCACTTACGCGTGAGGTTTTGAGTGTTACCAAATCGGATGAGCGAGTAAAGACGGACGATGCTGACGATTGTAATGCTGTGCAATAGATTAGTGCGTGCCTTTCGCTATAGATTTTCAGATGAATCGCATACAAGAAACCAACAGTAAACATAGCAATAATTTGCAGCCTCTTTCTTAGCGACAAGGACAGAGCGAACAGTTCGGGGAGCGGGAGTATAATGACAGCCAGATCCAAAGCGATGTTGATAGCTGCGGCAGACCATCCCAACACATTGATGCTAATACATTTCGTCTCGAATTCGCCGTCCCACTGCAGCCAGGCGCCGCGTATCGGATCACATTGGAAGATCAAAAGTAAATCGTAGGTGACGGCGTAAATTAAGTTGATGAGTATGAGAGCATATGTGCATAGACGAAATGACCGCTTCGGGAAAACCTTCAGGTAGAAGAAGAGAATAGAGATCTTGGTTAGAGATAAGGCCGTGATGTATAGCAATTCGTCGAAAAAGTACAGCTATTTCTCGTATCAGTAACAGATTGTTCTTGTGAATCTCTAGCAGAAGCCAACTCACCCGAAGAACCTCTGCTATACTATCAAGCGGAACGAACCACATGTCCAGACCAAGCCCGGCATCGGTAACTAGTAGAATATTAGCATGGAAAACTATCTAGATATTATAGCAAGCAACGTACTTGGGAACGAGAGGGCTGCGAAGGCGAGCGCAAGGGCCTATGAAGTAAGTTAGAAAAACTCGATGGATTATGTCCCAGCCCAGGAACACATACCATAACAATACACATAACAGTATCATCATGGCCCCAATCATGTGGCCCAATAAGTCTTGCAGTGCACCGTAGAATGAAAGCCACAAGCCCAATTGCTCCAAAGACTACCGCAAGGACACGAATAAGGCCACGTCTATCCTCGCCTTCTATGCCGCATGATTCCGCCGAGAATTTCTTCGTAGCTAGTAGCATCACTCAAGTCAGTCATGTAAACGAACCAAGCCTCATTTTTAACTCACATAATTGATCACGGATCGAGCAGCTAGTAGTCACGCATTCGGTAATTTGAGCTTGTAGCGACGCAGTAGCACATATACAAGTAGTGTTGCTTATTGAGCAGTCCGATTTGGCAGTCGACGTTAGGATACATTTTAACTGAACACTTCTTAGCCTGAGTCTTCATTGAGACTTTCCTCGAAGGGATCTCCCCTCCTCTTCCTTGGAAGACTTACACCACAAGCAGGGGCTCCTGTAACGTCGAGAACGGCCAGCGCTGGTTGCAGTGCCGTCAGGCATAGCAGAAGCAACGAAAGGAATTGCATCCTGACCGATCGCAAACGAAAGATCTGAGGTTATAGGGGGGAAACAAAACGAATGACACCGCAGAACCATAGAAATTTTTAAAAGGAAGAGAACCCCAGACTTAGTATATTTTCTGGAGAGAAGTCTAATCAAGCGCCACCCGCTTCTAAAGAGAGTGTGTATGCGTAGCAGCGGAAAGTACTCGGTAAGGCGAGACCAGGATATCAAAGGACTAACATAGTGTCGATCATTAGTGATACCCAATTCTTCTCATGCCTCGTGATTTCATGTGCAAAAGAATTCACTAATGTAACTCTGTCTGCTCTGGGAACCCAGCCTTGTGGGACATATCCCGGTTCGTGAGGTTCGTCGATATCTACAAGCTGGTGTGACAGCTAAACTACAGCTAAGCTCGAAACCGGTAGTCTACCGGTGGCGATAATTCCGCGATCAGGCCTTAGTTTTTCGGCCTTGGCTATCACTATCATATCATGACTATGCGCGGTTTAGTTTCTAGACCTGCCGAATTAGGAGATATACCCCCCAGATTTAGAGTCGTCTAGGCAAGATAAAGGAGGCTTGCTGACGTACTTGGGACTCGGCGATTCGGTGCTATTGTGTTGCCCTTGCAACTTTGAGGCTAGATGGGTGGCCGGTTGCCGGGACAGGGCCGCGACTTATTATGAAGTGACATCGTGGTGTTCGCTTAAGCTTCTCGAAGCTTTTTTTTTTCGTCTGTTCAACATTGGCTGTCCCGGCGAGATCCGACCGGGGTAAATGTTGCTTAGAACTCAATGTTTATTCGGAATGCTACTCTGCTATCGTAGCCTCATGCATGCAAATGCGACCTGCCCGACTGACCGGAGTGCTGGTAAGTACCTTAGGTAGATAGTTAACATTATCTGCTGCGTATTATTACCCATCTCACCATCTCATTGGCATGACACATCTGATTAACTTTAGGCCGATGAAATTTTGGTAGTTTGGCATAAAATTTATGCGGCTCAAAGCTGGTTCCTGACCAGTGTCGCGTTGGAGACACCCTATAGACGGACGGGATTCCAGATATGGTTAATACCTCCGTGGCGGCTCCGTACCTATGCCGCTGGTGATTTGCTAGACGTACAATTCTAACCCGATTCGATTAGAGCCGCGAACCGGTCTTGGGACGGCGCAATCAAACGGTCTGCATATCCACTCCGGTAGTTGCCATTCTGCCATTATGTTCGGTTGCTCAAACCCCAGAAACCCGGAACCCACATAGGCACACAAAAAAAACGTGTTCCAGGGAACCGCTCTGACAGATGATTGTTTCGAATCATTTAAATCAGGGTCACTTCACTTCTATTCGTTCCCCTACGCATCTATTACCGAGTAAGGCCATAGATAGGGTATGACCTGCTGGATTCATGTTACTCCGCTGCGCACCCAAGATACAGGTAGGCACTAGTAAAGTAGATCTCAAAAGAGAATCAGGGTCCGATCAAATTCATTCTACCCGCGTTGACAGCTCTGGGTACCCAAAACATGGTAAACAGAAGACGTCGCGCTAGATCTACGGCAAGTCTCCAAACACCCGAAATGTCGTCGGTGAGTTTCTATTACACATGATTAAAACATACAAGCATTCGCTAGGCAAGATGGAATGCGCTTTGACAATACATGTCTAAACTTATCGACCCCCCTTACTACGTACCTACATACCCAGAAACCAGGTGGGTTTCTATATTGTCGGAAGGCTGATCTCCACACTAGTGTACGTTCTACCGACCCTATTGGGATTAGCTACGATGGTGGCATACTACAGCTTTTATCCACTAGCTATTAGCAGAGATTACATCTTAAAGCTGTCGAGATGAGGTTTATGAGATAATAATAGTGTGGAAGGGGACGAACAATGCATATGGATCTATCAATAAAATGTAGCCTGGCTCTCTATTCGCCTCAATATGCAGGAAGAGAAAAGTTGACAATAGTCTCCTGAGGCGAGTATATTAACGCAGCGCTTGCCGCACAGCTTGCCGCATACGGGAGTCCGAGTTAAATCACGATCTCAAACACAACGTAAGCCCTAATGCAGAACAGCCCATAACCGTATGACCTATGTAGATAGTTTAAAGAAACATCTCCGCCACGGAGATGGTTACGGTCGTTGCAGTATTAGCGTATACTCTACAATAGCTACTATTAGAGATGTGCCGTCGATCGTAGCATCCAAGGAATGCTACGCTGAAGTTGACGTCGACGGAATTATCAATCCCGAGAAGTCATTCTGTAGATCACGCCGTGATCGGAGCAAGTAGCACGATGTCTAGAATATATATTGCAATAGAAGCTGCCCAAGTATATTTCGGGACGCCTCCGCGACGGTGACTAGAAGGCTGGAAAGGTTAGAGGCCGATCCGCTCCTAAATATCAGGGGTTGAATCGTCGGTGATCGTCAATGAACCAACTATAAGAGGATGACGGCAAAAACCATATTGCCTAAGCTAGTGGAATTGACTAACTGATCATTATCGTTAATAGTTGCGTATCATCTTCTATAATCAAGGCCAGTCGAAAACTAGAGTGCGGGCCGCCATCCAACTAAAGAATCGTAAAGGAGCTAAAGACATCATACAGTTCTCCATGACCTACGGTATGTCTCTACGCGAGACCAACTTCACTACATGAAAAATGTTCCGTATGGTGTAGGCCGTCCGCTTGAGGCTAGATTACCCAGTCAACTTAGCCTGACGACGACTGCCGCTATTGATTCGGAAATAGGAAGACTAGTTAGCCGCAATAATGCCACTGCATTAGCCTCAATAAATATGAGGCTTAAGATCCGTACCGTGTTTCGACTATCTCGATTCGTCGTGCAGAGACAGATCTTAGCTTCGAATGCGGAAGACTATTTCTTCAAGGAAATTACAGCTCTATATGATTACTGTTTCTTGAGTAAGCCGCTAGAATATGTCGAAGGATGTAGCGTGGAAGGTTAGCGCGCTGATAAATATCTGACGAAATGATATATCAAGCTCAACGCAGCAATATATTTCGCCTTGGAACTTGCGTTGGAAACAAGTAAACACTCTTCCTAATGGGGTCGGACTTGTTAAGTGAGTAGGTGAGTTAGTGACGAGACGATGAATCTAACCGCAGTTCTTCATTCTAAGTTTTAATAGTCTGATCCTGCCTACATGAAATACTTGGGAATTATTATATTCCGTGATGCCATCATATGAACTGTGTCTACCAACAATAGATCGAAGCTGGGCGAAGCTAGGGATACAAGGGCAAGAGGCAAACCTGGTTTCCTTTGGATCGTATCCAAGGTAGTCATTGGTTAAAAGAACCCGACAAAAAAAACACCTTGGCATAAAGCAGGGGAAGATACCAAGATGTGAAGATCTGATATGTGCTAAAGCTTAAAAAATGGCGTTGGTAAAATTGAAGCTTTTAGGGGCCTTGGGACTTTGAGCTTGGTTGTTTAGGGGAATGCAAATAGGTAGGATGATCCTTCTGAGAATTTACTTTACACCGCCTACTTATTTTTACTTTGGTACCCACATAAAAAAAGTTCTGCCGTCCTAAAAATTTCCATAGGCCCCTCCAATTGAAAGACAACCTACGTGAACTTTGGCGACAACATTCACTACAACTAAAAGAACCCTCGATTAAAAATATAGACACAATGCTGAAACAAATGTATGGACAACATAATCAAATATCTAAAATAGATTTATACAAAGGCTAATGAGACTTTCTTAGAAAACCCCGAAATGCGCGCTCGAAACGAGCACTCGAGAAGAAAGCCCCGAAAGTAGTCGAGAACCCCAAGACTGCTCTTTTCCTGTATGCTATTCAATCCAGATCCGCGATATTGCAAGAGGATCTTCTCATACCCTATACTGGAAGACTGATTAAGTTTTAGTCGTGGAACTACTTGTTCGCAAGTCGTACAAGATGCATTAACCGACCTTTATTCCTTACGCCAGCCACTCGCAAAGAAGTTTACCAAGAAGAATGCCATCCACCCGTTCGAAGATCCCGCTTCGCTAGAGTTTTTCAGCGAGAAAAATGATACATCGCTTCTCGTATTTGGTAGCAGCTCTAAAAAGCGCCCGCACACATTAACTTTAGCGCGCACGTTTGCAAGCAAGATCCTCGATATGTTAGAGTTTCATCTGGATCCAGAGAGCTACCGGCAGATCTCGCAATTCAAGGGTCGCAAGTTTGCAGTTGGTTTACGGCCTATGATGCTATTTTCGGGGACTGCTTTTGAGAGCCCCGTCGCAAACGAGTATACGATGGCTAAAAGCATGTTGATCGATCTGTTCAAAGGCGACGCCACAAGCGACAAAATTGATGTAGAGGGCCTACAGTACATCGTGTCTGTGTCAGCCGATGAGCCCGTAGGTGATGCTGTAAAGCCGGCGATCCACCTGCGCATCTATCTCATCTCGACAAAGCGCAGCGGACAGCGGCTCCCCAGAGTCGAAGTAGAGGAGATGGGTCCTCGCATGGACCTCCGCGTTGGTCGGATGCGGGAGCCCGAGGAGGCGATATTAAAGGAAGCTATGAAGGCGGTTAAGGTGGGCGAAGAGAAGACCAAGAAGAACGTAACGACAGACAGCATTGGTGACAAGATCGGCCGTATCCACCTTGGTAAGCAGGATCTCAGCGAACTGCAAACGAGGAAGATGAAGGGACTCAAGAGGAGCCGAGATCTGGACGATGAAGAAATGAAGGATCCCGTTGTCGACGAGGACGCTCTGAAACGTCAGAAGAAGTAATTGGCTTTTTGCGGACGAAGCGCATGGAATGGCGTTCTGGCTGGGTTGATTGATTGGTATTACTACACTACATGCACATGTCTTGTGGAGTTGGGAGTTTCCCGTTGATGATATCTATACCTCGTCCGATCTTCGTCCCACAGCTACATTAATAGCATCTCGTGCCCCCTACTGCCGTGACTTGAATTCTTGATACATTTGGCCCACGACCTTCCGACCCTCGTTGTTCCCTGAAATCCACTCCTCCGCCGGGAAAAGTTCGAACATGCCAACTTTATCCAAAAGCGGCAGCGTTGCGCGCATCGACTCCTCTAGTTCCGCCTTCTTATCTTTGTCTTCAACTTTATGCGCTTCGTTGTAAGCGCGTATGTTTATGAGTAGAGCACTTTCGACTCCAAGTTAGCAGTTTGCATTAAAAGTTATGAAGAGAGAGACAGACCCCATAGTCCCGGTTTGTACTTTGCTGCCATCCGGGAGTGTTATTTGAGGCATCTCGGCGCCTAGGGTAGCAGAGTTAAGAGCTGCGAGCTTATTGTCGCGGTCAACACTAGAATTATTCGCCATGATTTTTAAGACTCTTCCGGATAATATTACTTTTAATAAGTGCTAAATGGTATCAAAATAGGCGGGATATAGCTATATTCAACCACAGGTGATAATTACTACAAAATATATATTCTTACCATCGTGGAACAACTTGGCCTTTTATATTTCTACAAAACTACTGAGTGCCTATTGATTGTTATTTAAACCTGGGCGGAATCGTGCCATATTGAAAGTCATTATGGGTTGATAAAACCGGCCGATAATATTGCCCCGAAAAGAGCGAACCCGATTTCTCGGAGCCGGGGCCCACTATTCTCGGCGGATGACATAACTAGGTTCCGTCCTTTGACAACCGTTCTCTCTGTTAGAGGAATGATCTAGCATATATAGGACAACTTTGAGATCATATAAAAGATAAAGGGCTTATATTATGGGCGTGGCATACTTTAGACATCAGCAAAAATCTATATTTGATAATCCTAAAGGAGTATTTCGATAACAGGTAGGTAGTCTATTCAGAGTAGCCATGGCTTGTTGACTGCAAATAATAACCCACGTAGTCGAGATTTCCAATTGGGCACCACATTATACCTAGAGGAGAGCTCGGTGAGAGATCTCAGGCGACAAAGATGACTCAAGAGGCTAGTAATAGATATCAATTTTATCCATGCTTCATTCAGTAATATTATATCTCACCGACATGTTAAATCTCTTACGTTGAGTTTAAGTTACGTTTCCATGGAAAATTCTTCGGCGGCGACTAAGACGCCATGAGTCTTAACGGACTCTGCCGGCCACGAGAATGTACGAAAATGTTGTCTCACATAAGCGGTCTTGGTATGTTCCACGACAGCGGACCTGAGATGGCGACGACGATACTCATCCGATAATGACAATATGGAATTTCCCGTCAAATCCCGAATATCTTCTGCCGCAAACCTGAATTTAGAGAGCATATAGACTGATGGTATTGCATGTTGGTTTCGGAGGATTTGATTAATTGGGAAGGGGAAGAGGAAGCTTGGGGTTTGCATTCAAAGGTATCATGATCTTGAAATGCTTCTTTAGACCAACGTATATCTCGATAACTCAATATAACTGCCTTGTTTCATATTGAGCGCATTATGAAGTATTTGCAATAAACGATACATTGGCTTCCTTTCATGCAGCCCATAAGCTATAATTAAACCCTTGCATATCATGTCACGTCATTTCATCCCGTGCTTAGGTTTGTACATACATATGCATTGTCCCCTGTAGGTAGCAATCAAAATTCCCATCTATCTTGAGTTTGTAAACCCGTCACGAATAGCCCTTAAACATCCAACAGCACTAACCAGAGTATTGCATTAGTCGTATTATACCGTAAACCTCTTTCGTAGTTTCATGTCTTGGAAGTGGCCAATGTGTATCGTTCTGGCGTATTAATTATTGAAATTTCCGTAAAATTGGTGCTATTGGGTTGTACTAATACAATTAAGGAAGACGTAAGTTCAGCTTGCCATGTTGCCAAGTCTCAGCTACACAAAGAAAAAAATTTACGTAGGGCCAATTAGCTGCTTAGTCAAAATATGACTGCTATAATGCAAACTGGCAGATAAACAAGACGAAATGCCATTGGATGACAAGTCAACAACCTAAGGTGGCAAGTCTTTAATAAAGTCATTAAAAAGCTGTCGCTTTTACACGTGTGCTGAATAATATCTGCGCAGGGATGGAAGAAAGTTAAATGCGTTAAGGGGTAAAAAGCTTTGGCCAACAGATAGGTATTCATTTTATTTAAACTTCAGTCAATATATCTAAATATTTAACACCAACGTTTGACTTATGTTTAGAATAATAACTATACCAATAGTATAGTGATACAGTAGTATAGGATGAGGTGTGACAGCGTAGGCGTATATATCAAGTTTGACCTTTTTGGTGGTTTCGGATAGAGGTAGATATAAGCACCTCGCAGGGCCCCTTTTCGAAGTTATTTACTTAGATAGCTGTGACTAAGCCATTAAGAATCCATGGTCTTTTCAACTATCGTCTCACCCTGTGACCATAAGTATTAGTTCTTGGTTGCCGGACGTTTATTGCAGTCTGTTGGCTTTGTCCTCCATTTATTGGAGTATCCTAGCTCATAGACCTGGCAAGCTTGTCGATCTCTATGAAATGTGTACGTGTATCGATTGATCTTCACACGTATTTGTGGGTGCCGTTTCTGGGGAGGATGAGCAACGTTTGAAGGTAAAAACACGTAACTGATCGCATCATTGTTACAGTTTCATAAGCTCGTTGTATGTCGTGACGACTACCATACCAACTTCTTATTCACTATCAAACTGCGCTTATGGTTATGGCAGCCCACGTTGATGGTATTTCGGATGTAGTATAGATGATACCTAGTTGTAAGCGGGGAAAGTCACTGATGGGTACATAAGTAGGTACCTAATATACCTAATTGTTTGAATTACTGGATGTATTCACTTATATTAATATAAGTTAGGTACATGTAAGCTGGTAGATGGGGTTATATTAGTAATACCTACAGAAAGGTAATAACAGAATAATAAAACAGTTATCTAATTATTAGGTACCTCTTAATATGTCGGACGCGCAATTATCTCATTATTGTTTATCTTAGTTGCACTGCAGTACGCCTCGGCTGAGAGAGCCGCCTTATTACAACCAAAAACCGCCGTCATTATCCTAAGCGCTAGCCCCACAAGTAAGATACTTCTTTTAGGTACTTGCCTCCTGTTTAGTACAACTTTAGGACCGTGAATAACCAAAGACCCAGCGTGCCTTCAGCTTTTGAAACACCAATTTACTAGCTTAACCTGTCCATCGCTCTTGGTCTTTCGTTATTCACCTTTTTTTTTTTGCGCCCACATTCGTTTGTGCCTATAATTTTTTTTCCCACCTTCAGCCCTGGTCTTTATATTATTCTATTGCATATTGCAGAAGGGAAAGATTTTCGCCATTGCTTTCTATTTCATATTCCAGGCGGGGAAATCGTTATGCTGCATCAGTTAACTTAATGATTTAAGGTGACATCGTTGTATTGAACCTTGAGACAAGCCCCCCTCCTCATAGTTAATTCAAGTTGCGAAATTCCCCCTTTTTTGATCGCCAGGGCGACTGAGAAGCAGATCTACTAACAGATCTGTCCGCTGACATTCTAACTGTCCTCAGCTGGGCTGATCCACCCGGCTGCAGAGACACTTGCCATGAAATGAGTGGCTCAACCTTGATTGCTACGGCCCTACCAACCGTCAAGCCTGAACAGTCATTTCAGTCACCCAGCCATTCTCATTCGCATTCCACTACAGAAGCCTATCAAGCCCAGTCAACTTCGACTGACTCTTCGCAAAATCGATCCTCGAACTCCAACGCCTCCTCTGGCCCACCTTCTTTCGATGTACCAACTTTCGACTTCGGCACGGATTTCGACCCGACTCTTTCCTTCTCAGATCAGCTGTTGAACGATAGTACCAATGAGAAACCTACGATCACTCCCACCGAAGACAATATGCCTGGCCCTGAGCCCAGGACAGGCAGGGTGGGGAAATGGAAGACGGCAATGAATCGATCGCCTAGACCATCGTTGCAAGTTACAGAGGATTCTGAAGAGATTACGGAGAGAGGGCCTAGCAATGATGAAGGGGCTGGAAACTCTAAACTCCTGAGCCCGAATCCACAGGAAACGTATAGAAACGTATCAGAGTCGCTTGTATCGTTTGCCAGACGCTCGTGGATATCTGGATCGCGATCGCCCTCGCCCAACGACAAGAAAGACGAAAAGAAGGATGAAAAAAAGGACGAGACAGAAGCAACATCTAATACCCGACCTAGTCGTGAACGATCCGCTAGCAACAGCTCGATTATGAAGCTTAAAAGGTCTTCGCGAAAGCGCCCAGCGTCGCCCGCTAGTAGCGATGGCGGCAAGTCAGCCGACTCTACTAGTAAATTTGGCACATACCTTAGTAGGATCAAGCAACGGCAACCAGCTATGCTAAAGGGGAAAACTCATACTGATAATGAAAGTCTTACTTCCTCCACAGCCAGCATTGCGCCCCCATCTACAGAAACTCGCCAGTCACATAATTCGGAGACAAGCAATAGTACGTTCCCAGAGGATGGCCCGCCCATAAAATCGGCACGATCTCGAGATCCTCTCTGGTCGGCATTTAAGGGGTTAGATAACGATTATCATAAATTTCAAGCGCAGACAAAACCCAACGTCAATCCTGCTAGTGTAAAAATGGATATGGTTCGAAGCGTATTGATGCGCTTCTTGGGGAATTATGCAAATCACTCATCAAATAAGAGGCTGCACCACGAGGATTTAGAGCGGAGAGCTATCATTTTGGACAAATGGTGGAAAGGACTTCTCGAGCTGCTGGAAGGGAAGACTCAACAACCTGTTGCAGGAGCTGATAGACCTGACCTACTTGATGCTATGACATCTATTATGATGCGACCGGAATGGCGGCAGTGCAACGTTAGCTTCTGTGCGCTGGCAGATCGAAACTCCACAGACCAATTCGAGAAAAGAGCCAGAGCCAGCTCTAATATGTCTTCCTCCTCGCTCGATTCCACGGATTCTGTCTTCCTCGCCGAATCTGCAAGACATAATGTAGAAGTTATGTTTATTACAAACTTGGTATCGCAGATGGCTATTGTGGTAGACAAGCTGTCGCTTCGACATGCTCCTTTAAGTCTTGTCAATTTTGCGGGTAAAGTTTACGCTTATGCTTTTTTCTTTGCGCCAGGCATTGCGGACGTGCTCATACGCTTATGGTCTTTAAATTCGGATCAGATACGCCGTGTTATAGATGAGTTCGGCCTGCCCCGGTATGGTCAAGGCGACAGTGATGCTATTGCAGCATTCTTTCCTCCGGCCGTCGGCGGACTTGGTTGGTCCTCCGTCAGGGCCATGTCTAATTTACTTAAGCAACCTGCAACATTACCGGTGATGGCAGCCCAGATCTCCTGGCGTGGTCCGTGGGTCTCCAGGTGGACTGGACGCGATACAGACTTATTCTTCATATTTTGCAAGTACTATTACATGCTGGCCGAAGAATTCATGCCATCTGGCCTACCCCTCGCCGAGAAAGCTCGTGCCCCGGGGTTTGTCCTCGTGAATGCCCAGATACTTTCCATTTTAGACTCTACTATACATCGTCAGGCAGCTGTTGAGGCTATGTTAGGACCTCCTCTCTCAGATGCAGTTCACGGTGCTGATGCGTCGGCTATGGCTTTACCTATGCCACCAAATAACAATATCATGAAGGGGATGAGCGAGAACCGCCTCATAGTACTCCTAAAAGACTTCCTGTCTAGTGCCTCGATGTTTTTCGCAGGCGCACGACATACGTTTGCCGAGTCGTTTATGGCTATCATGAAAGCTGCCGCTAAGCGAACTTCGCAATTTGACCACAATGCGTGTTTCACAATTTGCGATTTTCTGGAAGAAGCATTGGTGGCTTATGACAATTTTGTCGACGTTCAAAATCCCGGGTTTACCTACGTCGATTGGCCCTTCTGGATCGATGTTTGTAAGAAAATATTGAACTCGAACCATACAATGTCCGAGATTCGAGTTGTCTCTTTCATCTTCTCGATCTGGGACGCTATCGAAAGCAATCAGTCACGTAAGGAGATCGTATGTCTAGAGTGGTTACTTCAAGAGGAAGTGTTCAATAAGCTATTTACCAATTGGTGTCCTATGGTTAGAGCTTATTATATGCGGTTGCTCTGCTGGAGATTATGTAGGGACGCTGGCAATGCGACTGATGCAGACGCGTAAGGATTTTGTAACCCCCCTAACTCTAGAACTCTGCTCACTCTGCCACAGCAAAATCTTCCTCGTTGTTTACTTACGCCTCAAGACTGTATGGTCACATTATCTTTGGCTGAAGCAGATTGCGGACGATCAAGGAAAATTTCCGCCGTCGACTGCGCCATCGTTTCCAGCCCCTGGGAAGCGATTCATGATTATTCGTAGCGAATTGCCTACTGCGCAGCCTGGACTTATGATGAGCTTTGACTCTTCTACTTCATCTCCACAAACTGACCTGCAGTCAAGCCCAGCAACTGACTTTGAATCCATGGACGTTATTGACTTCGACATCGAACCGAGCTTTCAGAAGAAGAGGAGCAGCATTCTGGGTAAAATTTTCTCCTTTAGCGGTAGCACTTCTGGCGGCAGCGATTTAGAATCCGTGAGACGCGAGACTGCGGCTTCACGTACTCGACCGATGTTACCTTCTAAGGGTTCTGCAAACATTAGCCCGCCTGCGTCTGACTCGGACAGCATAGGCTCATCGCCCATTTATGAAGATATGCGATCTATTTTCAAGTTTACATTGTCATGGAACCCTGCTGGCACAATGCCTCCGCCCAATCGTATCCTTACTCGCCCGCGGCTACCGAGTCCTGCACAATGCTGTGTCGCTACAAAGGGTCGGGCTGACAATTCGCCGCAGCATGCTCCTGGTTATCCGGCTCCAACTCGGGCGGTATCCGGAAGCCCTAATCCTGGATTGGTCGATTCCGCAAGGAATGCCGATCCATCTGAGGTACCTCCTCGGATTTCCATGACGTTTGACCGTCGGCAGAGTTTTAGCCAGATGAGTCCTATTGAGAGAAGCAGCGATGATTTACCACTCAACAGGCCTTTGAGCCGATCTAGTGAAAACAAGGATGAAGTGTCCCTCCGCAGCCCGGCCCCAACCGCCCCAACACAAGAACCACTTGTCATGTCGGTTGAACCAAAAGGTGTCTATGCTACAGGCGCCAAATATGCCGGTCGAGCCTTGGCTGAATGGAGCCTAGTCGTTGCCGAATGTAACAGTTTCGTTGATCGAAGGCGGAACGAGGGTGTTCCAGGCTTGAGCGATGTAGAAGTACCAGCTCTTGAGATGGAGGGCTTCAGGAAGCTCGCTTAATTAACTATCCAACACCTCGAAAAGAGGTCTCAGGAACTTGGATTGCATACTCGGCGTCATATTGCGAGATGTTAAGTGATTTCGTTTTTTGCGGATTATGGTAAAAAGAGCCAGATACCTTACGGGGAGTTTGGAGTTAACCTTTGGCAAATTCGAGATTTCGGACAACTATCCGACCTCGCATACATTATTCGAAAATCCGGAAGGGGTCGGCTATTTATATTTCTACTTGCAACCGACTTGTTGACTGGCGTTGAGGAATTGTCATATCTGGCGCCGAGAAACTCGAGTTTTCTTCTCATGACCAGGGAATGACACAACATACCCCATCAGACTTGAGCATATATTAGGTTAGGGCTAGGAGGTACCGGATATAACTTTGGAGTGATCAATAGAAAAACAGAAGAAAACTTTACTTTAGGAACGGATTAGATCAAGGTGGCAGATATGCGAATACACTTTGCAATTTCGGTTCATAGCCGTGTAGGTATATACATAAAAGAGGCCCCCATCGGTGGGAAAGAGTCCATAGACTCCAGCACATGAGCTTGAGCTTGAGCTTGTATCATAGCATTGCATCAACCAACCGTCAGGACGGATTATATAATATTACCCGACAGTGGGTTCGACTTGAGCCCAATACCCTTGCCTGATTTCTCTTGATTTTAACTTGGTTATTTGATGTTTTCAACCGCAAGCAATCTATATCATTTCGCTCTTTTCATATATATTATATTCTAAATTATTAAGACGACTGAGCAAATCTGCTTCTAGCTCTTAACCTATCGCCATATAAGTACAAGCAGATCATACCAACGGCGCACACAATTGAGAGTCCCCCAAGCAGACTTACTCCTCCACCTACGCCAAGCTTTTGGTACATGGGCCTGGAAAATAAGATGGAGCCAGCGGCGAATGAGCTTCGTGCGAAGGTGTTGGCAGCAAACAGAGAGGCTGAGTATTTCGGATAGCACCGAGCAATATAGAAGCTCATACACTGAAATGCGATGAAGATAGAAATAAATAAAATCGTGAGACCGATGATTGGCACGATCCAGTGGATATCTGGTCGCGAGGTCCACGCTAATCGCAAGAAAAAGGAGACCATCAGCATTTTATATTCATTCGCGAGACGTTTGGCATAAAGAATAAAACATGTTGCTCACCGAAAATGAACAACCCAATCGGGGCAAGAAATGTCGTCGCTACTCCCGGAAGCAACCTTGCTTCGGGAAACCCGTATAGAGGTGGCGGTTCCCGGCGCATTACAGACTCTGCCTTGAGTCGGAACCAGCCAATATAGCCTAGCACGGCAATGAACAGACCCGGAACAAAAGCCAGGAATGGCAAGCCGGACTCCCCAAGATTAAAGCCGTGCATGTCAGAGAATACTATCGGAAAGGCCTCGAAGAAAGAATAGTACGTAGCGTAAAGAACTGCGGCGTAACACGTGGTGTAAAGGATAGCAGGGTCAAGCGCATTGATCTGAAAGGGTTTGATTAAGGCGTAGACAACCTCTTGCAACGCACTCATATGGGCGCGTTTAAGATCCTCCTCGCTTATCAGCTCAACCCGTCCCGTACGAACTCGGAGCCGGTTTACCCTCCTGTGTAAGATGGTGTCTGGGTTCGTCTCAGGCAGGGTCAAGAACATGAGCACCCACACAGGCGCCGCCATCCAGAAGAGTTCCCATCCACTCCATCGCCAGCCCTTTTCCGTTACCGCAAACCCGGATATGATAGGCCCCAATGCTGGCCCCAACGTCGCCGACGATGACCACACTGTCAGCACATAAGGCAGTTTCCACGCCACGAACATGTCGTCAAGCGTAGCACCAGCTGCAGCAAGGCAAGGCGACCCGAAGAAGCCCAGCAGAAAGCGAAGCACGAATAAACCGCTCAGGCTATTAACTAGCGAGGCACCAAGTGCTAACATCACGAAGATGAAAAATGTCACTATGAAAATACCAGAGCGTCCGACTGCTGGCATCTCGGAGAGCGGCGACCAGAGAAGAGGCCCGAGCCCGTAGCCAAACACATACAGCGCGATACCAAGTGCAGCAACTTCGTAACTCGCGCCGAAGGAGGCCATTACATCTGCCTCTGCCGGAGCATATAAAGAGGAGCCTATGTAAACGGCAAATGTGTATAAACCCATCTGCGTAGTGATGAATAACTTTCTCCTGAACGGCCAGTTCACAGGGTTGGCCGGGTCTGTGGTACCGTACCAGTCCACTATGACAGGCTCGCGTACAGGAGTGACGGATACGGGTATAGTCTGGACGGACGCCACACCGCCTTTAGGGGTTGAATTGCCGGCTATTGCTGGGCTCGGCAAACCGCTATCCCATATCTGCGAGGTACCAGCCTCAAGATCCTTCTCATCAAAGGGCGTCACCGTACCCGTAGAGAAGACCGACGGCTCTACGCAGGATGTGAACACCTCTTGCTTCTTTAGCTCATCCTCTAGCTTGCGGTCCAGGAGCGCGGTTGGACCACCGGCGCTTAAACTCGCCGGGAGTTGGAACGAGGGGAGCTCCTCTGGGTAAGGGAACAGATCCTTGCGGCCGAAGACTAGGCGCGCGATCTGTCCGATGCTAGTCTCGCGGATGACTTCCCGCATGATTTAGTCGTCTGTCCTTTGCGTGCTAGCAACTGACGAAGGGCAATATAAATCGAGGGGAGAGAATGCGGCAAAGAGTTTGAGACGAGACCATGGTTTATTCCATCTCTAGCGAGTGCTTGGTTTCGTCCTTAAAAGTTGTGCGTGGGAAAGGATCATGGCGATATCGCAATATTCTCTTTAGGGTCCGCATGCACGAGACAGCTCACATCAGTCTTATCCCATCCACACACACACATATACATCCACTCATGATAGCGACCTGATTAATCTAGATTTTGTGCCTGAGATAACCACATGGTGAGGATACTCCGGACAGCTCATCACGATTATGAGGTCAGTTTAGGTAGTGTAATCTCGACTACGGCATGTGTATGACATGACGTCCTCGGAGATCGCGATTGACGGCCGCGTTTTTTAAGTAACAAGAACCACATTCCCCATCTTATTGGTTAGACGGTAATGATATATGCGCATTTAATCATATCGGATCCGGACTTCCAAATTTGTAAGCTGGAGATAAGGTCTGTCAATAGTCGAATTTCCTCTACGCTTGGCGGCTTGTGAGGTAGGAAAGTTCTTAGCTTGATGCGAGGCGTGCGTATAATTCGAATATGTTGCTGCCCAAGGGCCGGGGACGGATTAGCATACCGAGATTACCCACACGAGGAGACGGTGTGGGTGTGTAGAAGACGAAATTTTGAAGGGATATAACTGGTAAGTCCTTGGAGTAGGTCGCTTTTCTAGATATGGACACGGTTATATGTAGGAACATGCGGAAATGCATATATACCCTGCGTCCCCGGTAGTTCTTGACCCGGCCGAAAAATTCAGGGGTCGCGAATGAACTACCGATATTCGGTGGTAGGTGGGCTACAACCCAACCAATGAAGGGCCGTAAAGATGTTGGCTCCCTCCTACATTTACACTTGCAGTATAACCCGGCCCGGAATGTGGTAATGGGGTTCGTGGGGTTTAGTTTCTCGGGTTAGATGTCTTTCCCGGGTATCCGAAAAGGTTTAACTAGGAGCTTACGACTGCATTTTGATGTTCAAGCGAACCCTAAACGGAACAACACGATACCTTTTCTCATCCAATGTGGACCTTACTCATATACAACCCATCCCGTATAAAGATCGTATCAAGTAGCAGCAGGTTGTGGAACGCATCCGTAAGCTCCATTTATTCAAACGTCCAATCTTGTCGACTTTAATCCTTATCTATCTCAACGGGAATCGTCCTGTTGGCTTCTTGTCTTCTCTCGATCCAACTGTAACGGTCTAGAGCTGATCTTCTATACTAAAGATTTATCCCGGGCATCTCTACCCCCACTTGTATTTGATATTCTATCAAACTTCCGCAGATATATCACTTTTTTTCTTCAAGTCATTATCCACTACATCGTCTAGAATAGTATCATCCTTCTTGGCAGCGGCAATTCTCGCCAGCTTAAGCTTCCGCGTATCGCTCTCAGTCTGGCGGGTGACCCACCAGGTTATTAGGGTAGTGATAATGCAGCATGCTACGAGAGCCATGGCTATAGCAAAAGATGTTTGGTACCGTGGTGCGTAAGCACTCCTAAAGATCTGAGGACCGATAGCACCTCCGATCTGGCCGTAGCTATTTACAAATCCAATAGAGAATGCAGACCCAGTTGCCCGGCTGGTCGTCTGAACACGCCACGGCCACATCATAGGGTACCAGGCACTGGTAACTGTAACAAGAGTTAATAATTACTTATTTTATTAAGGGGCTAAGGGGTTAATGGGTTTGGTTATGTCTCGAAATCTCAATAAGGATATACCATCTCACAAGACAGACCGACGAATAGGGAAATATGGAATTCTCAGCGTTACATACCAGCATTTCCAATCATGGTCGCCGCATAAACAGCGCCGCTATTAGGGTATGCCACTAAAACCCCGTAACACGCGAGAATGATAGTGAGGAAAGAGAGCGGATATAACGGTCTTGGAAGCCGGCCGTTATCGGCGAAGACCCCAGATATGCCGATCACGATGAGGCCTAGGATCGTGATGGGGAGGTTAAGAAGCTGCGCCTGCGCAATTGAACTGAAATATGTCGTCAGAATCAACAAAATTCCTATCCATGTATTATTCGTGGACTTACGTAAAACCAAGGTCTGCAATGACTGTTGGCTGATAGAAGCGCACCCCCGAAGTCCCAACCGTGAAGAAAGCCCAGATAGAAGTGAAGAGCCATAACCTCTTATCCTTTAAGGATGAAATAATTTCCTATAATAATACAGAAATTAGTATTTTCTTCTTCTTTGAGTGTGTTATAAGTAACAACTCTTAGAGAGCATTCGATAGGAGTCAGAAACACATGATCTACTTGATCTAAGAAGAAAACACGAGGGGGAACTCGATATTTTACATACGCTGAGCTTGAAATCCTGTTCTGCAGCCCTTGGGGAATTTGACGGGAGCCGTGCTTGTATGAATGCTTTCTCCTTATCTGTCAACCAAGACGCTGTCTCGGGAACTATTGAGGTTTTATTAGTGATGAAGGTTGCAGCGTCGCCCAATCAAGTTAACTTACAGTCCGGTAAGAGGAACCATACGCCGACTCCCATGATAATTGTTGCTATTGCTTCAACCAGGAATAACCTGCCGAATATCAGCGATCCGAGCAAGAGGTTATGATATGAGAGCTGCTAGTAGTCTCACCACTGCCATCCAGATAACCCCCCTGCTCCCGAAGCATGGTCAAAGGCGAACGCAAGGATTCCACTAAATATTCCACTCAGATTCCCGCATATATCTGGCATATGTATTAGCCCCAAGAGCAACCTATTCGCTTTGGATCTACCCACAGAAGTAGAGAAGCCTGAGAGACATTTCATCTGGTCGATACCAGTAGGTCATTTGCAGTATAATTCCCGGAAACATTCCAGCTTCCGCTAAGGTAATGGTCAGCAAAGCCTCGTTCGGTGGTCCAGGAGTTCTCACCTAAACCCAGAAGAAATCTCGTCACGTATAAACCCTCTTTATTCTTAACAGCGACGTGGCATGCCAGCATAATTCCCCATGTAATCATCTATAGCTCATCGTTAGCGTTTACGTAAAAAGAGGTTCGTTGTATGCTCTCAATAGGAGTACAAGGGAGGTACTTGAATTCATTAGGGGTGCTTACAATTCTCGACTGCCAATGTGAAGGTGAGAATCTCTTAAGCAGTAGATTCGAAGGTGCTTCTCCGACTATATATGGTATCTGTTTGGCATAGTGAGTTTTCCTCATCAATCGCACTTGGTCGTATCATAACTGGACTCACATAGTATAAGACGGTAACCAAAGCATATTCATCGGACGTCAACCCCAACTGCGTCATGATATTGTCAGGAGTTCCTCTATTCATAATACGAGCATTTGAAACCTTAAGCCGCTCATGTTAGTCGAGCTCTCTTATTTCTTCTATATTGCAGCTAGGGATGTGATATAAAGCTTACGTTGTCCGAATCCAAATTCTTGAACATGAATATGATAGAACATAAAGGCATAAGGTGCCAGTCAATTCGTCTAATGAGCCTCTTTTCTTCTTCTACTGTTAATGCAGTACGCGCACGCATGCGCTCGGCATCATATCCATCGATGGCCTCGCTAGCAGATACATCGTCAGTTACTTCGCCTCTTCGGGCGTGGTGGAATCCATCATTGACGCTGCTGGAGCTGGAATCTGCTGCGGCTTCAGAAGACGTTGCTGCAGTCGTCTTTAAATTCGACATTTTTTTCTGGAATTAAGAGGCCGCAACCTTCTATCCGGAGTAAAAGGAGGTTAGTCGGATTGGAAAATTATTATTTATGTAATGCAGCAGCGTATCAAGTATGCTACATCTTTTAAGTCCGAGGATAAGTTAAAGAACGACGAACGACGAAAACAACCCAGCAGAAGCCCAGCAATGATCATAGAATCATTTCACACTATTATTACGAATTTCTTGTTACACGCTTGCCAAGATACGACACTACACCTAGTTGATATTATCTACTAGCATCAATTCTATGAAATAGACGAGGTGGATAGAAGACCCAAACATCCTGTTAATCTTCTTATTATCATTGATAGCTACGTGCTGAAGTTAGACACTCTGGGACCCTTTCCGATAATGTGGTAGGGGATTGGGAATTGGGGTTGGAGCTCTCGACCGATCAGAGTGTGCCCCCCGAGATTCGTCATCGGCCGGGATGATCACGACTTCGCTTAGCTCACATCAAGTACGTAGAACTGACAGAATCCGGTAGTTTGGAACCGACGGCCCCCCCTCTTCGGTCGGCAGGACCCTTGAATCCATTTGGAATGAATGCTCGTAAGCCGATCACGCAATCGTGGAGGTCGTTACATCGGATCCGATGTCTGTTTAGCTATGTCATGCATAAATCGAACCGTACCTCCGGGCTACGGCGATCGCGTGTTGTTGCGAGAGGTCCTAAGTAGAACTTTAAACCATAGTCAGTTAATTAACTATCCGTACATCAATCTATATTGAAATTATCAAGATGGCGGCAGTCGCTAGTAGAATCGCTGAGGGGAAAGCGGATATACCGACCTATCATCAGGTTCCAGAAACAAAATACGAGCGTAAGAGAGCTTAATGTGCATTCATGAGGAGCTTTGTACGCTGATATCGTGCGATATAGTTGACTGGGCAGATCTTGTAACATTGGATCTCTCCCAATTCGATCAGCCGGATGGAAAGCAGAAACTTGCGACACAGCTATTTGATGCCATTCAAAAGATCGGCTTCTTTTATATCACCAACTTTGGTTTAACCCAAGAACAGGTGGACAGGCAATTTGCCATCGGCAAGGAAGTATTTCAGCTGCCGACTGAGGAGAAGCTGAAATATCGGGCAGACCTTGAGCATGGGGGATATAACGGCTACAAGCCGCTCGGACTTCGTGTAAGTTTCTTCGCCTGGATATTCTATATTACCTCTCAGCTAATATTTTGGTAGCAAGTGAAGCCTGGAGTATACGACAACACAGAGATCTACAACATACCCAAGTTTATACCCGCATTTGAACAGCCACACCCCGAGGTTATTAACGAGAACCGGAAGGAGATAGAGACCTTCGCCCGGCATATCAACGATAACATTGTAGGCAAGCTCCTCGTCCTCTTTGCCATTATCTTAGAGCTGCCAGAGGATTACTTCCTGCAGAGACACCGGTATGAAGAAAAGAGCGACTGCCATTTGCGATACATGAAATACCACCATCGGACCGAGGAGCAAAACAAGATCCTAGAGAACGTATGGGTAAAAGGTCACACGGACTTCGGTAGCCTGACTCTACTTTTCCGGCAACCCGTGAGTGCCTTACAGGTCCGCACACCCGAGGGGGAGTGGAAGTGGGTTAAGCCGTATCCACAAAGTATCACAGTAAATCTCGCCGACTCGCTAGAATTTCTGACAAACGGATTCTTGAAGAGCAGCATCCATCGCGTTGTTGTCCCGCCGCCCGACCAGGCCAATATAGACCGGTTGGGCGTTCTATATTTTGTGAGACCCGAGGACAGCCTCGAGTTGAGACCAATCGTGAGTAATGTGTTGGATCGCCTGGGATATAACAAGACCACGGACGGAAGTGCGGTTGGTATCACTGCCGGAGAGTGGGTGAAGGCGCGTGTCGCTGGGGGAGTCGCCAAAGATAAAGTGAGGAGTGATGTATCTGAGCAGGAGATCATCCGTGGCAAAACAGCTAAATATTATGACTAGACATATTTTTGATAAATATGGCTAATTCGAAATGAATTAATACTATCGCGGTTACAACAGCGGACACTCGGCTGTTCCTTGTTTATTAATAGTGCATCCTACTTTACGCGTCGTCGTTGATGTACTGATCGTATACTTCAGAGTAGAATTTTTTGCCGTTCTCGCGATGACTGCGCACTTTCGTCCGTAACTGCGACTCTCCCCAAGTATCGTATTGGCCCTTTAGAAAGGCAGAGTCGATCGCATGTCCCTCCTCAGATTCCCTGCCGGTATCAAGAGTGCTAAAATGCGATTTAAGAGACCCAGTCGCCTCTGCCTTTGTAAGGTTTCGACGAACACCCTGAAAAAAAGGTACGCTATACCTTTCGTGCGGACCTGAGAGAACTCGATGCGTTGTGGCTTTACATATTCCATTGGTAACCACCTCAAAAGCTTGGCCGATGTTGACGACGAAAGTTCCTGGCACTACGGGGACATCGACCCAATCTCCAGCTTTGTTCAGGACTTGCAACCCCTTAACTTCAGGGGGCGATGCCTGGAGCAAGAATGTCCACCAACCCGAAGAATCCTTGTGAGGACCAACACCTTGCCGGGAACCTGCAGGGTCCCCGTTTTGCAATGCGGGATAGTGCACCAACTTTAAGCGATGCTGATCTGATAGAAATGGCTGGAAGGTCCCAGACGGAAGCGACAGAGCCTGAGCAACAAGATCTAGAAATCGTTCTCCCAAGTTCGTTAGCTCTCGTATATATGATTCTACCGTAGACCGAAGTTCTGGATGCCCTTTTGGCCACTAGGATAATCAGTATCATATGCCGTTATAGCTTTTGGACTGTAGACAGACCTGGTTAGGGCCCCGCAGACGTTCGTATAATGGGAGGCCGGAGTGCCATGTTGCTGTAAGCTCCGTAGCGAATTCAAACTGTTCCCTCTGATCTTCTTTACCGCCTGTATTTTCACTACCGACACCGCTATATCCAAGGAAATGGGGCGAATTCTCTAATGCAACGGAATTCTTGGCGTCCTTATCTAGGTCGAAAAGTGTAGGTAATGCATTCACCAACCCGTCAACAACAACTTCTGGGACGCCGTGGTTTGACACATATAAAAAGCCAACTTCTGTAAGAGCATAGCGAAGACTATCTAGCAAGCCAGGCTTGGTTGATTTGTCATCTTCCCGCGAAAGATCTATTATTGGGATCTCGCTAAATGCTGTAGCCATTGTCTGTAATTGATGTGATGAGATATTAACGCCTCAGGATATCAATTTCTAGTATAAACGACCTACTGTAAGATTTTAAACTAAATAGTTAAAATAAACTTGGGTTAATAAAATCCCATTGAAATGATAGGTACCAATACGGTACAAGTCTAAATCACGTCATTTTAACCATATATCGCAACGTTTTCAACCCAGCTTAGGATTGCCCTTCTCCGCATCGTACGCAGCTTTCAGATCACGTGCTGGAGTAGGCCAACAGTTTATAGCCTATATGTAGACAACGAGCTACATAAAGCTTTGCAGGTAGAAAATAGCATGTATTAATATAATAATTGAAAGAACATGTGTCAAATCACTTGTTCAGTCGGGGCGCTCTCTTAGGATCTCTCCAAAATAGGCAGGCTTCGCGTCGGATATCGTCTGACTCGACTTTAGTATCGTCAGGCTGTACAACAAGCTGAAGTGCTGGTTTAGAATCAAGTCCATATCCCTCAGGCTCATACTTGGGCCACTCGGGAGAACCTGGGTACCGATGTGTATTCGGATCACCAGTTGCGACGAAGCTGGATAGATAGCCATGGTGCACATGGCCGATTTCTGGGTGCTGCACTTTGGGTTCAGGCCAAGTGTACCTCCCGTCGGCTGCGTGCGGAATCCCGCGCCAAGCTGGGAAGCTGTTGTTGGTGTTGAAACGAGCTTTCCAAGTGGGTACGCCGGCGGTGGATACCCTATATGCGGTCTCCTGTCCCGGGCAGATATATCCATAATCACTCCAAGCCGCAGATAAACGAGCGTATTGTACCCCTCTCGGAGAACCTTTGAAGGGAGACGCATCATCTGCCACAGGATCTGGGTACAGACTTACCAGCGACTGAAGCTCGTCTGTAGTCAGAAGTGGCGCAGTAATATGCATATAATTCAAAAATTCGTCGTTTGTTTGCATATCACCTGGTACGGTGAATCTTCCCTCGTCCGTGACACTGGTCGTGAGTGTGGGTACGTGGAAGAAAGTACCGTCAAGACCGGACTGCGAACCAAACTTTTCTAACATTGGACCTCCTTGTGTTGGTTGGAATGGCCATGTATTATTGTACTGAGAATCGTCGTATAATTTTATGCTAATTTTCCTGATATCAGCTAGTTTGGCAGAACGTAAACAGGCTAGAGCTGCCACATTGTCATTGATAGGACAATGGAGGTGTGTCATAAACTCCTCAAATTGACGGACGTAGAGAGGGTAGCTAGCATTCGGAAACGACCGCGCGGTGACGGATCCGGACTGAAGGATAACTCTAGCAAAATATGGCTTTCCAGCGTCCTCGCCATAGTTGTGAAAATGGTGAATCCCCACAGAATGAGCGCCCGCGGAACGACCACCAAGGGTGATGTCTTCTGGGTTACCGCCGAAGGAGCTGATATGTTTTTGCATGAAATGCTTCAAAAAGAAGTATTGATCTCGCAAACCAAGGTTGAGGAGGCCTTCTTTACTGAACATTACCGAGGGCAAGAAACCAAGCGAGTTGAGGCGGTAGTGGAAACTCACCACGACTATTGGCGCCTTAGATGATGCGACAAATGCGGCCCCATCTAGACTCTTACTACTGCCGAAGTTGAAACTGCCTCCATGAATATAGACGAAAACTGGAAGCTTTTTACTTAGTGGAACACCCTGCGTCCGGTACACATTGAAATTAAGACAAGCCTCCCCCTGAGCTTCTAGGCTCACGTATTTGGGATCTTGAATACACCCCTTCCCGTATGCCGTGGCTGCTTTCACGCCGTCAAATGGAGCTGGCCAGTCGACGGGCTTAAAACGGCCTTCACCCACAGGTTGAGTTGCATAATCAATACCGAGCCAAGCATCAACTGGGTGTGAGAACGCAGCACCGCTCAGCGTGGTTTTTACCGGTCTTCCAGTGAAATTTCCATAACCCTCAAGTGCGATAGGTGTATCTTCGACTGAGAAGGACTTTGAAGTTTCGGTCTTACACGTCCTTAAGATCGAGCATAATTGATCCGAGAGCCTCGTAGTTGTATAAAATGACCGACCCCAGAAGAGCGTAAAACAAACAACAACAAAAATTGCGAGCCAACCTAACTTTTTCACGTGTATCGCCATGTTATTAGAGTTGGAGATTGTAGGAAATTTCCGAAATGATTTTAGGAGGCCTCTCGAGTCTAGGCACGCATCCACGTTGACACGCGAATACCCCCTGAGGCTTATGAGGCTTACGTGAGAAACCCGGGTCGGTATGACCAGTCCGGTCTTAAGTGATGCCGTAATTATTTTTGAGTGTAGTTATCTAATTTCTAACATGGGATGAATTGTACCTGCATATCGGACCCGGATGATGTAATAGGGAATGGTCGTTGTTCTAGTTCTAAGGACGTGATGTGGATGTTAGACTGAAAGTTAGCTTTTCGGTACCTCGGGGACGTTCGGATACCGAACGCCTACGGCTCATGCAAGTAGCACAATCCGAACAAATGTATGTCACAGGTACGTATGGATGTATGTGGATAAGTTGGAGAGATGTGGCTAAGGCACAGCTTAAATACCTTAGGTACCTTAAATAGATAATACAACACATATGAAGTACATGAGAGAATATATTAATAAGAGAACTTGCTGTTAATACATGAGTAAATTGATTCAACTATTAATATTTAATATCATATATCAAGTTGAATATATCCTAAACTTATACCTAACTACGCCATGTTTTATAACTTAACGTAGGTACCTAGATACATATAAGTAAGTACAGGTACCTAATGCCCGTACAGAAGGTTACATTAAATTATGTACATCACTTCCAATGGACACACAAGCTAAATGACCTAAGTATAACCTGCCACGCTAGGTCATCAGATAGATATGATTGGCTAAACGGCTACTCCCCCGGATCTGCCGCGTCCCTAACGGTGGCTTAGCACATGTGAAATGTCAAATTACCCCCCCACTTTCTGCAGTAAATCCAATCCCGTCTCCTTCAATTGCACCGACTCTCTCTGGACACTACTGCCCTTCGGTTCGGTATTCCGATAAGCCCAATTACTTGATTTGGACCTTTCCGACATCTTTTTCGATGGCTTCGTTTATATGCCCTTATCGACGTAAAAGATATATCATTTCGTCACCGGTTATGATATTATGATATTGCGAAATAATGCCTCCAAGAAGATCACATAAAAAGTCTCGTGCCGGATGCCGAAGATGTAAAGCTCGAAAAATAAAGGTATGTGTGGTCTGGATCTAATTGCGCTTGAAAAGGCGTAAAAAAAAGAAAGGAAAAAAAGAAAAAAAAGAAAAGGAAGCGGCGCAACTGATGCGTTCGCAGTGCGATGAAGTCCATCCTAGGTGTGGAAATTGTACCAAACATGGTGTTGCTTGCGACTTTGAGCATCCCGGTATCGTCGACACTCTTAGTCCAGTCGAAACCCCCCGTCCGACGACATCTACAAGTAACTGCGATAGTCCCTCAACGAGTACTCTTCCACCAACGCCCTCCGTAGAGTTGAGCACGCCTCTTCCCTTATATCGACATCCGGAACCTCTTCCCTTGACAAACTCGAACAAAAGTAATCGCATGATGGAGTTAAAACTATTACATCACTACACTACCATTACTTGTCAGACTCTAGCCATATCCTCACCGGTGAGCGAGAAAATATGGCGGGATACTGTGCCGAATCTTGCCTTTACTGGTGCAGAATTCCTAGCCGACGCTTTGCTTGCCGTTTCCGCTCTCCATCTACGGTCACACGCTCCACAAGATCAAGAACTTATACGCGCTAGTCATTCATATATGGCGTCAACCCTTTCGGAATATAGTGCGAGGCTAGGAAAGGGTATAACGGAGTCAAACGCTGAAGCGCTATTCCTTACCGCTGCCCTCATCGCATTTCAGTCGACGGCGTCCCGTATTTTCACTAGGGATGACAGCAGTGACTTGAAGGACCGATCTGATGGGTATTCCCTACCGCTATCGTGGTTTCACTCGTTTCAAGGAATCAAGGCTGTTGTGGCTTCTAGCTGGCAATGGTTGCGTCATAGTGGGATCGTGATTCCGATAATCGAGTCTCAACCCGCGCTTAATCTTGATCTATCAGGGCAAAATGCGAATTTTTTCGGGCATCTACTAACCGGAGTGGAAGACGAGGTTGCCAACCAAGATGATCCCGCAACCCAGGAGCTTACGCGACAGGCCTACCAGCACGCCGTCGCTGTACTTGACTGGGCTCATAAGATACCCCATACCGGTGCTCCTCTCGTGTTTCTCGCAACCGTTTCGCGCCGTTTCGTAGAATTGCTCGAGTCCCGGCGCCCACGTGCTCTTGCAATTCTTGCTAGTTATTTTGGTTTACTAAAGTCTCTCGATAGTGTTTGGTGGTTAAAGGGCTTAGCGCGTCGCGAAGTCATGGGCATTGTTTCCCTATTCGACCCAGACGATGAAGAATGGTGGCCTCGTCTGCAATGGCCTGTACGGATTGCATTATACGAGGGCGATTTCATACCACCAGACGTATGGGGCGCGGAATCTTGCACTGAGACGGCACTGTTGGACCAAAGCGGCCAGAATGGAGGCTACGTCAGTCATATTGAGCTCGTGAGTCAAATGTTTTCTGCTGTGCAGAATATGCCCCCAACGATGCCAGGCGACGCCCTTGACGCACTCGCCCATCAGACCATGTTAGCTCAATCCCAAGAATTCGGCCGGCAAATGTCACTCCGAGATGATACGCACGTGTTACATTGAAACTACAGTAACTGCACCTATTCGTGTCAAGCGTCGTTGATCCGAGCTTGAACGGCCTAGGCAAGATCTTAATCTCCAGAGTATGATCTAGTCGAGTAGAATGCTATTTGCTTCTTTGGATGCCTTAGATGTGCATCGCATGACTACGCAACTAAACGCTACAACGTTAGGAGTTTTCATGAGGCTGATGTACAATAGCATCGAACGATTCATCACATAGGAGGTGAAATATGTAATATTGGGATTTACGTCCCTGAGGATGCGGTATCGATACCATGATCTATCTCTATCGGGATGGTTTTATCAGGGTTCGAACAGCTAAGGACAGAAGTTGCTAAAGCGCCGTAGCGCCGACTCGCCACATCTACTATATGAGGCTATTGGCTTTGCTGTAAAGCGTGTTGGCAGAAGATATAAGGGGCGACAACATATACATACACTTCGACATAGTGATCTGCCGATATATGACAGATGGGTTAAAATGAAGGGAAAGGCTATGGGGATCACTAGCTAACTATGTATTATACAGTACGTGCAGTTTTAAGCTGACTACAACGTAGGTAAACCTATATTAAGGAAGGGCTAAAAACACCACTATGAATAGATCAACTCCAAACCTAGGATCAACTTCGCGTGTTTACGAAGTATATGCTATCTACCTATGTAATAATAGCTTTAATTCCCCTGAAGATTCTTGTTTATAACAATAAACGCTTAACTTAGCAATATATCACATAGTTAATATTACTTACGTTGAAGAATTCGCAAAAATAACATGTCAAGCTGGCACTTACCTTACCTTACCTTACCTATGTAAGATACCCGGTGGCGTTCGGATATCCGAGACGGGTTAATTAGGATTCCGGCTCGGACCCCGGGGCACACCTCGGATACTTTAGAAAACGAAGTCGGAATTCGGGGATCGGTTGCGGCACAGCCGGAGTCAGGCCATCCAATGGGCGCCATTTAAACTATGTGCGATGTTACTATGTTGTCATGCATTGTACAACCTAGCATTTACTAAACACAGCATCTGGTATAGATGTGGCAACTTTAGGTTACACCTTGTCTTTACGTTTTAAAGGTTAAGTAAGAAATGCTAAAGTACATGCAATTTTATTATAAAATACTACATAAAGGATTCGATTCTTACGAGGTACCTTGCCGGGGTATACATCTAAAGGGCCCATTTAAACATACTTAATTTATTAAAATTTGGCCTTGCAAACATGGGTCCTCTTGAGCCTCAACATGAGTGATGTAACCATGCAAGGTATTTATTTACAAGCCACAATTAAACCATGTTGGATAACTCGAGAATGAGAAGTCGTCGAAAAAAGAACGTTATGAGTTCAGTTATCATCTTCCTATCTCGTCTAATGGATCATCGCGGTGCATGGTCTAAGAATCCCTAGACCTTATACTGGTAACTACCCCGCTCTCGGTAGGTAGCTTACCGTATGATCGGGAGGGGCCGGTAACCGGTTTCTCCTCATAAACGGAGCGTTCCAAGGTTGCAGAAGGATCATATCGAATTTTGAGATGGTAGTCTTATAAACCAAGTGTCTTTTATCTTACCCCGTTCCGGCAAAAGAGTTGATCTAGTCCATCTACTCAACCAGTTCATTAAGACCAATGCCATTTATAGCTCGAGTTGCTGCTTCAGCCAGTCGAACTTCATTGTCGAGTCCAAAGCGATATCCTCTTCCTTTTCGTGCTAATATCATAGTACACACGAGACTATACTCCAATATGCTGCAAGGGTGTGTACTGAAGAACGTATTTATCAATAATGCAGGCCCCAGCATAGGAGCCTGGCAGACTCTGCCAGGTCAGAACGTTTCGAGAATATTGGCACGTACTGGTTTCGACTGGGTGATGGTTGACTGCGAGCACGGAAACATGGATGGTATGAGACCTAACACTGTCTGGAAAGGAGGCGACGATTAAACACGAATATATGTTTTAACGTTCCTCAAAGACAGAGCTAACATTTATTTCGCAAAGACGCCGCAATGCATGAGGCCGTCCCAGCTATCGCTAGCTGTGGAGTTAGTCCTCTCGTGAGGATTCCTGATATGCAAGGCTGGATGATCAAACGTAAGCTAATTGTTTGAAACCTAGCGATGTTATGTAGCTAACATCTAGTCAAGGTGCTTTAGATGCAGGGGCACACGGCGTAAGTGGCTAGCAAGCAGTAACGGGTATTAGAACAATATTAACAAAACAGATTCTGGTCCCTCTTCTTCGTTCCGCTGATGAGGCCAAAAGAATCGTTAGCGCAGCTAAATTTCCGCCCCAAGGCCAGCGTGGGCTCGGATCGCCATTCTCTATGGAACGTTTCAACCCGGTGCCAACCATGACAGAGTATCTGCAACAAGCTAACGAATCGCTCCTGACGATGGTCCAAATAGAGACGCAAGAAGCGCTTGATGCCGTTGAAGAGATAGCCGCTGTCCCAGGAATTGACGTTCTCTTCGTGGGTCCTTTCGACTTAGGGAATAATATTGGTTATCCCATACTAAATGGAGTTATTAAACCTGAGTTAGAACAGGCAATTGACCGGATCCTAGAGGCCACCAATAAAGCAGGGAAGAAGTGCGGTTTCTTCGCCACGGGCGGAGAACAGGCCAAGCAATATGCCGATAAGGGGTTCCATATGATCAGTGTCGCACTTGACGCGACGCTGTTGCAGGCATCGCTAGGCGTATCGTTAAGCACTGCTCGAGGGCAGCAGGCATCAAAAGCTGGTGGAAGATACTAGGGATATCTTATTGCCGTACAGACAAAATGGGTGGTGGAATTTCTTATCTTCAATATGAGTAAGATCATAAACCGATATACCCAGATCTATAAGCCCTCATAACGGGGTTCGTACATTAGTAATATCACTTAGGTGTCTACACCTCTATCTCATCATCACGAGCTTAGCTGCTCTATGCTTTCTCGGCAAGATCCATTTTGTCTTTTACTTGGTCAGTAGTGAACCGGTGCATGAGTTTGATTGCTTTCGAGGCGGACTGCGGATGTTCCTCTGGGGTCGAAGACTTGCTAATGTGAATCTATTAAGAGATTTATTAATTTATTGACGATGGTTTCAGGTATGAGTATTGTATATACCACGGGGACATCAAACTCATAGAGATCTCGCCAGCTAGGCTTAACATCTGACTTGATGATATCAATCTCTTTGAATTGAAATGGCCGAGAATCCCAAACGTCGGAGAGAACAGATCTGGCTTTGGTACAAAGTCCACAGTTTTCACGTGTGAATAGCGTGATCCTACAGGTTTGAAGTAGTCTGCATGTAGCACGCATTTTGAAGTCCAAAGTCTCACCGTGTTTGAAATATAGATAATCAAGTAAAGTAAATTGGGTTGAATGAGGTTTTTTGTTAATTTAAGAAGAAATAGGTGGAACGATTAACATGTTGAATTTTAACAAGTTAAGCCATCGGAATAGTTTCTAGGATATAAAGAATTAGGTAATACATATATGGATATATGGATATCTTATTATACACAACAAATAGGTAGCTTCACCCCACCAAGCGGGGTTCCTAAATTCTGCCGGTGCGAAAAATATGTACCTCCCGTACAAATGCTTCTGAAAGCATGTACGTACTATAAAAAAACGTACGTCATAGGCTCTAAGGTTACCTAAAAAGGTGCTATGTGGACTTGGCTTAACATAGAGCTCCCACAAACAGAAGGCGGTGAGTAGCTTCGAGGCTCTCGTAGCTTCCATCAGCTTCATCTAATTACAAGATCTTTTATAAACAAATAACAAATACAATAAATGCAAACAAATACACTTTCTTAGTAAACTCGCCGGAGAAAAAATACCGACTTTACTTGATCTAGTCCAATTAAGAATCAACTAAACATCAATTATATTCGCTAAGATCATACGTGCCACCTAACAATGGCTCAGAAGTGCGTCCACAAAGGTTGTGGCAAGGTTTACTCGGATCCAGATGAGACCTGTGTTTACCATCCGGGTCCTCCAATCTTTCACGAGGGTCAGAAAGGTGGGCAACCAGTTATATTATTATATTAGCCGGCTTAACTATAAGCGACAAGAGATTCGCTAACGCAAGTCTATATTCACCAATCTTTAGGCTGGAAATGTTGTAAACCGAGAGTCCTGACCTTTGACGAATTCCTCGAGATCCCGCCTTGCACAGAAGGAAAGCATAGCACAACTGATCTACCCCCGGAGATCGAGAAGAAGACTCCAGAGAATACCGATGTGAATTCGACCTTAGCTTCAAAACTCACCGAGGCTGTATCTGCAGTACCTACTCGTGCCCCTCTCAATCCTCAGCCTGCTCCTACTGCCCCCCCGCCGCCTCCCGAGTCCGAAGATGACGATTCATCTCTTGAGATCCCCGATGGCAAGGTTTGCCGCCGGAAAGGCTGCAATGTAGCTTATAAGAAGAGTCAAGGCAGATCTGACGACGAGAAATGTGTCCATCATCCTGGCGCCCCCATATTCCACGAAGGCAGTAAGGGCTACAGCTGTTGCAAGAGACGGGTGCTAGAGTTCGACCAGTTCATGAAGATTGAGGGATGTAAAACCTCGCCCAGACACTTATTCATCGGCTCCGGACAACAGAAGAGCAAGCCCGGCGCGGCCAATTCTTCCGTAACCGCGAATGGCGAGGAGCTACTTGAAACCGTGCGGCATGACTTCTACCAGACACCTTCGACGGTAATAGCATCTTTCTTCCTCAAGAAGATTGACAAGGATAAAGCGTCGGTGAATTTCGAGTCTCAAACAATTGTACTTGACCTACCAACAAGTGACGCGCAACCTAAGCGCTATAAGACCAGCGTCCCATTATTCGGCCGCATCGACCCAGAAAAGTCGACGCACAAGATCCTCGGCACGAAGCTCGAGGTTAGCTTGTGCAAGGCGGATGGCGCGAGCTGGCCGGTCCTGCGGAGCGACGAGCGACTGACAGGCGAGATCTTGCAGGTTGGACGGGCGGGACGAGTGTAGCCTATCATCCTGTCATCATGCCATCATCCTAACAGAATACTTCGCTACCTGAAGTTCTGGTTATCTCGGCCATAAGGATTTATGACCGTCAGCATAGTAATAAGCAATTTTGAGAAGAAGAAAACGTCTATTCGGCACATTTGCAAATGTCAAAACTAATCCCTGCGCAGATCCTAGCCCCTCTGCTTCCCTCCCTTGTCGAACCGGGAAACCGTCAATCTCAATCCCAATCCCAATCCCACAGTTGACGGTATGAAGGCGTTGAATCATCAATTATGTCATACTCTCAATAATCAGAAAGACAAATTTCAACAGTGAATTCCATCTTAGTCGCCTGTTGTTCCACTTTCTCGATATAACGCGTAAACACTAAGCGAAGCTTTCGGCTCAAGACTTTTCGGAAAGTTTCTTCAGACTGAAAGTTCATTGCTGCATGAAGCAGGCTACATTTAAAGGAGCATCCACTCTCGTCGTGCTTCGTTTATTAGAAAGTCACGTGTTATAAGACAGCCGATGCTTTCTGCCAATCCCTCTGGGTCATGAACCGTGAGTCGGTCATCTAATAAGAGCTAGGTAGTAGGTACACGATCCAGGTAGCTTTAAATTATCAATTAAAGACAAACGCCATATATACGTAGAATGCATAGAGTGATCATAATTATTGTATTTGAGTCGTGAATCTGCATGTTTCGGCCGACAAGACGACTAGCATGCAAATAAACTTCCATCCATCGTTACCTAGAGACCTAGGTTCGCCTTAAGCAGACGCTTTCTGCGGACCAGTCCGTATACGCATCTTCCTGTCATGTTCCCGCCGTCTTCCCACTTATACGTCAACATAATAGGAAACGATACAGTATCGTTTGATATTAGGTAAACATCTACCTCGAAGCTATGGATTAGTAGAACCTGAGGATCTCGTTGACCCAGAGCTACCATGCTCGCACTGAGCCTCAATATACCACCGACTTCCAGGAAGTACATACTCCGGATACTATCCGGGCAATACTCAACCACGGCGTCTAGATGGTCGCTAACAACTAAATACAAATCCAACCCACGGAAAAAGTAGTAGTAACTAAAAGCGAACTAAGCGCTTCTACTACATAAAGAAGTGATAATAATATACCCCGGCTTAGAAGCAATGTCAAGGTGAATTCGGCAAATTCCCCGAGTACGTAGATAGGCGGATAATTGACTTGCCATTTGACAACCCAATAAAACACGGCCACTTCCTTACGCGTTCATCGTCGCCTACGTCCATCGCGAAGTACATGGACAGTTCGTTTTCCCGGAGGCTGTTGTGCTCGTGTTCTGGTTTAGTGCTAAAGAAAAAGAAACAATTAGATATCGGAGTCAATAATAAAAGGAAGTACGCATAGTAAATTTTAGGTATTCTCTAGGCGGGATTCAAGTATGTACTTACCTTGAACAAAAAGAGTCGTTGTCTTCCCGCTCCCTGTCCGTCTCACCCGCCTCAGCATCGTCAATGCCCCTTCGAGCCCGTGTGCGAGCCCGCGCGCGCCTGTAGAACATCCGGCACGCAATTTGAATAACGTGTCCGAATCCCGCGACGACTAGGACAGGGGTGCCTAGCGCGAGAGCCCAAAGCCTAAAGTAAAAAATTAATTAGAAAACACAATACGAGAAACTAGGAAAAAATGTCCGGGGTTCTTACGGAAGTTGGATGTCGCTGAGATGATGCCACAGCGCCAGTACAACACCAAGAATGGCAATCTCAGAGCCTAGTTGTAACATTGTCCATGTGGACCAGTATAGAGCCATGAGGTCTTCGCCATCGCAGAATTGTAGTGCTAGAAGCGCGAACACTTCGACCACTAAGAAGACGGCTGCTATTAAGAATAGTAGCGTAGACCACTACAGTAATAAGAGTTAATAACCATCTCTCTGAGGGGCTTGGGCATATCTTAAGAGAAGACACCCTTAACTAGCTCGAGTTGAAAGCATTGACTTCCAAAGTAGACTGAAAGGGCGGTGAAAGGAGATTCAGTGGTTCATACAGCAAGGCCTATTTTAACTCTCCGTCGAAATTCATGCTCGCAGAACCCGGGTTTTTCTCGATACATCATCGTCCTGTATATCCAGCATTGATCTCAGTCAGTCACACTTCATTATCTCGGAGTTAGAAGATTGTATCACATACGATTGATAAACCCATGACGCAGCAAACAGGATAACGATTACCAGAAAAAATAGCGCCCAGTAGATACCGTCGAAATGGATTCTATCAAGACCGGATGCAAATTGGGCGTAGTGAGGGCATCTTAAGGGGTCGAAAGGTGTAAACTGCCCGCCCATCTTGATTCAGGGATAGACGGTAGAGAGAATACGTAGCGTATAAATAAACAATAAAAATCAATGACGGCAAACGGAAGACACTTCCGCTGTCAAGATAATATATATATAGTTTAGATCAAGATTCGAGAGATTATTCCAACAGCTTCGTTGAGTACGAAGAGGGGAAAAGAGAGGATGAAGGCCTCATATAATCGAACAAAGACGTGAAGTCTCAAAGCCAGAGACAAAGTATAGGGAAACGCCAAGTAGGGCCGCAGCGTCCTATGATGCGTTGTCTAGCCATGGCGAGTCGTGCAGTCCTTGCCTATACGCCGAGAGAGCGGCCGCACGTGTTAGTCCCTAATATTCAGGCTGTAAAAACTAATAGCTTATCTCTTCCCTAAGGCCGATATGCGAGTAGTGATGTACATGATTAGGAGGCTGTGCAATTAGTAGATAATTTTAGTAGGCAGTTCAAGCAAACCTAATAACAACAATAGGGTTGCCATGCTTTCTTGTTCATATAACCCCGGCCCGTATCGCTGTACATAGATTCGCTGCTTTTCACTTCCGAGATCCGCGGTGGGGTGGGATAGTATCGCGACCAGGTTTAGATGAAGATCGTTGCTAGAAGAGCAGATCCGGCTCTAAACTAATGTTATCTCATCTTGGTGGATATGCTTGGTAAACCACCAAGTGGATTCTATATTGCTCGCAACAATTCTGTGAGGAATAGGCGTGCTTTAGATCTACTAGAAGTCCATCCCTTCCATTAGTTCTGTCCGATCCAAGACCATTCCCTTCTGACCGATATACTCTCTCAGGGCATCCCAATCCGCTCCCTCCTCTTCGCCTTGGCGCCATTTCTCTTGGAATCCCCACGCACAAGCAATCTTATCCAGGGCAGCTCTCTCTTCTTCTCTTATCCACCGGAGCCGTAAAGGTACTCCCGGTGCCCAAGTCACTCGCTTCATCTGATCGTTTGCAGTAGTTAGCGCTACAACGCCGATCGATGCTGTAAAGCCTACGTAGGCCAATATACCAGCGAATGCAACATTAGTCGCAGTAGCGCTGTCCATGGTATTTTGAAGGTCGGAGAAGTTCATCGCAAGCACGTATGCCGCCAATGGTGTTGCCGCAAAGGTTCCCACGGGTAGTAGGGCCTTGCGTAAGAGCTTGTTTCGGATGAAAGCTTTCGTGGCATAGGTGTTCTCGATAATCCCAACTGCCGCGTCTAAATTTCTAGCCTCAATTGCAGTGTCCAGGGCCTTCTCGATTACGTTAGGCTCAACGGCATTTGCCACCTTGTTGGGATTCTGCTTTGCGTAGCTAATAGACCCCGCTCCTTCACGAGGCATGGGCTTTGACGCATATAGTTGAAACGCCTGAGGGAGCGTTTCAGGTTTTCCTAGTCGTGCTTGCACATCGACATATTTTTCTAGTAGTTCTGGCGTTATGAAGACAGGTGGGTGAGCTAATACCGCATAGGCGGTGTCTGATATTCGATCGATGATCTGCTTGACCTGGTCCATTATACTGGCAGTGGCAGTATTTATAGACTTGGGGAAGTTAGGATTGCTTGTGCTATCCAGCGAAAGTAGTTCAGAAGCGGCCGAATCAAACTCATTTATCATATGAGCGATTTGTGGTTGTACAGCATCATCCATAATATAATCAGCCACTACACGACATGCTAGGAAAGCCGCACTCACGTCCGCTTCTGGCGGTATGCGTTTATTTGAGAGTACTTTTGATTTGCTTCGTTCCAAATAAGTCATCATATTAGTGACAGATGATAACTCTTCGCTCGCTGCTGTCTTAGGTGTTGCTCTGATTTTACTATCATGCTCTCCTAGCGTATGCCGAGTGTTACCAGTCTCTAGTATCTTCTTTCTAGTTGGCAATATAGTAGAAGCTAAGAGTGCCTTCTGGACTGCATTGACTCGTAGGGCATGTTGCACTATTTGCGGTCGATGCCGAGTAGTATTATGAGAGCTCAATGCAGGTTTTGTGGAATAGAAACGGCGAGTAATGATAGAATCGCAAATCTGGCAAACTGACTGCGGTCGCGGAACAGCAGTCGGTCGAGGCATTACAGCGATTTCTATAATAGGTAGGAGACAGGAGACTAAGGTGTGGTGAATATGTGAATATGCCCTGTGATAGACGTAATGAAATGAATTCAATTAAGGCTCAATAATGAGACTCGGTTAGGTAATAGAGATGTGACTTATCGTCTCTTATCTTCCTCGTCACATGCAATATTTCAAATAATATGCTTCAATGCCGAGATAAGGCGGGGCAAATCCGCGCCTGCGCCTGCGCCACAAATGTGACGACAACGCGCGGCTGAGAAGCTTATGTTTCCAACAATTCCAACGACGTCCAATGACTTGTATCTTATTCCTACCTCCTAAACCATCGATAAGGCACCAGCAAATTGCATTTCGCGTCGTTACGTACTAACCACATCTCTCACCCCTTCTACTTACATTGTTCGACTTACATTGAAGTAAAAAGATACCCATCGTAATTAAGAAAACACAGAACATATATCAATTCACTTTTACCAAGACACTTATAACTTATAACTACCAATTTCCCATAGTTATTCTTATTAACTCGATACACGTACGGTGACGCCTATTCCAACCCTCAACTTATAACAATCCTCATCGACTCGATAAACGCTCCTCTATATCGCCTACGTGACTGAGTATTTCGATATATTAAGAGAGCCGGAGCCCAATCTCCGAGATGCCTCCTCCACCACCTCCGCCGCCGCCGCTCCCGGGTATGGGGGGGCCACCGCCTCCTCCCCCTCCCCCTGGCGGACTTCCACGGCCGGCTGCTGGTGCTGGCCGAGGTGCTTTACTTAGCGATATATCGAAAGGGAGGGCCCTTAGAAAGGCCGTTACGAATGATCGTTCAGCTCCCCAGGTAGCGAAGGCGTCAGGGGGAGGAGGAGGCGGAATGCCCACTGGAGGAGCACCACCTGTTCCTGTAATACCTAGGGGGGCTCCAGCCGTTCCGGGCGGCCTCGCACCACCGGTCCCGGGAAATAGAGCTAGCAACAATGACCATAGTAGCGGCGGAGTGGCAGAGCCCGCGCCGCAGTTAGCAGGTTTATTTGTGGGCGGCATGCCGAAGCTAAAGAAACGAGGTGGAGGTGTAGATACAGGAGGTAAGCATCCTACAGTGCTACAGTCTTATTAAGCTCAGTGACGATGATTACTTACCGCATACGTAGCAAATCAAAACGCATCATATCTAAACGACATAGAATCGTCAGGCCCGAAAGCGCCGTTAGTACCGAGACCGCCTGTCGGATCCGCCCCCGCCGTACCAATAGCTCCAGCTCGTGCAGTACCCACACCCCCGACTACGGTCTCTCACGCCTCGGTAGCGACTCTAAGGAAGGCGATCAGTGATGTCCCAAGACCAGTCTCGATGGCATCAGCAGCATCCTCAAAAGGCCCCCCGCCGCCAATAGGGAAAAAGCCGCCTCCTCCGCCCGGGTCCAGGAAACCCTCAACCGCACCATCACACTCTCACCTGTCTCTTCCTCCTCCTTTACCGGGCTCACATGCGCCGCCTCCACCCCCATCATCTGCTCCAGCGCCGCCGGCACCTCCACCTCCACCACCAACATCTGCGCCGGCACCGCCACCTCCGCCGCCAGTATCGGCACCCGCACCACCACCGCCTCCCCCAGCCGCGGCTCCCAGACCACCCCCTGCTACAACGCGATCACAACCCCCTCCTCCTCCGCCCTCAGGACCACCATCTAACTCAACATCACCAAATATAGCAGTCCAAGCAGCAATGCGTGCAACGGCAACAGGAGGCCGTGCTTCTTCTCCTACCGGCGTACTACCCCCTCTCCCCCCGTCTTCCGCGCCAACACCACCTCCCGTAGTGCGAGATCCGCCTTCGAATCGCCAGCGCGCCAGCTCGAATCTCCGCTCGATGCTAGACCCGAGCACATACACGCTAGTCCCCAACGGCACCAGCAAGAGCCCGAGCCCTACTCCCACAGGAAGCGCGATACCCAGCCCGCGCGAGGCGAGCAGAGGCGAGCGGTATATCATCCACGACAGCCGCTGGCGTTTCAAGGATGAGAGCGAATTCCCCAAACCCCGACCCTTCCAAGGCGGTCCCCGCAAGTACCGAGCCGGTCGTGGGAGCAGCGTGCCGCTGGACCTAAGTGCGCTCTAGGGGAGTAGTCGTGGTCAAGGCATGGCAATGCTGAGGGGAAGAAGAGAAATTGGAATAGGGACAGAGAGGAAAACAGAAGATGCAGGGGGTGTAAAGGAAAAGACCAAGAAAGAAGGGTATGACTGGTTGAGCATCCGCTGGTGAAGCCTTTAGCTTAAGTGGGTACCCAAGTATCGACTCAAGCTAGGAAATGGAAACATGAACAGATTATTCGAGGTCGTAGGGAAAAGGGTCGGATGGGAGGATAATATGCCTTGTGTATGTGCATCTGTACCTTTATATATATGTACTTCATTAAAAGAATACCTATTAGTAGCACAGGTGTTCATTCTCCAGTCTCTACTAACCTACTAGCATTAAGCCATAGATTATATCACAACTTACCAATTAGAATAAGTATCTCTAGTTAGAAGCTGATGACGTCAAGCATTATAAAAATTCATAAGCATTATGTCTGTATCCTCGTGCCAAGTTTTATTCGTAAAGTATAAATTTGCATTGTAAGCAGACTTCGAATATCTTATCCGTTAGAATTCAGCTACCTAACAAACCGGCTAACAGGTATGCGATCTTGCATATTAGTCAAGGATCATCTATGTGATATCGTATTAAAGTTTCGAACAAGAAGTAGGAATTGCCATTTCGCACAAAGAGTAGAATAACCATGAAGCAAAAGTCAGACCATACGCCGATCCAGATGCCAACATTCTCTTTCACCAAATCATACACAATTTCACGATAACAATCAAGGCCGCCCGTTCGTACTCCCTGGCTGAGCGTTCCATTATCAGACGGGCGGCTTAGAAGTTGGATGTTGCAAATATGTCTCTGTTCCCGAAGGGGGCATCTTATGGATTTTTGCGTTCTGGCAGTTATCTCCCCAGTAACCTATTCCATCAATGTTCTTTACCGCCTCCATCGCAGATGTGATAATTTCGTCAAATGCCCCAGCTTTCTGGAGCTGCTGAGGTGTCCAAGAAACTTCCTCGCCAATTTCGAGGTCTCGGTTCTGCTGCAGTGCCTCGTTGATCGCCTTGGATTGCAATGAGACTTCGTACCAGATTGGTAAGTGACCAAGTTCCTTATTTCCACCATACTGCTTAAATAGGATGGTCACATTGTCATTTTCTCTGCTGATAGTCTTTGGTGCCATGTCGTGTACCTCGCAGATCTCTAGAACGCTCGTAGCTGATGACTTCGAACCATAGGCGTTAAAAAAGGGCTGAATACTTCCTTCTTTCCTCGCGTAAGATGCAACATTACGGGTTCGGACGAGTTGTATCTCAGCCTGGTATACTCCCTTAACAATGAATTCCAATAACGGTATACCAGAGTCTTGGTTTCTATATCATAATATTAGCAAAGATGTAATAGATGAAATGGTTCAGTAGCAGTAAACTTACATGACTCGCATACTGTTAATAAGGTCCTCTGCAAAGTCACCGTAAGTTAGGCCCAAGTCTTGCAACTTGGTGAGGGTGACTTGGAAGTCCCATACTCTCTTGGGACAATGCACAAAGACAGCGCAAGAATCACCACCTTGTTTATAGATTCTATAGGTGAATTCTTTGGCATCGACCTCCAATGTGAACTTGTGGTACTTTTCGTCTGCTGTCTTAACGCGGCAGTGTATCTCATAGACAGTGTGACGAGCAGTAGGCGTCCATAGTCTTTCCCCAGAACTATTCTCGGCAAATGCTATATAATTCGCATCCCCGCCATCTCCTGTAAGAAATCTTGCGAAAGGTGCATGTCGTGGTTTGATATGATGTCTATCCAAGATTTCCTTTATGTCTTGTAGTGACTTGACTTTATCTTGATAAGCGCTGCCCTTCAAGTACACATGGTTGTGATTGACTTTCATGAGACAGAGGCGCCCTAGTTCAGCTTTCAAAGACACCTTACCAGTGAAGGTTTTTAGAGAGCCCATCATCCGAACGAGCTTCTTGGTGATGGCCTGGATCAATTCGGGATCTGGATCCAGCTCTCTATGCACTTGTTCGTGACTAGGTTGACATCCTGGGACTTGAAAACCATCATATCGGCGACCTGCCTGCTGTCTCATAGTAGAGCGCCGAGGCGGGGGTGTAACGCTGGGCTCCACGCGGAGCTCTCCTATTTGAGCACCCTTCCATAACTTAATGAATGGGTCTTCGCGTTCGATTTCAGAGGCCGGTGGATGTTGAGGGACTTCTGCTCCTGACTGAGTGATGCTTGTTCTCTCACTTTCTTTGAGAATATTTGCTGATAGCTCTTCTGTTTGTTGCTGGTCGAATCCGATAAGGCCCTGTTCTGCTGAAGACATTTCTAGGTTATTGGGGGTCACGGATGATTGTTCTACAACTGTTTCTGTCAGAGGATATGATGCCATCGGGCTTACTAGCCGAACATTCTCATCATCCAGATTTGCGCTAGGTCCTCCAGAAAGTTCCCAAGATTGGTTGCACTCTGGTTTAGGCACCTGAGTAACCCAAGAGGCAACCCATGGGTTATTTTCAATGTTGAATGAGACTTCATCCGAGACATAACTTCTAGACTTCGGTTCGTAGTGCCACATCTGAGATGAGAATGCTTTGTATGGTACTTTTCTGTCCCTCGGCGATATAGCTGGTCTGATATGCCCGGGGCCTTTGGTTGGTTGAGAGCTGGTATGTGGTAAAACCACAACCACGCCCTGCTCAACCATTTTTCCGTATACGGAAACCCCTTCAGCCAACTCATATTTGGCACGGTCGAGAAAGAAAGTCTTTGGGATTGCTTTCTCTCCGTGGACCATGTAAGTGAATGCCGCAGGACTGTTTTGCTTATCCTCTGCGTAAATGAAACTCTCGCAACGAGTATCAGCCTGATATGGCGACCCCTAAGAAATATTAGACTTCAACCGTGGTAATAGTAGTGGACTAATAAAACTCACGGCATGTTCCGCAAGAGTGTCAAGCTTGCGTATCACTACATTTATCTCTTGGAGTGATTCACCGCCGACAAACACGGCAAGCCCATTGCTTTCTAATGCCAGGGCACAACCCGTGATATGTTGCAACTTGGCCAATACCTCGGCCGTTGCTAGTCTGAAAGGGTTTGGACCTCTTCCAAGAAGTCCCTCAGGGACCCACCATAGCGCTCTGCAAGCAGCCCCTTGGATTTCCGGAGGTGCAGTGGCCAGCATCACCTCCGAGATGTCCGGTGTACTGGCATCATCGGTACCGGCATCATGGGCACCTACACTCCCTTCATGATAAGGGAAAATCCTATCGCTGAAAGGCTATATGCACATTAGATACCACTAGCAAGGGGCAGTATAATATTCTAAAAACGAAAAGAAAAATGAAGAAATAAAAAAAACCCATTGAAACGAGAGAAATAGGGGAGGGGGAACACTTACCAATCCGTTTTCAAGCTCTCGCCGGGCTATGCCGTCCAGGACTAGCTGGCAGGCAAGCATTACCTCTGCTTCATCAGCAGTTAGGCATTTGATTTTCATCCAGGAAGTCTCTAAGTTGTAAGAGACTTCAAGTCCCTATAATTATATCAGCAAACTGTCTAATACAATTATATTTCGAGGTAAGTAATTTTGAATAAGGGTTGAAACTTACTGGGAAGGCATTTTGGAGCTCACTAGTGAACTCCTGGACTCCGCCTGGGTGAAATGCCCAGTTAGAAACCAAGAAAAACTCGGTTTCGGTTTCCTCTTCCTCTTCCTCTTTCTGGGCAGCTTCGGCTTCGAGCTTTTCTTTCGCAGCTACCCACTTGGGGAAGTCGTTACGAAGCGCCTCAGCAACGCGCTCGGCGACAAGGTCCTGCTGGGTGGATACCTGAGACATGATGTTTCCTATCCTTAGGGATGTTAGCCATTATTTGTGTGTTCATAATTTTTGTTTATGAGCACGTTGCAATCTTGTTAATTGACAATATGCGTCCAGTAACATGTTAAGACGCGTCGTAGAGTACTTACCTTGAAGTTGTGTACTCGCAAACAAGATGTTCTCAACAAATTCTTCACGACAAGACTCTTCACGGTATTAGTTGGTACAATAACAAAGACGGCGACAAGAGGTGGGTAAGTAGTTAGTGATAAGGCACAACAATATATTGTATAAGGAAGGAGAAGACACGGGACGGTGGAGTTTAGTGAGGTCGGCGACGAGATACAAATAATGAAGGCAAAGAGCCGGTAGTTTTCACACGGAATGAAGGTTGAAAGGTGAGTATGTTTGACAAACAACGTTAGGTCACAAGGTTAACTGAGTCTTTAGGGTTGAGAAGTCGCGTCGGCGACGTGATGGGGTTTGTATTGATAGAGACTGCTGTTGTGAGAAATGATGTACGGGAATTAGAACAGAGAAAGGAATTAATAGTACCTCAAGACTTAATATAGTTAAATAGTAGATAGAAGGTAGGTAGGTTGTTTTATGATCGGCGTTGGTTGTGAGCTTTGTGTGTGTAGAAGAAGTGAAGAATTGGAGGATGATGTTTGGAGGAAAGAATTGGAAAAGGTGGATGTTCACTACAGATCAAGATTGCATGTAAGTTGGTAGGAACGATTGGGGAGTAATCACCTGGGTAACTACACAAGGTAGGTGCTTGCTTAAACTAAACGGTAAAGAACGAAGGAAGTCGGTCTTTCCAAACATTAATGACCTAAACGTTCTTTCCTGCCACTAACCGATGCAAGACAGTTCTGGTTTTTGGAAATGACCACGAGGCCCCCCTATCTATTTGGGTACTGCAGGTGCCCACAATACATATATACCTACATCAATCCCATGTTCTGCCTTATCAGGCGCTATTTCCTAGTCGTACTTGCTCTCGGGACGGCAAGTTCAGATCCGTTAGGTTAGGTACCTCATGTAACATAATAAGAACACTCCTTAGATCAGGTCATGCCGTACCTCTATGTGGTGCATGTGGTGTACACAAACATGTACCTATTGAATGTACCAAGATTTCTTTTTTCTCTAATACATTGAAATACCTATATGTGCAATGTAGAAATAAACCTATTGAACCAACCTAGATACATATAGGTTAAATATCTACCAATATCGTTCATTAGCCACGAGGTGCTTGCATGGAACGATACAATATTTTACTATATTCCATTTTGACCTAAAAGGCTATTATAGCTGATCTTGTTCATTTTAGTTTTCCTATATGGCCATGTTGAGTCGGTTTGACATAAATTGTGCAGCTAAGGTTGATGGAATATGAGTATCTGCCATAAAATTATTCGTTCTTATAAGAAACCAAATTAGTATAATGGAATAACGTTACGGATTATTACAACTTAACTTGAAGATATCATGTACCGAAGCACTTTAAACTAACTTATTATAGGGTTGATTATGCTAATAGTTCGTGTCACCCTTCATCTAGTAATTTCAAAGACGGGCAATCACAAATTTGACTCAGAAGGCATGAGACTAAGTTTTTTATTCCGAAAGAAACTTTACCTAAAGTATAGAAACCTGTAGCCGAAGATGTCCTGTGGTATAAAAATCATAGCTGGAATTATAACGAGTATGTTGGTATTTATACCACATATAAACTCTCAAAGTCTACCCCTTTTTTTAAAATTTTACTTGATATATTACCCAGTACCAAGCCACATAAGGCTGCGCACAATAATTATACAGTTAGGCAGTTAGTAACAAATGGTATATACAATTAAAATAATGGGTAGTCGGGGTAACTAGCAGCAATCAAGAAGTAGCTAGCACAGCTAAATCAGCCCTCTAAGTACAACATGTTCTGGAAATGCTGATTGTGTCACGAGGTGGAACCAAGCAGCATGGAAACAACTTGTTCCTCTTAAAGCCCTAACCTATATTACCATGAGATCCCGTGGCTATATATACTAAATATGCCCTTTATTCTAGAATCCTGACACATATGGATCTAAAATAAGCCCATGGAAATGCTGACCCAAGGTGAACCACAGGGACGACGGGATCATAATGATTTATTAATACTTTTTGACAAAATAACACGGTTAAGACATGCCGATTAGCAGAGAATATATTGTTCAAATTAAATAATGTTACTGGCTTGGAATACCAAACAAAAAAAGAGATAGTTATTTGCCTTGGACGTTTAAATAATGATATATAGCTGTTCTACGTCAGAATTAATATATACAAACATGTAGATCTACCTATGTTGTATATGAGGGAAAATTGCATCGAACACTGATGGGTTAATACATAAAAAAGAGAGCACGTTAATTAAATGCCTTGGAATGCCTTGAAATGCCTATGCAAAGGTAGAAACAACCTTGAGATTTACTTATACTTATACCTCGTCCAAGGATATACCACACACAGTCATGGTGAATCGGATTATTTGATTTGGCGAATTTTAGTACTAGACGGTAGAAAAGGGGTATTCTGCTTATGTAATCAAACCTTGCTGCAGTGGATTTAATGGTCAGGAGGTGCTCAAATACTTGGCAAGAAAATACTGGCTTGCTTAAAAAAGCAACTAGGACGAGTAGGTTCTTTGTAACACGATATAGTACGAGAGAAGTATTCTAAGCAATGATAATAGTAAGTGTTGGATGCCTTAGTGATTAACAAATTTGAGCTGAGTAGAACATATTAAGTGCTCGTAAATCTGTTCATCACAAATGGTTTCTTTCTATAACTACCTACCTATAAACTGGTAACCTGGGTATATACAACGTAAGTGGGCAATAGAAGGGAGGGTCATGAATGTAAATGTTCATACTCCTTTTATCATACCAGCCAAGGGTCTCCTTCTGCCCTCTCAAACTTGGGGGCCTTATGATGAAATGAAAATGCCATGGACTGCTGGGTCTCACTCTGATTCAGACCGCAATCACAGAATATCCTTTGCCTCGAACGCCAATCCTATGTATCGTAACATATCCAGACCAGAACTCTCTTTGAGTACCATTTCCTGACCTGACCCTGGTCGCTCAATTTAGTCAACCGTCGAGGTTGTATTATAAAATCCGAAAGGGAATTGTTGTAGGATATCGCGAAGAGCGAAAAGGTCGTTATTATAGTTCGAATGGTATCATTTTGGTACTAGCGACATGCTTGGAAATACAGAGCCGCGATGCACCAGGTTGGAATAGGGGGAAAAAAAAGAGGGAATGAGGTACTGCAATTTCAAGCCGCCATTTTAGTACATAATAGAGGAATAATTTTGTCGAAGAGGAACGGACCAGCATGAGTTTTTGTGTGTTCAGGGGCGTTTTGCCGACGAAGGGGTTGCATAGCAAAGCTAGGAGTATATTACTACTCAGCGCCCTTCACATTTTTCTTCACGTTAAGCGCCCATTTCAGCTGGCCAAGCACGCGCTTCGCCTCTTCGAGAGCCCTCTCCTGCTCTTCTTCTCTCTCATGGGCGATTTTCTTGATATCCTTTAGCGCTTGCTCCTGTTCGTGCTTATAGGCCTCAAATTGCTGGGCAATTTCATCCTTCTGTCGTTGCAGGTCTCGAATGTTTCCGTCTTGCTGGTCACATAAATCGCGGAGAACGTTGATTTTTTCATCGTCCGTCCTACGTTCCTCAACCAGTGTTTTAATTCTGTCCTCAAGACCCGCCATAGCACGCTTCACTTCGTCGCCCTGATCCTTCCAATGAGATGATATAGCATTGTATCGACCCTCCATTAATGCCGCATGCATATTAGCCTCTTCGACCTGAACCTTAGTGTCCCGGCGACTCTTCTCCATCTCTTCACGCCATATCCGTTCGCGTTCTTGAGCATCCGCTGTGCGCTTCTTCTCGAGGTCGACCGTAGATTGTAAGTGCTCAACTTGACGTTCCTTGCGACTTAATAACGTCTTAGTTATTGTAGCTTCTAATAGGCGGTTCTCATAGTCTGCGACCATATGCTCCATCTTGTCTTCGATTATTTTAGCCGCACGCTTTGCTTCTTCGGCCTTGAAACGCTCAATCTGAATATCTCGTTTCAAGGCTTCATTGTCCGACACCAATTTATTAATCACTCTGCCTGTCTTTCCTAAGCCGGCCTTACCGACGGCGCCGTCCCATTGCGGTGAACTTTCCGGCGCTCCGCCTGTATGATCTTCGGGCATAGGTGTCCCCGGAACCTGTAAAGATAAGGTTGGTTCCTCCACCATCTCTTCTCCGAGAGTCGCAGCACTTGCGGACATATACGGGTCTTCACTTCGCGATATCGGTAAAGGCGGCTCTAAGCCAGGTGATTGCGATTTTAACCTGACCGTCGAGCTGCTTTGTGCTTGTTGAGAGTTATATGATGTGCCGCTGACATTGCTATTAATGGAGCTTGAAAACCCGCTGTTTCGCGCGGATGGTGATTCTGATGAGATATCTGAAGGTGCTTCAAAGCTAGGGACGGTACGGATGGTGGATGGTATTTTGCTCTTGCTCTTATTCTTGCTGTTGGGAGAGAAACCAGAGTTGGCATAGGAGCTGTGTTTTGACTCCAAGGTCGGACTGTGGGTGCTCATGGTGTTCACGTTGTTGGAAGTATGCGCCGGTTTCAATTTTGAATTGGCATTTAGTACACTATTGTCTGTGTATGTAGGTTCTACGGAATAATATGTTAGTGTAGTTCTACCGCCTTCCGAGCTAGAATATAGTGGTGATTTTGTTTTGTCCCGAACAATAAATGGGCCAAGAAAATGTGAGAAGACAATATTTTAGTTGTCTCCGAAACAATGCTAACGAACGTTTTATGGAATAGAAAAGAGATGAGTGGATTATATAAATATGTAGACTGGATTATGTTTACCTTGTTTAATGCTTTGTCGAGTGGGAGTCAAAGGCTCTCGATTAGGAACAGGACGTATTCGAGGGGTTTGCAATCGACTGGGCATTTCTCATTTCCCGTTATTTTCCTTATTCACGCAAGGACGTCACGTCGCCTGTCAACGGATGGCTAATAGCGAGAAAGATATCGAGGAGTAGATAAGCGCTTTATGATTTCTAACGTTTTGACTGGTTTGATGCTGGGTGTGTGGTGTGGAAGGGTTCTAAATTCGAGTTTGAACGCGGTGGTGCCGGGGATATGTCATCCGGGGGACAAGGGCGCAAAATCGACGTCAATATTAGGTATTTAGATAGTAGCTCTGTGCAATGAAAGAGTAGGTAGTAAAGGTATAAAGGAATATAGAGAAAGCTCTTCAATCTTTTGGCAATGCGCTCAACTTGAATTTTGTGTGTATTCTGTACATACGAAAGAAGCAACTTAAACTAGTTAATGGAATTCTAAGGTTGACTTAAAGATGGAGGAACAGCATTAAAACACACATATCCCCATGTTTATGTGTACTATTATGTCGTGGGCCTGATCGCGGGCCTCTCCAATGTTGTTCTGTCAGTTAGTGATGTAGTATTTACGAAAGGCCGCTAGTAAGCTAATGACTCGGCCTTGCAGTAGAAATACTTTGATGCAGATACGGTACAATGATACATTTAAAACGTTTGTGGCTGTTGAAAACGCGCTTCCCTCTTTTTAGTCTAGGCTTAACTGCTTAACGGTTGGATCTGCTAAGAAGCCACGCGTTTAAGCCACCTTGAACCGCTTAAGTAGTAAAACTGGAAATTTAAGAATGCTGGGGTATTGGATAACCCCATGTCTAGTCCCTTAGCTTGATTCCAACGGTGCTATCTTGTGCGCGCTGTACGTATCAATCGACGCGTTTTGACCTATATCCCCTTGTAATCTACATAGGCTTAGGTACCTATATAGTACCTATTTGACCCAGCAACCATCGCGCACAAGATTGTCATGGATGCAATTCAACTCTTCCCGACGGATGACATTTAAGGCCCGCGATATATCCGCTTCTGACGGGAAGCAGTGGATCGCATATTACTATGTCCCATTAATAAGAATATCTCTACCTTAAATTATATCAAGGGTGACGGGGATGGTTACATAGATCCGACAGTTTATTCGCAGTAATCTCCGTCAGAACCGCCCGCATTCCCTCTTAGACGTCGCGTTTGTAATAGCGAACGAGAGACGCGTGCAATTATTATTACTCGGACGCGTGAATTGGTCTACCGACCCTAGACTAGAATATCATTTATTCTTGATTTTCATTGGAATCTTGAGTAACCGTCATAATTTTGCGAAGAATTCAACGTGAGATACAAGATTAATATTTATACTTATCTTATTTTAATCAGTAGGCAATTTCATATAGCGCTTACATAGTAGCCGAGTGCTCTTAGAGTCCATTCGGGAATAAGTTTTAATGCTGCTTACCTTAGGTACATACCGTCTTGATTCTACCACTAAACTCTTAGTTCGTAGACATCAAGATAATGCTCTCATAAAATATATGCCTTCTCTAGATCTCAAGTCATAGATTAAAAACTCCTCTAGCAAAATCTGTATAGTCCCGTTCAAAATGGCCGCGCTCTCTCCGCTTGACAAACTTATGCCCCGCGGCTACGTCCGCCAAATGTTTTGCTTCCCCTCGACACATGCCGACATAATTAATACACTTAGAGCAGGCTTGAAGGGCGTTGTAAATGATGTTCCCTACCTTCTTTCCGGGATCCTCACCAGCGAAGACCAAAAACATATTTCCCTCAGCAGTCCTTATCAAACACTAGAGAACCTCTGCTATGAACAAGATCTTTCGGATACCGTTGATTACGCCGCTATCAAGACACAAAATTTCCCGCCCTCAGCATTTACTGCACCAAAGATTATACCTCCTGACACGCAGCCCCCGTTTCCGAATCCGGCGCCGGTATTCCGGGCGAGCGTGTCGCTGGTTAGAGGTGGATTCATATTATGCCTCGCCGTTCATCATTGCACGACCGACATCACCGGATTCGGGGCCTTGCTTAAGATATGGGCCTCTTACTGCCGCACAGGCGCGTCTGCAGTGGCTAGGTTCGATCCGTCTTGGCTAGACCGTGGGGCCTTGATTGAGAGACATAGCATCCCCGATGTGATAGCACCTACTTCTATACCTAGGTTACTCCATGTCCGGGGACCTGACGACTATGCTAGGCTTGCTGGTCCAGCATCATCGCCTAATGATCTCAGGACTGGCATATTCTTCTTCCCGCAAACGAAGCTACAGGCGCTGAAGCATGCCGTGAATAAGCATATCGCTTCTCAGGGTAATGCAGGCTGGGTTTCTTCAGGTGATATTCTCACAGCGCTGCTTTGGAGCGCCATACTAGCTGCCGAACAAGTGCCGTCCGCCGCTGAATCGGACGCAACGACTAACCAAAGGGATACCAGTACAATAGGTTTCCCCGTGAACTTTCGCTCTCGTTTTAGCCCACCCTTACCCTTAAACTACCTCGGTGCCGCCTTTGTGATGACAGCCGCCACAGCTTTACGGACGGACCTAATATCTTTTGCTACAGGGGCAGCCTCTTCTAGTGACCACGCCCTATTGGATTTTACCTCGACCTCAAAACTAGCCGAGATTGCTTCCACAATTCGTGCTTCCCTTCGCAGTGTTGATGAGCAAAGCGTGCGAGATATCCTGACATATTTAAATACCGCGTCTAGTGACCATCCGCCAATCACGCTGGGACCGCGCCATGACGGCATATCAATTGTCTCGTGGGCGGACCAAGCCGTGTATGAGTTAGATTGGGGCGATACAGTTGGGAGATGTGACGCCGTTAGGTGGCCCAAATTGGCAAATAAGAGATACCCTATCATTCTGCCTAGGATCCCAAGTAGCACCAACGGCGACGAAGGAGGTTTAGAGGTAATTGTTAGCTTCAATACGCAAGTGTTCTTCAAATTTGAGCAGAGTTGGCCGATTAAAAAATTCGCGACTACTCGGTGTTGTTCGTAAAGCAGGGTCTAGTGTTCATGTAATCTTATAAGACCATATGCCTAGGACTCATATTCATGATAGAGTTTATGGAGGTACTTAGATATCATAGTGGTTTTTAACCTACCTGTTGAAATGAGTGGTCAAGGGACTACTCTCAGGTACAGTACATGGTATCTTGGCATGGAATGTACATATAAGAAGGACCTCCCTCCTCACTCATACAGTTGGTAGATTAAGTCAATATACAACTACAGCTCATGAATCGTATCTTTCACCACTGCCTGCGTTTTGGATATATGTACGCTGCGAGCAATCGCTATAATAACACATCGTAAAGTACTTTAAATTGCAAATCGTGATTATGTGCAGGTATTAACTCATTGATATATACATGTAAGATGGCAGGAATATCGTAGGAGTCCATAAGCCCAAAGACGAGCTAGCCCCAAGGATACATGTCCCTATTTTATAGCGTAGTTACTGGTATTACTTATGATTGGTTGTGTTTTGCCAACGCGATCAACTCGTCGTGTTCGCCGCTGTTTTTCAGCATGCCCCAGAAGGCGCCTTCAATGTCGATTAAGTCCCTGGGGGAACCAGCCCTGTAAAGTGGTCAGCAGTGAACAAAGATAATAGAGAAGAACTCAAGTGGATGGAGTCATACTCTATAACTTTTCCTTCTTCCATAACGATTACTTGGTCATAATCTATGATCGTCCGCAGACGATGAGCAATGGTTATGATTGTCGAGCCAGCAAACTCCGAACGAATGATCTGCTGCATGCGCACGTCCGTCTCATGGTCCACGGAAGCCGTCGCTTCGTCTAAAATAACAACTTTAGACCGGCGGCACATAGCACGCGCAAGCCCGAGAATCTGTCTTTGTCCGTTGCTAAAGTTCTTCCCATTAGCTGCAACTTGAGTATGAATAGAAACTCCACGACCAGGCGCTTGGCTATCGGTGTCATATATTTGAGTGAGACCGCACGCCGTAAGGACAGACTGCAGTTCTACCTCATCGAGTTGCTCTAAGGGGTCAAGGTTCGATCTGATATCCCCAGAGAAGATGACTGAGTCCTGCGGCACGAAGCTAATGCTTTCTCGGAGACGTTTAAGAGGTATGTTGTTAATATTGACACCATCAATGACTATACTACCGGAAACCACGTGTGTGGAGCGCAGTAGGGAACGCGCAATGGTACTCTTACCACTACCGGTACGACCAATAATAGCGACTCGCTGACCTGGCCGGGCGTTAAGTTTCACACCCCGTAGAATATCAGGGCCATCCATCGTGTAGCGAACAGTCACATTCTGGAACTCCACATGACCAGTTGCCGGCCAAGCTGCAGGAATCTCAGTTGCCTTCGACTTTTCTTCCTCGGAGTTTACCTCGGGTTCGATTTCCGCGTACTCGGATACACGTTGAAACGAATTTAACTCCACTTCTAACTCGTTCATGTTCCTCACTAACGTCAGGATAGTTTGACTTAAACCAATAGCGTTAGTTAGCGAGAAGCCAACAAGACCCGGAGCGCCGGATTTATAGTAAGCTATGCATCCAGCCGCGACCGCAACCGTGGCGGCGCAAAAGTCGGAACGGATAGACACCCATCGGTTGCAGTTATATTGAGCTTCCATCGCGCGCATATACACGGCGAGCTTATCAGCAAGGATCGTCTGGAAGACATCGTCCATCGGCTGGCGAGCTCTAATGACCGCAAGACCTCCAGCAGAATCGCTGAAGTGAGAGAAGATAGGTGAAGTTTGCACGGCACAGAGGCGTTTAATCGATATCTGCGCTCTTGCATATACTTCTCCTGTAGCAAAACCGAGAAAGCAGAAGAAACTCGCCGGCAATGCAAAGATGGGCATTATGGACGCAATACTTGCCAACCGCAGGGCAAGCCTAATTCCGTTATCAAGTGTCATGCGTAACCAGTCCACCAGAAGGCTGTCCATAGACTGTATATCTACACCGAACCGATTGATAATACGACCGACAGGAGTATTATCGTACCAAGCTATAGGAGCATTGAGGACGGCAACAACCAGGCGTTCGTGCATGGTCTTCGCCGCTTTCCACCCTCCCCTTTGATAAATATAGTTGTTGAGAAACTGGAGGGATATGAACGTCATGACCGTGCCAATATGTATGAGGAGATATGTTGTCGCTTTGGAAGAGTAGTCGGGCTTGGATGATAATCCAGTCCAGATGGATAGCCAAAAGGTGATCGAGAAATAGGCAATTTGTACTAGGAAGGTATTTAGGATCGTAAGAGTAGCGGTTATGTAGCCCCCAAAGAGTAGCATGTATCTAACAACTGTTTAGGTGGTTTTAATTAGCATCGTTTCTTGTATAGGTTCTTAAGAGAAACTTACTGAATCCACGTGGGACACGCCCCGACGCCCTCTTCTCTTCGGTTGCAGTTTCATCTACGTCCACTTCGTGAACTTCATGATTTACCAAGTCAGTGGTTTCACTCTGTACAAAAATCCCTGCTGTCGGAGGGGCCGTGGTTGATTGCGATGAGGAGTCGACTTCAACCTCCTCTTGGTGAGTTGTCCAATACGACTTGGCGTATTTGGAAGGGCTTTTAGCATTTGTCTTCGTAGACGACACTCTCCCCTGAGCCAACGACACCAATAGTTCGGCATCTTCTATAGCCGTAGTAAAATGCGTTACCAGAATGACTGTCCGATCATCTAGGAGCCCGCTACGGAAGCATCGCTCGTAGACTCTCAAGGCAGTGTGAGTGTCAAGCGCCGAGAATACATCGTCTAGAAGAAGGGTGGAAGACGATGAGTATAATGCTCTCGCCAATGATATCCTTTGTTTCTGACCTCCGGAAAGGCTAGACCCCTGCTCTCCTGCATGCGTCAAGTCGCCCGAAGGCAATTGCGCCAGGTCTTCTACGAGGTCGCAAGCATGGATAATTCGCTTATATCGGCACTCGTCATATGAGCTGTAGAACAGAATGTTTTGTCGGATAGTGCTGTTTTGTAACCAGGCTGTCTGGGGCACGTAGGCTACGTCCGGAGGGCAGGTTGCTTTTCCGCTTTCTAGAGTTGTCTCACCCAAGAGTGATAGCAGCAAGGACGTCTTGCCACTGCCGATTGGTCCCGTCACAATGTTAAGCGCCTTTTCGCGAAATGAAATGGATATATGACGGAGTTGAAATCCGGAGGAACGTGTCAAGCAGAAAGTCGCATCTGTGAGCTCGGGCAGGCCAACTGGGAGACGTTTTCTTTCCTCGGCTAGTTCGAAAAATTTGTCGACTCGCTGTAATGATTTGTGACCTTGTGCTACCCATTGGATAACCTTGGATAGCCATACGAACTGCGCTCGTAATATTTCTGTGAGAGACAGTGCTGTGAAAGCCGTCGGAGCTCGCAGAGGTCGGTCTGTAAAGAGGACAAACGACGTGAACATAGCGAGGAGACTGACAAGAGAGAGCATATCGCCGGCCATGAAAATTAGCATAGAAGTAACATTACGCTTCCAGATCCGTTGTTGCTCTGTAGCTCGGATGGCGTTAATCATCTTGGCTGCCACATCTTCCCAAGCGAAGAATTTTAGGGTTCGAATCGACTGTAAATATTCCGAGATTCTTGACAGTCGACTATCCGTCACCTCCATTACCAATCCGTGCAATCGGGACTGGCGTCCGGAAAGCCGGGCTGGAAGCGAGGTAAGAGACAGTAGAACTGCAACGCCAACAAGAGATGACCACCCTAACAACTGGTATAGAAACGTCATGGCTATTACTGCCGATACTGTACTCGCTGTTAAGGCGTAGAATATATCGGTCACATTAGCGATCGCGTCAGCATCATATGACAATAGGCTTTCCATCTTGACAGAGTTTGCCTTTTCCTTTGTTTCTGCATCTTTGGATCCATTCTGTGTCTGAGGATCAATCTTTTCTTGTATGCTGTTGTCTGTCCTTGCCCATAACATCGTCTGGTATATTTCCTGGATCATAGTTGCTTTAGATAGTACAAGGAGCCGCGTGCCCGCAAATATAGATCGTTGATAGCAGACAGAACGAGCCATAGGCCCAAAGAATAGGAGTGCAATCCATACGAATGGATGAACGACTGTAGCGGTTGTGTCGGGGTCTTCGAAATAGCCTAAAAGATAGAACATAGCACATGGGGCAAGATACTCTGCCATCGCGGTTGCGATTGACCATAGCATTATCGTCTTGATATCATTCCGAAACGTTCGACAGAGGGTCCAGAAAGTTCTTCCCCCTTTTAGACGAGCTTTGCGCATACGTTGTAGCAATGTTGTCGGCGCATCGTATGTCGGTAGAGGAGGAAGATCGTCTATGACTAAGTCCCGGGAGAAACCACGAATCATAAGATATGTAAGCCATTCGTAAGAGAGATAATACGAGAACCACGAGCAGGTTTCTTCGGGGGATAGTTCCCCGTTCACATCATCTAAGCCCTGACTCTCGGGGTTAGGCTCTTTTCTTCGTACAAGACGTGGCGAGACGAACGAAGCCATAAATGCAGATGCCAGACAAGCGAGTTTAACGCACTCAATACTTGACGGGTTATTGTGTGGACCAATAATCGCAATGGGAAATATGATTCTGATAGCTTCCAAGATAGTGATAATTGCTATTATTATGTTCAAGTGGCGGCTCAAAGAAATGCTGACAGCCTTGTGCCTCCAGGCGAATTGTAAAATTCCCAGGAAGAGCAGATAGCCCAAAGCAAATGATTCCATCCATGGTCCATTTTGGAGTTTGGAGTACAGCGTTAGGGATAATGCTGCTGCAAGGATAGCTATTTGCGTAATAGCATACTCGAGCGGTGTATAAGGCCTACATATTCGGTCGACATGGGACTTTACCGTGCGGCCGTAGAATCCATTGGACCAAATTATAGACACCAATAGTGAAATAAGGGATAGCCCAACGCATGCAAGCTGCAAGCGACCAGTTCCTATAAAATCAGATAGCTTGGCTGCACGGCGTTGCCATATCTCACTACGGGATTAGTTAGGCAAATACTGATATAAAAAAAAAAGCTGCAATGGAGCTTACATACCTCTCAGGAGTTTTCTCATCCAATAGGATCCCGAGGCCTACAATTGGTATCTGCGGCACATCGGAGTTCATGAGGTGCTGGAGGAGAACTTGGTGCATGTTCGTCCTCGTCGTAGTCGTAGGGCATGTTTATTCTCAAGTGTGTAAGTCCAACGGCCGGGGGACGAAATGCTTTAAACGCAAGGCTCTTAGTTAGGCCCTTTTTACAACTCGGTTTAAGCCGCCAGTTGACGACTTCACTAAATTACCGCTTAGAATAACGCTAATATTTGGGGTTAGCTACCTGTTCTATATGAAAGCCGAATATCCCTAAAAACGGCTTATAATAAAAATGTAGCTCTAAGGTGTAGCGACGTCGCTAAGTTACTATCTGTTATTGGACATGAGAATACCGACGCGGTCTCGTCCGAGAGGCGAAGACTTGATAAATGCGGTAGTTATTATCCGATTGGATAAACTAGCCCTGTTGGTTTATACTCCATACTCCATACTCCATATATCTCCGTACAAGAAGATAAAAAAGATTCAATTAGAAGCTGTCGGTAGTGTTGTAAAGGTTGTGGACCCCCCAAAGAGCGGGACCCGATTTGCCAATTCATGGTACTTAATACAGTGTTCATCGCACTTTGTTGGTCTTAAGCAAGCCATTATCTAACAGTTTTGACAGTCTGATAATGGTAGTACTCTCCAATACTACCTACATGTAGGTATCATAGTGGAGGACGCTACTAATTAATATATGAATTAGATATAAGATATAACTATGTATTGGGTATCCCTCAGATGTGATTCCTTGATGTATTGTACTGTCTACCAATGAGGTAGCATTATTATAAATTTTAGGGCTTTCAAAGTCCGTCCTTCATGAGCTTAACGATGGAAAAGCACCGAGTAAATTCTCCATACGAACGCAGAAGACAGTTCGGTAATATCAGATATATGCTTTTCTGCTCATTGGCTTTCCTCTGTTTGATCTCTTTATACTTTGGCCCGTTACTCCGTTCGCAAGTCAGGCATTGCTTGAACAGATCACGCAATAATCAGCCATACTATGATGATCCAGAAAAATGGTGCCCCTTGCCGAATGTCACAATCCCCAAAGACGATGGCCTTGAGCCGAGCGAACATTTTATGAACTCTCGGCAATTACAACTACAGGTCGAACGCCTTTCCGCCGCTGTACGTGTTCCAACCGAGAGCTACGATGATAATGGGGATGTCGACGAGGATCCTCGCTGGGAAACGTTCCAGGACTTACACCAGGTACTGAAACAATTACTTCCGCTTGTGTAAGTGATAATCACTCGTAAATTGAGGCCCACCCTTGTATTCTTATTCTCGGAAATATAGGCACTCGCAACTTGAGCTTCGCAAGGTAAATCGCTACGGTCTTTTATATACATTTAGAGGTGAGGATGCTTCTAAGAAGCCCATTCTATTGACGGCACATCAAGACGTCGTCCCTGCGGGGACTGCTTCTCGTTGGACATATCCGCCATATGAAGGGTATTTTGATGGGTCTTTTATATGGGGCCGAGGGGCGGCTGACTGTAAGAACGTTCTCATCGGTATCCTCTCGGTTATTGAAGATCTACTCTCGCAATCCTTTGTGCCTCGCCGCACTATCGTACTCGCATTTGGTTTTGACGAGGAGACAGGCGGTGTTAGAGGCGCAGCCGCATTAAACCAATCTCTGGTTGAAGAATGGGGCCTGGAATCATTCTTGTTTGTTTTGGACGAAGGTGGCATGGGGATACAGAGTCAAGGGGATGTTCTCTATGCTTATCCTGGCGTAGGGGAGAAAGGGTACTACGATATCCAGCTGACACTCGAGGTCAAGGGCGGCCACAGCTCGAGACCCCCGAAGCATACCGGTATTGGTATTATGGCAGATGCAATCGTAGCACTGGAAAATGAGCCCTATGTTCCCCGTTTAACACGTTCAAACCCGTTTCGCAGGGTATTAGAATGTAGAACGAGATACTCCCCTGGTGCAGTTCAACCATGGTTACGTGATGCACTTCTCAGTGGAGACGAGTACGAAATTGCCGAGAAGCTCGCTGAAGAAGAAACAGAAGAGAAATGGTTGGTTCAAACAAGCCAGGCCATCGATGTCATTAACGGAGGTGTTAAAGTCAATGCTCTGCCCGAGAATGTTGAATTCCAAGTGAATCACCGCGTAGCGCTACATGAATCCAACCAGTACATCGACAATCACATCCGAAGAGTGTTGGACCCTATAATACGGAAATATGAGCTTGACTTTCAGGTTGAAACTCACAACACCTCGCATACAGAGGACTCGGAACTAGAAACCACTTCATCTGGAATCTTAAAGATGAAAACGCTACAGATAATTGATATAGCCCCAATATCAACAACTGATAATGATGTGTGGAATATCTTTAGCGGTACTATACGGAATGTATTTGAGAATACAGAGAGTGGACAGGACAAAATCGTTGTCCCGGCTGGGAATATCATGACGGGAAACACAGACACTCTTCATTATTGGAATCTTACGGACAATATATACAGATTTACCCCATCCCGAAATGGAACCAGGTTAAACCAGCATGGGATCGACGAGCGGATGGGGCTGACTGCTCACTTGGAAGGCATGAGGTTATATTACGGTAAATCACCTGGTGATAGAGAATGTTCTGGATACATATACTAAAATGTTTGACAGATTTGATCCGGAATTTCGATAGCTGGGACGGCGCATGAATCGAGGCCATCAACTTAGATACCTGGCGCTAGAATCTTAGATGAAGAGAAGCGAGATGATCAAACCGATGTTATGTGGATACATGATGATTGGGGGAATAGGAGGCACACCGGCTCGTGCAATCGGCGATTAGTAAATTATTATCTCCTACAACACTTTTCCCAAGTCGAGAAACAGATTTGGGCAGCGAGGACATTATCTAAGTACTACCTACGTCAGATAATGTACTTTCCCTGGTAGCGGCTCTACGCGTGTTGTGATATTGAATTTGCTCGTCTGATGATGCTTATGAACTCTTTTACGTAGATTGCAAAATTTGAGAATGAGGATTCAAACCTGCTATTAGCTAGGTAAGTTAGATTAGACCTAACAAGAAATTCTGCTCTTCATGATGCTTGAGTGAGCACGGGGTAGATACCTATATAAATCATTCCTAGTTCTGCCTGCCAGATAATAGGATAATGCAACCACCTTACTATAGATACTATGCCATAATACATTAGTATCTTTTTTTAATATGGACTGCTTTACCAGATGTATGGTATCTTAGACAATGAATATGCCCGAATGTTGCTTCATAACATCAAGGTAGTCAACCCGGACTCCTTTAGTACTCTGAATTTTGATGACCTGTTCAAGCAGCAAACGGGTCCTGCGAAAATTAGCTCCCCAAATCTCAGCCTCCATAAGTGTCTTAACCACCCAGTCCTGATAAACGACATCCGTAGTCTCGATACCGGCTAAGAACAGAAGACGTGGCCAGATATTCTGTGGTGAGGGTGGGCGCAATCTACCGACTAAGGATGCTAGACGCACGATGTAAATTGCCGCCAGTTCGGCTGGCTTGAGTTTGTTCGGTACACTAACAGATATAGGAGCGGGAACCTTTCTGTGGTAGTTTATCACAACTCCGTAATACGCTGCTAGCAGTAGTAGACAATTGAAACATTTCGTCGTAATTTGACCGGCGAGAGCGCGGCTCGGCTCGTTAATATAAGAAATGATTGGTGCAACCGAAGGATCGCGATCAAACCGTTCGCGGAGGGTAATAAGTCCGGATTGTACATTAGACCACATTGCAACTGGCGCGGGGCCCGTCCTGCGATGTAAGTGGACAATCCGGCTATCCAAAAAGTCGAGCTCTAGGGATAAGCGGAGAGAAGGTTTTAAATCTTCCGTACTGGCAGGCAAGTTTGGAAACGCGGCGTCTATGAAATTGTATTCCGCACAGAATGACTCGAGATTCTCCAAGAGACGTCCTGTGCCTCCGATCCAGGCCCCCCGAGCATCGTATGCACCTAGCCAGACTAGCATGCGAGAGCCGACGTATCCAAGTGGCGTCGCCTCTCCGCCGGCTTTTAAGTGGCGACGGTGAGCGTCAACAAGATCTGCAATAAATTCCAGGTGCTGGCAGTAACCACTAATATCCCGTGCCGCAAGGAGTTCGAACTGGAGAGCAAACCAGATAGTAACAATAGAACGTTCAAAATTGATAGCGACAGTTTGGTCTCGATGCAGCATTGTGATGGCAAGTGAGTATCGCTCTTCTGCCTTCCGAACTAGGTCAGGCTCGGGCCTCGTTTGGCCAAGATGCAAGGCTGTCCACGCCAATATAGTATTGAATAATGGTGCATAGAATAGCGCCATGTTACTGAAAATGTGGCTATAGAGGTTCTCCTCGCCTGTGCTACGTATCTTGGAGAAGCCAGTCATAACATTCAAGAAATGTTGGATGAGTCTGTGGTCATCAGGACGGATAACAACAGTAGCGTCCTGATTACTTGAAACAGGTCCCGGGATTTCAACCTGACATGGCTCTGATTCCGACTCAGACGATAGCATTGGATTTCCTGGAGTATGTGGGGATAGCCACTCTTCGCCGAGTAGATCGAAGTTCATATTAAGATCAAAGAAGGCCGGTATGTAACCGGGGTTCAATTGGGTTTGGGCTTCGTAAACATCCAACTGTGAGATGGTGTTGGTATTAACCATACCGGGTTCTGGAACCACCTTGGGCTCGGCGCCATGCTGAGGAGGCGGGCCTCCGGGCGAGGCCTGAACGGGAGAGTGATGCGGCACGGTGGAATTGTCCGGCCCATTTCCGCTACAGCTCGGTTCTACATTGCCCCTTGTATTTTCCTTGAGAGGCTTTTGTTTGAGCTTGGCTTCAGGGGCAATACGTGGCTGAGATGAGTCAGATGAAGTAGTTTTGTCATCTGCACGCGATCTCGTGTAGCGAGAATTAACGAAGCGCACGCGATAGCGAAGCGTTTCTGAAGAATTTGTACGATTAGGCTCATAAGAGCAAGTTAAAGATAAACGCGTACATGCGTTGCAAATAGGTTTCGTCTCATCGCACCGTACTTTGCGACGACGGCAGGAGGAACAACCTGTCTTGGACCTCGCTGGCCGAGTTCGATTCATGTTTGTTGTGAGATTGGAAGACTAACTTTGACTAATTGATGGGTTTGGATCCATACTACACATTAGGGGCGGAGGGTAGAAAGACCCTGAAGGAACCAACGGGATGTGGATCAGATCCACTTTGCGGGGCTTCGGTATTGCTCTTACTTATCTGAGCAATTTCCTATCAAAGTTGGCGAAGAACGAACGACATCTTGAGAAACTTCGCAAGCTCTTACCACGCGATACCTAGTAGGTAGTTATACCCTAGTAAGTCTAGTACCTAAAAGGCCTAGACTGTTAGGAAGTAGGTACCCAATCGCCTTGATAGGTAATTTGCTAATGAGGAATCAATGCAAGCAATACACTATCAGACTATACCTACCCTGTGCTATTGCCCTGTACGAAATTTTGTATACAGATAGAGAGATAACTAACCAACAAGTCAAACTAAAACTTCCTTTACCCACCCGACCTTATCCTAGTTTCAACATCAACTTCTCCCGCTTGGTTTCTTTTAGCGGCAGTATAGAGATAAGGCGTAAGATCGTCGTGAAAGGTAGCTTTATAAGGCGATGACAAGTAGGCTGTCTTGACAATTAATCCGACTGTTGTCGCTTCGTTTTACTTCATTCTCTGGTGTTCAATAGACCGTGTCTCTAAGCACGCGCCCGGACAGTACAGAAATATCCAAAATGGAGAAGAACCCGGATAGGACCACAGCCGAGTCGGTACGCGATGGGAGACCAGATGATGTCGACAACGCGTACGAGTTTGCAAAGGAGCATGCCGTCGGCCCCTTGAGTGACGAGGACAATAAACACATCTTACGCAAGATCGATCATCATCTGTTACCCTTGGTATATATACCTATACATGAAGACCTCGTCGATATAGTCGCATTGACCAATTGCTAACGATATCTGGCAGATGATCATCACCTATACTCTAAACTTTATGGACAAGAATGCCCTCTCTTATTCGGCCAATTTTGGCCTCATCACTGACAACGTGCGTTTTTAATGTGGCTCTTAGCCTCTCATCCGTAAAGCGACTAAGTTTTACTGCTTTAGAAACTAGTAGGAAATCAATACAGCTGGGCCTCCGGATCCATTTTCTATCTTACGTACATGGTCTCCCAGCCTTTTGTCGCCCGCCTGATTGTCCGATTCCCTATCGGCCGCTTCGTCGCCGTTGCTACCACACTTTGGGGTGCTGTGTTGATGACCACAGCGGCGTCGCGTTCTTTCGCTAGCTTAATGGTCATCCGTGCTATCCTAGGTTGTCTCGAATCTTGCATCAATCCCGCCTTTATTGTTATATCATCTCAATGGTGGACGCGCGACGAGCAACCATTACGAATTTCGTACTGGTATCTCGGTAATTCGATCGGCCAGGTCTGCGGTGGACTTCTCGGTTATGGTATTGCTCATATAACGAACCACAATGTCCCGAACTGGGGCTGGTTCTTCCTGATTTTCGGTGCCATCACCATCCTCTACGGCATCTTCCTGTTTTACTACCTCCCTGATTCACCATTAAATGCTCGTTGGCTTTCAGATCATGACCGCGCCTTGGCCATCGAGCGTGTTCGGAGCAACCGTACTGGAGTTGAGAATCATGTATGGAAGTGGTCACAGGTCAAGGAATGCGTAACGGATGTACAATGCTGGCTTCTTGTAGCAACCTTTTTCCTCGACGATATTCCCGCCGGCGGAGTTGGTTCATTTGGTAGCATAGTAGTCAAGGGGTTTGGTTATGACGCTCTCTACTCAACTCTTCTTCTAGTACCCTTGGGTGTGATCCAAGCCATATGTATCCTCTTCGGGGGGTTCATGACCAAGCGCTTCAAAAACATCCGAACTTGGCTTATCGCCGGTATGTGTTTCTCGAACCTCCTCCCCCCCAGGTTATCTTCACTCATCTCCTTTTCGCTGACCGTATATTTAGGTTGCCAAATCCCGGCGCTAATCGGAGCTGTTCTGCTCTACACTCTGCCTCGGGAAAATTCGCGTGGGCTACTCGGCTCGTACTATATTGTACAAACGCATGGTATAGTCGGAACACTCACCATGTCGTTGGTATCTAGTAATTTCGCCGGGTATACAAAGAAAGCTACCGCATCCACGATGATGTACGTGGCCTTCTGCGTTGGACAGGTCGTTGCTCCTCAGCTTTTTCTCCCAAGAGAGGCTCCAGCATACAAAACCGCCTTTCTCGCTGCTTTTATATGTTTTGCTCTTTGCATCGTGTTCACCATTGTTCTACGATTCTACCTTATTGTGGAAAATAAGAGACGAGACGAGCTTCACTTGTCAGAAGGCGAGCTTAGCAACACGGACAACGAATTCCTCGACCTAACGGATAAGCAGCAAGAGGCTATCTTTCGTTATGTTCTCTAGGAAATGGAATTCGCTACAGACATGATCTACAGGAAGACGGGTAACATTTTTGCGTGCCTCGTGTTTGGTAAGAAGGACGCATCTATGCGTATTATGAAGTTATAATACCTACCTAATCTACAGCGGAGATATAATAGGTGAGGTGTTACTAGTGGGAATTTCTAAGCAATCTTTGATTTAATTGGAGGAATGAATATATATTATCTATTACGAGTTTTAACGTGGAAGAGAAGAGAAGGGGAAAGGAAATGGAGGCTTTTTGTTTGCAAATATGAGTAGCATGATGAACTTACCAACATATTACATATTCCCACCCACATAGCAAAGTTATCTCTATATGTCTATGTAGAACTTGTAATATTCATGACACAATAATCTTAGAATTATTGCTATCTCGCAGTTGTTGGTTGCACTGCATAATGTTTTATCTACTACATGTATGTAATACGTTGATGGCTAAAACTAAGCCTTGCTAATTCATGGGCTAACATTATTAGGCGCGGGGTTCCCCGGACTACCAAAGCAGCGGAAATATTAGAGGTACTTAGGACCTCAAGATAGGAAGGGTTCTAGGATGTAAACCATGCACACGTGGTTTGACGCCGTTTAGAACCGGGCTGTTCAAGTGGTCTCTTAGATTGTTACGTATTGTGTACTAGTGTATATAGCGCACGTACAGTTCCGTAGTCGCGGGTCCGTACTCCACAATTGTGGTTTAAGTGCGATGCGCACTGTAACAAGTATCTATAACAAGTATTTAAGATCGGCAATCACGACATTTACGACGAACGTTATTCCCGGACTTCGACCAATCTCTCGGCTTGTCAGTTTCCTAATGGGTACTTAATAACTAAGGGGGACTTTATTCTATTGATACGCTCTATTGATACGACAATGGCCTACAGGTGGATATATGATGAGAATATAATTGTCTTGGCAATTAGATATTGGCTTTACTTGTTGAAGATTGTGTAAATCAGACCGTTGAATATTATAAATGAAAACTTCATTGTTGTTAAGCTGAACATGAAACTCCTATGAATGATACGATAACTACTACTAAAACATGGAAAAGAAGAGATGGCAAGGACGGTCTCGTCGCCGGAACCGGCATCATAACGAAGGAATAGCTTCTCTCGGTACCAAGAGTAACGTTATTTTGACTATTATTTTAACTGCTGTTACTGCGTACTTTCTTTCAACCCAGTGGCATACATATCTACATCCAGAGCATCCTAGCATCACATATCAAATTAACCCGGCAGACCTAAAATACGGCCTTACACAATGTACTCTAAACAAGCAACGTCCAGTCATAGACAGGAATCTAGCATCTTCTCGTCTAGAAACCCAACCTGTGGGCACTCGTATTATTCTACATAACGCAACACTTGTTGATGGCGATGGCGCTGTTACTCAAGACTGCATTATCGAAATGCAAGGTGGGATATTTACAAAGGTCTCAAAAGCTGCACTGGGTTTTCCGGAACCAGCTTCTCCCAACGATAAAGTTATTGACTTACAAGGTCGAATTGTAACGCCGGGACTTATAGAGATGCACTCCCATGCCGGCGTTCGGGAGACACCCCAGCTATGGGCCACCGAAGACGTTACTGAGATATCGTCTCCGGTAACACCTTGGGCCCGTGCAGTCGATGCCTTGAAGCCTCATGACCAGGCTATACCGGTTATCGCTAGCGGCGGTGTGACGAGCTCGTTAGTATTAACGGGAGCAAAAAACTTGATCTCGGGGGAAGGCGTTCTCATTAAGATGAAGCGAGCGAACTCGGTCAGTGAGCTTCTCATTAATACGACGGAAAGCGGCGGCAAGCCGCAGAGATATCTCAAGATGGCTATGGGCGAAAACCAAAAGAGGCAGTTTCAATACGTGCCGGGAGGGCCGTCGACGAGGTTGGGGGAATCGTATTGGTTTCGAAAGGCCTATGATAACGCACGGCGGGTAAAACAAGAACAAGATCGGTGGTGTGAAGCTGCCTCGACGGCGAAGGGGCTGGCGTCGATAGCGCATGAATACCCTCTCTCGCTTGAATGGCAGACCCTAGTCGACGTCTTACGCGGGGATGTACGTGTAAATGTGCACGGCTACGAGACCGAAGACATGCTAGCTATGTTCGACCACGCCGATGAGTTTGGGTTCAACATTACGGCGCTGCATCATGCGCTCCATACTAATTTAATTATGGACCAGCTTAGAGATAGAGGCATAGCCGTCGCCGGCTTTTCGGATTCTTGGGGCGACAAAAAGGAGCTCTACAACGTTAGTTCTCGTCTTCCGGCAATGATAGCTGAACATGGCATCCCCCTTGCTCTCACTCGGGACCACCCGGCGGAACACGGCCAATGGTTATTGTATGAGGCCCAGATCGCGCATCATTTTGGCCTCAGTACGGAGAGTGCCATTTCATCTGTCATCTCGGTGCCAGCTCGCCTTCTAGGTCTCGACAACAGGTAAGTACAAAGGCATGTTCATGTAGGCATCATAGCATTATATTTACCCATCTAATCGAATTATTTGATATTAACGATATTTGTAGGCTTGGATTTGTCAGGCCAGGCTACGACGGCGACTTAGTAGTATGGAACCGTCATCCCTTACAGGTGGGTGCTACACCCCTCGAAGTGTATATCGATGGAAATAGTGTTGTTCGGGCCTCGGATAGTTTGTGGAAGACTTCGGAATCTATACCGGGTTTCAAAGAAGTCCCTATATCACGACCTAGTGATACACCTAAGAATGCATGCATACCAGGCCAATCTGACATTATCATCCGTGGCTTAAGAACAAGTTTCGTTAATGAAGATGGACTGCGGAATGAACATCCCGAGACAGGGAATTTGACCGTTGTTGTGCGCGCCGGTCGTGTCGTTTGTGTTGGCGAAAGAAAATGCGATACTGCAGCAAGACAGGCCATAAAAGATCAAGTTCCCTTGGTAGAGGTTCGAGATGGATACATACTTCCCGTAGGTCAAACCCATCTCTGAATTCAGTTTCAAGAGTCTAACCGAAAGTTAGGGTCTTACGATTGTCACGCGACAGCACGGCCTAACTGAAATGCGTCAAGAACCATCAACATCCGATGGTGCTTCAACAGGCGAGGAATACGAGAGACCTCCCTCGAGCCGGTTCGGTATTAAATTTGACGGCATACATCTCGAGAGGTCTCATCGGAGCGGCGTAACTCGAATTGTAACGCCACCGTTGACAAATGGCTTCTTCCATGGGATTAGCACTTTATTCCGATCAGGGGCGAAAAGCGGTATGTATATCCATTTCTTATTTTAGTTCTAACTGTTAGACAACAAGGCAGTCGAAGACGATGTTATTAGGTTGTAAATTACTAATTGCTCTCAGTCCTTGAAGATGGCGCTATTATCGAGCCTAACGCTGCTCTACATTTCACAATTGGACATGAGGCTAAATGTAAGTCTTTGCCGTTTCCCCTTTCCTTCGTCCGTTGTTCATGGAAGCTAAGATGACCATAAAAAATAGCATTTCGAACACCTTCTATAACTTCTCAAATAAGTAGGCTGCGCGACCTCCTTACGATAGACAAACATCTCCATCCTATTTACGACAGCGCAGCGAAGGGCGATATTGCCGTGGTTATCCATACAAATAACAAAGATGTCATTGCACACGTGGTAGCTCTGAAAAAGGAGACGGGTGCTCATATCGTCATAATGGGAGGATCAGAGTCACATCTCCTAGCTACTGAGCTTGCAGAAGCCGACGTACCAGTTATTGTAGCACCGTTTTGGGGGTGTGAGCCTCTCTTCTGGGATGCTCGTAACTGCTTACCAGGCCCTCCCCTAACAGACCGTTTAGGACCGCAGGTGTTAATAGATGCAGGCGTTAAGGTCGGTATCTCTAATTGGGATGATACTAATAATCATATTCGTAATAGCATCTGGGAAGCCAGTTGGGTTGCAGGCCCAGGAAATCGGAGTTTAGCGTTGGACCTTGTGTCTAAGAATATCGAGGATATTCTGAGGCTTCCGCGTAGTAGGGATTTTGTGATATATGAAGGAGACCCGTTTGAGTTTGGGGCGCGTGTCGCCCTGATCTTTGAGGAAGGTAAAGTTCAGAGATGCTATCCAGACGTTGACTAGGTTTAGTATTAGAAGTATTCCGTACTACGTAGATAATACCTAATACCTAATATAAAATAAAACATGCATATTCTGTGGTTCTGTAGCCTTGGGGGTACCTAACATAGGTACTCAACATGTGTACCGCTGGAGTTAACGGACCTAGACTGTGTTTCTAGGTTAAAGATACTGTACCTGGAGTCGAATAAATTTCATATCGGCCCTTCCGAGGGTCGGACGCTGGAATTAAGCGATCGGGGAGTTGGCTTCCCGTTTCGGGTGCACCGGCGGTACGAGCCGCACGAACCATGGATATCGGATGGAGCACCGCTACGACAAAAAATTCACACGTGTCAGACTAATACAAGGCTTTAAGGAAACTAGATGCTGATGTGTTTGACAACTAACAAGTTCTGGTTTCTATTGGGAAAGTTACTCGGGAGTTGCTGTTGATAATCGGTTTGGCTCGTAATGCTGAACGAATCGCGTCCTTCGTTCCAAGTACGTCGTAACATAATCCTACCGCGAATGACCTACGTTAAGACGTTTCGAATTTACATAATATGTTCCTGCAATAAATGTAAGCATATTAACCGAGATGGATATTGTATCTCTATAGCATCTCTAACTCCTAACAAACCCCGATGGAGTGACTTCTACTCTCATTGCTTCCCCGTGTACTTGCATTTCCAGCCATGTTCTTTATAGTTCTAGCCAGCTAACGTACTTCACAAGTATAGGTTATGTCTAGTGCCCAATTGTAACAAAATTCAATAAACTTCTCGCGTCCCGAACAAGTCGAACACCGATAGCCTCAAAATTAGAAATGCGTAGATTTGACCGCCAAGTCTGTTTCCGTCCCTACCTCGATGATTATCTCTATCAACCTAAAGAAACCCCTGCGTGATAGGGACAAAATAGCCGAGCCTTAGGTTTGCATTTGCAACCGAATATGAATACTATCCTTAGCCTATCCTTCGAGTGCTAGAGAAAGCAGAATATAGAGTCCCTCTTCCGACAGTGTCGTATTCCTCTATTCCGTCGTGCCGTTAGATGACTATTGGGTCAGTACACCGTGAGAGCAAGACTCGATAATTACAGCAATATATCCTGGCCAACCGTAAGCGTCGTGACTCGATTTACCCTTCTTCGATCATCGATACAATTACATTGATCATCTTAATATCTAAAGGCATATCAACCCTTGGGAAAAAACACGGCGCGCGTTACTACGAAAATAATATTAGACGCCAGGCAGTGTAAAAAACATTCGTGAATTAAATCTACGGAGTTTCCTAATACTAGGTAATCGAGGAGAGCTACCAATGTATGGCAGACTCTTCCTTCGTAGAAACTAGAAGACAAATTGCAATTCAATAGCATCGCGGTTTTTTCCTACAAGTAGCCAATTATTACAAGACCATTACATCCTCAACCGCAGATAGCAACGCGTTCCAAATGCAAATACTGCGACTCCGATCCTCCTATCTTAACCAGTCCATTCTCGCATGTCGTTAATGCAATTTTGCACACGCGTTTATTTCTCCAGCTGCGTGTTGAGATTCTCTTGGCCTCCGCTGAGGCGTGACGATCGTCGGGTAGGAATAGAGGTACGTCTTTGGGCGTTCTTTCGCGAAGACGGGGTTTCGGCCTGGGGTTGAGCTTGAGGAGCGGTAAACGATGAGGCTCTATTGGCGATAGACAGGCTAGAGGCTGTAGCAGACTGTTCGTCATAGGGTTTGTTTGAGGCGGCAACCTTCTTGTTTTTCTTAGTAGGGCGTCCTCGTGGTCGTCGTCCGGCTTGGGGCTTAGCTGGGTACTGTGCCTGAGCCTGAGCTTGAGTCTGAGTCTGGGTTTGAGCCTGAACTTGGGAATTTCCGGCTGATGTTCGTCGAGTGTTGAAACTCAAGCTTCGATTTGTGTCAGGTTGTTCTTTGGGTGTGGCGGGTGTGGCGACCTTCTTCTTGGTCAAGACAATACGTATTGGGCGTTTCTTCTGAACCGCCGGTTGAGCCTGTTCTTCATCCTGACGCTGCGTAAGCGCCTCTTCTTGAGTTGTAGCATCTGGAGGAGGCACCGTGTTAGATGTCTGCAACGCTACGCTTCTAACTAGACTTGCAGCGTTTTCTGTGGTAACCCCAGAGAATCTAGGCTGTTTCTGAGCCATGGGTTGGGCCTTTAATCGGGCCTTTAGCTGAGCCTTATTTTCATACCTGATTTTGGGTTTAGGCTGGGCTTGAAGCTGAGGCTCGATTAAGGGTGTAAGTCCAACTATCTGCGTGTTTTCTACTCCCTGAGTCTCTGGAGTTGCTGGCAGATCTAGTGGATGGACATTGGGCCCGATCTTTGGTCTTTTCTGCGGTAACTCCTCGATCGCGTCTTGAGGCTGCTTTCGCTTTCGATCCTGTAATGTCCCCATTAGTGCTGATGTAGCGGTATTTGAAGGACTATATAAACTGTTCTCATTATTCTCCTCCTCGATCTCTATATTATTCTGAGCCGGGTATAGAGTGGCATCATTGGGAGTAGGAGAATTTGCGACGGCTTGTTTCGATGCGGTGTCAACGGCGTAGATCGGGGTGGATTTGATTGTAAATAAGTGACGGGGATCCGGATTTCTCAGGGCCTTGGTTAAGTCATACTCTCCATCCTCGCAACTTATTCCTAACCCACCGTTCCGTATCGACAATCGATGGAGGCCCGTTCCGACTGTTCGGGGGAGCATTTTCCCATCACGGAACACAACCACAGACTCTTTGAAATTAATCCAGGCTATGTCACTTTTCGCTAGATTTACCCTTCTGTAGTTATCAGCATGGACGGCGTGTTCGGGTGGTATAACTATATACTCCCCACCACGACCGGGCGAGCTCTCTCCATCGCTCTCCCCCATTCGAGGTGTATCGAAGTTCATCTTATAACCACTTGGGGATATAACTGAGTAACCTGCTGGTAAATAGAAGTGTAGGAGTCCCTTATGTCCCTTCTGATGCAATTCTCTCGCCACCTCATCTTCAGTTCCGGGTAAAAGATACTTGGCATCTTTCCGAGGCTGTAGTAGTAGCTTAGGATGTAAGGAAATGGAACTGGTATTGTTGTCTAGGAAGCTGGGCAGGATGAGGTTATCCTCTAATGCTCTTTCTACGACTCGAGTACGGTATGAGATCATATTATCAAAGAAGCTTGCATTTGAGTGAGTGGGTAGTCGAGGATCGGAACTCTCTGTCGAGTAAGGTCTCGAAGATTGGCGCGTTCCCTCGTGGCCAAGATGCGTTGAACTCTGGCTGATCGGAAATTCAGCTGTTGGAGGCATTGGATGCTTTGGAGCATTGTCACATATGATGAACTGGTGTAACTCAGAGAATGCTGGAAGGGGTGGGTTGACTATGGTGTACTTGCCGCCTTCAAGGAGTTTCTTTATGCCATCGGGACTAACCACGACAACTCCAGCAGGCAATCGAAAAGACTCGATCGTTGAAAAGAACTTCCAAGTATCAGGGAAGGCTGCTTTCATGATATTGACGGAAATAGCGATCGATTCTGTTGAGAGAGACAAGAAGCGTTTGGCGGTTGAGTTCTGAAATCCTCTAGCTTGTGAATCCTGATGCTGATGAGGCAAGAACTCGACAGTTGGTTCTTCATACTCCAGTGGTTCTGGGAGAAGTTCAAAGTTCAGGTCGTTAAAATTAATACTCAACGGCCAGCTATCGATACGTCTTGCATATTCTTCAAAGCATTCCACATACCTCTCGAGCCCTCTGGAGCGAAGGTACTTGCATCCATAAGCAATTGATTCTTCTTTCAATGTATAAGATGCGGGCTCCGAGTTACTACGCCTTCCGAGGAATTCTCTAACTTCATTGCTAAATAGCTCAAGCGTATTGCAGGCCTTTTGGAATGATCCAAGGCTATCAGATAGCACCCTTAGAATAACCTCCTTTACGGGGAACTCGATGAGTGACCAGTAGGGCGTAGATGAGAGTGGGAAGAATATAGTCTTTGTTGGTACCAGAGCCTCAAGCGTAGATAGGTTCACAGATAAAGGTTGACTGGGGAGGCTTTCATCGAGGGTCAGGTTGCTAAAGTTGTGTGAGTCTAGAATAGGGATGTTCGAAGTGTTATCCTCGGGGATATAAGATTGAGGTATGCTCTGCCATGGGTGTTCTTCTGCAGCCCAGCCAGCGTGGCCATCCTCTATAGGTATTGTTTGCGAATCCATGGAGCTTCCTTTTAGAAATGTGTTACCATCAAGGTAAAAATATTAAGCTCGCCTAGAAGCAATATTGAAGAAGTTATTTTAGTGTGCTTTGTATCCCGTGTGACATGCGACAACAGTTGCAGATAAGAAAAGAAATTTAATGAATAATGTAACTAGAGATCTGGAAGGTGCAGGTTGTCTAAAGGAAAGCTGGAGCCTGTGTGTTGTGGATGATGAGATACAATGCCAACTGGTCACCTAGGAGATATTTTGGTATGGGAAGGAAGGCTTTGCCAATATCTTGGAGTGGGCAATATGGCTGGGTATCTCTTGTAATTGCTAGTGAAAAGGCAGCTATGGGAGACCCGTAGAATTCTGAGGGATATGGGCAAACAGTCACTCTGGTTGTCTCGAGAAACTTCAGAAGGAAGAGTTGGACGGAGTGGGTATCCTAGGCAACCTCAGTAATAGCATGTGCATGAAAGGTGAAGTCGTAGAGTATTATCGATTAACTACGTGATGCCTAACTAATTCACGTTAGAAGATCCGTATCTATCCCTATTCCTCAAGCGCTGTAGCTCTATCACTGATGATTGAACGGTAGTATCGCCTATATCCTAGGTAGGTCCTTGCTAAGCATTTTCCAGATAAGCATATAACCTGGAAAAGACATCTAAGGATACATGACACTACTGAAGCACTTATACCATGAATTCTTAATGTGATTATATTAACATTACTAAATTATGAATTTGTATTTTTGTTCTCTGTGCAAGGGCCATTTCTAGATCTAAATAAGGGGGATATGACCTTTGGTCTCATTATCATATCACTATCTTGTTATCCAGTTGTGTACGTAGCATTCCGACTGCCTATGTATCTATGTTGCAATTTACACAAAATTGTTAATAATATGAAGCAATTGCTAGTTATCATATCTGTCTAGAATTTGGACATTAGGCAGACTCTTTCAGAAGCACCCCAGAGCCATTAACTGTGATTCTGTAGAGACTCCCGACTTAAGGGTCTATCTTCGAACGTAACCGAATATAACGAATAGTTAGTACGGCTTCTACTCTAAATGATACATTGGATACTTTCGGCACCCTCCTGCTTTGACAAGCGCCATTGAATTATGCTCTGTTAGGAGGTGGGACTGGAAGGCATGGAAAGAACTTGGTTGTTCTGCAAGGAACTCCAAATCAGGTCCTTAAAATAGAAGTTTGTGGTTATAAATGCTGAAGGCATCCTTTGTTCTAGACGTCTGTCTCACCTAGAATCCTAACAGCTTCACCATGCTGCTGAATTGATAGCTGACATACGGCTCCACGATGATATTCATTATTTGACACCCTTGACAGAGAGGGTGCTATAATATTTTGTTAATGATTATGTGTTATTATCGAGAAACGTTCTTGGGATACGGTACTGTGGGTATTCAATTACGTGATATCTTAATATTAAATATGAAATCATTCCTTTGACTTGGAGCTTGTATTCATCCACCAAAAGGTGTGGGAGAAATGCGAACGATTTAGGAGTTGGTGGGGAATGCCTTGTAAGATCCAACGGAAAGCTAACTTATACTTTAGGTACTTAGGTAAGTTTGGCACCTGCACATCGCTGCAATGGTAGACAGACACATTTAATAAGCGAAGCCGAGAATTGCGAGATATTTTCGTGATAATAATGGTGTCTTAGTGACTCTGTTGTGATCATAACGCATCAATACCTTTTGTACCACTGCTTCGCCTATGTAACTACTAACCGTGAAACGTCCGAAAAAAAGTAGTATGGGTATAAGCCATCCAGTACGCCATTGCTAATTCCCATAACTTGAAGCTAACCATGTCACCTGCTTCCCCCCAACCTGATGCTTGATGTATGCTCCTATGAAATCAATAAAGTAACCTGTGCAATATGGCTGGTCTAAGACCATACTAGCTGGACCATACTAACTGGATTCTTCTTCCATGTCTTCATCCACCATGTCAACGAATGGAACAAACTTTTCGCGGTCCAAAAAGCGATCATGATCTAGTGCTGTAGAGTCTCCAGATTCGCCCATCTCATCTTCGTCGAACGTATCTTCGATGCCTCTCTTCGGCTTGTGTATATTGCTTGAGGCGCCGATTGTCTGTGTTGAACGATTGTCAAGCTCATATCTGTGCACGGTACGCTGTGCGGAAAGTAGATCCTCATACGATTTGAGAACGAACCTAAGATCATCGTTTAAGCTGACGCAGAAGCGCTTGAAGTGGACAAACTGGCAAGATTCTATCAGACTCATACCAAACACAGACATGAGGTAGGCCACGGCAACACTAGCAGAACGATCGTTTCCTGTTTCGCAGAAAACTAAAACTTTTCCTCTTTGGAATTTGTCATGGGGAATCACCATCTTTCCATCATCAACTTGCATTTGTGTGTTGCTGATACGTTGTCCACGGAAAACATCTAGCATGTGGTTATTGATGGTTTGAACGGCTGAGGGAAAGGCGCGAATGAGCTCATTATAGCCAGAAACATCAACGCATTCAAGCTGAATGCCAAGTTCTTGTGCCACCTTACTGGGTGCCATTAGGTGCACCATGGCCATCTGAGAATCTCGTGCGGCTAGTAGCATTGTGATACCTGTGTCAAGTAACCACTGGCGATCTCGAGCGATGCTCGAGGGACCGAGGTAGAGGAAGTCGAGGATGGGTTGTGCGACACGACGGTTCTCATATGCCCAATTAAGAGCTGAGTCTTGAGCTATCTGCTCTTTATAGTTTTGGGTAATGATCTTAAGGTCATCGGGGCTAAGTGAAGCCGGATCGACCTTTTCGTAAGTTGGCACGATTTTGATATGCTCACTCGCACAATGTAGAGTGGGGGCGGGTATCACGATAGAAGGAGGACTAGGAGGACGCATAGAGTAAGGCGCTGCCGGAATGGCACCATGCCGGTGAGAAATTGGAGGGTCCATGTAAGCTATTTTCAACTGGACATATTCTTGCTCTGTGGGTTCAAAAACGACTTTGATTGAGCTACTCGAGATTCTCGAGCCTCAGATACAATACGTATATGTGAAGGATAGTGAGTTTGATCTTTGGATAGTTAAATAATAATAACTGATCGTCGCAAAAAAAAAAAAAAGAATCTTATTTTTGGCGGGGAGATGAGTGGGAATAGATTGGCACACGATGTTGACAATAAAATGCAAAGTGTGAATGCATGCGAACGCGGCTGATGTGACGGAATAAATTAAAGATAGGAGAAAGCAACTTACGCCTCAGGGGATTATGCATCTGCACCGGCACCACCTGCATCTAGGCATCTAAATCATATATGGGATGAGGGGCAGATGTACTTAATCTGCCTTATGAGGTAGGTACATACCTACTTGTTTGCTTCTAAGATGCATGTACCCAAGATACATTGGGTACATTCATGTCGCACCTGCCATCATGTACACCGTCTTCAATACTAAAAGAAAGTTGATTAAATTCATTAACTACCTGTAACCTCGTCTTTTTCAGACAATCTTTAGAACTCATTGGAACCTACGTTTATTTAAATTGTTCTAAATATGCAGATCAAGATAAACAATCAAGAAAGTTTAAAAGTGGATACGTTCGTTCTCATATATTCTCGTATATTATATCTTAAAGTACGCCAGACAGGCAGGATTCGTACAAATTAGAGCCATTAGAACCACTAAACCACAGCCGACGAGCAAGTAAATATAACTATTGGCCTTTCGATAATCGCTATGGAGCCTCACTAGTACCAATACTACTTTCCCTAGCAAGCGGCGAAGTAAATTCCGGTGTGACGGATCGCGACTCGACGCCTGGCCTCTTCGGTCTGGAGCTAGTTGAAAGGTGCTTCTTTCGTCTCTTTTCAGAAGTAATCGAGTTCATGCTGCCTCTCCTACTACGGCTACCTTCCTCCGATTCCACCGGCGGTGTAGGACTTCGCGTTGATCCAGCCGAGTTACTAGCTCTTCGAAAACTACCGCTCCTAGTACGCTTGTTCTCTTTTGATAGACCGGAATGTCGATGATGTATGCTTTTCTCTGCATCACCTACCCCGGAGCCATGTAAATGTGCCTTATCCTCTGCCTTCGGGCCTCCTGGTAGCCACCACAACCAACCGTTTTGCTCCTTTGCTAGCTGCCTTTCACGGGCCTTTAGTTTAGTTCTTAATAGCGCTCGGCGTTCGTTCTCCCTCTCCCAGTACTCGCTTCTGAAAAGTTCCCAATTTTCCCGGAAGTGAGGTGAGAAAGGCTTAGGCCATAGTAGAAGCTTGACGTAGTCTCCCCCAGGCGATAGATCCTCCTCGTGGCCTCCTCTCTCTTCGTCTGTACTGACGAACGGGAGTGGAGGGTGGTCATGCCGGCCGAGATTTAGTTCTCGATCAACTTCGCGTAATATCGAAGGTTCCACAAAATGATACTGACCAGCCCTGCTAGAGAATGCGCCGTAGGTGAAGAAGAAACCTATGAGCGACACGAGCTCAACCCACCAAGATCTTTTGATCACAACCAATTTGCAGTTGAATCCGCGCAAGCCTCTATTGCATATGCTAAACCAGCGCCGCGGCCACCTAATACCACGCTCCCATATACCAGTCGCCCAGACGAGTATACCGGTGACTATTCCACTTATGAAGCACACCTTCTCTGTCATATCCACGACCCAATATACTGAGCCGCCAACGCCGCTACCGTCTTCTCGGGGTGCGAAGAATAGAGCATATCCAAATCCCGCTAACCACAGACACAGAAGGCTAAGAAAGAAGGTGTGTTTTCGTCGACGGGCACGGAGTTCGAGGTACTGGGAGCGTAGCGAAGCCTCTAGTATCAGCATGTTGAGGTAGATCATAGAAGGCGAACTTGGCGTGTGCTTTAAAGGATCGCCGGGTTTTTCTACACCGATAGGGCTCGTGCCCATTGGCGGGGATTTCATGTCCTGGCCGAGTTGAGGGGCTCCCTTGACGATGGAGTCGATAGTGTCGGCCATAGTTTTTGTGTCGGTCGTGATCGTGATGGCTACGATACGAATCAAAGGAGGTAGCTCGGGACGTAGGCCCGCATCGACGTGATTAGAAGATTATCGGCGCATGTAGGAGTGCAAATTTTAATTATCGTAATCTCGTAAATTAATAGTGAGAATTTAGATTCATTCAGGTTGTCGTAAGTTGTCGTAATTACATAGGTATACTGTAGAATTTGCGGTTTCTAGAGTGCCGTCATCTTTTTTATTAATATTTTTTTTTTGTTGACGTACAAAGTAGTAGTTGTTGTAGCAGGTGCTAGTAGTACCTCCTAGCGTTGTGATGGGTTATCCCCCCACAGGGACAGCTGATATGTATTGATAACAGCTGAAGCTTTAGGGTATGTGGTCATAGCTCTGTCCCGAGGACCTAATCCCTGCCATCCACCTGGTGCGGGGTTCTCGTGATAATGCTTCTATTAACATATCACCTAATCGTAAGAGGTATGTAACCTACCTAGATATTTTTATTTATACTTACCAGGTCGTCTACAAGGTATATATTAGATATATCGATATTGAATATAAATTTAGGAAACGAGTGGCTCATTTGTGATCAGACATTTAAAGCACAGAATAATTATATCCAATTCGAGGCTTTGGGCAGATTTATCTCCTAAACATCTCTCCGAACAGTACCTAACCCAACATACGTAGCTCCGCAGAATCAGCCCACATGATCTCTGTAAACAGGAGCTTGGTGCAGCACATGCAGGACTCTTAACTCATATCGAAATAGTCTCCGTCCTACATCCCGCGGACACATAGGCGCTGACGTATCCTGGTGACGATCTTGAGAAGAAAACGCCTAGTTTATATTGTTGTACTGCACGCTACAATGAACATCAGTCGATAATCTGTTTTCTAGGGCTTCTTACGTTTTTTTTCTGCTCGTGGGGCACACAAGAATGAAGCATACTTAAACTCGACCGACCCGCTGTTAGTTGAGGTGATTTTGTCTTTCAAATACTAATATTTGAACATCCCGAAGATCGATCGATAAAGCCCGCTATACTTTTCTTTACAATACCTAGCTATTATGGATCCAAGCAAATCTTCTTCATATACCCACGCCTCGAGCAATACGAGTTCTAAGCCCCTTAAAGACCAAGTACCCAGGTCCGCTAAGCCGGCTTCTACCAAACTTGCTGCAAGGTCGATCTATGCAGACGTCAATTACCCAGATGTCTTGCCCAATGGATTTCAGCCAGGCAAGAAATGCATGCTTTTATAATGAGAGGTCATATGAAGAGCATCGGATTCATTAGCAGGTTGAAGATGCGCTCTTAGCCTTATTATACCCGAGATCTATAATAGTTCTCACGAACTATTTTAATCAAAAAGCCCAGAACGGTTGGCTGTGGCGCATCTTGGGGTGGTGGCCGTGAGTGGTAGTTATGGCTCCACAGGGGTCCAGTGGTATAGTCAAAGCCCTCTCGCGACTTACTAGTCCCGTTAGGAGTTCTTTTGAGGCCACTAGATCTAGTGTGAGGTTTTGTTTTTTGAGGTCTTGCAGCACTCCTGATGATATGCGAAAGAACTCATCGCCTGGGGGATTTGGAGTTACACATATTCGCCTAACCTGGACCCGACAAGTCTAATATGCAGTCGATTCCCCGATATTGACGAAGTGATTAGCCACCAGATAAAATGGTTGGAGTTTCAGAATCCTGCCTCTTGCGATCTATTGGGTCGACTGAGAGTAAAGACAATCAACTGACTGGTTTCGCAACTATCGCAAGAAGAGATATCTATGGCGAAATATAAGGTGGTGAAAGTTTTCAAAGACGGAATGAGAAACGAGTCATCAATTAGACCTAATGAAAAAAAGGCTATAATGAAATATTAGTACATGCGAGCGATTTGAAGCTCAGTTAAATGTCGATCAACGAAGCATTCATACTAAGAGACCATTGAAGTAAAATTTCCAATTACCCCTGAGTGCTATTCGTATCAAAAGTCCGATGCAGCGCTCCTACAATATGTAGCTGAGGTCAGCTAGATTGGCACGGACTCTCAATAAGGAATCGATCTAGATAATTCTACCGCGGAGTTAAGATCTTAGAGTTTCCCGCGGTTCCCGAATGTCTAAATCCGTATTATTACGCTAAGGAGACATGGATTAAATACCTAGATACAGTTTTTATCGACGATTTTGCAGAATTCTCTCTAGCGTGATCGTGTAACAATTAAGAGGAATGATTAAATATAAAATACCTATTGATAAAATTTAGAATTCGAGTCAATGTTTACTCATAAGGAATAGGTACCTAATATAAGTAGACATTTGTAACGGGAATGGGAGCCAAATAAATACCTAAGTTATTCAATAGCTGAATATTATGTAAAGCAAGAGTCGGCACGGGAGGACATAAAAGCCGAGCTGAAGATAAACTCCCCGTTTTCAATGTTCCGAGTCTAATCTATCCACAGATTCATATCCTCCCCCCCTGACCATGTTTCTTGACTCGTTCAACCCGCAGCCAATCCGAGCTGAGAAGCCGTGGGATCTCATCTAATCCGGCTTACGCAACTAATCTTAGATTCAAAACGTTACTCGTTACTTTTACTCTGCCACAGAGTTCCTGCATGCAATACACTACCACTGCGGATGGTCGGACTTTACATTGCGCATTAGGTAGTTCATACGTACGTGGTCAGTATAGTGGCTGTGTGAGTAACCCCCCTAACCCCCCTAAGAGGTGGTTATCGCATTCCATGTCTCGGATTTTGCCCCCCCGTAATTATATAAGAAAAGGCGTAGCCGGCTTTGCCACCCCTCCGGTATGCTCAAAGGTTCAACTTCAATTATTGTACAGTCGAGGAAGCTTGTGACCACTTTTGCGCGGACACAGCACGCCGACAATATTCCCCCAGTGAAGATCAATCAATCCCCCGAGAAACCTATTCCAGTTCCATCCAGTATACCAATCGGACGAATACCGCGACCAATGTCGGCATCTCGGAGAGTCAGAGAGCAAACCCCAGAAGGAACGGGGCTTTCTAAACCACCTTCTACAGCTACGGGAATGTTTCCTTTAGGTTATAAAGAAGCTGCATCTCAATGGGTACGTCCCGTCGTTTTATTTAGTACTTCATCATATTATTGGATTTAGAACCTATTCTGACCAAACCGTAGTGGAACAGCGTAACGCCTACGATCGCTGAACGTAACGTGATATCATGCATTCCGTATCTTCGAGAAGCCATCGCGTCAGGTACGAGCTCTGCGACAGATATCCCGTCGGCGGAACATCCTGGTGAGGCTCAGACATCGACGAAAATCGATCCCTACGGGCCAAGAATATGGAAGTCAACAATGGTAAAGTTGTCTGGCAAAAATAGAAGCCTAAATGAGTTCTCTGTGGAACGTGTCGGAGAACCCGTTGATGACACGCTCGTTATGCTTCACGGATATGGAGCCGGGCTAGGCTTCTACTACAAAAACTTCGAGAATCTTAGTCGTGCCAAAGGCTGGAAGCTCTATGCGCTGGATTGGCTAGGAATGGGCAACTCCGCAAGACCACCGTTCAGGGTCTGTGCAAAAGATCCAGCGGCAAAGATCACAGAAGCGGAGAATTGGTTCATAGATGCGCTGGAGGAATGGAGGAAGATTCGAAAGATTGAGAAATTTACTCTTCTTGGTCATTCTTTAGGTGGCTACTTGAGCGTTTCCTATGCGCTCAAATATCCTGGTCACGTAAATAAGCTCATCCTCGCCTCTCCGGTCGGTATACCTGAAGATCCCTATGCTGTGAATGCCGACATGCCAGAGCCAATGGAGTCGACGTTCCAAGACGAGTTTACCATGGATCAGCAATCAACAACAGAAAGCCACAATATCGATGGTCTTAATGGTAATAAGAAGGTGCAACAGCAGGAAGCTAAGAAACGACCGTATCCTTCATGGTTAGTCTGGTTATGGGACGCCAACGTGTCACCGTTTAGTATTGTACGATTGGCGGGACCGCTAGGACCACGACTTGCTTCAGGTTGGACCTCTCGTCGGTTCAACCATCTTACTTCGGAAGAGAAGCAGACGCTCCACGACTACGCATACTCGATTTTTAGGCAAAGGGGAAGTGGTGAATACGTGCTACCTTATCTCCTCGCCCCTGGCGCGCATGCGCGACGACCAGTCATCAATCGAGTCCATCGTGTAGGTAGACAAGTCATCACCCCTGCAACCGAGACGGAACCGGCCGTAAAAGAAACGGGATTTCCGATCGTTTTCATGTACGGGGAAAACGACTGGATGGATGTAGCAGGTGGTCTTGCGGCAGAGGAGAAGCTCAAGGAAGCGAAAGCTAAGATATTATTAAACGCCACCGAAGAAGAGAGGAAGAAAGAAAAAGGCGATGCAAAAGTTATCATCGTTCGCCAGGCTGGTCATCACCTCTATCTCGATAACCCAGACGAGTTCAACAAATACATCCGCGAGGAACAAGAAGATACGAGACAACGAACGTTACAAGAGAAGTCTTTGTCGTAGGCTTTCATGTCTATAAATAATGGAGTGATGGATTTTGAATGCATTGCCTGGCGTTTTGGTTGGATAATTAGACTTAGAGCTTTTGGTTGACGATAATACGATAATAATGACCAGAAGCCAGCTACACTGTACATTATTCGCGAGTTATGGTACATCAACATTATATACATATATATACCTACTTACACTTAGATTTACATCTTTACTGAACATAATTACCAGTACTACTACTGAAGACTCGTTATCTTTTATCTCCTCAAGCGCAAGATAAAGTGTCATTTTAGGTCTTCATAGTGACAACCATAATTATAATTAACTATGCTCAAGTATCTAAATTATATTCATAGAGCTTATAAGAGCGATTAGGAAATTTATATATTACTTTGATCCATCGCTCTGCATCATGCTTATATCCAGGTCGACAAAGAATTCTCAGGCTTAGATGATTGTGTAACCCTTAAGATGTCTCGAGGTATAGTGATTACATAAGGAAATACTTAGATAGAGATACCAGATAGTAAGAGTGATTAGGTATTTGATTAGATTTGATTAGATAGTATTTATAGTAGTAATATTACTCAACCCATGCCCATGTGCTCAACAATCAACGACCCACATCTCCGAATATACATCTCCGAACATATATATCCCGGCTTCATTCCGCCGTCATTCTTACTCCCATTTCGCTTTAACGACCCAGTGACGCGAAGACAGTATCCGTACTCCAAAAAAATATGTCAGAGGAGGTAAAATTTTCGGCATTCCCGAAATTTAACGATCTGCCTATCGAATTACGCCATTGCGTCTGGGAGCTAGCTATCCCGGACGATATCCCGGAGATATGTATCCCGTGGCCGTTGGAGGAGGAGCCAGTACGCTGGCCACACGACCACGTCGGCCATGTTAGGTCAACAAACTATCTACAACCATTCCTTGTGGACACATGTTTCCCTACTATTATGCATGTTTGCCAGGAGTCACGTTACTTGGCGATATCTCGGTTGCGATTTCGATACTCACACATAGCGGGTTGTCCCGTGCCATTCCGCGCATTTCGCCCCGACCTGGATATCGTCTACATAACCCTTTGCCGGCCTCCTACTGATATCAATGCAGTGCCTAGGTGGGGCAGATATCCTCCTGGCACGCGGCATGTAGCATTAGACTTGCATACTATCAAGGACGGCAGTTTTCTCTGGATTCTGCTCAGCGACCCGTCCTTGGATCTGCGGACTATGTCTTGCATACTTCCCGCGTCTGAAGCCATTCTAGATACGGCAGTTCGGTTTCGGCCTCCGGTACGACGTTGTCGGCTCCGCGAAGTCGGGAGACCCTCCAATGGTTCGGAGAATAATATCATCTATGTAGACCGCGGTTATGATAGGCGCATGACTGGGATGGGCCGCTATCTGGAGGAGGTACGAGACACGGTGAGCACCGAGTTCGCCGAAGTCCTCGAAATCCAGGAGGTACCAGAGCAGTACTTGCGTCGATGGAATGATGCAGAAGTCAGGTTCGATATCGAACTTTTCGCGAGGACGTTCGAAGAGTATCGGGGTCGGCGTTGGGTACCTAGCTCAGAACATCCCGTCGGGTTCGACTGCCAATCCATCATATTTCCCGCCTCGTGGCAAGCCCTCGATAGTGCCAGAACCTACCGGGTCAGCGAGCTGGAAAGATGGACACCTTTGAGAAATCCCGAGACGTTTCGCGTCAATGATATCCAACAGAACGAGGTACCCTTTGAATGATCTTGGACAGGAGTTGTATGTACAGAACTACCATTTTGGTTGTTAACAATGGGGGAAACCCCTGGATACTATTAAGTACTGCTACTAATTCCGTCGTCGTCGTCGCTTAGAAGTATATACGGAATAGAAATCGTACTAATAGACTATATTCCATACAAGGGTCGAATGCCCTATACGGAGTTTAGCCCGGCCCCGAATGAGATAAATGCCATCCTTGAAATGCCAAGAGGCGGAATCTTAACTAGCATGAATCACTTGTGCTACTCTCACGGTCGATAGCCCCAGTGGTCCAGCCTAGCCCCATCTCAACCCTGCCGTGCAAGCTACAAACTCCGCATAGTTACCTCCTCATGAACCCCCTAGATAATAAGTTTGATTGGACAATCTACAAGGGGTATCCCATAAGGAGAATATACCAGAACTTTTCATCAAATTCCGTTTAGCTACCATTTTATGAATGCCCACATGGCATACACTCTTCCGAGAGACGTTGCATCCGGGAAGGCTAAGATGATCTTGAATCTAACAGGATCTTACCGTCGTGATTTCATCTACATATAATTTTACCCAACAATGGCGTATCGTCATCTTTTCTCCTTCAAGGTAAACGAGATATAAAGTAGTGTTAGTAGTAGCAAGTTTGCCACATACTCAGAGCCTGTTAATATATGAATTCCCAACTGTGGCTTCGGGAGTATTTATTGCCATAAGCCTTTTCCTGATTGCATAAAAATTTATCATATCAATGGTAGTTATGTGTCCCGCCCCCATACACCATTACACTTCCGTGTGGGGATCGGCTTTTGATGGAGGTCACCGGATGTCTTTGACATAACTTATTCGGGTGCGAAATCCGTCGCAACAGTTACGAATATTACGAGTATTACGAGCGTTACGAGACGGATTTCATAAATACCGATTACCGAAGGAAAATTGTTGGTTACTGCGCCTCAGAGATATAACGTACCTTTAATGTAAAACAGACCACATCACGTAAATAGGACTATGTATATTCAACTATAACCAGTTAGATAAATTTTATCTCTTAAATATAGGGGGGGGACGCCGTGATTAAAACTGGAATGGGTCATATTTATGCAAATACCTAGCCTTCGGAGGGTGCGAGATGAAGGGGGTCTACTTGTTATTCAAGATGAATGGCGCTTAGTGCCATCCAACCCACCAATGAATCGCGACGCTAGAGAGCTGAATCGTACTTCTACGTTTGCCAAATTCGAGACTCGGCCCGGAATCCACATCAGGCAAATCCCATGTGGGGTATGTATAAAGTTATGCTATTCTAGCTCCGGGACGAAGCCGTATCCGAACGGACCATCATATTCACTATATGCTCGGGACCCTTGATATTGCCCGACTATGCTATGTATATAAGCAATGGAGGCAGCACTTTTCCCAGGATATTATAATCCCCCTTGTACGGATCACCATCGTTTCTATAAACTATTAGACTTCCTTGAGCCTCAAGGTCCCCCTTATAACAACAGTTGTTAGGGAGTCACATTAACTACTACTAGTATAGAAAGATTTACTCGCGATGAGTACCGACATGACGGAGAAGGGCTCTATCAACACCACAGTCCCTGATAGGGACTCGACAGTTGGGGCTGAATCGGAGCAAGATGTCGAGGCGGGTGTTGATAACCGCGAAACCACAGTCGATGAGAAGGATCCCGACGTCGTAGATTGGGACGGACCAGACGATCCAGAAAACCCGGCAAACTGGTCTGATAAGAAGAAATGGCTGAACATCGCCATCCTCTCTATAATGACCTTAGTAACGTGAGTAGCAATCAGTGTTACCCAAGATCCTCTCGGCATCATACTGACATACCACAGTCCACTGGGCTCTTCAATGTTTGCCCCTGGTATTCCCGGCATCATGGTAGAATTCCACGAGACCTCTTCCACCATAGCTACTTTCCTCGTCTCGGTATATATCCTAGGGTTTGCCTTCGGTCCGCTCGTCATAGCGCCGTTGAGCGAGATCTTTGGCCGTCGGCCCCTGTACATCTACGGCAACATCCTTTTCGTCATCTTCTCCGTGGGCGCCGCCCTCAGCACCGGCACCGGAATGTTGATGGCTTTCCGATTACTGATGGGTCTTGCCGGTTCGGTGCCTATAACCATTGGAAGTGGCAGCATTGCGGATATAATGCCTGTCGAGAAGCGTGGAAGGGCTATGTCTGCTTGGGCTTTGGGTCCCCTTCTTGGACCTTGTGTTGGTCCTATCGCTGGTGGTTATCTGATCGAGGCTGCTGGGTGGAGATGGGTGTATTGGTTAATCGTCATTATGGTAAGTTGACTTACACTAGATATCACACTTATTCGGTGAAATAGGGGCTAACCATGGACATAGGGCGGCATCTTTATTCCCCTCTCCTTTTTCTTCCTCCTGGAAACGTTCGGCCCTGTATTAATCGCGAAGAAAACTCGAAGGCTCCGCAAAGAGACCGGAAACCAAAACCTTCGCAGCAAATTCGCAGGACGGCTAAGCCCCAAGGAACAGTTCAAACTAGCCATTCTTCGTCCAATGAAGCTCCTCCTACTAACACCCATTGTCACTCTCATGTCGCTATACGTCGCCATCACCTATGGAATTTTATACCTTCTTATCACGACATTTTCCTTCGTCTATACTGAGAAGTATGGCTTCAGCGAGGGAGACAGTGGCTTGACCTTTCTTCCGGCCGGAATCGGCATGATGATTGGTGTTGTGGGTTTTGGACAACTCACCGACTTGATGGTCCAGAGGAACAATAAGAAGGGACTCGTCCATAGGCCTGAAGTCCGTATTGCGCCGGTGCTTACCATCCCTTGCGGGATCGCACTTCCTATTGGCCTGTTCATCTACGGATGGACTACCAACTTTGGCGTACACTGGATTGTTCCTATGCTCGGTGTGCTCATCTTCGCCGCGGGACTTATGGGTGTCATGGTAAGTTTTACCCCTTAAAACATTCCCTGGTTATAATAGAATACTAACATTTCAACTAGTTCTGCGTCCAAAACTACCTTCTCGATACATACCCCCGCTACGCAGCATCCGTCACCGCTGCGATGACGGTCCTCCGATCACTCCTCGGCGCCCTTCTTCCTCTTGGTGGGCTCGAAATGTACAACGTATTAGGCCTAGGATGGGGCAACAGCCTTCTCGGGTTCATCGCGCTCGCGCTCATCCCGATACCGGTCGTATTTTTTATATTTGGCGAGCGTATCCGCGGGAGATTTAATCCTAGCTTATAAGGATGGTTTATACCACTTGCATGACTTGCATATAGAAATGATAGATTATAGATACCTAATGATTATGTCTAATAGAGCTTGGAAATAGCATGAATATGTTGAGATTCATCTCATTCAGTTTATATAAGTCCTATTTTGAGCGTGATTGTAAGATTTCGTGACCTTAATAATGACACGGACTAATAAATTCTGAAACATTGGTTCTTTATGCGTTATTATGAGCATGATACTTGAGCTTCTATGTCATACTTTCTAGATAATGTTACCTTAAATATTAGATTCTAAGCTTTCGGGGGTTCCCGGAGACCCGGATACGGGCTTAGCCGGAGCGGGGCCGGATGGCGAATAACCTAGGGGTTCCTCAGGTGTTGTTTCCAGTCGAATGATTTCCCAAGCAGCTCTCGTGAAGCAACGCCGTGATTAAACGTAATCGCCAGTTATATTTTCCAACTTGATAGACTATAATAGACAGTGGCGCTTGTTTAACTGCCTTTGAAAGTTAGTTAAATCAAGACCTTTTGCTCAAGCATTGAAAGCTCTTGGAGAAGTACTACGTCATTAGAACCGGGGATCTTACTTAACTATTTAGCTACCCCAGCTATGATGTAAATTATTTACTAATTTCCAAGTGACGCCATTGACTATTTTTCAATTTGTATATTGGTCTTTTTATGTACATATATTTTACAGAGTAGCTTTTGGAAGACGATAATGTCAATAAGCGATGACGATGACGAGTCCAAACGCTCACGCCGAGGGCCTCCTTCGAGAATACCTATGCCGGATGCTGATCCGCCAGCGACCGAGCTCGACTCAGATTCGTCTTGCGAATGTCCTTTGAGCGAAAAGAACCACGACGGCCACCGGCCGTGTACCCTCGACACACGACCATCTCAGATACGCGCAAGTGGTCGGGATGGCTCGGGCGGACTCTCGGGTCCAATCTCGCGGACAGTATCGCGTAGGGATACCGTACTATCCCGAATACGGTCCCGTCCGGAGGTGCCGCCGTTTAGCCATCCGCTCGCGAAAGTGAAGACTGGCCAGGAATCGCTCGTCGACTTCGACGGACCGGATGACCCCTATCGTCCTGTGAACTGGCCGCAGCACAAGAAGATAGCTACAACACTGCTCTATGGTCTAGTTACTATGACCGCGACTTGGGCATCCTCGTCTTATTCTGCCGGAACTCTGCAGATCGCGGAGCAATTCGGCGTCGGGAGGCAAACAGCAACACTAGGAACCACTCTCTTTCTCCTCGGATTTGGCATAGGGCCTCTGCTCTGGGCACCGCTTTCCGAGGTCTACGGTCGGCGCGTAGCGGTGCTGACGCCTATGTTTATCTCTATATGCTTTTCGTTCGCTTCCGCTACATCTAAGGACTTCCAGACTCTCATGCTAACGCGGTTCTGGGGCGCTATATTCGCCTCTGCTCCGGTGACGAATACCGGCGGCGTCCTAGGCGACTTATTCACGCCGGCCTACCGTGGTATCGCCATGGCAGGTTATGCGATGGCAGTTGTAGGTGGCCCGACGATTGGTCCCATCGTGTCGGCCGCCGTTGTAGCGCAGCCGAGCCTCGGCTGGCGATGGACAGAGTACACGACGGGGATGTTACAGTCCGTTGTCCTATTATTCGCTATCATCTTTATCGACGAGACGTACCCACCGAGGCTTCTTGTTGCTAAAGCGAGACGACTGAGGCACGAGACGGGCAACTGGGCGCTCCACGCTAAGTTCGAAGAATGGGATGTGAACGTTGTTGAACTGGCGCGGAAGTTTCTTATTCGTCCGATACAGCTTCTTTGTACGCCGATTTGCTTCCTCGTTGCCTTGTATGCGAGCTTTTGCTATGGTATTCTATACATGCAGCTCGGCGCGGTGCCTATTATATTCGGAGAGATCAGAGGATGGTCCCTAGTGTCGAGTGAACTACCGTTTTTAGCCATCTGTCTTGGCTCGTTAACCGGCGCAGTTATCAACATGTCGAACCAGCTATACTACAATAAATCTTACCATGCTTCAGGCGACAGAGCAGTCCCCGAGAAGAGATTACCTCCTATGATGCTAGGTTCCGTACTTTTTGCGACCGGCCAATTCATCACTGGATGGACTGCAGACCCAGCCGTCGCCCCCTGGATCGTCCCTGTCATCGGGCTTTACCTTACTGGATGTGGTTTTAACACAATCTTCCAAGCAGCGCTCAACTATCTCGTCGACACTTTCCAGATGTATGCGGCAAGTGCCGTGGCTGCTAATACATTCTTGCGGAGCTGCTTCGCTGCCGCATTTCCGCTGGTTGTCACGCCGTTATATCACAACATCGGGGTCGGCCCCGGGTCGAGTATCTTTGCTGGGTTTGCATGCTTGTTGATTCCTGTGCCGTTTATCTTCTACTTTTTCGGGAGACGGATTAGGGCTGCTAATAAATGGAGCAAGCACAGCGTGTTTTAGACATTCTAAGAATTTGCATGGCATTGGCGTTTGGGATGGTCTGAGCATTGGGGAAAAGGGGGCTAATTCATCACTTTTAGAGTATTTCCAGCGAGCAGTTGGCATTGGAATATCATTCTACATTACAAGTTTACGATACTTGTAGAGTCTGGAGTTTCTAGCTATTACGAGATTGGTAGCATATTTGAAATTCGCTCCAAGAGATTCAAAGACGACTTTACGGAAGAAGCTCGATTCTCTCTGGAGTAAAGCCGCTCTATCATAATATAGTATTAGGCATGACCAGTGCTAAAAAGTCGTCGGGCAAGCTTTTAGTAAGCGGCTATGCGTTGCTACTAACTTCATGAACGCTATCTGCTAGAACCGTGTCGGATCATCGACTTGAAACAGCAGAACCCGGTGGGGGATCTTATGGAAGCACAACATTGAAATCGTTCCACCACGAAGAAACTCCGGCGTGTCGCTGGTGTAACAAGTTATAATAAATGAGCTGACATCAATGTACCTTTTTTAATATCGAGTAATCTACAATGGGATGGCTTTAGGTAGAACGTTAGCCGCTTGTCTCTCGTAACCGATAAAAATTACATTACACAATGTAGCCGCGCAGAATATCATAATATATTATATCTTCAGCGGATAAAGTAAGACATGCAGGTGGAAAAAAGGAAAGAAGCTGCAAAAAGTAGCAATTGATCACACGATGCGGGGTCGAAAAAATAAAATACAAACCACCCGATAAACATACAGGGACATTAAAACACATTGTCGCTAGAGAAAGTACAACAGAAAATGACATACAGATAGAGAAAAGGAAGAGATCATATATTAAAAAGAAATAATAATCAAAAAATTAGGGTTGCTTATCCCAGTATACTGGGAAGCATCAGGAATTGAGCCCGATGCGGGGGTCGAACCTTTAAGGAAATGTTAGCTAGTGTGATATGAGCTGTGGTAAATCTTTAGAACTTACCCGCAACCTTGAGATTAAGAGTCTCACGCTCTACCGATTGAGCTAACCGGGCGTAAGAGACCGTCAATTTTTACGGTATATATTCTATAGCAGGTGTGTGTGTGTGTGTGTGTGTGTTTGTTAGCCGATACTGCACATGTCCTTGCCCCACTATGGTATGTAGGAGGTACCTAAGTCTTTCGAAGGTGGTATTTGGTCCAATCATTTTTACCCTCATATATCAAGGTCGTCAAAACTTTATACTTCAGGACTGTGTCCTTTTATTGATAGACTGTATTTTGTTCATTATCTATATGAACAGTTTTATCAAGACATGTCTTAAGACATAATTGTGTCAAATACTGTGGTATTATTTTTTTCTGTGTAAGTTGTATTCTACTCTTTCAACCTCGATTTATTCGATATACTATAACACTTCGCCGTGGGCCAGGATAGAATGAAAGCGTAAAAGAAACCATTTCTATCTAGGGGCAATAGTCGATAATGAAGTCTCTTGTTCCTAGTAATTTTAACTTGGTATCTAATATCATATAGGGCTCCTAGGTAGACAATCTTTGTTAAATGATTGGGAGCAAGTATCGTATAGAGTACCATGTTAGTGACCTCTGCGAGACATGATGACTTAAATTTTTGAATATATTTTTTCATTCCTTAGGCACTTCATATGCTCCCAGAAAGGTAGCACTGTCCTCACATTTATGCATCCCTCATGCCACTTTACTAGGCTTATATACTGAGGTAATCTAATAGTTAGATTACTCCCTAATTGAATTATATAAGATTGAACATACAACTTGATTAGGTACTTACGTTTCCTTCTCATTAGGATACTCAGGAAGGATTTATTATACGAAGAACTATTTCAGGAACTCTCTATAGTACACTAAGAGAGTAGTGTCTCAGGCAAGCCACTCTGTACGCATGGTAAACTCGCATCAGCATACTCTGACGGCAAGTCCTGGATAGGATAACATAAGCGCCAAGTTCTAAGTATAGAATTCTACCAAAGCCCTTGGGGCTTCATATTCCTTTCTTCGCTCGAGAATTCTGTATAATGATAGTTAGATGAAACTGGTCCATGGCTAGAGTATCTTTTCATCCGGGTATTCGGATGTCTAGGCTCGTCTTCGTACTGCCTTTAATAAATGTATGCTGATTCTGGTAGGTATAGGATTTAATTACCATACATGAGAAAGAACGGTTCTAGAAGTTCTTACAAGTAGGAATATTTTATATTGACCAAGCTTGAGCAGCTTCCGAAGATGATTATTAGGATTAAATCTGTAACTCGACCATCTGTACGTACCCGCATTGAATAACCAATTGGAGTTGCTGATCGAATTTTAAACTTTCGGTACGTACTACGCTGTGTCTTTCACTGACGTACCGGGCTATTTTTATCCAGTCGTAGTTTACCATGTGATCTAGTTATGCCATTTAATCATTACGCCCAATTGTTTCATTTGTCATACTTTTTTTTTTTTTTACGACGGGCATTAGGTTAGGCCCCTAAGCTATTCTATGCAGTTTTACGTGGAATTTCCATTTATCCTCTAAGAGTGGCTGTTAAGCGGTCATGAATCTACATAGTTTCGGTCACTTCTCTTGCCAGCAAGACCGTCCCACTGATGCGCACCAGGATTGAAAGTGCTGACAGTTGAATCGACTGTATGGAAAAGGCCCTGATCTACCGGACCACCCTCAAATCACCATCCCCACTGACTCATACGACTGCGAATACGGTAAGCATTGCGGATGTAAATGCTCATAATTCAACCCCGTTTGTTAATATAATTCTTCAGAGTTAGATAAAGTATTAAGAAATATTTTATGAACTCCGATAGTAGCGCTTATATCAACGTATATATCACGCATCTAATGTAGTACGGTGTCCCGTTAACTATTGAGGCTCAAGCTAATCAAAGATTCCAAACTAACTAGGGGTCAGGGTCAAGCTTACACAGACTTGTCAAGTCTGGGGTTCCCTGCTTTATACTATGTACCTTAGGTACACGAAGTCTTTCTATGAACTTTTGTTTCTTCAGTTTTCTATCTGGATGCTGTTGACGCCACATCTTACCGCGCGCTATGCTGACTTTTCGCAGCACGACTGCAAAGTCAAAAACCCGACGAAAAGCGAAATTTCCGTTAGCCGCGCTACGAATTAATCAATCAGATGGTTATGATCGATCTTTTCTTTATCTGTCAACCTAAATAGGGGATGGTGGAAATAAGATTACCTACCACACACGTACCTCTAAGCGAACCGATACCCCCCATCTCCCCCACAGGTCCAACAGGTCCACAGGTAGAGATTTGATGATCATTTACCAATTATGTATGCCTGTAAGTGCCGTCGTATGCAGGTTGGTACCTGCAGTATGCAGGAGAATGCACAACAGGATCTAGGTACTACTTGGTTAGCGGTACAACAGAAAGAATTTATCCTCTTCGTCAACTAAAAAACCTGCAAGATTGGTTACAAAATATCTTGTTTCTTACCCTCCGACTTACGACAGCCTTGCCCCGAGGGATAAGTACTAATCGATTACAAGGAATTAAAATTACAAATAGACAAAAACGAACGCGACAAGGATCTGCAGCTTGGAATGCTAATGAGCAATTGATAGGTTGACAGGGTTTGTTGATAATAATTAGCCACTAAAATCGCCGTTTGAAAGCCACACGAACCAAAGGAGTACCATCTCAGGCAAGCCCAGGAGAATCAGGACAATTAGGACAACTAAGGGTTACAAACTGGGGAAAAGTTACGCGCTAGAAGATGTCTATCATCTCTCAAGCGCCTGCCTCATTCTGCAAGAGCCACATAGATGCTCATGCTTTTCATATCCTTAATACCCCTGAACATTTTAATGGTCTAATAATGGATAAACGACCGATTACAACGCTACCCGGCCTGTAGTCTATGCCGCCATCCCCCTTTCGAACATTTCCACCCCCATGCTTAGACGAGCTGTGGTCCTTTTTCGTTCTTTCTCTGTTGTGTGCCCTCACTCTTTCTGGCTTGTCGATTATTTGCTGGGTTTTTTCATGTTGCCCATGTTGCCCATGTTGCCTTCCTCTTATTGTATCAGTGAAACATTACCAAGTTCCTCTGGCAGGCCGATTCGATAATCTCTTAGCCCAGCCTGTAACTCTCCACTCATTCCTCCTAGCCATGAATGACAGGACAAGGGAGTAAGATAGTATATCGACCACCATGTCTGTCCCTCAGCCTCTACCGAACCAGATCCTCCAAAACCATCCGCATCGGCCTTCCCTAACGGCTTACTCTGAGACTTCCCGTGCCTCATCTGATCTTTCTTTACTTCAGCAGCCGTTTCCCTCCCTCCCAGACCAATCCCTTGACCTTGACCTTGACTCACCTCAAGCCCTACCGGGTTCGAGAAACACGAAGAAGCTTGTCATCGACAGCTCTGCCGGCCTACCGCCCGTCCGGTCCATTCGACGCAAACCGCTGTCGTCGACCGCGTCACCAATCGCTACTAGGTATTCTTCTGGGGAATATCTCGCGATTGCAAAAGGGTTACCTGGCCCAGACCAGCGGTTCTCCCGCTCTTTTTCAGTTGATAGCCCTACCGTTTACGAGTTTCCTCGCCCTCCGGTTGGTCCGCTAGTTAAACCTGGATTGGAATCTCCCTACGATTTCATATTGATCCAGAGTAACAGAGAGTAAGTCAAAGTTTTATTAATTTACAATCCAATGCCGGTTATCTAAGTATAGGACGTTGTTAATTAACACTCGAATTTATCCAGAAAACCTCCCGAGACTCGCCATCCTTTAGCTTCTGTCGACTCCAGCCCGGCTGTCACGGCGGGTGAAGTTGAACGGCCAAGTTCTCAGGGTAGCAACCCTGCCTCTTCTCAAACACGCCACACTACCGATTCGTCGCAACATCACGAACGGACCGCCTATGACGATTTCTTTAGTGACGAAGACGAAGACGAGGATCCGCTAAGTGACAATATTCTCGACGGATACAACTCAGATTCGTCGGATACTAATAATTCTAATTCTAATTATTCTAATACTATGTCGTTGCACATTACCCGGAAAATCACACCCCCACAGTTGAATCTCAAGTCAGACGATACGTCGCTGACTCCAAAGGCCGACACAAACGACATTAAGTCGCCCAATACTGATAAACCCCTACCGAAATCACCCGGCTCGTCAAAGCTAGGAACGTTCTTTGGCTGGACTTCGCCTTCGAATACAGAGGCGTCAGACAAAGGATATTCGCCTATTCCATCACCCTTTAACTTCTCAAAGGCAGCTAGTGTTACCGATGCATCCCCAGTCACAACAATCGGACCACAATCACTACTGGACGCCCCCAAGGCATTGTTCGGATCTCCAAATTCAAGGGACTACTACGAATCTTACTTGGCAACACCATCAACCGGTACGATACCACCACAATATCAAATCGAAGAAATGGAAGATGAATTAAAGGCCATCTCGGCCGAATTGGCAGCTTCAATTCGGCGCGAGATGGACCTAGAAGACTTGGTAGACAGGCTACAAGCAGAGAGGGATAACCCTACGACAGCTGGAAACAAGAGAACCAGCGATTATTTTTCCGATTCGGGATACAGCTCTGCTAAACTAAGCGAGTATGACCAATCGAGGGAAGAGATAGAAAAAATTCAGAGGAGATCAGAGCAGGAGAAAGCCCAGATTAGGCTCGAGTTGACTAACAAACTCCAGGATGAGAGGTCCAGGAGACAACAACTTGATGTGCAGATCAAAGAGCTTTCGGAAAGGGCATCCCAAATTGATCTCGCAAAAGTCAATAATGTTGATACAACCGGACGTGTTAAGGAACTAGAAAGCACCTGCGAAACTTTGCGGCGCAAGCTTACCGAAGAGCGCCAAGTCAAGGATAACTTTGAAGACTTACTCGCAGCGCTCAAGGGTGAGCTCGAAAATGCCTCCAACCAACGCGATAACCTTCGTGACGAGGTCGTCCCCCAACTTCGAGCACGTGTGGAAGGCCTCGAAACACAGGCGTCGGAGCTAGAGAAGATGACGTATGAATCGACAAAGATGCAGCAAGAACTTCAAGCTCTGAAGAGCGAGAACTCGTCATTGAAACAGACGCAGCCCAACTCGATGGGCACCATCTCTGAAGATACAGCATCCGCTGGGTCCCGGCTGTCTCGATCCAATTCCTTGACCGGCCCTCCGCCGTCCTTTAGGCTTCAAAGAGCGCCCTCAGGTCTAACGAGATCCAAGTCGGTTAAGACATCTGAGTCTCGGGATCAGCTATCAGAGCGAATTAAGGACGTCGAAGAGCAACGAGATGCTTTGCACAGAGCTCTACGGAATCTGTTGGATAGACAAGAATATCAGAATAGAGAGAACCAAAAGAAGATACAAGCCCTTGAGATGGAGCGCGATCGTCTCTTGACCCAGTCACCACAGAAGGCCGGCTTCCAGAAAGAAATATCCAACCTTAGAACTGAGATTACCACTTTGCGTCGTCGAGCTGATGAGGCGCTCGAGCAGAAGTGGCAAGTAGAGAAAGGACTCGGAGGTCTTAAGATGGATCTTGATCGAGCCGAGCAGGAGATAGCATCTCTCAGGAGCTTGCTTGATGAGAAAGATATTCTAATCCCACCGTCTATCTCACGCCTAAGCAACGGGAGCGACAAATTCGCACCCCCAGTAACATCAGATTCTCTAGCACTAGCCTATGAAGATCTCCAGAAGGCATATGCCAGCTCTCTTGAACGTATTAAAAAGCTCGAGGCTAGTAGCTCACCAGATGAGTTCACAAAGCTTGCAACGGAGAAGCTTGAGCGGGCACTTTCTTTGACGATCTCAGAGCGCGACATTGCGCGCCAAGAAGCGACGTCGTATCAGGAGCAGCTCGAAGCTCTTAAAGCGGGCGAACGGGTTTATCTCGAATCCGAAAAAGCACTGGCTGACGAACTGAGCGAATCAGCTCGTCGCGTCGAAGAACTAGCTATTCAAGTCCGTCAGCAGTTGACTACTAATCAGACTTTACGTCAAAGAATCTCGGATACGGTGGCTCGCGGTGAAGCTGAGCAGAAGGCCAATAAGGAGCGCATTACCGCAATGCAAGTACACCTCCGAAATCTTGAGGAGAAATTAGAGGCCGCCCAAAATGCTTCTGAGGACCGGATCACACGATACGAGGAGGATATATCTAACCTCAGGGCCAGCCACAATGAGCAGCTAAAACGGATGCGAGACGGCTTACGTTCTCCCCGTACATTCCCGCCGAAGTCGCCTTTATCCCCCTTTTTCTCAGGCCTAAATGCTCGGTCTCCTGGTCTCAGCGCTACGCGCTCCGGCTCGGTTGTCAAGGTATCCGATGATGCCCAAATTGACCACCTTCGCGCACGTATCGCCGAGCTCGAAAATGCTCTAACCGATGCGGATGCTGAGATGCAGCAGGTTGTCGGCCGCATGAATACTGCTCAAATCCAAGTCATGGAACTGCAGGAAGAGCGAGAGGCGGCCGTTAGCCAAACGCGAAAGCTGGAAAGAGAGCTCCAGGCCGAAAAGGTCAAAGCTTTCGAGGGACGATTCAAGAGCTTGCAGGTATAGACCATTGGCTCATTGACTAAGCTTGAAAGATGAACATCTTTACATATTACGATTCCATGAAAGTCAATATGGGCATACGCCCATGTGTACTACTTTTCCTTCCTTCTTGGCATTTACAGGAATCAGACATCCTACACATTGGGTATGGCAGCGCGCTCACCTGGATTCAGCATTGGGCGTTTGTATTAAAGCATCACCACCTTGGTTTACTGTTTATAGCTATTGTATTTTTGAACGGTCGAACCTGGCCGACTACCTATTGTATAATACTCGAACCCCGGTATTGCTGGAGGATTCGAGGGATTGTATACGTAATGTTTTAACCTAGTACTGTTCTACCTGTATTTATACGCGGTCGGCTACAGTCGAGCAGAAATACTTGCACCCGAGAAAGGTGCACATAGTTAGTATTGTACTATCGGGAAGAATACCCGGAGTTAGTTGATAGTTTAAAAGAACTATTGTAACTACATTTAACAACGTTATGTTCCTTTATTCTTGGTGAAATTGCAATTCTATTCGTGACTGGACTTGGAGTTTCTTTACGGTATCGATAAATCATGCTTCGGGTATGGTAAATACAGGGAGCTTGTGGAGGTGAGGTAGTTCAGAGTAGCAACGTTATAGCATGGGAACAGGGCATCGGGATATGGTATCAGAGCGTCGTTATATACGAGTTTAGGTGAGCTGTGCTATTTGCAAATTGGTCTGTCTACAAGTGCTGGCAAAGCAATCTGTAAATAGCATAGTTTTTATTCAAACCCCAAATAGAGGAATTTCTGAACCTATCACGTCGCCCGAGATGTCTCTTGCTCCGACTCTGGCTTTTTTGCGTCGGCTTTAGAAATGACAACTGGCTTTTGTTGTTTGTCAACGCCTAGCCAGAGAAGATCGGGCCGGCTATAGTGACCGACGATATCCAGGAAGCCCCTATTTGCTACGACCTTGGTGAGATCTAGATCCCCATATAAGATGCCCTCTGTTTCAGGCTTACCATCACCAAGCGGTGATGTCAATCTTCTCCCGTCGGGACCAATGATACAACTGTGACCCCCTCCAGGCTGCGCACAGAGAAGCCCATTTTGAGTGTTGAAGACGTCAATGCCGGCCTGAGTGCACACAGATGTAGCATGTAAAACGTAAGCGCCGCTTTCGATCGCATATGTCTGCGATAAATTCTGACATCCGTCGGCTGTCATGCTCCATAGACCCGGATGATCTACGCCGGTTGTGGGGTCTACCGGCGGCCACATAGATATATGAATGACGCCGCCTTGCGTGATGCTGTGATACTTGAGAAGTGGCTGAGTATGCTCCCAGCAGGCTAAAGCTCCTACCTTGATTTTGCCTAGCGGAGCGCCGAAGTCAAGCTCTGCGACGTTAGTCAAATCGTTGCCGGATCCATCTCCGAATACGGTACGCTCCATGTGCGTCGGTTTTATCTTTCGCCTATGGAGGGCTAGCTCTCCCTGCGGTGAGATAATTGCCTGTGCTATGTAGGTGCTGTTCGAAGGACTTCTCTCCGAGAACCCGAGAACTACAGCAACGGAGTGCTTTTTGGCTACCGCCTTGACTTGTTCCATCTCTTCTGATTCTATAGCCAACGAGTTGTAAATATGCCTAGTCTGGAGCTCAAAATCCACAGGACGAGTCCTGTTATATTGCATACCTAATGTTAGTAGAGCTCCGTGAAACAGGACGGGAATGGAGTCAAACACGGACCATATCCATGCAGGATATCCGGGGACCCAGGCCTCCGCAAACGCAACGATCTTGGCGCCGTTCCCCGCGGCCTCGGCGATAAGTTCGCAGGCTTTTCGGATTGACCCCGCAAGGTCGAGCCACACCGGCTCGGCTTGTATAACAGCAACTCGAATAGTAGTCATCGTAATTACGAGATAGGTTAATAAATAAAAGTAAATGGGCTTTGAATATGTTGAAGCGCGAAGCTTTATTATATTTGTACTATATACTCAAGATTTGGTGCGAATAGGGGTAATGCTTATCTCGAAAAATGGCTTACTGGAAATCAGTTATGTCATATGTTATCTTAATATTACAACGTTGGTATCAATATACATAGGTACTCTATAGATAACTTAACATGGAGATCCTGGAAGATTCAGAAGAGCAGAGATACTATCCTTCGTTACGTAAAGTTGGTGGAAAAGTCACTAACTAATAGTAAATCGAAGCGGAACTATTCATTTATCAAGGTTACTTCATCGTTCTGATAAGACTATAACCCCCTTTTTAAGATAACTAAGGGAGACCCGGCAACTCATCCAAACCAAGCGAAATGGAACTTCCATATAGTCACATTTTTTAGAATTTTCATCCTTCATTCTTCAATATAAACCTTAGCATATATATAGGTATTCCTATTGGTCTATATGTGCAGATCATATTATAAAACATCGATGTGCCTTCCGGACCTCTGGCAAATTCACTGGCTTTGGCCCCCATACTCAGCAAGTTCGATGAGTCAGTTAATAGCTTGACCTGACTTGGACCTGACCTGATCTGGCTTGGGTAAAACGTAAATATTTTTTATTTGTGTAACAAGTACGTACATTAAAGATATACGTTAGGTACTTATATATTTCTGACTACATTTGATTGGTGTATTTCTTGTGGCTGATATTGCGAAGGCTGTAGCTTTATAACGACCGCGGGGAAATAATTTCTCCATGGTTAAAAAATGCTACGTGGAAGAGTTAAAGCACGGGGAACTTTTCTAATACTGCCCGGAATTTGAATAGGGGAAAATTTTCAAATGAAACTTGAACGATTTACGATTTACTAAATAGGAGGTCATCACTATTTATGTGATAGCATAGTAGTCTATGGAAAACATAAGCCGCGTAGCTACTACGTCTGGATATAGGTTTACATGCTTATCCCTTTTTTCCACGGGGTTTCTCGCCCTATAGCTCTCAACTACTTAACTACCTTACCTATCTCCTAGTATTTGTCCATTAATAGTGGGAATATCAACACTGGAAACTCTCATTGCACCAGCTGTTATGAACCTCAAAGGCCTTAAAGTTTTAGGGGGTAAATATTAAAGAACTATGCTTTATCCTAATATAGATGGAAAATGTATTAAGCATCACGGCAGTTGCACCTACAGGGACCAAATCTATAAACATGTATGGTAACGTAACTCGTGCCTTGCATAAAACCAACCAGCTCTAGAGATTTAACCAATTAGCACCCGCTCCATGGCTTATACTGCCTATCATTTTGAGAGACGATAATCATCGGATCTCATTGCATAATATTGAGCTACAGCCTACGCCGCACATTTACATCACTTGTATATCCCGGATTATTAATGCTCAGTGGTTGCCTAGCCGGGATGCTAAGCCTTGTGAGAAAGTACTATGAGAAGCGTAAGCGGTGAAAAATTCACACGTGTACTAGAAAACTTCACTTTGTATTACACTTGGCCTATTCTATCGTACCTAGGTAGCATCTAAGACATCTGCATAGATTTAATACATACCTAGATACATATCACATAAGACATAGTGTACTTTAACCCGCCTCGCAAGGCTTTATAGGCGTACTCTTACCGCTAGACAAGCAGGAATCAGTTAGGCCTATATAAGTACCTAAGGTGCCTATTAACTATTATCTGTACCCAGTAGAAGGACGGTAAAAAGGCGGTACGACTACTAGTAAGATCACTGCGCTATCTGTTTTGACGCCTTTTTGATTGGGTATCCGAGGTCCCTAACCTGTTGTTTCGGTAAAGTTGTGAATAAAATAGTCATGGAATCGCCACTCGTCCAAACTGACCGAACTGGGAGTTGCATGCGTCAAGGACTCCCGCCTTTATGCAGGTCTCATTTTAAGGATCTATAGTTTAGTTTAGTTTGGATTTGATCAAGTGAATATTTTGCGCTATTCTTAAAGAGGAATCTTCTAAGTCTATTAAACCTTTATATTGTGTACCTATATCGCTCGCCCCCTGAACACATCCAAACAAGCCCCCAAATTTTCAAACGATTAGGAAAGCTGTCCCTATTTCCCCGCCAGCAACAGTTTTGTGTTAGTTGAAGGCCATTCGTTGCCTGTTGTTATCACCGTTGGTAATACCCTTGTTGTCGCCATATTGTACCCCAATTGTCGTACCTTGATTGCGAGACTGTTTGATGACATTCCCTTTGTCCTTAGCTTCCAGCTGTTTATCCACAGACTTCTCAAGCCACGGATCGCATCCCTGAAGAATCCGCTTGAGCTCCTCTAGATTAGACTTGCTCAACCCTTTGCATTCTTCATCACTGAGCTTAAGGAGGACCTCACGTTTAGCCTCCGGGATGGTTCTTTCGAGATCATCCATTAGTTCGCACATATTTTTTATAAAGTTGTCCAAGAGTTCCTCTTTCTCAAAATCCCGCCTCTCGATTTTAGTATCCTTGGATGCTTGAAATTTGCGGCCGTCAAGGGATTTCATGAACTGGTTCCGAATTTTCTTCAAATCACTCGGAAAATTTGATCCCACGTCCCTGCCTATCTCATTCTCTGGTGTTGATGTCTCGCGTTTAGCACGCTCTATACGATCCCCGATATCGCCAAGTACTCTTTCCACCTCATTTGCGTCATTATCAGCGTTGTCGATCGTATCAATACCAATTTCGCCCAAGCGGGAAAGGCGAAGCTGTATATTATCAAGCTTTAGTTGATGAGTTGCGAAGTCACCCGCGAACTTTGGTGTAATTTGAAAGCAACCTAAAGTATTGATATGACATTGGAAGAGATCGGTTGCCGTGGATGGAGCCATCGTTTTTGAGGGACCCGGGCACTGGTGCATAGAGCGTGTGTTGAGTAGTACCATTTTGGAGGCCGGACGCAAGAAGGTAGACTTGTATTTAAATTGATCTTAGCTACATCCGAACACAGATGCTTAGCTGGGAGGTACTTATCTACGGTGTAGTCTTTGAACTACATGTAGCACGACTACCTAAGTAAGGCTGTATTTAAAAGCGCTTGGAATTTTGCTTTTCAGGTGCCAAGTCACAAAAATGCCTTTCCCCTCTCTTGAGCCACGTAAGCCGTAAATGGTCACGTACATATAGCAACTTTGCGTAGAGCCGCAAAGGCAGTTGGAAAAGAAGCATCTCGATATTTCATTGGTTGGCTCCACAGGTTTCTGGGACAATAAACCCTATCCATCGATCTATACATATTTTACAGCCAAACATCTTAGAAATATACCTTAATTTGTTGAAAGTAATATCTATAAATCTTCTCATAGGTCACAAGCATTGCTGCTGCATAAGATGATAAGAAATTGTTAATAATATACCGTATATCAAGTGTTGAAAGGAGGTACTATGTACCTAATTATCATCCGGGAGACCCGTATGTTTCAACATGCGGCATCTGGCATGCAGGGTTGGCGGAAACAAGGTGCCCAATGTTGGTACGAGCTGATAGAGGTAATGGTGGCAAAACCCTCCTAAATGCATCGTGGCACTCAGCCTCAATAGCCGCTTACGTTATCCTTGAGAGCCTGATCATTCATAACCTTTGATTTCGAATTTTATCTAATAAATACAAACAGGTGTAAACTTAAAAGGGGGGCGGTTTTTTTTCTTAAACTAGTGACTGTTAATATCATTGAATTCCTAACCACTTTACAGTTTTTTTTTAAAAAAAAAGGGGCATTTAGTTAAAGGTTTTATAACATTGTAACTTTAAATATTCGCTTACATTTGCCATTTTAAAGTAACTGCATTACCATACATGGCTTATAAATAAAACCTTGTCAGTACCGTACATAATAAGGCTGATAATAGGCGAAACCTTTGCATTTTAGAAGATAAGGTATAAAAGCTGGTAGCGAGGTAAATCAACCCGGAAATATAGTTACATTATAAAGTGCTGTATTATGTCATTGTCTATTACCAAGCCAATATTTGTTCGCTTAATGTAAGCACTATGACATGGTTGTAACGAGGTTCAATCCAATCACGTTAAATTTCTATAATATATACCTAAGCACATCATGTCAATATATCAACTATGCAAGCCTTAAGGAGTATATACTCGATTCAGCTTCAGTCAAATAGCCATACCGGAGTTCCGGAGTTCAGCTATTGGTTGACGTTATCGGGCGGTGCGGTGTTGGGTGGGTAAGCATTCATACCCATCGTAATGCGGCTCTTATGTTTGTAAGAAATACCTAGATGGGATAGTATGTATGTGATATTATAACATAATTACATGTAAACCCTTTTGCCAATTTTCATTGTCGAATGGCTTAGAAACTAGGTCCTTTATTACAATGTCTGGACACAGCTACGCAATTAATCAACACGGCAATATTGGCCTAGTTCAAGCAGTCCACTACGGGGACAACGTTTTCTGTTGGTCTCGAACCTTTAGCACCCTATGAGTCATAGCAGCACTTACATTTTTAGATGGTAATACCGATAGACCCCTGACCTTGAAGCATGTTGCGCTGGAGACGCACAAGAAGGTGAAGTCAGAGTGGGAGGAATATAGAACATGTGATTGGCTGCTGCGGGAAAATGATTTTCAGTTGTGGGAGAAACTGGATAGGGAGGTTTCTTTTCTTTGGATTCATGGTCGCCGTAAGTTCTTATAATCACCTAATTTAATGTATATGTCTTCCTACCTTAGGTACTATTCGCTAACTACCTAACAGCTGGGTGTGGAAAATCAACATTGATGTAAGTGTCCACTTAGACCATAGATACTTCCTATAGTTTGCTCTTGAATTAGCTAAAGTTAATGCTCATGTCAAGGTCTCGTGTCATCGAGAGCATATATCATCAATTCATGGAACAAGGCCCTGAAACTATCCACCTGCTTTATTTTTATGTCGGCTTTGGCGATGATCAAGAAAAGGATACGCTTTATCGAAAGATGCTGATGACATTTTGGGAGCAAGCAACTAACGAATCTAATCAACAATCGATCAATACATTCGGAAATCATTCTACCATCGAGTTAATCGAAAACAAATTACATAAATTTCTAACCTTTTCGAAACGCAACGTATATCTCGTCATTGATGCACTAGATCAACTTCCCCTGGATTCTCAATATCAAATTCTCAACGGCCTAACCGCATTGGCCCAAAAGCTCAGGAATGAAACGGACGGCAGCCGTCTTAGCGTAGCTATCAGTTCTCGTGATTGCAACGGCATAGATCAACTGAAAACATATCGAGTATTCCCAATCGAAGTCACAGCGGGAAGAAACAAGCGTGATATAGAAATATACCTTCAGAAATGTCTCGAATCAAAATCGAAACTGTTTCAGAAAAGACCAGACCTTGGGGAAAAGGTCTTTAACCACTTAAGTGCAAAAGCGGATGGCATGTAAGTATCATGAACCTTATCTCCTTGATTATAACTAACATGGAGAGACTAGGTTCCTATGGGCTGGCCTGCAGGCATTGAACATCTGCAGGATGGAAATGGAATCACAAGTCTTAAATGCGCTAAGAAATCTCATTCCACCGCAAAAACTACAAGACATGTACGGAGTCTATGCTGAAGGCTTTGAGTCTTTCCAAGAATTAATCCAGCAGCAGATAGCTCAAAGGACAATGGCTCTTCTCGCACACAGTAACGGTTCAATGACGAAAGAGGTTATTCTTGTGGCACTCTCATTGGGTGATCATGGGGAAGTAGACCAGGGGCTCTATGATGACTTGACCAAGGATCCTACTATAATCGTCCGTTTCTGCAATCACCTAGTTCGAATCAACGAGAGTCTTGGTGTCTTTCAGTTTTGCCATAGAACCGTCTTTGAGTTCTTTAGGGAATATAAGTTAATTATATACAACCACCGAATTGCGGACCTTTGCTTATCCCACTTGTGTTCTCCAAAGTTCTCTGGAGGCCCTCAAGATGATGCTAGGTGGTATAGTCCTGGGAGCCTGGCAGTGATTCTACAGGAGCATCCCTTTCTACCTTTTGCATCATTAAAATGGGCCATAAGCATGAAGGAAAGCTTTGAACCGGAAACTGACCTCGAAAAAAGCCACTCTAAGATACTCGGTCGGCTGAGGATACTTTTTGATAAGGAATCAGCAGTCGGAAGGAAAGGAAATCTGAAATTGGCATTCCAGGTGTACTTAATCAATTTGGGCAAAACAATGCCTGGCGGAGTCTGCCATGAACACATCGTCAGTTACTTTTCTCTTGTCAATTTTTTTGACATTTTTAAGAAAAGGGGGTGGTTTGACCCAACAAGGCTTGACGATGACGATCTGAGCCCGGTCCATTGGGCCATACGGAATGAAATTGATCATCAGGGTGCTACCTCCACTGTTAAAAAGTTGATTGAATATGGCGCCAATATTAATATCGGAGACAAAGATGGCCGGGCTCCTTTATATTACGCGGCTTACTGTGGAAATGGGGAGGTGACGCAGCTGCTTCTTGATAATCAGGTCAAGCTTGACCTTGAAAATAAGAATAAAGAGACGGCTTTAATAGCTGCCTGTAGAATGCACCACGAAGATGTAATACTACGTCTTGTTAAAGCGCAAGCAGATGTGAAGATACGAAGTTCTTTTGGCACTGCTTTACAGGCTATTTCCCTAGTCGGATGCTGTGGCTGTGCCGAAGTAATACTCAACCGTTATGGAACATCTAAACTTACTGAACAGGATGGACCATTTGGAACTTCTCTTCATGCTGCTGCATTTCATGGCCACTCAGATCTTGTCAAGCTCCTTTGCTCAAAGAGGACCAATCTTCTTCATGCAACGCACGCAACGTACGGCAGCACTATTACAGCCGCAGCCACGGGATTTAATCCAGGGCTGGACCCAGCTCCTTTTCTTGAAATTATACAGGAACTGGTCAGAAATGGAGTAAATGTCAATGATCGGAGCGGTGCTGTAGGGCCAGCTCTTCGTGCAGCAGCATATCACGGGAGCCCAGAGCTTGTTCGTTTGCTGTTGGATAAAGGTGCCAAGATTCGCAAAGCCAAGGGACCGATGGGCACTGCTTATGAAGCTGCAGAAGACCGTGGACATCAAGAAATTAAAGACATTTTACTAGCAAGGGATGAAAATGCTGCTAAATATAGTGGAAATCATGCTTCCAGCTCGCAAGGTCGTCAAGAGATCCAGCGAAAGATCTTCAGGGCCACTGTGAAGACGAGGAGCACGGCCACTATCAATAGCCTCATCCATCAATTTGAGAAATTCTTTGAAAAGGAAATCATAAAAGGTGAAACATCTTTTCTCAGGGGATTAGCCAAGCTTGGCGAGAATGCCTTCCAGGACGTGATAATGTTGGCCACAGAGCCAGAAGATAACTGCAACACACCACCGAGGAGAAAAAGGAGCAGTAAATCACGATTTCGGCAGTTTATCCATCATCTTAGGCGTATGAACTTTATAAGCAAAGATGATGAACTGGTCTTTGATGCTGATCATGCTGATGGAATATCTCCCCATCTTCACAGAAGAGCAACTACATTTGGTCAAGACGGCCTAAGAGAGCATCTCCCGCAAGTCTTAGACCGGATGACTCAAGCGGCAGTGAAGATATTAGAGGATTCTATTACTAGCAAAGACGAAGCTGTAATCAGATTAATCGCTAATACATGGGTTGAGGCACTGAATACTCTGGTTTCTTATCCCGGTTTTGGTGAGTCGATGCTGGAAATGGTAGTTCAAAGGCGTGCAAGTGAGCTCAAGGGACACTTTATAAACCCAGATCTGAGCCCTAACGAGAGATCCGAAAAATCTAAGGCTTTAGCCTCTGTTGGTATTGAACTACTTCTAATGGCCATTAAGCGAGGGCAGAAGTTCAGGCATTTGTCCTTTGTTATCTCTAAACTTTGGATCAAGGCAGTGAATGACGTCGAGGAACTTGGCGAAGAAGGACAAGCACTAATACAAGAACTGATTGACATATTGTCAACCCGATTTTCAAATGTGGTTATGAATCACGATCGAATCAATGCCGATGCTTGCGCAGGAGCTGGAGTTGAGCTGTTGAGAGCAGCAGCATTGAGCCTTAAAACGAGATTGCTAGACAGGCTCTGTAAGGTATGGCTGGATTGGTGGGAATTGGCTCTTGAGAAAAACATGAAATACATGATTGTGGAGTTGATCAACCAACGGTGGAAAGAATATCAAGGATGCCTTAAGGATAACAAGTACGATGAAGCATTGGGCCTTACACTCACAGCCATCGGGGTACTTCGCGCGGCTGTCAGATATAGGAACGAACCGGCGGGATTGGCGTTACAACCTTTCGTTGAATTGGGCTTTGAAACGGTGCAAGAAACCAATGCTGGTAATAATAAATCAGCTGGACTGAGAGCTCGGGACTTGAGCACTATTTTTGACGCGCTCATCAGCTTATTTGCGATAGCTGAAGAGGTACAGCCTGGTTGTTTGAGAACTTTAGCTACGAAGATCCTTGGCCTCACGAAGATTGCCTCAACCAGCAACTACCAAGAGCTTTTAGCGGTTATTGAGTTACGCGTCGAAGAGGTTGATAAGATCGTCTCTTCGTCCGACCGAGAGAAGCAGTTGATTCAGATGTCTAGAACAATTCTCATGTTCATCGACGTCTCATTATGTGCTGCAGAACAAAACTCCGGCGTCTTGCTAGTCTTGAAAAAGATAGCCTTGGAAAATCTAGCTACAATGCTACCAAATTTCATCGAGAGGGGCGAGTCGGTTTCGTATACAAGAGCTATTGCGTATTTGAAGTTGGAATATCATTAGGATATCAGAGAAGGAAAGCGGTTGATCTTTCAAAAGATCGTTAGGATGCTTCAATGTCTTGGGATATTAGTGGTTAGTTAGAAAATAGGGGTTCTTATTTCGTATAACTACGGAATCTAAAGTAAAGCTTCATGGATATTACCCAGTGCTTAATTTTAACGTAGCCTTTGTAGGATAACGTCTAAATGCGGCCCACAGGCTCTATAGGTTACACTAATACTGTTTAGGTGCCGTAGCCGATACGAAAGGATTCTATTGTTGCACGGCGTCTATTACGCAAGTTTAATCGGGGTCCTTTTCCTCCTTGTAGTTCAAGAAGGATTGTTTAAATAAACTGCTGATATCTAGCCAGTGAGCTTTAGCAACGTACAGTGATCTACAATGTTTTAGTCTCCTTATTAGTTGTACAAATCTTGATATAGGTCATCTTCGATGGAACACACTTGCATATGCTATAAAACCTGAGAGTACGAATAACAAAACACGTAATAGCTCACGGATCATGGATCACAAAAGGATTCTGCCCCCCTTCCTTTGCACGCTTTACTATTATTTATTACCTCTATATAATTTTACCCATGCCACTCTAAGCATTAGGCTAAATAATATCTTCAGGTGAGAAGTTCTCAGTAGAGGCAAGACTATCAATCTACCTTAAAACCCCTTTTGCGTCTTCATCCGTCATATTTTAAAGGATACAAGTCATGGACTCAAACAATGCACTGGCGCGCGAACCACCTCCGGGAGTGGAATCAAATATTGTCAATCCTTATTCTTCGCAACCGCAAAGAATAGTAGTGGCCTCCCTCTGCTTAGCTCTTACTATAGCATCAGTTATCGGGCGGGTGTACACTCGGATTCTGATGAGAAATTTTGATCTAGATGATTGTAAGTGATCACTATCATAGTATCTCTATTATGAATATTCCTTGTCTGGGCACTAATATGAATATAGGCGTTCTAATACTCTCAGAGGTCTGTATTATTATATACTTCATAGTTATGGGGTTTGATTTGATTAACACCTGGATAGGCTTCCTTTGTGGCTTTTATTTGTTTATTAATAGTTGCTGGGGAATATGGTATCGGGACACATATGGTGAGTCGCCAGTCTTCTCAAAACTCCCGAGATGGTGAAGAACGCCAATGCTTTTAGCCCCTTTGCAAAGGGTATGTTGATTTTTGAGATCAGTACAACAGGAGTTTCGTGGCTAATATAAACTTAGGAAGACACCTATGTCCTGGGAAACAGCTTGGGCTTCTCGAGGTTCGTATGGCTGCAGTTATGATCCTTTCCAACTACGACTCCTGGAGATTTGGAAATAATATTCGAGCCTATAAATTAGCAATTCTGGCTGCTTCAGGAATTCGTCTGACCTCCGTAGAGGTAGTTTATTAATACAGAAGGGAATCTTGTAGTCGTCGTGTTGGAGAGAACTCGTTTGATTGGTGAATGCTACGTTTATGGAATTATGCGGGGTGAAGTTATGCATATAGAATTAAGGTCAGCTCATTTGTGAAATGTGATAAGTCATTCCCAATCCTCCCCCGCAGCTGCCCCTGATGCTGATACATATAAGCTTTCCCGTGGGGTAAATTTAACCGAGAATTACCCAAAGCCGGCATTAAGCCGGCGGAACTTCCTACTTGAGAATTTGGACTCTTCTGAGTGGCGGCTTTTACGCTTTATCAATAGCTTCAATGTTCCAACAACATGTGCTGCTGCAGACCACTACACAAATCCGTCCAATCGGGTCCCCACCAGACCATAGCTTCCTTCCGACGGAGCATATGGTGTCAACCCCGCTCGCTATTAAACCCCCTTCTTTCAACTTTATGCTCCGTGAGTTAGCTTTCGCTTGTTATGTACACTGACTACCTACCTAGCTACCCGCCCCGGTCTCCGGTCGTCGCAGTGGAGCTATGTATTATCAAAGATATTTTCCTACATACTGTCTATGAATGGTCATGATTGGCAGATAAGACCCTTACAGCTTTTTCTAAGGATTGGTGATTACATACGAATGGGGTAACACCGGTTGGTAGCCGGCCTGTTGTCCGGGGATGTTTGGGGTCAGACCACACCGATAGGATCGTGAAATGCTTTCTTCAGCGTCATTTGGACAAAATGTTCAGCGTCATATAGCTCGCCAAGTTGTCATGTAATACAGGGTATCCCACCACTACGAATTAATAATTATTAAGCAGCCAACCCTCCCTTTTTTTAATCAGCTCTCTTACTATTCAATTTTTTCTTTCTTTTATAGGCACCTTTCTTTGTCCCTCTAATTTCAATTGATTCTTATCCGGAAAGCTTCCCTCCAAGTCATGAGATAAGTAGATATTCAATACTCAAATAGGTACCCAAAATGAATTCTTCATTATTTGGGACTCTCGTCCAAGTCGAGTCCAACTCGACCCGGCAAGATGAACATCCTCTTCCTATAGCCCCTCAGAGAGTAAAATCAAGGACGTACCCAGCGGTCCCTCAGCAAGACTCAATTGAGTTGAAGCCTCTTCGATATCCTCTCAATGATGCCGGCGTTTCTGGTACCTCGAGTCCCGCTACTCCTAAAGAGGAGACGGATATTGAGATGAGTGCCCCGGGAACACCGGTCGAGCCAACCGATACCTTCGACGCTCTCCCGACCCTGAACGACCCGCCTATGAACAAATACCGTCTAGCCACCTGCTGTTTCCTAAACTTCCTGGGCGGATTAACAGATTCGGCGCCTGGTGCCCTAATTCCTTATATGGAATCGTGAGTAGAGCCTATCTCAAGCTGATTACTTGCCGAACGCTCGTAAAGAAAGACAGCATAGACTGACTGAGGCGAATGTAGTCATTACAATATTGGATATTCCGTAGTAGCTCTGATCTTCATCGGTAACGCTCTAGGGTTCATTATGGCCGCACCATTCATCGACCGGATCCGCCAGCGTCTTGGGCGAGCTAAGACCATCGCTTTGGCACAGCTTTTCATCGGCATCGGGTATATACCCCTGATCTGCACGGCGCCCTTCCCAGCGGTAGCGATCGCCAACTTCTTCATCGGCTTCGGTCTTGCCGTCCAGCTCGCCATCGGCAATGTGTTCTGCGCAAACCTAGCCAATAGCACGACGATGCTTGGTGCTTTCCATGGAAGCTATGGTATTGGCGGTACGATTGGACCCCTCGTTGCGACTTCTATTGCATCTTCTGGTGCTATCTGGAGCCGGTACTACCTGTTGACTCTCGGCCTTGTTATTTGGAATGTCGGCTTCTCGACTTGGGCTTTCTGGAATTACGAGAAAGAAATTGGCGGTAGCGAATCGAATGCTCTGTCCGAGACCAGCTCACGTGGTCTAGACCATGTGTCAGCTATGCTCATTACTTTCAAGTCAAAGGTCGTTATCCTAGCGGCTATCTTCATCTTTGCGTACCAGGGAGCTGAAGTGTCTATCTCGGGATGGGTTATCTCCTTTTTGATTTCCAATCGCGACGGTAACCCTTCGTCTGTCGGTTACGTGACATCTGGTTTCTGGGCCGGCATCACGCTCGGGCGGTTCGCACTCTCGCCCATCGGCTCTAAAATCGGCGAGAAGTTATTCGTTTACATTATCGTGGTCGGGGCTGCCGTCTTCCAGTTGCTAGTCTGGTTGGTCCCCAATATTATTGGTGAGGCCGTGTCATTGGCCATTGTAGGGTTACTTTTGGGTCCTGTCTATCCCTGTGCTGCGTATGTTTTTACGCGTAACCTCTCGCGTCGCGAGCAGGTCAGTGGTATGAGCGTCATCAGCGCTTTTGGTAGTTCTGGTGGCGCCCTTGCCCCGTTCACTACGGGTCTCTTATCTGAGGCTGCTGGTACGTTTATCATGCACCCTATCGCCATTGGCTTGTTTGCCCTCATGCTAGTTTGCTGGTTTGGACAGCCTGGAATTAGGAAGAGGACGGAGTAATGGAGTATGGTAATGCCATATATTAGCCATACTCTATACATAGGTGAATAGAACAATGGTAGAATGGTTTCGAGGCGATGATGGCAACGTGTATTACCTATGTTGAAATAGATGTCCAAGGAATTATACTAGTTATTCTTCAACAACGAATACACACACTACGACTACAGTTCAATGACAACACATAGCTAGCCTTACTTAGAGATAGTCTATAATTAACCATTATTCAAATACCTAGAGCTGTTCATATCTATCCCCCCCGTTAGCCCCTTTATCTTGTTTCTTAAGCTAGATTAGGTAAGGCGTATTTGGGAATTAACTTGTTAGTGGGCAATTGTTTAGCAAATACCTTTTCCGACGGCAAGGATACTATATATCCAGTCACAAAAGGTAGTTAGTACTGCAAATCCTTCTTTAAAAAAAGGTAGGCGACGCTCAGCATCGAATAATATTATGCACCGTCTACCTGTCTATCCATCCGTCTAAAGATAATATCTATCTGCACACTGGAAATGTATATGCCATGTTGCTTGAAGATTAGATCCCGCGCTAGAATCTAGAGATAAGAGAGAGAAATAGTATTCCTCTACGAATTCGAAGCTTGAAGATTTACACTCTTCCCTTCGCCGCTTCCTGAACGGTGATCTTGCCTTCGACCACATCCGCAACAATCTTGTGGATATCGGAGAAATCGTTAAAAGTGACAAATGGCACCTTCTCATTCTCGCAGTACGTGACAAGGTCTGGTGAGTTAGCATATTGTCTTCAGAATCTTTAAAGTCGTCGGAATAAAGAAAAACTTACCTCTTCCAGCCTTAGCAAATAGTAGATCGGTCTCCTTGGCGGCAGACAGGTCTGAGACACCGTCTCCGGCATAGAACATGATAGGTCGTTGCGGTAGTGCAGCATACGGTCTAATTTCGAGGGACTTGTCGTGTCCAAAGTCGCTATATTAAGCAAAATTGTATATATTAGTTATTGGTTCCTAACCTGGAGCTTTCTTTGTAGCTACCTATATAGGTATGTATCTTTAGGAATTTATTCATTCTCTGAATAAAATACAAAATGCAATATGTAAAATGTTTAAGAACGTAAAACAATACAAGGGAAAAGCTTACCTGTCATCGTGGAACTTGATGTTCCAGCCATTCTCTTCGTTGATGCTCTTGCCGGGTCTAGCCTCAACATCGTTGCTAACAATCTGCATATGCTGAACGGCATCCTCGCCAACAAGGTGGGCGAGTAGAGCACGGATGATGGGCTGCATACCACCGCTCAGGACGACAACAGGGACATTATTTGCACGAGCCCAGGTGAAGAACTCGGCAAAGTGAGGGTCGAGTTGAATATTTTTAAGTAGAGTGGCAATGCATTGGTCGTAGGGGGTCTTGATGCTATCCATCATCTCCTGGAAGCTGTCGCGGAACGTACGCTTGCCAAACAACACATCGTGGTTACCCTTCTTACGAAGCTCAGTGCCGTATCCTAGGTTATCTGTCATAAAGTCGTTGCTGTCCTGCAGCGTGATGGTACCGTCAAAGTCGGTGAAGAAGATGGCCTTGGGGTTGGAACGCAGCGCGGGGAGTGTGCTGTTAACCCCATTAGTGCCATTGGTGTTGTTCGTTTGAGCCATGATGCCTGTCTATTGTTTAATATGATTTTAAATCCAGTATTCTAGATGTCGTTGGTCGAGTCGTATTGCCTCTAATATGTATCCACTTGATGGTTGTCTCTTATACTCTCTATCTTGTAGATGAGGGACTTTGGTATAATATCTCAGAAAAAAGGAATGACGTCACACGATAAATGAAGGGTCCTTTGCGTGCTACGCTGCCTCACGTCTAGCAAGTTCGTGAGAAAAAAATAGATGAGTTGCGAATATGTAGGTGCTCGCCGGTCAAATAAGAAAAGAAAAGGATGAGTGAAATAAAGTTTCCCAAGGGTCAAAAGCCAATACTAACACCGACTCCGAACACATGCGACAAACAAGAGCGATCCGCGGGGCTCTTTCTGTCTACCATTCTTCTGCCCCTCCATCAAATTTGTCGATCGGCTATGCTTTTCTGCCAAAAAGGAAAGGGTCCCCACTGAGGCTTATTAGTGATCTTGGCGAAGCTACCTTATGCTTTTTAGTGTACATTATAGGTACTAGGTACCTACGTATATGCACTATATGCACTATAGCTGGTTGCTTATGTACTTTAGGTCGTAGCTACCAGCTATTGCCTAACTGTGGTCCCGGTAAGGCGGTGGGCGGTAAGCGGTGGTCGGGTAATTCCCGGTATTATTTTAACTTCTTTTCTCGGCCGGACTACACAGCGTCATATTTTGTCCTTCCCTGTTCCGTCCCGTCCCCTACTTTAGGTATTTTCACCATAGATTGATCATACGCCAACTCAATCGCAGCAAAGAGGAAGGGTAGCCCGACCCATCCTCTAGCTTGCCTTGATGTCGACTTCGAGGGCCTTGAAGCCCATTTTCGGGTCTAGCTACCGGCTTCTTCTCGATCAATTGGCACCTCAGTCTACAAGGAAGCTCATCTCGAGCCGCCCATCCTCGGCATGTCCAACCTGCCGGCATAGCTCCGTGCTTTTTTTAAGCCGCCAGCTTCGGTTCTCCTCGTCCTCGTCCTCGTCTTCTTCCTCCAACTCGACTCCGCCAAACCCTCCTAGGAATAATGAAAGTGATAAAAAGCCTCTCGAAAATGAACCTATATTCCCCTTCTCCCCACCCTTCATCGAACCACCTCCACAACCGGAGCCCAAACCGACACCGACACCCCCGCCACAGCAACCACCGCCACCCCCTCCCCCGGAAAGTCACTCCACGGTGAACCCCGAACTCCCCTCGGCTCAGAATTCGCGGCGCTCCGCTCTTAACCGCTCTCTCAGCACGTTCATGGATCGGGCGCAGACGACGCTCTTCGCTGCGTCCCAGCGGATTAACGACCTGACGGGATACTCCGGGATCGAGACCCTAAAGACCCAAATCAGCGGTCTCGAATCGGAGCTTGCGGCGGCACAGGCCCGGCTGCACGCTGCGCGTAGTGCCTACAAGTCATCGGTATCCTCGCGGTCCGCGACGCAGCGAGAAGTCACGACGCTACTGGCGCGACAGAAGATGTGGTCGCCGACGGACTTTGAGCGTTTTACGGCGTTGTACCGACAGGACTACGAGCTGGACGCGGCGGTGGCGGCACGGGCAGCCGAGCTCGAGGAAGCGGAACGCGAAGCCGAGCGTCTAGGCCGTGAGCTGAGCGCTGGTATTCTGAGCCGCTACCACGAGGAGCAAATATGGAGTGACAAGATCCGCCGCATGAGCACCTGGGGTACTTGGGGCCTTATGGGTGTCAACGTCCTCATGTTCCTCGTTTTCCAATTCGGCGCCGAACCCTGGCGACGCAGGAGGCTCGTCAAGGGCTTCGAGGAGAAGGTTCGCGAGGCTTTAGAAGAGGAGCGCCGACTCGAGAGGGCATTTAGAGGGGCCGAGAAGGAGAGGAGGAAGATAGAAAAGGAAGCTGCCGCCGCTGCCGTTGAGACCGCGATTGCGGCCGAGGTAGTCGACGCTGAACCAGTTACGGCGGAGTTAAAACCGGAAGAACCAGCCGATGGTATCATAATAGGTCCGCCGATCACATCGTGGCGAGAGTCACTCTCGAACCTGGAGTGGTGGAAAGCTGCGTACGCCGACTTATCAAGTGATAAGAAAGTCGCCCTCAAGATGCGAGATGTTTCTATAATAGCGCTCGAGGGCGCCGCCGCCGGTGCCGCAACTATCGGTACCATAGCTGCTATTATATTTATCCGAAGATCCTAGACTAGAGCAAAGTGTCAAATGGGTATGTACTCTAACTTCAACACCCACAGCTGTACAATACGATACCCCCCAAAGACCGCCCCTATCAGCACACCATGTACATTCACCTTGTATATAAATTCGAAAAAAAGAAGGATGACGTTTGCATTATCTGCCGGTCTAATTAATGGCAAGCTACTATATGTCGGGGTAGACTGTACGATAGCGTCTGCTTGCCGCCCCTCGACTGAGAATTCTAAATCGCGCCCAACAGTAATCGACCTTTTTTTGAATATTCGCTCAGCGAATGGGATTTCACGTAACGCCTATGTATCCGTGGCACGAGTAGTAAGTGCGCCGTGGCCTACAGTGATATCGACCGTGCAAAAATTCTTTTTTGATCAATGCGCCTCGAACTAAGCAGATCACCTCGCCGTCGTATACCACGGATCCTGGGTCATAGCAAAACGATTGAATCCTCCGCTCATTTCTGGGATTTACCACTACTGCTGCTCCTGTTATCATACCCTTTCGATTAGTCCTCAACTTCCAGTCTTGGCGCCTAGTCGAAATCCGCCGTGTATGAGAATCCGCGAAACTCTTCTTGCATAGCTTGCGAAAGCACTATAATTTTATTAGTATGACCGATATTTTGGGTGTAGACGCAATTGTTCTTACCTGACTGCACCGGCGTCAAAACCGGTGTAACACTAGTAAATTCTGAATCAAAATTGCTGGTGTCCGTTGCGTTCTTGATCGTGGGCATGAAAGGAGGGGCTACCCTCTTATGATAAATATCATCCCATACGATGTTTCTGAAAAAAGGCTGACTCATGACCTCTTGAGCATCAGTTGGCCCGCTTCCTAATCGCTGGTCGGGGTCTCTCGTGAGAAGTTTCTGTAGGATCGAGACCGATTCCCTGGGCATATGAATAGGATAGAGCGGCTCATCCGCAAGAATTGCGTCGTAGATCTCGTCCTCGTCTTCACCCCGGAAAGGTGATTGTTGTAAGAGCATCTGGTAAATTAACACACCAAAAGCCCACCAGTCCACCGCTCTACCGTATTTCTTATCCAGTAATATCTATCATGACGTTAGAAACAGTACAGAGGCATGTAAAGTAAAGGGGTACACATACTTCAGGGGCCATGAACTCGGGGGTACCGCAGAAGGTACTAGTCGTAGAGCCATACCACATGTCCTCTTTGCACAAACCGTAATCCGCAATCTTGATGTGACCATCTAGTGTGAGTAAGATGTTGTCAAGCTTGAGATCACGATAAATGACGCCATTCTCATGGAAATATTTAAGTGCTAAGCAAACTTCAGATGCGTAAAACCTACGAAGGTCAGCAAACATGCTTAAAGGGGTTATAAACATTGGAACCTACTGTGCACGTTTGGTGCCAAATTGTCCACGCTGGATGTGAAGCATCAGGTCACCACCGCTGATGTACTCCATGACAAAATACACCCTTGTTTCGGTTTGGAAACAGGCATGTAAGTTAGTCAAAAACGGATGGCGTTCCCTATTCGCAATCAGGAACACCCTTTTCTCGGATCGGATACTTTCGACTTCGTCGTTTTCAATGATAAATTCCTTCTTTAGAACTTTGATAGCATAAAGCCGTCGTGTTTTCTTCGTTTCCGCCAGCATGACCTTACCAAAGTTACCTTTACCGAGGACTGCAAGGAAATTAAAGTGGTCCAATCCAATACGCTGACCAGTTCCCGGGTCAGTTGCAGAGGGTAAAGGTTTCCTTGAAGGGGGCGGCAATGTAGTACTCGAAGTTAGTGAAGGGGTTTCCTGGACTGGTTGCGGTTTTGAAACCGGTGCGATAGGGGGGTACATTTGCTGTTGCTGTATTTGAGGTGGTGGAGATTGCGATTGTTGGGCCGGGCGTTGCTGTTGTTGCGGTATTTGTGGCTGGCCTGGAGGATAGTTGGCAATATTTGCATACGCTGCTGGGTTATACTTCGGCTGAGAAGGTACATTGTAGGGCTGACCGGCTGCGTACGGATCTTCTTGAGCGTCTATGGTCCCGCTATAACTGCTGCCAGTCCTACCAGAGGAGTAGTCTGAGACTTGTCCTGGGCGACCTGATGGAGAACCTATAGTACCACTCATAGCAGCTGTAGCGGCAGCAGCGGCAGCACTCGAGCCAGATGAAGTACGATCAGGATAGATAGGTCTCGTCGGCGAGGCCTGACTAGCATACATAGCTTTAGCAGCATCGGTTGCCTCTTGAGATGCGACACTAGGCTGGTAAGATGGTGCACCATGAGTGCTATAGGGTGACATGGGACCTGACGATGTGCTGGTAGGGCTAGACTTGCCCTGTCTAAGAGTCTTATCAGTCAAGGAAGTCGCTTTTTGTTGCCTCTGTTTTTGTGATCTGATGCCTTCGAGGATCTGATTAGCAACAGCCATACTCATACCGCAGAAGTCCGGTACAAGATGCACACAGTGGGCATGAGCCGTAAGCGCGCACTCTATAGAAGTATTAGCCATATTAGAACAACTAAGAAGAAAGAGTAAGTATCGATCGTACCGGTACACTTTCTGCAATTCTTCTTTCCAAAAGGTAGTATATAACCACAGTGACAACACCAATTAGCGGTAACATTCGAAAATGGCGCGAACCTATGGGGAATACGGTGATTGATCTTCTCCTCGTCTGGATCTGTTTCGGCGTTGCTTTTGCTAATACACTTTGTAACCACGCTCGAATAACATTTCGTATGACAAGTATACTTGCAGTCCTCGCACTGCATACCCGCAGAGTATTTGAGGAAATCGCCGCAAAGGGCACAACGCATGATATTGTAGAATTGGTGTTGCACGAACTTGTGTCCGTACATCTCGTGTACCTCTTCTTTGCGTTGACGAATAGCACCCTTTCGCCCAAGGCCAACGTCCACGGCTCTGCGGTCTTTGCTTTGTTTTATGAAGTTGAGCGATAGGTGAATAGCACCTGTAGGCTCCAGATTAAACCACGCATCGATCGGTTGAGAGGTAACTTGTGGCACCGCTTGCGGCCCAAATTGCTGCTGACCCGGACCAGCTAATCCAGGGGATGCAGGACCGGCAGCAGCTTGCGGTGGCTGTTGCGGATCCATTGGGAACTGAGGCGGGGGCACTCCAGGGCCTCCTCCCATCCTATCGGCAGATACCCAACCAGAGTTGCTGACCTCGGCTTCGATTCTCTTTTTTCGCATCTCTTCCACGATATCTGATATCCGCACCCATAGCATGGCAATAGGTAATGCATGTTCACCTGGCTTGTCGTAAACTGTAAGTTCGATCTCGTTCGCCTTATCCACCTCGATATTGTGGTATTCGGCTTCCCATCGATCGGTACGTGATACCCTTGTTCGTGCAACGACGTTGTCCTCGACCTTAATAGCAATGAAGGTTTCTGGCCCTCGCGAAAACCGCCCGGTACTAGCATGATCCACATCTCTTACCTGGACAATTCGAATGGAAAGCTGCCCAGTTAATGGCTTGCGTAGATTAGGCATGTTGATACTATCATCTGCGAGGTAGGCTTGTTAGCGTGAAATATAACACAAAAACTGCGGAGTGGGCAGCGAACCATCAGGGGAGTCGGCGGAATCCAAATCATCTATATGAAGTTCTTCGTATCTCTTGAGTGCCTGTTTCAAGAGATGAATCTTCTGTTTACTCTCAACCCTCCTTGCTGCGGCATCAGCTTTGCTTTTGCGATCACCTTCCATGCCGTAGAGTTGAACCATTTTTTCTACACCCTTGAGATATTGCTCCTCGACGTTAAGCTTAAACTGGATTTGAGAAAGCATAAGTTGGATTCGAGGACCGAGATAAGGGGTATCGTATTTAATAAGATCTAAAGACAAATAAGAATTAGATATGGAGGTTTTATTATAAGGGCTATGGTAGAGCCCGTAGTAATAGGAGTAGGAAAAGGAGGGGTGACAAACCTAACTTGGTAAAGTTTGGCCTCAGTTTCGGAACCGTCGATGATGGCCCTGGAGGGGCATATGGATGCCGCGGTGGCATGATATCTCCATGGCCGCCGATTTGGCTATAAGGTAGCGAACCATAAGAGCCTTGATCGCCCGACCACGCGCCGGCATCTTTAGGCGGAGGCGGTGGTGGTCCTTCGCCATCACGCATATCGAGACTACTAGGACGCAACGAGCCGGCTGCGGTAGAGCTTGAACCGATGCTCATGTTATCCACACCTTGTCCCAGACGCTTCATCTGTAAATCTCGAAGCTTCTCTTCGAAAAATTGGAGATTCCGACGGCCCTCTCGCATCTGACTATCGAGACGAGACCTTACATCGTCGTTGTTAGTCTGCTGTCGCATAGAATTAGCAGCATTGATCAGAGCTTTCTCGCGCTCGATCTTTTTGTAAATATTTGCCATGGCCTCTTCGTCGTTCATGATGGGCAGCTGGGTTGCGCGTCGTCACGCGCGGGACCAGGTAGGTATGTAGAAGGTATGTACTAAGACTTGTTGTTGTGTGAGTGGAGGAGAGGTTGAGAAGTTGAGAGGCAGAGAGGCAGAAAGGCAGAGGCAGAAATGCGGGCGGCCCGAGATAAAGCTGGAGAAAAGCTATCTCACAACTCGGTATTGCCTATACCTATGCCTATGTCTAGGTATGCCTATGCCTATACTGCCTTATACTACCTGTATTGGCTGCAATCGGTAGGCCCAGGGCACACACTACCCGCAGCGCTAACGTTAGCCTTATAACAGAAGCCAGTTAATATTTAGATTGAAGCAAGTGTAGTTGCCGGGTTGGCGTGTTGTCAAAGAGCGGGTAAGGAGCAAAAGATTAAAAGATTAAAAGATTAAGAAAATTGGGTAGTGCGATGTCGTCAGTGTCAAGTACGCTACCTTTTAGGTAGAGGTATGTACAAGTTTGCCTTGTGTCAATGGCGGGGTTTTGTGTCTCGCATGCGGCAGGCGCAAGTCTATGGGTGGTCTGTGTTGAGATCCACTGTGGATTTATGGATTTATGGACTAATGGATTTATGGAGGATTTGCTGTGCACTTAAATAATTCAAGGTTGTTATTGTGTAGCCGTTACTGTTATCAGTTCCAATGATAACCCAACGGGCGCCTTTTTTTTTTTCTAGTATTACCCAGGTATCATATTATTATTATTTAAGTCGGGGATTTATAGGTAAGAATGGAATGTCGTAACTTTTCGTCAAGCCTCGAAAAAGTAGACAATTACAAGAAAAAAAAAAAAAAAGAATAGATAACGCCGGGGAAGACGAGCGCCACCGGAAACCCTGAAAAAGAAGCGTAATGCATACCTACCATTTACACATATAAAAGTGCGAAGTCGGTACTTGTTGATTTTACTACGTCGGTGTTAGCCGTCTGCGTGTCATCGGTTTACCAGGTAACCAAATTCGCAGACAAATGAGCTATTCGGCCTACCCAAAATCAGCCACCAGAATAAGAATCAATCTCCAAGTTGTTTGTCGTCTGCTTAGTATCATTAGCAACTCGAAGGATTCAAATAAAACAGCAAATACATAAATCGAAGAGGAAAATACCTAAACTTAAGTAGGTTAGAATAAAACAGACGTCCAGGGAAAGCAAACTAATATCAGGCGAGGTGAGATCAATCGACTCTAAAACAGCCCACGTTCCATTTGAGTAGGAAGTTGAGACTTTTTATATTAGCCCATAGATATAGGTCACTACCTATATACCTCTATATACCTACCTACCTTACTTACCTGCATAGAGGTAGGTATCTATTCACAACTACATCATACATTGCTCTGCCGCTCTTATCAAGTCTACATGCCTGGTAGCATAGCAACTATTATCTATATATCACCACCGCACGGCTTGCATCTGAATCTACGGTCAGAATCTGCAACACAACACAATATAGGTAAAGATCGTCACATATGTACATGTGTGGAGATGCGGGTTAAGAGTCGCGGCTCGCATACATAGAACTATGTCAATATTTGATATTGATCTTGCCCTACCGGTGTAACCATTAGGCATCACGAAAACAACAAAACTCTATCCATTTGTCAGCTAAGAAAATGGGTTGCGCGTCCCCGGAGGTGCCGTAACGCAAAATATACATACCGGCGATTTAGGGAGCCGCTTTCAAGAAGTGACCTGTCAAGTCAAAAAGTTGATACAGGGCGGGGAAGAAACAATATCCCCTAGATATCACAAGCACTACAAACGAGAAGAGAACTTAACCCCACCTTACGTAGGTACCTATCAACATGTCACTATCAGAGATGATGCTGCGGTTATTATGCGATTCGCGAGTTCATCGAAGCAGGTCAAGATTTCACACGTGATACGCCATTTCATTCGATACCATGGACACATTAAGTCAACATGGCAAGCTTTAAATAAATGATGATCCTTGATGCCCAAGGCTATAAACTAACGTAACAAGTTCTTCAGATTCAGACCTCATATACAACGCAATCAGGGGGTATCAATAGTATTAACATAACGAGCCAAAACTGCTCACAGCTATACAGACATGTCTTATCTCGTTTGATCTCATACAACCAAACGCAGGGTATTAGGACATTATGAAATGCTAAAAAACAGAAATTGCCTTGTTGATGCTCTTACATCATGATGCTTGGCCAGGGGTAGCAGAAGTAGAGGGCACGGCCTTTTCGTTATTTGAGTTTGTCGCGGGCTGAGCTGGCAAATAAGAAGGCTGCGGTGGTGCCGGTGCGTAAAATCCGGCGAGGCTTTGGTAATTCTGTCCGACCGGGTTGGCTTGAGGGGCGGTTGGTGCTACGGCGCCAGTTCCGTTGGGAGCTGGACCAAATCCCGCTTGCGACTGTTGTGGTGGTTGCGATAACGACTGCATCGCCACCGGATATGGATAGTAAGGAGTAGTACCCGGTGGTGGCGGAGGTGGATAGTACATGCCTCCCGTCGATAACATAGGTGGTAGAACAACGCCTGCAGGTCTTGTAATATTCCGCTTGTGCGTATCAATGCATGCCACGACGAAAAGTATGAAATGATTGATGGTTGCCAAGCAGAAGAAAGCAAGTACGGCTTGGATCATGGGCAGATACGTGCCGTTGCTGTACAGTTCGATGTCATGGCGGCGACAGTAACTATAACTATAAGACGAATAACGCTCGATTTCCTCCTCGGCGCAATTTCTGATCATAGACTGTACGGAGAGGGAAATCGAAACCGTAATAAGAACGGCGAATGCGCAGGCGAGCCAGAAGCAGAGGTGCAGGCCGACGTGTGCCCCTGGGTGGATCCCTCGTTTAACGTCCTTCCGTGAGCGAATACCGAAGGTGATCAACTCAGCGCCGTTCCATAGAATGGCAGCGATGGTGATGGGAAGGGTATATAGTACCATGCCTTCGGCACCACCATCGTCGTCAAGGAAGGCGCATGATAAGGCCAGGATTACGATAGCGAATATAATCGAGAAGACTGTGAGAACGAGTTTGATGGCTGTCCAGTACCTTGAATAAGGAGGAAGGACTCGAACATTCTGCGCACACGGGTACGGCTGGGGCTGGTAGGCATATGGTCCATAAGGTGATGGATATTGAGGATACGGTTGTGGGAGTGGCTGCTGACGAGCTGGCGATTGTGGTTGAGCAGTTGGATTTCCTGCTGACCTAGCTGGCATCGATGGTGCGCCCCCGTTAACAGGTTCTCCAAGCTGATCCCTCGTCGTCGGAGCCGGGGCGTTCTCGTGGGTTACTGAAGCCGGGCTGCTCACAGAAGAAACTTCATTCTCATCCCTCGTCTCAATTGTCGGTCGTGGATTCTCGTTCGAAGCCATCTTGGTAATAATTAGTCACAATATAAGTAACTATTTATGTTAAAGTAAAGATAGAAGTAAATGCGCAAAGATTAAAAAATTAGTTACAATAATAAAAACGATTGGATGGAAATATTCCCAGTAATGTAACGAACGACGACGAGCTGGATGAAAACTCCAGCACGAGAATGGGCTGACAAGAAATAGAGAGATGAATCGAAGGGGGATTCTTGCCGCCTTTCATTTGAAAATAAACGAGAGCCAAGCTTTTCAGCCCTGGTCATCTTTTAAAGAGTCGGCGCGATTTGCCATTAGCGTAGGCATGTTACATGTCTACCTACTATATCAACGTCGCCACGATACTATTTATATAGTTACATATTCCTATAATTACCTCTAGTTATCACTACTTAGTAGTTAGTTAGTATTGTTCTTTTTCTTTTCTACATAGCAATTCTAGACAATATTTTGACAGATAGGCTAACCTTTACATCTCGTAAAGAGTATCTCATGATCAAAATAGTGACTCACTAATAATCAAAAGTAGCATCGAAATTGTGATCTAGGCAGCTCTTAAAACCCGACAATGAGATCTAGTTCGGATTTTGAGTTGCGGCGCAGCTAGCCTAGAATTAATTCTAGATCGGCCCTAATCTACAGGGGAAGGTGAACATTGGAAGCTAATGCATGCAACTAAAACGACTTTGCACCAAATGAAACAATATCGTAGGAAACGAAAACATCGTCCAAACATCTAAAAGATAGATATGCAATAAGAAGAAGTATTCATATAAAAAGAACTAATCCCCTAGGTAAATTCAACTGTTTAGATCATGCTTAAGTCGGTCTAATCTCATACACACCAAAAATTTAAATTGGTCTTGCATAGGGGCAGATATTCGCATTAGATACATAGTATACTATTTATCCTCAGTGTTTCCTAGCCAACTTTGACCGAGCTCGAATTCTCGCACCGAAAAAGTATAAGACATAAACCAACGCTACAAGACCAAACGAGATAAAACCTAACGTTGCCATCGCCCACTTAGCACCTAGATTATGAAACATGACGATACCTACATTTCTATATGTTAGAGTCGACTCGGAAAACGCTTTGCGTTGGAAAACACTCACCTATATGGCAACAAGCAGCCGCAATCAGAAAAGATGGTATCAAAAATGCAGCTATAGCCGATGCAGCAACATTAGTATATGAATCAGCAATATAATTAAGCATACTGAGCCACAGTAACGGGTCGCAGAAGCCCAACAGACCACCTGCTATTACGGGCGACCAAAATGACACGCTTCCGTCACAGGTAAAAGCGAACCATAGCAGGGATATCGGGAAGCCCCAGACAAATAAGAGCGAAGTCAAGAATCTCGCTTCTGGGCGACCGATACCACCGTTCCTCATACGGTCGCGCTTATAAAACCAGGTCTGAACCGGCACAAACGCGAACATGATAGTTACGCTGACGACGAAATTAAGAAATGTCAAATCAGCTGACATATATCTGGTCCCGTTAGAGTCGATATACTTCTAGCAAAGATAGGAGATACTTACGATAGCCCGTTATTAACTACGAAGACATCAAATACTCCATCTAGATATAGGTATAGCAGCCCATAAGCAAATCCATTGTAGATGCCTAAGAAAGTGACGATGGGCTCTGTCAGCATAATGCGAAACGCCATCGAGGTGACAAAACGCATTTCCCGAAGTACGTCGATACGTTCTTCCATAACAACGAGCTCAGTTGGATCCGATGATTTATGTGCCTTGGCCGCTTTACTAATGACCACCCGCGGTAGTGTTTCTGGAATGAAGCACATGATGATGGTAAAACCACCGGCGATGATGACGCTATCTGAGGTCAGAACTAAGTGTCCCCAAAGCTCGTCCATCATGGAGCAAGTTGCCGAGCGCAGACTCACTTGATCCAGAATATCCACGGCAGCCCCAGGTGCTCGTTCTCGGCAATCAGTTCTCCAATAGGAGAGCCAATGCTTGGGCCATAATTTGCCGACATCACGAACAGCGCCATAGGCTGACCAGCTCCATCTAAATCGCCAAAGAGATCAGCAATAGTGCCAGCTACGTTAGAGAGAGCCGTGCTCCCAGCAGCTCCGCAGAGGAATTGAAAGATGATCAGCATTGGTAAGTTGCGCGCCAATGCCGTGCCGATGTTCAGGATCGCATAGACGCCGATGGACACTACATAAATCCATTTTCGTCCTCCGATATCACTAGAAAACACCATTTAGTTTCTATAAAAGGAGTGGGTCTCTTTTAAACAGCAGCAATACTAAGGGCACACATACGATAGAGGACCTAAAAATGCTGGCCCGACAGCTGTCCCTACAATGAACATGCTCTGGCCAAGAGCTACTACTTGAGTAGACCCGCCATACTTCTCCTGGACGAGAAACTCGGCGCTGACGTAGGTCGTGGTCGAGAGGGTAACGAATACTTGAAGCAAGCAGTAGACGGCGATGATAGGCCATTTCTTTATCGAACTCCAGTGAATGGGGTGAGATGCGCTACTAAACTCGACTTTCTGAAGGGCAAAGAGCGCCGCATCTGCGTCCGAGTCAGGGGCATGTGCAGTCGGTTGCTCGGCCTTCTCTTCCATTCTCTTTGCGATAGCTATGTAAGGGTCGCTTCACCTGATGAATTCATGAAGAGATTTCGGCTACCGGCTGGAAGTTGAGAGCTATGCGCTATATTACGTACATATCCACTAGCATTGACACACTCAGGAGCGGATGTCAGCAACCACAAATTCTACTAGGACCTGAATGATACCACATCGAGATAATTAAAAGCCACCGGGAACAAGGGGATCTACGAAATGCTTCCTGGCCCGCCGACTCGGGCCCAATCAGATATCCCATATGCTTATCATTAGATTGGGTCGCCCTGCATATATGTAGGGGTATCGGCTCGGAATTCGGGTTGAGGCGTCGAATGACGTCCACATTAACAAAGCTAGACTACGGTTTCGTAGTGTAATTGGTCCAGCAAGCTTTTCAGGCCTTATTTCCGTAACTCGGATGGGTCGGTCATGCCGGCTTGATGATACCACAAATTACTAGACCAAGTGAAAATCATCCTCATTGCAAGAAAGTCACTGTGAGAACGCCAATGGATATAATATATCCATGTTGATATTCATAACATGATGAATTCTTGGGTGATACACTAGTAACATTGGGTACTTAACTCCGAGTCCTTTTCTATCACCAAGCCATGGAATCTTCAGTCTAGCGCCTTACACAACATCTAGTACAACTTACTCTACGACAAATTTTCGTGGGGGTACTTAAATTATTGGTGTTCAATTCCTAGTCTAATACTCTCAAACTGTCTGAGGTCAGACCTGACTATCTCTTCAACTAGTTATAGCCCAGGAACTTAATACCCACAATTGTCTCTTGAATCATTCTACCCAGTGATGGCATGGAAACATACATGGTCGTTACAATAAAGACAGAATCGAACTTAGAAATAAGGTATTTAAATCATTCTCGTAGAATACACCTATAGTATTGTTAGCTCAATATCAAATCCTACCTAAGCTTTACCCATCTATCAGGAGACCATGATATGATCGCATATACAAGATAATCAGTTGATGTGTCTATAAGGAGGGCCATTAGCCTCAAATTAGGAGTGATAAGCATTCTAGTCCCTCGTATCTTAACACACATGCTTAGTTCTGGCAGCACTATAACTTATCTTCATTAGGCTAGCATTAAGTTTATGAGTACCTGGCCTAGGTAGGTACCTACTTACATTTATATTTTCCTTTAGGATCAACTCTCGCTTAGATAGAAGTATTTGAATGATAGAGAGTGGAGTTCGCCTCATGCCATGTATGCCTCCGTGTATAACCACTAGAGGGGATTTAATGGCGTTTCCAATATCTGCTCGTGCGTTCGAAGCAATGACTCAGTATTTTCTTGAGGAATGATCGATATAATGTCTTTTATTAACGCCGATATAGGTAGAAATAAAGCTAGGTAATCCCTCTCAAGATCGTTCCTATGGTTACCTAACTCTAGTACCGTGAGATGATAATGATAATGATGAAGATGAGATTAATTTTAGGATCCATATCTTAACATTCCATATATTAGTTAAGTATTTTCGTAAAGATCAATATGCCAGGCTTTAGCTTAGTTATACAGTTACGTCGTACACAGGTTCTCGAGCAATGAATTGATATACTATGGTACATTAGGTACCTATAACAATACCCATGTTGTGGTCTCTACATAGTAATGAAATAATACAGATATACAAGTAACAAGACGTATATGAGATAAGTGCCTAATATATATAACTTCGATCATTGTACATACGTATATAGATAAGTATTAGGATAAGGTAGGTAGTTAAAATAAGCTCAACCAAGCATTGGCACAACGTCGAAGGTCTTGGACTATTACGTACCCCAAATTCGCCCGTTACTAAAACTGTCGATTGTAGCTTGCATCGTTAATCATGATTGGATAATATTGTTGTACAACTAGCTAGGATTGAATCTATTGACGGAGAGGAAAGCGTTGTTTGACAACATGTTTGCATGGGCGGTTCCCTTTAGTGTAACTGATATCTTGCCTCTAAGAAAACGTATTGGCTAGCTGACGTCGTAGCGTACCTCATTTACATGAGAAACGGTTCATTAGTAGTGGATGCGTTATCCCTACCGGTTACGTTTCCGCCTACTTTTGAAATTGAGCCGGAGAAGCTGGGTCAGTTTCCGGTTGATATAACAGTTGAGATCGGTAAATACTCATCGCTCGCATGTACTTATTATGATCAATGTGTTACTGATTATGACTTTTCTCGATTCCTATCTTGTTATCCCGCTACCTCATCTTTGTATACCCACAACGCAATCTTTCGTTCAAATACGGGAATTCCTCTAACCCAGACCCTCACTAATACATATTCAAAATTCCCCAACCAAATTCTAGGATAAAGATAAGAAGTGGCCACATAAGGCCAAAAAAGAATTCATATCGATCGTCGAACCTGGAAAACATTGACTCCATAGTAACGAGGGAACTCCTGGATCCACGGGTTTAACCATGGAGATGCGATAGTTTTAACCGATGTCATCCAACGCCAATCTTGGTAAATGCATACTACGACGTCCTATGAACTCGGCTATGAGAGTCCTAGGTACCTTGCCACGTGAGCGGCGGTCTCACTAGCTGCCTCACCGGCTGCTTCGCTTCCCCCTTCACTGCTCGCTCCGTGGCCCGCGATCTCGTGGGGGTTCGGGAAGTAAAAGGCAGCCACGGCGATAGCGACATAGACGATAATACATAAGAAGCCCTCTAGATAGTCGCTCTTTTGGTCCCTTAGGAAGTTTCCAACGGTGATAATCGCGAGGATCAACATGACAATATCGAAAATTTCAAAGTTGAGATCCATCGGGAAGTTATAACCCCATCCGACGATAATAACCAATGGAGCATTCAGCATGGCGGTTTGGATGGTAGCGCCAATACAATGTGTAAGGGCAAAGTTGATCTGATTGTCCCAGGCCTCGTCGATGGCCGTTAAGTGTTCGGCAGCTTTTTCGACCAGAGGAACTAAAATCAAGCCCATGAAGGGATCGGAAACGTGACCCTGTTCCACAATGGGCGTAATCTGATCGACCAATGCAATGGCAATTAACGTCACAAGGGCTACTGAAATGGCTAGTGCCAAGACACACTCCGTAAATGTCAGCTTAGCTTTCGCTCGGTCCTTGTGGCCATCGGCATCTCGTTCCTCGTCATGCTCGAATACAGCGTCGTAGATACCGTGGTGGGTATGCATCTGGAAGAAGAGGAAGACGGCATATGCGATAAGAAGAAGGATTGCAATGATGTGTGAGATACTGAGTACCCTGGCATCGATCTCTTCTGTGGTAAGATTGTAGCCTGTACTCGTGATCGAGCGTTGGAAAACTGTAGGGATCGCTAGGCCGAGACCGCTGGGATGTGTTAGCATTCTATAAAACTTAGAGTGAGAATGGAATTGGGGGATAGGCGTACGCAATAAGTAGGAGGTTCGAGCCAACTTCGCTGACAGCACCGTGGAATGTAGCCTCTTCTCGTCGTAAACCAGCAGTAAAGAAACACAATCCCAAGCACAGTAGCATATTAGCTAAAATAGACCCGAGAATGGCAGCTTGAATAACGTAGTACTGGTTTTTACGAAGCAGAACCATGAATAAGATAATTTCGACGATGGATCCAATGGTGGTTTCGACGAGAACGCCGAGCATATGCGGCATCTTTCTAGCTAGCTCCTGGCCAGCGAATCCGATGAGATTTGCGCATGGAACCATGGCGATGTACGCCAAACTGAACTTGAGTATATCATAGCCGTCATGAACCGCATAATGGAGAGCAATTGCGGCGGGTACAAAAGGCCAGAGGATGTTCACAGCCCTTGATATCCAACTAGTAGATCGCCAAACGATGGCTAGGAATTGGAGAGGATGTATGCCACTTCGTCCCGATTCTCCTGCCGATTTGATGCGTACCAGGCCGCGGACCCCGCCCTCTGGGTTACCCATTGTCTCTTGTCGAGTCTGAGGAAGTGCTGATGCTTGCTTGTTGGTTTGGGAGCGTCGTGTAACTTTTTCGCGATCCCCGACAATACCCTCACCGTTTACCGTCATCACAGAGCTTCAAGGTACTTTTTGTTCAGTACCATAGAGAAAACCGGCGAGGAATAGGAGGGTAAAAGAGAAGAAAACAAGGAAAGTAATAAATGAATCTGAAGCCGCTGAGAAAGAAAGCAGGTAAATAGAGAAAAATAAGACAGAAAGCAAATAAATGTCTGGCGCTTATGGTTTCAATGCATCAGCCCCAGCGCAGTGAAACAATGAGGAAAGGAAAATATGAATAAATCATTTATTACTTTACCCCATAGCTTATGGCCTAAGCAATTCATAAACTCATCCACTTGGCGCGCTGCTGAGTTGTTCTCTGCCAAGACGATTAGACGAATTGAAGGCTGCTTTTGCTTGCTTACGGTACGTCGTTTACATGCGGTACATGGTTAATGTATTCGACCCCCATATGCTCATCTACATATGTATGCTAGGTCATCTACCCATGTTATGTATGTACATTATATATGTATCGTCAGGCCTCCGATGGCACGTTCTGCGCCAGATTCCAAGGATCCACCTATGAAACGGGGGAGGGCCTGTATTAGATTTAACAGCCATAAACAAAGGCGGGGCATTTAGACGAACTCCTCGAATGAGAAGCGGTGCTTCGTATAAAGAAATAATTCAAAGGTAAAAGCTAGCTTCCTAACGAAGGTGATCTTCCATGTCATATTTAAGAAGCGGGACGAACTAAACATTATTTGATTTGTTTTCTTTTGTGAACTTGTTTTGTTGAATACTAGGTAGTTACTTTATGTACTTGGATAGTGGCTGATTCTTAAGATCTCAAGTTAGTTTTGATAGGCTTGACTGTGAGAATGAAACTCCTTACTCAAGTCATTCATATACATACTCTCTCCTGTAACTTATAGATTTAAACTAACAGGCTATTTACTCTTCAAATTTAACTGAAAGATCTTCAAAATTTAAATGAGTAGATGAGTGTTTAATATGTTATTTGTGCACTTTGTGTATAGATATTGTACCGTTTTGCATTCATCGTCAACACATGGTAATACGTCGGAGAATTAATTAAGCAAATGTACTTTGACGTATTATCTCCAACGAGTACAATCGCAGATTGATACCAACCCAAGTTCTTCCAGCTTATTTCAAACTTCATTTTAACTTCAAATCCTACTTCTCCTATATATCTTAACTAAGAGAAATTTCCATGTTTTATAACCCATATCTTATACCAGACGCCATCATCTTTTAAAGATTTCCCCAGGTATATTTTAAGCCCCAGTCGTGAGCCACCAATCATCACTGTTAAGCCTATAATTGAACGTGTGGTTCGGGTAAAGCCTTCCAAACAACAGCAATCTCCTTGGCCTTGTTCTCTATTTCATCGGTACTGCATGAGGTCTCTTCCAATTGATCCGCCACTCCTAGAATTTCAGCGCTTCCGGGCCCACATATAAGCCAGGGAAGAAAAGATGCTTTCCAAGCCGGAAATTGTTTAAGCGCCGTAAAGTATACTGTTACTATGAATAGTAACATAGTTAGTAGTACTATTGATGATAGAAACAGCATCCACTGCCACCGGACTTGTATACAGGTTGCGTAGTGGAAGACTTGCCCGACGGCAGGGTCTGAATAGTTCTCGTGGCCGTGAGTTCGAACCCAAGTAGTTAGTGAATCGGAAATATTTGAAAATGTCTGCTGGATGCGGTCAAAATCAATACGCCCAGAATTATATATGTGTTGCAACGTCTGGGGGCCGTCAAATTCATTCAATTGTAGGGACCCGTCGGTCCATTCGATTTCCGAACCAGCTTTAAGTACCCCTTCGCAATTTTCGCCTATGGTTATTGGTCCTGTGGCACTCCCAAATACATGATCTATAATATACAAGCATTTTCGATCAAGAAGAGAGTCTGCTAGTGATGAGTTGATTCCAGGGTCGAATTCGTCGTAGGGAAACCACCGATGAGTCTTGTCGACATTATACCCTTGACCTGCTAGCTCATCTATATCTTGCGATGTTAGACAGTGTGTATCTATCATTCCGAGACATCCTCCTACGCCCCAAGCCGTAGTCCCCGAGTGGGAAATCAGGCGCTCAGTGAGACGACCTGCTTCTACCATAGCATTATAGACCCGCACACACGGCTGGATTGTGCATGTTGCAGCCCCATATCCTCTGCAGCGCCACGAGTCAACTAATGTTTTGTTTTCGCAGCCTGCTATCAGATCTCCAGTAGTTATATCCTTGTGGTTGTCGGAGAGAGGTGTTTTACTAGCGAGTATATTCACAATAACTCTCCAACCATCATCTGCACTTAGGCTATTTAAGGTGTAGATTTTGGCCACTTCCATGTGACCAAAGTCATAGCAAGGGGACTCGGTACGAGTTGGAATAAAACTCGTCACGTTCAGTTGCGAAGGTCTCGGTGATGCTTGTGTTGAATGGTTGATCGTTGGAATACTAGATTTGATTACGCGGAAGACGGTAGAATTATCCGAACATTCGATATTTAACTCGCTTGATTTGTTAGAAATAGTAACATGAAACGAGTCTATGGTTATTTCTTTAGATATATCCTCACAAACACTACAGTATCCTATGGTGCTGTAAAGGTCTGAAAAAGAGCAGTTGCCAGTCACGCATTTGGGATACAAGCCACTTTTCAGTTGTGAAACTCCCTGTAAGAATGCCGACTGAAATCCATTGTAAGTTCCAGTACTTGGAATGGGGTAGTTAGTCGGGTCGTACCACCAGTTTGTCCTAGGCAACGTAGCCCTTCGATCCAATATAGCCACGCTGCAGTCAGATGGACTTATCAGTTGTTGTATAGAAGGATCAATTCCTGTAGAGGCAATTATAAGAATGCCACCCAAAGCGATAAGAGGTTGGTGTAGGCGTTGTGCCCAGAGAAGCTGTAGTGAACCCCAAGCTCCACGCCCTGCGTTGTCGAATCGAATTAGGTCATACAGTGGACGGCGTTCTTGTGCGAACCAATTCCACTGGAACTGGCCAATGCATGACATAAGAATGAAGGATAAGCCGGACCTTAGAATGATAGAATATATTGAAAGCAATGTATTTATCGAGACTCGAAATGGCCACTGGGGTAATGGGTACCCATCATGTGGATACAGCGTAGCAAATATGACGAAGGGGATAGCCAGGATAAGTAAACAATTCGCGGCTTCCCATTTCCAAGCGGTATATAGGTATTTCAGGCCAGCACCGAAGGCCCGGGCTTGTCCAGCCGATTCCCTCGGCGCGGTTGGGAGCTTCGGTGAAGATATAGGCCCTCCTGAATCTTGAGGGGAGTGCGACCATAAGGTACGATCGTGGTCGTCGGCCGCTGGACTTGAGTGTTCCGAAGAGAGTGAATTATATGATACTGGATTCATGATGAAATGTAATGTGATGATCAAATATTCACTTAATACAATAACTCCAATATGAAGACTTAGTTAAGGACGAGGAATATTAGAAATGTATTGCAAATATCAAGGAGAAAGGCCTTGTGTAGGTTGAAAATTGATTTGGTGGGAATCTTCCTGACTTAAATATAGGCTACTGTCTTGAAGCGCGGAGCGTAATCGTGTCGAAAGTGTGCCTTGCGCACTCTGTTGTACAATACTTAGGTAGCTTTCCAAAAAAAGATTTACTTTGGGGGCTTATTTGAGGTGAGGATAAATTTCCATTTCCTAATCTCGCTCGTATAAGAGTTTTCTGTCCTCCTTGGATACATTTATTAACGTCGTAGAGCATAGTGTGGGGTCCATATGCAACTTTACCCCTGAAAATAGAATACCCTCTATAAAGGCCAGCTCCTACTTGGCGAGATGATATCTTTGTCGGGCCTTTCTGATATGGACATTTTGAGATCGCGAGTTTAGGTGGCTGCGGCTATATTAGTCTCAAAACGCATAAATCTTAGAATAATACCAAAACTAAGAGTTTATCCTTGGTCAAATACCCATATGTGCACTTATTCATCTCCTACTCCAGCCCCTTTGTCGTTTGTTTCTTCTGTCTCTTACTGCTTCACGTTTAATACAATATTCCAAGGTAAAAATAAAAGGTAAAACCTTAGGCAAAAGCAAACCTACTTAGTTGGTGGTTTGTTAACTATTCTTCTAAGAGTAAAGAGTTGTGCCACAAAGTTTCTATAAATTAAAAGACATAAACCTTACTACAAGATCATTTATAAACCACTACAGAAACTGGGTAGGATGAGTACCTCCTAGTAAGGTAAGAAGGCCTATAAGACAAATTGAAGTGAATCTCAAGACTTTTACGAAAATATATGTCTAATGTAATATTTATGGTAGGAAATAGCATCTAAGTTTAGACTGAGAGCTGTGTTTTATATTCGGCTAGGGGTTAACATATGAGCTAGCTAAACAACTCTCTGAACATATTCTCCCCGTAAATCGCCAAAAAGTTAAGTAGTAATCCCAAAAAGAAAAAAAATAAAAGGGGGGGAACCGACTTTAGTGCTAATATATCATCTCGTCACCCGAAACATAACCTATACAAACATCCCAAGCCCAGCCAGAATCTAGCACATGTCCATATCTATATCATTTATCCATTCCTTCTCCAATCCGAATAAACCTTCTAGAGCCCTCACTATTTTCCCGCGCTGAACCTATACCCTACCTAGAAGTGAAGAAAATAAAACCAACCCACTTTGGCTAAGTAGAATGGTATACTAGTATATCAAGCTTGTCGCAGGCCTAGCTCGATGTCCTCATTTGTCAACGATGTCTTCTTCCAGGTCTTCTCCAAGAACTGCCAGCTACCGAGGACACCGAACATAAGGCTAGCAATTATAGTAATGTTAGTTACGCGGTATCCCGAAGGCCAGAGCGAGTAGAGCAAGAGAGACACAAGCGACATCAGGACCCCGACCACAAGTAAGACGTAATAAAAGGAGGTTAACTTCTGTCGAAGCGTTGTTGTATCCTCCTTAGTCGACACGACAGTGAATAGCAGCGGAGACAGCATTGATGCGGCTACTTGGGCAACCATGATTGGGTAACTGTCGTCGTTAAGTGACGGGAGAGCGTCATCTGGCCGACCGGGCGTAATGCTGATTGAGAGTGCCGTCCAAATTCCCATAAGGTGGCTGAAGATGACAACGACGAAGCGAACTATCGCTCTGATGTCTGTCATTGAGTGTAAATAAGACCAGAAATATGAAATTGCGCGAGGGAGAGGGATGATAGCCCGTTTAGAGGTCGGTGAAGCCGACTCGTTATTGGTGTCGGATGAATGATGATGACTCTGGTGTATGGTCACCCCAGGAGAGCTTGAAATTGCACTGGCAGTTGCTAATGATTCCCGAGACTCGCTACGACTTCCAACTGAACTAGAACATGGAGCCGCAGACTCAAACGAAAGATAATCTATAGTGATATCGTTTACGACGTGGTCGTCACTTTCGCAACTTGAATCCATTCTAGAGTGGTTTGAATTACCAGTCGTCGTGAGGCTATTTGCGGGTCTCGTCTGGTAGGAAATATCATGGGCCAACGCCCCTGAAGAAATATGTTAGATGAGTGAAGGGTAGTTATTAATGTAAGCCTGACCTTGTTGGGGATGAGAACAATGCTCGTCTCTTGTAAAAGGAAAGGTTTCATTGAGATGAGCTCCTACACCAAGAAGCTGAAGTGGTAATGGCTCAGTATAGGTAACTGGTATAAGGGTTATGGTTGTGCTTCGATCTCGCCTAGCATCCTCGGGAACCGCCATTATATCGTAACCTTGCCGGTCAAGACTATTTAAATGATGGTGTGGAAAAGATCTTTCATAGATTCAACTCTTAGGTATTAGTTGATTCGAAGTTAATAAGTTTGATTAAGCAGATGAATATTTTGCAACGTGTCTGTCTTTCTATATTTTATAGAATAAGTGTGTAGGCGGTCTTACCTTTATACCTACCTAGATGATCGGAGGTTACAATGTGCGAAAGTAGGTACTGAAAGATCGGCTACGCTGTGTTCGCCTACTTCTAGGTCATTCGAAATCGACCAGCATATTTCTAAAGTGGATCTTGGTGATACTCCATGGCAAAGACTACCTTGGTTGATCGAGGCAAGTAGGTCATGGCCGGGTCTTGACATTTTACCCTAAGTTCAACACCGTGTATTACTCAAAATAAATAAATAAATATGAGAGGAGGCTATACAGTACGCTCCTTATAATAATGTTAGTTTTTCGGACGTGCACGATATAAAATAAGGCTTCTAATTCTGGATAGAAAAACGCCTTTTAAAATATCTCAACTATTATACTAGGGTTTTATAGCATAAAATACCCTAAAACGACGTTTCCGAAAAACTACAACAACTTTATAAAACAATAATAAATATACGCTTTAGGATTTTAGCGAAGTAGTTTTAGGGGTTTACTGAATAACATTATTATAAGGGGCGTACTGTATGTAGTTGGGTCCTTGGAGACGATCCTGGGAAATCCATCCATCACATCCTCTATTAACTATTGCTGCGGGTTTTGTGCAACGTAGAGTAGACACCTCAGCTTCAGCCTCTAAAATGTGGGCAGATCTGAATATGCGCGACATAGCCCGAATCTCAGTCAAATTAATCAAGACGGCACGCGTACAGTACGCCCCTTATAATAATGTTAGTTTTATCGGACATGCATAATATAAAATAAAACTTCTAATTCTAGATAAAAAAACGCCTTTTAAAATATTTTAACTATTATACTAAAGTTTTATAACATAAAATACCTTAAAATAACATTTCCGAAAAGTTATAATAATTTTATAAAGCAATAATAAATATACGCTTTAAGATTTTAGCAAAATAGCTTTAGGGATCCGCCGAATAACATTATTACAAGGGGCGTACTGTACGGTAGTCGGTGGCTAACTGGTCACGTCCAAGCTGCAGAGTTGCAGTCTCAGTACAGAGTGCGCCGATTTCGTCAGCGCCTTTCTGACAGGGTTGCCCTTACCGTTCCCTGATTGGGTAAAACTTACACAGGAGGTAGGACAGTATGTACATCCTCTCATTGGGTAAAACCCACACCCCACATCTGGATTTCTCAGACAGCTCAACAGATGTATTATGTACCTGGAATACGGGGTTTAAACAAGATGTTTTCGTATATTATAAGTGTACGCCTCTGAGCCTAACTGATGTACACCACATAATTGCAGAATTACCTCCTCCTCTTCCCCCCACCTCCAGCTCCCTCACTGTCACCTTTCCTCTTCTTACCCTCCTTACGCCAGAACTCCTGCTTCTCCCTCCGTTCCCGCGCCTCCTTCTTCTCACCCATCTCTTCCATCTTCTTCTTGAATTCCGCGCGCTTCTCGTCTTTCTTAGCCTTGCGCCGGGCCACTGCATCCTTGCGGATCGTCGTCAGCTTCTGTAGTAAGTCACGTGCCTTGCGCTCTTCTCCACCCAGCACCACTGCCCGCTTCTGCATGTACGTCTTGCGTTTCTGTGGTTTCGTCTGTATGATTTGTGACTTGAACGGTAGTTCCGCTGCTAGAGCGCGGGGTACCTTTAGTGCGTTGAAGTGTCGTGTGGCTCGCTCAATTTGCCGATATTTGCTGTTGTTGTTCTGCGGCGTTGCAATCCCCTGGTCTCGCCGTACCTCACCCGTCAGCCGCATCGGCTGCCAGTTGCCAAGGAGGTTGGTGACCGGATTGTAGAACCGGTGCGGCTTGATGGGGTACCAAGCGCGAAGGAATACCAGATCGCTCATCAGGATCTTGTCTTCGAACGTAGCTCGGAAGTGCCCATCGGGTTTCGATAAGGCGCGTTTGATCTGACCACGGATACCAGAAACGGTTTTGATTGCAGCACCTTCGAACTTGGCGATTTCCAGAGAGCTGTTGAACATATCCTTAATGAATGCGGTATTCTTGAATATTTTATATGGAGCACCGGTGAGTTTGAGCTTCTTCACAATCTCAACCGACTCGTCAACAGATAGAACGGTTCCAGTTGCAGAGATCCGGAAGCCTGGGTTGGCGGAGGAAAATGACTGGAAACAGACAAAACCTGTATTTGGTGCGATTAGAGGACCGTAGAACGTGCCAAAGCAGTGCATATGCTCCGGCGTATACTTCAGCATACGATTTCTCGTCCGAGAGTCCGAAATGCTGTATATTGGGAGTGTCTGGAATCTCCTCCACCCAAGAGAGAAGATAAGGGGGTCGTTGGTTTTGAGAATTTTCTTGTGCCAACGGTGCCTCTTGATACGGACTTGGACAAACCCAAATCGATCCTCCGTAGCAAGCACACCACCGACTATAATAGGTATCTGAGCGTTGAAATTTGTAACGAACTCTGCAGGAACCTTCTCAAGCAGAATCTTGGCATATTTGCCAGCTTTGAAACCCTCGACAGCGACTCTTTGCCGTTCGTCCAAAGCTTCAAACTCGGCATTGTTGATGTCAAGCTGCTTTTGAATGAGCGCCTTTTGCGCATCATACCAGTCGTCTTCACCAAACTCGTCGTCGTCTCCGCCTTCGCGCCTAGCCTGAGCCTTGTCATTTTTAAACCCTTCTCGATCTTCCTCCTCAAACCGTAATTTCAGCTCTTCTTTCCTCCGAGCATTTCTTTCGCGCTCTGCTTCTATGCTCTCGGCTGGCTCTGGCGCGGGATTGGCCTTGTGCTGTTCACCCGTTTCAAGGTCTTCAAACTCGCCGTCTCCTTCATCGTCCTCGTCCCCATCCTCATCGTTAAACCCATCGAATCCGTCTTCATCGTCGTCTTCGCCGAGCGTCGCTGTTGTAAAGCGCTGGCGGAGCTGCTCAACGTTATCGTCGAGTGTCCATTTAGTAGCTAACTGGTCATAATCGTATAGGGGTATTGAGCGGTCTTCTGAGCTTGCATCCTCTTCGTGCTTTGCCCTCTTAAAGAAATCTTCGTCTTCGGAGTCTTCAATATTTTCTTCCTCTTCTTCCGCATCGACCTCTCCTTTCCATCTCTGTAGCACCTCGTCGGCTGTCAAGGCCTCATCATACATCAGGCGTGCTAAATCTGCTGTTCGGTAGGACGGACGGCCGCCATGGCGAAGTAGTGCTTTCCCAGCTAAGTTGTCCTTCCACCTGAGTGCGGATTCTTCTGCGCCATCGTATTCATCCTCATCTTCTTCATCGCCATCATCATCGTCGTCGTCGTCGTCTACCTCATCGCCTGATATAGAGCCCAGATCTGAGTCGCTATCCGCAAATGCGATATCTTCCTCGTCACCGTCCTTATCTGACTCCTTAAACATTTTCCCCAGTTTTTGCTCATTGAACTCGGGCTCTTCGTCCGAATTGAAATCTTCCTCTCCGCTAACAAAGCCTTCGTCTTCGGGCGTTTCTTCTTCATCCTCATCTCTTGCAGCGAATCTTGCACTACGTTGACTTTTCCGTCCAGTATCTTCCTCCTCAGGGACACTCGTTATCTTCTCGCCGCCTCGGAAGAGCTGCAGGCCGTCTTCCGTCTGACCTAACAACCGCCTTTCTCCTTGGAGTCCGATAATGAGTTCTTCACCCTCGCCACGATCTCCATCTTCAGCGTCTTTATCGAAATTAAACCCCTTTTCCCTAGTAATCCAGATAGCATCACCGTCTATCTTCAGACCACTTCTATCTGACATAGGAGCATGAAGCTTCTTTTCCTTTTCATCTAGTCGCCTCCTGCCAGTTTTTCCAGTTGCTTTCGCAATGGCCTGTTCCATAGCTGGCGTCGGACATGGATCAGGCAGAGCTTCTATACCTGACACGGAGAAATCACCTAGACCAGGAATATGGACTTTTTGGTTGTGGCCCGAGAAGTTAGTTCCTCGAAGATACCCTGAAAGAACAATTGATCGATCACAATTTTCGTCCTCCTCGATCTGAGTAGGATGCGTAATATCTCGGAAGCTGTCTATGATAACATAGGGATGTGAGTTCCTCCAAATTAGCGGTCGGGGATTTTTCATGACAGAAAGGAAGCGAGATAGATTGTGAATTTCGCGGTCCGGATATCGCCCATTAATAACACCAGATAGATAGAATAAATGTGCGCCCTGATATAATTCACTCCATAATCTGTGTTTTAGTCTTTTCTTCGCATCTTTGAGAGCCTGGGGTTTTTTGAATAAGTCCAAATGGGTCAGAATGCCAAACACATTGCCAGGCATACCCGTTGCAGCTAGAATATTTAAGAATTCCATAGTCTCCATTTCAAAACCAAAGTTTCCGTCAATCATTAGTAGGACGATGTCAGCAACTTTAGCTATGTCGACCATCGCTTCGAGTTCATTGGGGCATTCGATAAAGGTTAACCGTTGTTTTTTTGATGTGACCACGGTTATGGGCCCTTGAGGTTCTGAGATTGTCTCCTTTGCATATCTGCGAATGAGCGACTTTAATAACGTCGTTTTTCCAACGCCAGGAGGTCCAACAATTGTTACGAGTCTCGGAGGCGCCTCGCTGGGTACCCGATCGACGAGAGGGACGTGAAATCGCCTTTCTTTGATCTATTATAGAGAGATTAGTTACAATATTGATAACCACCGTTCGTGTAGATTGCGCATACATCTTGAGACCTTGCAGCTGCGCGTTGTAGTTTACCGGGTCTAGAGAAGGCGAAGGCCTTAGGATTGTGATCTGGTCTTGTTAGTAGGGTAATGATTGCAATTGGAGTTATACTAACCACCAGTTGGCTTCTTCTTCTCTTTCGATTTGCGATGAGGTTTGTGCGCCTGTTCTTCCATGATTGCGACTTTGCGACGTTGAACGCAACAACTTGACTCACGTAAAAGATGCTGTAGCGACTTGAGTCTTTCGCATTGAAGAAAAAAATGTTTAGATGATCAAGTCAGTTCTTATCGATAGCGATAAGAACATTTTTAATGGGCCCGATTCCCTCATTTAAGCTGATATAAAGTGGGACAAGGTTGGCTTACATTCGGGGTCCCTGAATTCTACTTCAGGGTAGGTTACTAGCGGCTTAAGGCCTCCATTAGAGACATGGGATAAGGTAGCATAAGGTAACTTTCTACATATGTAGCCTAGAACCTTTAAATATAAACACCGAGGTATCACATAAACGGATGGTAAGTGAGAGTAGCACTTCAAGTATTTAATCTGGCTTCTATATGCAGCGTAGAAGAAATCGTGTGTATACATGGATTTATCTATGCAGTATTGCGTACCTTATCCAAACCTATAAAAAGCGACTTGGAACCTCAGGAAGTTATGCTATGGAAAACAGTTCTAGCTTAAACTGAATTACCTATTCACTTTATATACGGAATCAAAGACGTATTAACAATACAAGGTCATACATATTACTGTATAGGTACGCAAGCTACGGGATGAGTCAAATCCAACTCGGAGCCAAGAAAGATTCTTAGCTACGGATCCGTACAATGTATCGAATCTAACATGTCAGAGGCGAACGGTGTTTCCAAGGCGCTAAAGTGTAACCAAATTCGTAAAGGAGCGGGAAGTTTGCTCTAAAGGTTAGGCCGTAATGACGTATTCACCCTCCCACCTGTCGAAAGCCTCCTACGCGTATTCAGTCCTATGCCACCTTCCTTACGGCGATACTAAACGCTCTGGGGGATACGTATCTTAGCTGCTATGGTCTTTACCGAAACCAGACTTCCAATAAATTCCCGCTCATGCACTTTCCTACTTCTATCCGCTTTGCCCAACTCTTTATCTTAAAACATCAACGTCTACATTTCTCTTCATTCTACTATCTTGCAACACAAGACTACTATAAACCACCAACCACACGTTTATTCTGCACAACTGCATCTTTAAAAATGCCTAGTTACATTGTAATTACAGACTTTCCTACGACATTATAAATATCTCTATACCGTCGAGACATTATTGCTCACTATTATATAGGTTACCCTTAAGGAGAACGCTACTCCCGAAGAAGTGGCCGCAGCAAAGAAGCACGCTCAGGACCAGGGCGGCAAGATTGGCCACGAATACAGCCTTATCAAGGCTTTTTCGTACGTGGTTCCTTAACATTTATATTTTAAATTTGGATTTTCCTAATATTTATTTCGTGTAGAGTTACATTCCCTAACGATGCCTTGACCACGTTGGAATCGAACGAGCACGTTAAAGCTGTTGAGTTGGACCAGGAGGTGAGGACACAATAGCTGTCGTGATGAGGGGCAATTGGGTCTTAGAGCCATCGCGTGAACGTGACCAAGCCAGTATATGATGCGGGGCTTTGAAACTATGCTGCTACGGTACTAGGTTATACTAGGTTATACTGGGTTATACTAGAAAGCTTGACTTGACCATGGCTCATGCAAGGAGTTCCAAGAATAATAGATAGCTGATCTACCAATCTTTCTTACCAACGTCACATAAATTCGTTTATTTGTAATTATCATGATTGGATTGTTTCTATGTGATATATCTGGTGTAAGGCAAGATCAACCAGAGATCCTACCTAAATAACATGAACTCCCCTAAATGGACTGAATGGCAGCAATGATAAAACAAAACAAAGATCGGCATCGGCCACAAACCGTAACCGATAAGGATCCTTATCAATTTCATTCTCAGCACTGACGTCGATGCTTCCGGGGTTTAGCTCGTGACTCCGACATATCAAAAATCGAACCTTTATTATTTATTTCGTCTTCAACCCTGGTTATGACTCCAACTGCTCCAACATACAACTATTCTACACTCCTGCTTACCGCTCGACACCACACAATGCCGCCATGAGGAGCATATATAGGCCGTTGCGGTGTTTTTACACACCCAAGGCCTTGATTGCGAGTCCTAGACGCAACATCCTTGGATCGTGTTTTTATTCGTCACATGCTACCAGCAGCTCATCGCCCTCTCTATCGAACGATGAGAAATGGTCCCATCCCCCAAGCACAGCGACGGTAACCGACGATGAGATTGCAGATCTCACCAACAAGAAGCAGCATCCTTTAAGTCTTGCTGATTTGGTCAAGTACGTAGCTGTTTTCTAGGTCTATTTAGCATATCATATTACCTTCACCGCTTCTAGTTCATAAGATATAAATGCGTATATAGAGACAAGTAGCTAATAGAGACTGATCAAACAGACATGGCCGGCCACCTCTCTCAGCAGAGGCTCTTTTCTCGTCAGCTAACTTCACCCTCTCCCTACTACCTATTCGACTAGCCCATCGTATCCAGGCACTACGAAACCTACCCTTCATTGTGGTCTCAAATCCCAACATCAGCAAGATCTACAACAACTACTTGCACTCCTTATCGACTCTCCTGCCTTGGAAACACCACACCATTAACAACCTAGATGCCGAAATCCTGTTCACCTCGGTTCTTGCCGAGTTGGTCCACACTCACCAAGATACCATCCCTATCCTAGCTAAGGGCTTCCTCGAGTGTCGCCGATACATTTCCCCCCAGGAAGTTACGCGTTTCTTGGATACCCACCTGCGAACCCGTATCGGCACCCGTCTCATCGCCGAGCAGCACATTGCCTTGCACTACAGCAGTCTTCCACACTTCGATCCTTCAGCCTCGCCGACCCCGTGCCCCGAGCATCCTTCTTACATTGGCGTTATCGATACCGCCCTCTCGCCCTCCGCTGTTGTAGACTCGTGCGCTGGCTTCGTAGCCGACATTTGCGAGCTAAAGTATGGCGTGCGACCACACTGGGTGATCGATGGCGAGCCCTCGACCACGTTTGCCTTCGTCCCCATGCATTTAGAATACATTGTGACGGAGCTGCTCAAAAATGCGTTCCGCGCCACCGTAGAGAGCGGTCGCAACCGCGAGCCCGTCGTTATAACTATCGCTCCAGAACCACCCGACGCCGGTCCACCCCGCGTGACCCTCGACCCCCCTGCTGGCGACAAGGGTGCTTTCAAGAGCGACGCCATCATGCCGCTCGACGACAACGCGCCAGGAGTTACCATCCGCATCCGCGACCGCGGCGGTGGCATTGCCCCTGATGTCTTACCAAATATCTGGAGTTATAGCTTTACTACCTTCATGGAGGAAGACGATATTTCAGATGGCAATGGAAATGGAGGTGCTGGTAACGATGCGTTAAGTGTGATATCAGCATCCGGGGGTGGTGGGAGCTCTATCGCCGGTCTGGGCTACGGACTACCGCTTAGCCGCGCTTACGCGGAGTACTTTGGTGGCGGCATAGCTGTTCAGAGCCTATACGGCTGGGGAACCGATGTTTACTTGCGGCTGAAAGGTGTCGGCAAGATTGATACTATAAGTCCATAAGGCGTATAGTTTTATGATGGGTTAAAGACAATCCAGTAGATAGGTTGTTTATGTGTCGTAATTATACTTGACGAAATGTGAATGGGTCAACGATTATGATATTTTGTTTTATTTATTTTTATAGTGTACGTACATGGAGGGATAGACTAACAGGTGCATATAAGACGTATGTTATGAGTAGACTTGCAGCGTAAGAACATTGTCTTTACATCAGTATCAATCATTACTCGCAATCCGTAGCTACACACGTACGAACCTCATCACTTCCTTGTCCCCTGATGTTAACGTTCTTGAGAGACCAAGACATATGTACCTATACATATATAGCATCGCCTATGAACCCCACGTGGTTTGTATACCGTAAAAATAAGAGACTTGTTGCACTGCCACTGGTAATTTTCCGTTGTAACATCGTATATAGAACAGTATGAACAAACCAGCGATAGGAATTTTATAGATGATTAAACAAGTAAGCTATTTGAAACATGTATCACTCACTCATCATGATGTATAACCCGAGTCTTTTCTTTATTAAATTTGATTAATCCCCAACAGCAATGCTCACTATAGGAATGAGGGCTATTGGGATGTGTATAACAATATATAGCGATGATATGATATGCAGCAATGTAATAAGATATCCTCAAACCATCCTGTTTAGCCAGACCCAGCAAAACGCAGCAAAATAGAGGAAAAACCAAGCGCGATATAATGACCCGGAATCTAACTCCACCGTAGCTATCACTAATACGAATCCCGTCACTTTCTTTTGCGTGGACGAATAGTATGCGGCTTCATCTGTTTGAAAACGCCAGCAAAGACAATATTCTTTTGAATGACCCGGTTCCGCCCCTCCCCAAACCTGCTAGTATCATATCAAACATGATCAACCTGAGTTGGTATTATGTACATCCAGATTAATTCGCCTAATATCTGCTCTGATCGACTGTAGCTAAGAAAAGATGATGCGATTACATGTTAGCTAACTCGTTATCAATCTGGCGATCAAGGAACATCTTTCGCTCGCCAACCAACTCCGTCTGTAGTCGCTGCTCAACGAGGGCCCGGACTTGTTTCTTAGTTACCGTGTCCAGATCGACTTCTCGAAGCACAGCCTGGATTGCCTCTATAATCATCCCATCATCAGGTCCTAGGTGACCTCGTTGGAAATCAAAGGATGTAGTGGATTGATGACCTTGGCCTAACGGTGGACGGGCGCCACCAGCATAGCCCAGTGTAGCATTAGAAACGCGATGCATGTGTTGTGGAGAGTTGTTGGATACGCCACGGAGATTGCTCATGCTGGGTCTTTGTGTGGGGAAGTCTTGGAAAGGTGATTGCATGCGTTGCATGTCGCCAAAAGATGCAGTAGACTGCCGGTACATCGGGTTATCGGCGTAAGGACCAGATCCAGACTGGCGAGCCATGTGCTGGAAGGGAGCCGGGGATTGGGGTGGCATATATCCACCGCGACCTTGGAGACCGGTGAGAACTGAGGGCTGCCGGACTGAAGAATAGACTGATTTCATGTCGTCCATTTCGTAAGTATCATCGTAGAAATCATGTGCCTTTTCATTTTGAGCGCCGCGACGACCAGGGAGGTTATTTAACGTGGCATAATCATCCCAGCGTTGCAAAGGAATGGAACGCGGATCGAAACCCTCATCATCAACTGCTACCACCTGCTTATTACCCTTCTCACCAATAACAATACGTGTGTTACCCCAGCTGAAGTTATCTTGGTTCCAGAAAGAGTAGAGCGGGAGAATGAAGGAGTAGATAGGGAACGCAAGGAGGTAGATGATCATCCAGCCGACATGCTGCCATTGTCGCTTAAGGATGAAGATCAGGGCTTGAAGACCGTAGACCGCAGCTATCATAGCAATAGAAACGACAGGGAACGGACCAGTATGGGAAATGATTAGGTACAAGAGGTAACCAATATAAACACAAGTGGCGGGTAGGATAAGCGTTCCAGTGAGATCAATGAAGACAACAAAGCGCATGGAGAAACAGCAGAAGCCACACATGTCTCGAAGCATCATTAACTCAACAAGATTGTGGATAGTTGAGTTAATCCATCTTCGCCGCTGCGAGAGCAAGACACTGAACTTCTCGGGAGCAGCGGTCTGACAGTACGCATCGGGAATGAATTTGAATGCCATACGTGGGAAATGCTTCGTCATTAGCGTAGTGAGATATCGATCTTCACCGAGAGATAGAAGATTCTTTTTATGGAGAGTGTCAACGGCGCAAATACTGTAATCTTTGATGACTCCATCAGAAATAATCAATGGTCTACCCCGGTCAGCAGTACGCAGGCGATACATCGTGAAACTGCAAATAAGGTTAGTATAACGACGTATACGGCAACGATGAGAGGAAACTTACCATCCGGGCAGACAAGTAACACTGCCGAAGAGTGATTCGAAAGCTTTTGACAAGTGGTGAGAGATATAATATTCGTAGACCTGAATCATACTCCACCAGGAACGTTCCTCGTTTTGGAGACCAGTCTCACCGCAGATACCAGCGATCTTTGAATTATTGGCACAGGCAGCGACAAGTCGGTTGAGGGAATCCTCCCGTACACAAGTATCAGCATCGACCATCAAGAGGTACTCGTATAGTTCAGGGTCGACGCCGATGATGTTATTGATTTGATGGAACATTTCCAATTCCAGGGGATTCATGGGAGCACGATGGTGGACACGGTTCAAGAAGCTCATGAGCAAGATCTGCGAGTCACGCTTGCCACGATTGCCAGGTTTCGCTTTGGCCTGCTCGGATTCTTTGCCTACTTTGACGACCACAAGATAGGGGACCACGTTGCCTTCATATTCGTAAAGCCCAGAATAGACCTTGCCGTAGTTAAGTTGTTCGCTGCCAGTACCAACTGACTTGA